ATCCTAGCCCAAATCCAATTATCTTCCTGATTATCTCAGCAGGGCATTCCTTAAAAAAGGCCTATGACGAAGGTGCTGAACAAAATAGAATGACCCTTATTATGGACATTACAGGGTCAGGTGATTTGGGGGTGCAGGGGAATAATGGGGTGGCGCATGGCAAGATTTGGGGAGCACTTCTAACTAGGAATGTGTTTCATTTCCTTCTGGAAATTTGATTGCAGACTTCCTGCAGGTGCCCCGGAAGCAGATGTTATATAAAAACAAAACCCGTGTTCTTATTTTTGATGATAAATTCTATTTTAGAGCCCTTCTGAGATGCTGCTACGAAAAACACACAAGCGTAGTCTAAAATAAAGTATCATTATGAGTTTAGCGGGGAGGAAGCAGGCTGTGTGTGAGGTTAAAATATAAGCCAGGCTAGCTTTCTGGTTTTCCCAGTAGTGATGTATGGAAGTGAGAGCTGGACCATAAAGAAGGCTGATCACCGAAGAATTGATGCTTTTGAATTATAGTGCTGGGAGAGACTCTGGAGAGTCCCATGGACTGCAAGAAGATCAAACCGCTCCATTCTGAAGGAAATCAGCCCTGAGTGCTCACTGGAAGGACAGATCCTGAAGCTGAGGCTCCAAGACTTTGGCCACCTCATGAGAAGAGAAGACTCCCTGGAAAAGACCCTGATGTTGGGAAAGATGGAGGGCACAAGGAGGAGGGGACAACAGAGGACGAGATGGTTGGATAGTGTTCTCGAAGCTACCAGCATGAGTTTGACCAAACTGCGGGAGGCAGTGGAAGACAGGAGGGCCTGGCGTGCTCTGGTCCAGGGGGTCACGAAGAGTCGGACACGACTTAATGCCAACAGCTTTCTGGTCAGGTGATTGCCCGGGTGACGGGCCATTGAAGAGAACAAAGATAAGGGGCTCTGTGTGAGATGGCAACTGGGTATGGTTAGGCTCATATTATTATTATTATTATTATTATTATTATTATTATTATTTATATGCCACCCATCTGACTGGGTTGTCCCAGCCACTCTGGGAAGCTTCCAGCAAATGAAAACAGCAAACACAGTAAAACATCAAACATTAAAAACGTCCCTAAATGGGGCTGCCTTCAGATGTCTTCTAAAAGTCAGATAGTTGTCTTTTTCCTTGACATCTGATGGGAGGGCATTCCACAGGGTGGGCGCCACCACCGAGAAGGCCCTCTGCCTGGTTTCCTGTAATGTCACTTCATAGAATGATAGAATCTTAAGAGTTGAAAGGGACCCCTGTGTCATCTAGTCCAACCCCCGGTGATGCTGGAATCTCAGCTAAAGCATCCATGACAGGTAGGCCCACCAATGTTTCATCTTCAGATTGTATATATGTGTAAATAAGCCACGTATTCTAAAGGCACTGCAGTCTCTGCTGTGCCTCATTCCCAGAGACAACTTGAACGCTGAGTAAGCGCTGAGAACCCCTGGAATCTCACGTTGCTTGGAGACTGGAAACGCTTCTTGTTTCAAAATTAATATGCAAATCTGATCAATAAACCAGTGGATTAATCAACTAACGCTTATATGATTAATCCGTGTGAAATCCTATACAGTCGTACCTTGGTTTTCGAACAGCTTAGTTCACAAACAACTTAGAACGTGAATGTCGCAAACCCGGAAGTAGGCGTTCCGGTTTGCGAGCTTTGCCCCGGAAGCCAAAAGTCCGGCGCAACTTCCGATTGGCTGCAGGAGTGTCCTGCAGCCAATCGGAAGCTGCGCCTTGGTTTCCGAATGTTTCAGAAGTCGAGCGGACTTCCGGAACACATTCTGTTCAAAAACCAAGGTTGTACACAGTTACTCAGCCCTGTTGAACTCAATGTGGCTTACTTCTGAGTAGACATAGAGGAGAGAAATGTGAAGATTTCTATCATCAGGTGTCCCACACAGCGTCTTTAGGTGTTAGTAAGGGATTTTTGATATTTTTTTCTGGGAATAGCAGACTTCCTACCTCCGCCACCCAGATTACAATTGCTTCTGAAAGCCCCCACAGTGCTAATAATAATAATAATAATACCATTTTGTCAACTGGAGTCACAAGTCTGAGAAAAGCAAACCCAGGCCACCACTATCCTACCCTTCCCCAGTTGGGAACCACATTGCTTTGAGAATCTGGGCGTTGATGGAAGACAGAGATATCTTTTCATTATTTTGCATTCAGTCCCAGCTGGAGACTGTCAAATTGTGGGGCAGCTGCTGAATTAAATGAAGCTGATGTAGATCTGAAAGAGAAAGTTCTGCAAAATAGAAAAAAAAAAGCTTTATTTGGGGTGAAGGAATACTACAAAAATGGGAACATGGCAGAAGAGCTTTGATTTCCTCTTGAGTAGGGGAGTGGAGGGGAAATTGCTGCTTCTTCATCGAATCTGTATTTACAGCCGGAGTTCCATCTGCCAGCAGATTTTCCGCGGGTTCAGTAGGGCAGGCGCTGGTGTGTTGCAGAAGCCATCTCTAGGCAAAGGAGAAGGAAATTTAAGTTAGTTCTGGGAAGGAGGTTCTGCAGGAGTCTGCAAGCACAGATATCTCTTTAATGTTCCCACCCAGACAACAGCTTCTTCCCTTTCCTTGTCTGTTCATGTCCAACCTGCTTCAGGCAGCAGAATGCCAGTAAAATGTTGCATTATCAGGCACGTTTGCTGGTAGACTCGGATGGTATTGCGGTCCCCTGTTTCCTGCAACCTATAGCCACTGTAGTTTTATTGGTCCACTTTTTCCAACCATCACCCAGAACTAAAACTCCCTTTAGCCACATTTTCCTTTAGGAGAGGAAAGTCTTCTTCCCCTCCTCATTTTTGCCTGCGACTCCTCCCTGTTCAGTGTCATTACGATTGCAAAAACAAGGTGTATTTGTACCACCTTGAAGACTAAGGGAGGGACGCGGGTGGCGCTGTGGTCTAAACCACAGAGCCTAGGGCTTGCCGATCAGAAGGTCGGCGGTTCGAATCCCCACGACGGGGTGAGCTCCCGTTGCTCAGTCCCAGCTCCTGCCAACCTAGCAGTTCGAAAGCACGTCAAAGTGCAACTAGATAAATAGGTACCGCTCCAGCAGGAAGGTAAACGGCGTTTCCGTGCGCTGCTCTGGTTCACCAGAAGCGGCTTAGTCATGCTGGCCACATGACCCAGAAGCTCAACACTGGCTCCCTCGGCCAATAAAGCGAGATGAGTGCCGCAACCCCAGAGTCGTCCACGACTGGACCTAATGGTCATGCGTACCTTTTTAAAGACTAAGGGAGCTTCCAGACTGTTGCCATTTTCAGGTGAGATTCAATTGCATACTGGCAAATTTAGGTTGCATAATTATGGATGACCGGGAGGTCTTGTGCAACAACAACAAGAAGAAGAGTTTGGATTTGATATCCCGCCTTTCACTCCCCTTCAGGAGTCTCAAAGCGGCTAACATTCTCCTTTCCCTTCCTCCCCCACAACAAACACTCTGTGAGGTGAGTGAGGCTGAGAGACTTCAGAGAAGTGTGACTGGCCCAAGGTCACCCAGCAGCTGCATGTGGAGGAGCGGAGACGCGAACCCGGTTCCCCAGATTACAAGACTACCGCACTTAACCACTACACCACACTGGCTCTCTTCTCCACAAGATCAAATTTTTAGTGATAAGGAAAGAGATTGGGGGCGGAGGAATGCAATGGAAAGTGTGGGATAATGCTTGCTTTGGTGCATCACCTAAGATCCCTGCAAACAATTCAGAGCGAAGGCTCAAAAAAGAGCCAACATTGTCAGATTCCTTGAGAATAAATTGGGACGAAGGTTCTGTAAACAAGGATGTCTGGAAGTGCCATTATAAATGTATTATGGCTTAAGTCAGGTGTGGCTAACCTGGTGCTTCTAGATCTTTTAGACCAGTTTCCCAAACTTGCAGTCTCCAGCTGTTTTTGGACTACAATTCCCACCATCCCTGACAACTGGTCTTGCCAGCTAGGGATGATGGGAGTTGTAGTCCAAAAACAGCCGGAGACACAAGATTCGGCAACACAGTTTTAGATACAGTGGTACCTTGGTTCTCAAACTTAATCTGTTCCAAAACCCAAACGTTCCAAAACCAGGGCACGCTTTCACATAGAAAGTAATGCGAAATGGATTAATCCGTTCCAGACTTTTAAAAACAACCCCTAAAACAGCAATTTAACATGGATTTTACTATCTAACGAGACCATGGATCCATAAAATGAAAGCAATAATCAATGTACTGCAGTCACACAATCAATCAATCAATCAATCAGTAGCTGAACTGGGTTCCACACAGTCACAAAAACAAAACAAAAAGAGCAGCAAAAACATAAACGCAAAATAAATAGCAAAAACAGACAGACCTCAGCGTAACACTCAAAACGGAAGTGTGGCACTCAAAACAGAGCACGTTCAGCTTCCAAAAAATGTTCACAAACTGGAAAACTTACTTACAGGTCTTCAGTGTTTGAGTTCCAAGGCGTTTGAGACCCAAGGTACCACTGTACTGGTAACATCATTGCTACTCTGTAAGTCTCTTTGCAGTAAGATTGAACTAATCACTTTTTTTCCTTGTGTAATTAGGTCCTTCTCCCTAAAACTATGCAATGCTATTAATATTCCCCATTGCATATTTACCTGTCAGTCAGAACCTTTGCACCAGGCCACGCGAGACCCCATTCAAATCTGGATAAACCTCCTGGGCAAGGAAGCATCAGAGTCTCACAGCAATCCTTTGCTGGGGTGGCAGCACCCAGAAGTCACGGGCACATTTGTCCTTTTTAAAGCCTCCTTTTCTCAGCTTCAGTATTATGCGCCGCTGAGCCACACAAGCCCATTCCGAAGCAATTAAAACCATTGCCGTTTGCGCCTTGCCGTCGCGACAAGAGTGTTTCCTAAAAGCTCCCTGGCCAAAGCTGTCTCTCTCGTGTTTTCCTCTCCCGTGTTTTCCTCTCAGGGAGTCCTTGGCGCGATCCACCTTCTCCTTCCCGGAGACGGCTTCCGGTTTCAGAAAGGGGATTCCCAGGTCACCTGCGCCAGAACCATCAGTCTTTTCAGCTGCTCAAAGGACACAAACATCACCACGTTCCAGGATCCCAGTCGCAGGAAGGAGGGTATGAAACTGAAGAGGACAGAGGCAGCCATTAGACATGGGCTGCCCTTGGAAGACATAGGAAGAAGCTCCCATGGGCATCGTGTAGGCCAGGGGTTGGGAACCTTAGGCCTGGGGGCCAAATCCAGCCCTGCAAGCTTCTGGCTATGTGGGGCTGCCTTTGAAGGTGACCTGGAAACTGCAACTAATCCAGAATGCGGCAGCTAGACTGGTGACTGGGAGCAGCTGCCAGGACCACATAACACCGGTCTTGAAAGACCTACATTGGCTCCCAGTACGTTTCTGAGCACAATTCAAAGTGTTGGTGCTGACCTTGAAAGCCCTAAACGGCCTCTGTCCTGTATATCTGAAGGAGCGTCTCCACCCCCATCGTTCATTCCGGACACTGAGGTCCAGCACTGAGGGCCTTCTGGCAGTTCCCTCGCTGCAAGAAGCGAAGTTACAGGGAACCAGGCAGAGGGCCTTCTCGATAGTGGCGCCCGCCCTGTGGAACACCCGCCCGTCAAATGCCAGACAGACAACCGATTATACAACCTTCAGTAGATGTCTGACTGCAGTCCTGAATAGGGAATTTTTGTGTGTGTGATGTTCTATTGTGTTTTTACTGATGTTCTATTGTGTTTTTACTGTTTTATGTTGGGAGCCACCTATAGTGGCTAGGACAACCCAGTCAGATGGGCATAATAATAATAATTGTCTTTTTAGTTAATTGCTGCATTTTGAAACTTTGCTTTGTGATTTGATTCTGTTTTAATATATTTTTTTTAATTGTACACTGCTTTGAGGCCAATTTAAAAGGTGGCATAAAAATGTGTTTAAGATAAGGAAACTGATACCAAAAAAGCATAGATGATGGCAATAATAATAATAATAATAATAATAATAATAATAATAATATTGTATTATTTATACCCCGCTCATCTGGCTGGGTTTCCACAGCCGCTCTGGGTGACTCCCAACAGAATATTTAAAACATTAAAAACTTCCCTAAACAGGGCTGCCTTCAGATGTCTTCTAAAAGCCAGATAGTTGTTTATTTCCTTGACATCTGATGGGAGGGCGTTCCACGGGGAGGGAGCCACTACTGAGAAGGCCCTCTGCCTGGTAGTGAACTGCTCTGGGCTCTTTGGGTATAGGGTGGTATACAGATTTAATTACTAATAAAAAGAACAGAAGGGGGTGTTTAGGATGTTATTGCTTACCCTTTGTAAAAAGCCGTCGGACCCTCTTTTACCACCATGGTGAACATACAGTTCAGAGCGTTCTTGTACTGTCCTGGGATGGAGTTCATGTATCTCGTTTTCACCACATCCACGGGAGATGCCACGATGGTGGCGCAGAATCCGGCCCCGAAGGCAGAGACGAAATGGCAGGGGAAATTGTCTGTTGGTGGCAAGGAATGGACACGAGATGGTTCAGGTTTGGGAAAGCCCCCAAACTGGGAGCTTCCTTCCCTTAGAAAGCCGCTCCAGAAGCTACCTTTTGAGGGTTGGCCGCCAAGGCCAAAGGATGGGTGAAAGATCTAGGCTTGTGAGGTAGTTTGGTGCAGCGGTTATAGTGTCTGATGAAGGACACGGGGAGATTTGGGTTCAAATCCCACCCAGCAGCCATGACATACACTGGGTAACCCTGAGCTTCTCTCTCTCTCAGTCTAATTTGCCACACATCATAAAAGAGGGGCACCATGCATGGGCAGAGGTGAGAAACAGGAACTGCAAATGCTAATTTATATGTCTGGATAATAGAATCATATAACAGATTACTGCAGATGGTGACGGCAGTCACGAAATTAAAAGACGCCTGCTTCTTGGGAGAAAAGCAATGACAAACCTTATTGTTGTTTAGTCATTTAGTCATGTCCGTCTCTTCGTGACTCCCTGGACCAGAGCACGCCAGGCACTCCTGTCTTCCACTGCCTCCCGCAGTTTGGTCAAACTCATGCTGGTAGCTTCGAGAACACTGTCCAACCATCTGGTCCTCTGTCGTCCCCTTCTCCTTGTGCCCTCCATCTTTCCCAACATCAGGGTCTTTTCCAGGGAGTCTTCTCTTCTCATGAGGTGGCCAAAGTCTTGGAGCCTCAGCTTCAGGATCTGTCCTTCCAGTGAGCACTCAGGGCTGATTTCCTTCAGAATGGAGAGGTTTGATCTTCATGCAGTCCATGGGACTCTCAAGAGTCTCCTCCAGCACCATAATTCAAAAGCATCCATTCTTTGGCGATCAGCCATCTTTATGGTCCAGCTCTCACTTCCATACATCACTACTGGGAAAACCAGAGCTTTAAGTATATGGACCTTTGTTGGCAAGGTGTCTGACAAACCAAGACAGCATCTTAAAAAGCAGAGACATCACCTTGCTGACAAAGGTCCCTGATGCTGGGAAAGATTGAGGACATAGGGAGAAGGGGATGACAGAGGATGAGATGGTTGGACAGTGTTCTCAAAGCTACCAGCATGAGTTTGACCAAACTGTGGGAGGCAGTGGGAAACAGGGGGTCTGGTCCAGGGGGTCACAAAGAGTCAGACATGACTAAACGACTAAACAACAACAATAGAATCATAGAATCGGACAGAACCCTGGAGGTCATCTAATCCTATCCCCTGCAATGCTCTCTTTCGCCCAATGTGGTTCTTGAACCCAGACAGCGTCACTGAGGGTCAGAGATGAGAGCTTTAGGCCGGCAACATCTGTTGGGTTGGGAACAGGTTCCCCATCTCTGACTTCGGTGCTCCTTTAGTGTGACGCAGCCAGTCCTCTTTTCCACCAGTTGCCAGCCAAGAAAATGCTGGGAAGCTCAAAACGTGTCTGAGAGCGATGGCCAACCCCTGTTGCTTGTGCCTTGCACTCGGGATTCAGCGATAGACTGCTCTTGGATATGGAGGTTTCATTAAGCTAACGGAGGTAACGTGCTGGCAGCTTGTACGGCGGAGTGGCTGAGAAAAATGAGCCGCCAAACTGCTGGGCTATATGCCGAAATGGAAAATTAACTTTGAGACTTAGGAACCAAGAAGATAAGGACTTTAAAAAAAGAATGGGGAAATTTTATAACATACCTAAGGGATTATTGGAAGTAGATCAAAACGTTATCTGGACTCTAAGAATCACTTGTAAAGCAGTTTATTGTTAAATTAGGTAAAGGGACCCCTGACCATTAGGTCCAGTCATGGCCGACTCTGGGGTTGTGGCGCTCATCTCGCTTTATTGGCCGAGGGAGCTGGCGTACAGCTTCCAGGTCATGTGGCCAGCATGACTAAGCTGCTTCTGGCGAACCAGAGCAGCGCACGGAAAGGCCGTTTACCTTCCCGCCGGAGAGGTACCGATTTATCTACTTGCACTTTGACGTGCTTTCGAACTGCTAGGTTGGCAGGAGCTGGGACTGAGCAACGGGAGCTCACCCTGTCACGGGGATTCGAACCGCCAACCTTCTGAACGGCAAGTCCTAGGCTCTGTGGTGCAACCCACAGTGCCACCCGCGTCCCATTGTTAAGTTAGATAAATGGAAATTGTGGAGAATGTATTGATATGTAGTTTATTATTATTATTATTATTAGTAGTAGTAGTAGTAGTAGTAATAATAGAAGGATCCTTGAAAGGGAAGGGGAAGTCATGAGATCCAGAGAATCTCATGAAATGAGTATATAAATGTTGTTGATATAAAGTTGTATCTGTAAAAACCAATAAAAATATTTCAGGGGGGAAAGGACTGAGCCGCCATTTTGAATCCTGCCTCCTTCATTGGCTGGACACGCCATAATCTTTAAGACCACAAGTTAGGTAACTGGAGCAGACCTAGATTTGAGGCTTAGATTTCCAGCATCTGGGGAGAGGAGGCCTCCTTACCTGTCATCAGGCGATATCTCAGCAGCGTTTCCTTGATGAGGTCGTAGGTTACCATCTCCCCGCAGTTCACGATAGAGTTTCGGATGATGTTTGGCAGGGTCCCTGTAGTGGGCGGAAGCAAAGGGTTGGTGTGTGTGTAGAGATTGTGGATTGTGATCTCCTGACTGGATCCCAGGAGCTGACCAGGAGGTCTCGGTGGCTAGAATTATCTGTTTCCACGACTGTAGTTCAATAAATGTTCTTGCTGTTATCGCTGCGTCTTGCCTTGTGGAAACCCACCTACACTTCAGAGAGATTTTTAGGCTCCGATTTTAAAATCACTTGAACCGATTACAAGTTTGCATTTTCATATTGCGGCATCTGACACCCGCACCCTGCGACCTTAGGGTGAGAGGCGGGTAGGAAATAAAATTACCATACTTTTCGCTCTATAAGACGCACCAGACCACAAGACGCACCTAGTTTTTGGAGGAGGAAAACAAGAAAAAAAATATTCTGAATCTCAGAAGCCAAAACAGCAAGAGGGATCGCTGCACAGTGAAAGCAACAATCCCTCTTGCTGTTCTGGCTTCTGGGATAGCTGCGCAGCCTGCATTCGCTCCATAAGACGCACACACGTTTCCCCTTACTTTTTAGGAGGGAAAAAGTGAGTCTTATAGAGCAAAAAATACGGTAATAAATAGGACAATCATAATACAGTGGTGCCCCGCAAGATGAATGCCTCGCAAGACGGAAAACCCGCTAGACGAAAGGGTTTTTCCGTTTTGGAGGTGCTTCGCAAAACGAATTTCCTATGTGCTTGCTTCGCAAGACGAAAATGTCTTGCGAGTTCCTGTGGGGTTTTTTTCCTCCCCCCCCCCTTTCCCCCAAGCCGCTAAACCGCTTATCAGCTGATCGGCTAAGCCGCTTATCAGCTGATCGTTAAGCCGCTTATCAGCTGATCCTTAAGCCGCTTAACAGCTGATCGCTAAGCCGCTTATCAGCTGATCCGCTAAGCCCGCTAAGCCGCTAATACTGTAGCGCTAATCCGCTAAACCGCTAATGGGCTTGCTTCGCAAGACGAAAAAACCCGCAAGACGAAGAGACTTGCGGAACGGATTCTTTTCGTCTTGCGAGGCACCACTGTAAATATCATGCAAAAAGGGAATGAATGGCGGAAGACAACGCACCTTTCCAGAGTCCTCGGACCCCTTCCTCCCTGGCGATGGTCCTGTAGGCGTCCACAGTCCCATTGTACTTCTTTGGTCCACCCAGCAACCTGATGTGCGCTTGGAAGCGGACCTTGACCACATCGGTGGGCTGGGCGCAGGTGACGGCCATGGCTCCGGTGGTGCAACCGGCGAGTAACCGGGTGGGGATGCTGGCGCCTGAGAGAGAGAGAAAGAGGCGGAAGATAAAGTCCCTACCAGAGAAGAAGGGGAAATCAAGTTGATGAACTATGCCGAAATGGCAAAACTGACTCGAAAGCTCAGGAACCAGGAAGACCAAAACTTTAATAAGGAATGGGGGGAAATATATATACAATTTACCTTAAAGACCATCGTAAGCAGCTGAAAACATGGACAGGACTATAACACCACTTGTAACGTAACGAGAAATACGGTATAAGGGAGTTGATTTGTTTTTTGGGGGGTAATTATTTAAAAAAGATGCAGTAGAAAAGGTTTAACCTCAGAACCTATGGGGGGGAAGTCCAGAGATTTGGAGGAATCTTTAAACTGTGGCTATGTTGTGGTGCGATTATAATTTTAAATATGTAAAACCAAACAAAACTAATTTTTAAAAAGAGAGTGAGAGAGCGAGGCAGACAGAGAGACAGAGGCTGTTTTTGTCATTATAATGGATTGCTATCCTTGTTCCATCTCTTCCCCCAGTTATACAATTTGGGCTGTGTTCACAAGGCACTTTATTTCATTTCCCCGATGATGTTTCCCTAGCTGTTAACTGCCACGTTTATTCTATTTATTTGTTATCCTTGTTTATTCTACCTCCCATCCCACCTTTTTTACTCCAGCAGGATCATTCCCATCCCAGAATAATACCTTGTCTTGCCCTGCTGGGCTTCGTCAGCCGTGCATACTCTAAATAATACAGATAAACACAATATATGGTATGTAGATCCATCATTCAATATGTGTGTTATGTGTTTTATTTCCTAATTTGTTAAAAAAAAATACATTATTATGTTTATCTGTATTATTTAGAGTATGCACAGCTGATGAAGGCCAGCAGGGCGAAATGAGGTATTATTCCGGGAACCCTTGTCTTAAGTTCTTTTGTCTGATACCTGCATACAGCAACTATACTTTGCAAAGGCAGATGTGGAACATTACAAGGAACAAGTTCATTTTCTGCAGGTACTGTTTCTTAAAGTTGTCGCGTCTGACACTTGTATTCATAAAGACATACGTGGAACACACAAAAAAGCTTCCATTTGGACAATACTGATCTATTTGTATTTCCTGCTCAAAATGTTGGTCTTTAGTTGCTTCTGCTTAATTTGATAATGTGAAAGGAGGTATGTTTATATGATGTATAAATAATTCATATAGTTAAACACAGCTTGTTGCATTGTGGGTATATTTGTTAGTTGAATTTACATAACTATAGGTTTGATAGTGTAGCGTAGGATGACAGGCCGATGTTCTGTCAAGGGATAGCTCATGATGATGATGATGATGATGATAATAATAATAATAATAATTTATTATTTTTACCCCGCCCATCTGGCTGGGTTTCCCCAGCCACTCTGGGCGGCTTCCAACAGAACACTAAAATACAATAACCTATTAAACATTACAGTGGTGCCCCACAAGACAAATGCCTCGCAAGACGGAAAACCCGCTAGACGAAAGGGTTTTCCGTTTTTGAGTTGCTTCGCAGGACGAATTTCCCTATGGGCTTGCTTCGCAAGACGAAAATGTCTTACGAGTCTTGAGATTTTTTTTCCGCTTCCCCCCCTTTATCTAAGCCGCTAAGCCTTTAATAGCCTTTTAGCAGCTAATCCGCTAAGCCGATAAGCCTTTAATAGCCGCTAAACCGCTAATAGCGCTAATCCGTTAAGCCGCTAATAGGGCTGCTTCGCAAGATGAAAAAACCGCTAGATGAAGACACTCGCGGAACGGATTAATTTCGTCTTGCGAGGCACCACTGTAAAAGCTTCCCTAAACAGGGCTGCTTTCAGATGTCTTCTAAAAGTCAGGTAGTTGTTTTTCTCTTTGACATCTGATGGGAGGGCGTTCCACAGGGCGGGTGCCACCACCGAGAAGGCCCTCTGCCTCGTTCCCTGTAACCTCACTTCTTGCAATGAGGGAACTGCCAGGAGGTCCTTGGCGCTGGACCTCAGTGTCCGGGCAGAACGATGGGGGTGGAGACGCTTGGAAGCCCGCTGTGTTTCCGAACGAGACCCCCGCCAGAGCTTGGGGCCTCCGGAGGCAGCAGAGAACTTACTGTCTGAGCCCTTGGGGGTGTAGAACTGCTTCACCGAGTCGTACAGGCCGATCCGGATGGATGCAAAGCTCATCTGGCGCTGGAGGCCGGCCACCAAGCCGTTGTAGAGACTCTTCGGCCCCTCCGTCTTCACCATGGTAGTGATGGTGCCCAACACCCCTTTGTACTTCTTCGCTGTCCTGGAAGCCTTGCATTCCCCCTGGATCTGAAAGGAGAAGTTGACGAGAAATCGACCACTCATCACACGGCACAGCTCCGTTTTGTAGCAGACGGAGTCTGCACTGAGCAAGTAAAATCCTCAATGGTACACTGGGCAGTAGATATTGGTCAAAATCCAGTGGTACCTCGGGTTACATACGCTTCAGGTTACAGACTCTGCTAACCCAGAAATAGTACCTTGGGTTAAGAACTTTGCTTCAGGATGAGAACAGAAATCATGTTCTGGCGGCGCAGCAGCAGCAGGAGGCCCCATTAGCTAAAGTGGTGCTTCAGGTTAAGAACAGTTTCAGGTTAAGAAAATGAATTAAGTACTTAACCGGAGGTACCGATGTATAGTCATGGAAGAAAACCGGGTCAAACACATGTTGGAAATGTGAAGAAAAATAAGGGACTTTTTAGCATATGTGGTGGGAATGTACAGAAGTTAAATTTTTTTGGGAAATGATATATAATGAATTGGAAAAAAATGTTTAAAATGACATTTGTAAAGAAACCAGAAGCATTTCTGTTAGGGATTGTAGGACAAGACCTGCTAAGAAAAACAAAGAACTTATTTATGTATGCTATAACAGCGGCAAGAGTCTTGATAGCAGAAGGATGGAAGAATGAGGAAAGCCCAATGAAAGAACAGTGGCAAGAAAAATTGATGAGTTATGCAGAACTGGCTAAATTGACATACAAACTGTGGGACAAGGACAACTGTGACTTTAAGGAAGAATGGGAGCTTTTTACAATTTATCTAAAAAGACAACATAACAAATTGGATTCCTTGGCAAGTTTTAAATAAAAATACACAAATTTATTGGTTGATAACATGGTAGATAGACAATGTAAGGATATGTATAATTTTATAACATGCAGAGAATAATATGTGCTGAGAAATCAGAGAGAGGAGCTGAGGGAGGGAGGGAGGGAGGGTTTGAAGGGGGGTGGGAAAAAAGGGGAAAAAATAATGAATACGATATGTTTTGATAATTTGTTATGTTGAAATTGTTAATAAAAACTTTAAAAAAATATAGACATGAAAGCATGGGAACGATTGTGGAATATGGATATAATATTTACAGCATGCTATGGTCTAAGAGAAAATTACATGAAAATTATCGTTGGTATCTAACACCGAGTAAACTGGCAAAAATGTATAAATCTAAATCAAACAAGTGTTGGAAATGTAAAGAGAAAGAAGGTTCTTTTTATCATATGTGGTGGTCTTGTAGTGAGGTTCAAGCTTACTGGGAAATGATATATAATGAATTGAAAAGGATGTTCAAAATAACTTTTGTAAAAAAACCCAGAAGCTTTTCTTTTGGGGATTATAGGTGCAGAACTACCTAAATTGTACAGAAATTTAATAATGTATGCTACTACAGCAGCAAGACTATTACTCGCCCCAAAATGGAAAGAAGCAGAAGTCCAAGCAAAGGAAAATAGATACAGAAACTTACAGAATATATGCAGAAATGGCAAAACTTACCAGAAGCGTAAGAGATCAAGATAACAAACTTTTTATAAAAGAATAGGGTATTTATTTTTTGACTATTTACAGATAAATTGCAAACAGATAAAAACATTGGTAGGGTTATTGTAATAACCTGCAGTTTCATAAGACTACAGTGGACGCTCGGGTTGTGAACATGATCTGTGCAGGATGCACGTTCGCAACCCGCAGTGTTCGCAACCCGTGTCTGCGCGTCTACGCACGGGTTGTGATTTGGCACTTCTGCGCATGTGCAAAGTGCAATTTAGCGCTTCTGCACATGCACGACTGCTGAAACCCAGAAGTAACCTGTTCTGGTACTTCCGGGTTTCGGCGGTCCGCAACCCGAAAAAACGCAACCTGAAGCAGTTGTAACCCAAGGTATGACTGTATATATTTAAAGCAGATGGATAAATGAGCAAACTAAGTTAATTTGGATATGCAGAAGATATTAAAAAATAAATTTAAGGAAACACAGAAAGAGGGGGAAGGAAAAGTCTTAAAATGTCCAAATGATTGTGTGATGGGATGATGAGCTGCTTGTGCGTAAAATCGTATCCCCTCAGAGTTTGTTCAAGTCCACAAACCTCTGTCTGTGTGGAGCCCCTCAGACATGGCTCCTCTAGTCACTAGCAGATTCCGACAGTGGTTGCTTTCGTACTCGCTTCCAACATAAAAGCTCCTTAACGGAAACACGTCTTCTGGACTCTCTGCGTGACAGTTTCCGGCGAGGAGTGGGTGTTCTTACAGGAGGTCCTGAAACCTCCCCACTGTTTTCGCTGGAAGTGTCTCTGAGCCATCCCTCCAGCTCACTTTCCCTCAGCTCAGCTCCTCTCCCCCTGCTGGTTCCCTCTTCAGCTGCTGAGTCTCTCCCACCCTGTGTGAGCCCTTTCACCTCCCTGCTGGTTCCCTCTTCAGCTGCTGAGTCTCTCCCAACCTGTGTGAGCCCTTTCACCTCCCTTCCGTCCGATGGCAGTTCCCTGACATCCACCTCCCCTCCAGGGCCCCCTTCACCCCCTCTCGCCCCCTCCTCTACGGGCGGTGAGGAGGCAAAACCCGGAATGAACTTCCTTCATCTTCCGATGTCTCGAACACTTCTCTCCACCTGTTGCGGTTCCTGGTCTCGAAGTACTCCTCCTCCTCAGAGTCCATCTCCCCTTCCCCTTCCGAGTCCGGGAATCCTTCCAACTCCTCCCCCTCATCAGTGGTCCCAAAGTATTCCCTCCGGAACCTCTCCACAGGCTGAGGTTTCCTTGGGAACCTTTGATGGAACGTTTCTATCAATACCTCGTCATTGATATCTTCGGCCATTACCCAAGTGTTTTCTGACTCCGGTTCTCCTTCCCACGCTACCAAATACTCCACCTGATCCCCCTTCCACCTGGCGTCGAGGATTTCTGCCACATGGCTGCTGCATTCTCTTTCTTCTATGACCGGTCCCAGTGGCCATCCCTTCTCGTCCCCCTTCGTACGGTGACAGTAACGACCTGTGAAATACTGGGTGCAGTTTCATGTGGTTGGGTAACCGGAGCCTGAAAGCCACTGGGTTGACCTGTTGAATGACCTCAAAGGGACCCAACCTCCTGGGTCTTAATTTCTTACAACCTCCTTTGAGCGGCAGCCCTTGGGTTGACAGCCACACCCTATCTCCCACCCTTATGGTTTCACCTTCCCTTCGGTTCTTGTCTGCCTGCCTCTTGTATTCTTCCTTCGCCCTTTCTAAGTTGAGTTGGAGCTGACGATGGATTGCTTCCATTTCTTCCACAAAATGCTCGGCTGCCGGGACGCTCCATCTCTCCCCATCTCCCCCAGGGAAAGCCCTGGGATGACACCCATAATTAGCCAAGAAGGGGCTCATCCCTGTGGACACATTCTCGGCATTGTTGTAGGCAAATTCCGCCAGCGCCAACTTTTCTACCCAGTCATTCTCTCTGTCATTGACATAACACCTCAGGTATTGCTGGAGGACACCGTTTGCTCTTTCCGCCTGCCCGTTGGTTTCAGGGTGCCGGGCAGTCGAAAAATTGACCTCCACCTGCAGTAAGCTCATGAGCTTCCTCCAGAACCTGGAAGTAAATTGTTTTCCTCGGTCTGAGACCACCCTCAATGGCACCCGTGCAACCTAAAAATGTGTTCTACAAATAACTTCGCTGTCTCTTCCGCCGTGACTGCATGCGAGCAAGCTACAAAGTGGCACATCTTTGTTAGTAGGTCTACCACCACCATGATGGCTGTTTTCCCTTTGGACTTCGGCAGATCAGTCATAAAATCTATCGACACTGCCTCCCAAGGTCGTTCTGGGGTTGGTAAGGGTTCTAATAGCCCCGCCGGCGCCCGCCTTTCCCCTTTGGCTCGCTGGCATTGCTCGCACCCTCTTACATACTCACGTACATCTTCCCTCACCTTAGGCCACCAAAATTCCCTGGTGACCAACCACATGGTTTTGTGTTGTCCAAAATGCCCCGCCGTAGGGCTGTCGTGCAACTGCTTGAGTACCCTCCCCTTAAGTCTCCTTCAGGGATATACAGTGCCCCTTTGTAATACAAAGCTCCATTTCTTTCCTCGAAACCCCTGGTTCCTCTCCCTCACCCCTAAGACCTCTGAGCTTATTCTGGGCGTATTCATCATTCTCTGTTTCCTCTACCAGTTCTCTTTGTCCCACCAATGCCGCCCCACACACCCAGCGGTCCTCTGGAATGACATGTCTCTCTTCGGGTGCTCCCCCCCCTCCAAATATTCAGGTTTGCGTGAGAGAGCGTCCGCCCTAATGTTCTCTGGGCCTGGCACGTAACAAATCTCAAAGTTAAATTTGGAGAACTCCTGGGCCCATCTCACTTGCCGTTGGTTGAGCACTCGTGCCGTCCTCCAATACTCTAGGTTCTTGTGGTCAGTGCACACTTGCACCTTATGTTGTGCGCCAATTAGCAGGTGCCTCCATCTCCGGAACGCCTCATGAATGGCTAGTAGTTCTCGGTCATACACCGTGTAGTTCCTCTCGGATTTGTTCAGCTTTCGCGAAAAAAAGGCACACGGTCTCCACTCTGACTCCTTCTTCCCTGGCTGCAGAAGCACCGCCCCAATCGCTCTGTCTGATGCGTCAGTTTCCACTCTCATCGGTTTTTGTAAATCCACATGCAGGAGTTGTTGTTCCGAGGCGAAGGCCCTTCTTAGTTCCTCAAATGCTCGCTCCGCCTCCTCAGTCCAAACGAACTTCTTCTTACTGCTGAGACAGTCCGTAATGGGCGCCGTCAGGTGGGCAAAGTTTCGGATGAACTTACGATAGAAGTTCCCAAATCCTAGGAACCTCTGCACATCCTTCCTTGTTTTGGGTGTTTTCCATTCCAGCACCGCCTGGACCTTGCCGGGATCCATGGCCAATCCCTTGTCTGACAGGCGATACCCCAGGAATTCCACCTCCTTGGTATGAAACTGACACTTCTCCAGTTTCACCCACAGCTGGTTGGCTTGCAGCCTGCTCAACACTTCTCTGACGTCTCTCACATGCTGCTCCTCATTCTCAGAATACACCAACACGTCGTCTAAAAGGCCACACAATTCTTGTAAAGCAAAGGCCCCAGGACGTGGTTCATAAACGATTGAAATGTTGCGGAGCCTGCTTGTAGGCCGAAGGGCATAACCAAATATTCAAATGCCCCTAAAGGGGTGAACATAGTGGTTTTCCATTCATCCCCCCTTCCTTATTCGTACCAGGTTGTACGCCCCCCTTAGGTCCAGCTTTGTGAAAATCTTTCCCTTCCGCACCCTTGTCAAAATGTCGTCAATCCTGGGCATAGGGAAGGCCACTGGTTCTGACACTGCATTTAAGGCCCTGAAGTCACACACCAGCCTCGGCTTGTTCGTGTTTTTTATCCACAAAAACACTGGGCTGCCCCCACCGCCCTGGACTCTCTGATGAACCCTCTCTTCAGGTTCTTGTCAATGAACTCTCTTAGCTCCTGCATCTCTCTGTCTGACATGGCGTACAGCTTGCCTACAGGGAGCTGTGCTCCAGGGAGTAAATTGATTTGACAGTCAAAGGGTCTATGCGGGGGTAGTTGGTCAGCTTCCCTTTCGCTGAAGACGTCACGGAGATCTGCATATTGTCGTGGTACCTTCACGTTCTCCGTTACTTCAGTCCCTGCTAGGGTGGCTTGGGCCCCTGCCAAACCCTTTCCCTCTTTGCAGTGTTCTAAGCAATGTGCTGAACCAAAAGAAACCACTCTCTGATGCCAGCCCACCAGCGGATCATGTAACGCTAGCCAGCTCATCCCCAATATAATGGGAGCTCCTCCCAAGGTGGCCACATTAAAAGCTATCAGTTCGGTGTGCCTTGCTACCTTCATTATCATTGGGACGGTCTGCAAGCTGACTTCTCCTCCCAACAGCTCCCTGCCATCGATCGTGGTCACCTGCAGGGGGTTGCTTAAAGGAATCGTCTGTATCTGGTGTTCAGCTGCAAACTCTTTGCTCATGAAATTGCAGGAGCTGCCTGAGTCCAACAGCGCCTTTATCTTTAGAGGGTGTCCGTTTGGCAGCTCTAGCGTCACTTCTATCACTAGGGCGGGTTTAGGAGGTTCTGGCGTGGGCACTCTCACTGCTCTTTGGCCTGGCTGCTGTGCCCCGACAGTGGCAGCCAGGCGTTGGCTTTTACTTGCTCCGGTATTTCTTCCTCTCTTCCATCCACAGCTCCTACCATCCCTTGCCATTCCTTCCTCTGGGGGCAGACTCTGGCAAAGTGACCTGGCTGTTGGCAGAGATAGCATTTCCGGGCGCCTTTTCCCTCCTTCTTTCCCCCTCACTGGGCTTTGAAACTGCGCGCGCGCGCTGTTCCGATTTCCATCGGCTCTGCCGGCGGGAAAGTTGGCTCTGGAATGTCTGGAATGCGGAACTCCTTCCAACGTTCCCCTTTCCCTTCCCGCCTCTCCAATGCTCTCGCCTCCTGGCGCGCTCCTATGGTCAGCGCTGATTTGGTCAGCTGGTCCATAGACTCCGCCCTGGGCGCCCGGGAAAGTTCGTCTTTCACAGCCGAAGAAAGCCCTTCTTCAAAGAGCATTTGAATGGGTTCCGCCGATAAGTCCCACCCCAATCTGTGAACCAGCATGGTGAACTCAGTCCAGTACTCACGGACAGATCGGCTCCCCTGTTTGCAAGCCATTAACTGTCTGCGCACCACTCCCTGTTCAATATCGCTGGAAAACATCAGATCCATGGCGCGAAAGAACTTCATCGTGTCCTTTAGGACGTCACTATTCGCTGCCATCAGGGGTCTAACCCAGTCTCTCGCCCCCTTTTCAAGATGCTCAATCACGAAAGCCACTCGTGATTCCTCGTCAGGGAATTCATCAAACTGCAGATTGAGGGCATATTGCATCTCTGTCCGAAAGCCATGATAGTCTTTGGGCTCCCCCCCAAACTTCTGCACCAATCCTGGTACCTTTCTGGCGAGCTGGGTGGCTTTCCCCTTTGTCTGCATCCTGAGCCCTCCTCTCCTCAAGCCTCGCCGTCTGCATCGCTAGCTGGACCTCCAACACCCGGTACCTTTCTTCCAGGCTTGGACCCGCTCCAGCTCCTGCTTCTCCGGTTCCGGCTGGGTTGCTCATGATGCCTTCTCCTGCACAAGCTGCTTTCAAAGACTGTCGGAATGCTGTGATGGGATGATGAGCTGCTTGTGCGTAAAATCGTATCCCCTCAGAGTTTGTTCAAGTCCACAAACCTCTGTCTGTGACGGAGCCCCTCAGACATGGCTCCTCTAGTCACTAGCAGATTCCGACAGTGGTTGCTTTCGTAATCGCTTCCAACATAAAAGCTCCTTAACGGAAACACGTCTTCTGGACTCTCTGCGTGACAGTTTCCGGCGAGGAGTGGGTGTTCTTACAGGAGGTCCTGAAACCTCCCCACTGTTTTCGCTGGAAGTGTCTCTGAGCCATCCCTCCAGCTCACTTTCCCTCAGCTCAGCTCCTCTCCCCCTGCTGGTTCCCTCTTCAGCTGCTGAGTCTCTCCCAACCTGTGTGAGCCCTTTCACCTCCCTGCTGGTTCCCTCTTCAGCTGCTGAGTCTCTCCCAACCTGGGCAAAAATAATGAATATGATATATTTTGATAATTTGTTATGTTGAAATTGTTAATAAAAACTTTTTTAAAAATATAGACATGAAAGCATGGGAACGATTGTGGAATATGGATATAAAATTTACAGCATGCTATGGTCTAAGAGAAAATTACATGAAAATTATCGTCGGTATCTAACACCAAGTAAACTGGCAAAAACGTATAAATCTAAATCAAACAAGAGTTGGGAATGTAAAGAGAAAGAAGGTTCTTTTTATCATATGTGGTGGTCTTGTAGTGAGGTTCAAGCTTACTGGGAAATGATATATAATGAATTGAAAAGGATGTTCAAAATAACTTTTGTAAAAAAACCCAGAAGCTTTTCTTTTGGGGATTATAGGGGCAGAACTACCTAAATTGTACAGAAATTTAATAATGTATGCTACTACAGCAGCAAGACTATTACTCGCCCCAAAATGGAAAGAAGCAGAAGTCCAAGCAAAGGAAAATAGATACAGAAACTTACAGAATATATGCAGAAATGGCAAAACTTACCAGAAGCGTAAGAGATCAAGATAACAAACTTTTTATAAAAGAATAGGGTATTTATTTTTTGACTATTTACAGATAAATTGCAAACAGATAAAAACATTGGTAGGGTTATTGTAATAACCTGCAGTTTCATAAGACTACAGTGGACGCTCGGGTTGTGAACATGATCTGTGCAGGATGCACGTTCGCAACCCGCAGTGTTCGCAACCCGTGTCTGCGCGTCTACGCACGGGTTGTGATTTGGCACTTCTGCGCATGTGCAAAGTGCAATTTAGCGCTTCTGCACATGCACGACTGCTGAAACCCAGAAGTAACCTGTTCTGGTACTTCCGGGTCTCGGCGGTCCGCAACCCGAAAAAACGCAACCTGAAGCAGTTGTAACCCAAGGTATGACTGTATATATTTAAAGCAGATGGATAAATGAGCAAACTAAGTTAATTTGGATATGCAGAAGATATTAAAAATAAATTTAAGGAAACACAGAAAGAGGGGGAAGGAAAAGTCTTAAAATGTCCAAATGATTGTGTGATGGGATGATGAGCTGCTTGTGCGTAAAATCGTATCCCCTCAGAGTTTGTTCAAGTCCACAAACCTCTGTCTGTGACGGAGCCCCTCAGACATGGCTCCTCTAGTCACTAGCAGATTCCGACAGTGGTTGCTTTGTAATCGCTTCCAACATAAAAGCTCCTTAACGGAAACACGTCTTCTGGACTCTCTGCGTGACAGTTTCCGGCGAGGAGTGGGTGTTCTTACAGGAGGTCCTGAAACCTCCCCACTGTTTTCGCTGGAAGTGTCTCTGAGCCATCCCTCCAGCTCACTTTCCCTCAGCTCAGCTCCTCTCCCCTGCTGGTTCCCTCTTCAGCTGCTGAGTCTCTCCCAACCTGTGTGAGCCCTTTCACCTCCCTGCTGGTTCCCTCTTCAGCTGCTGAGTCTCTCCCAACCTGTGTGAGCCCTTTCACCTCCCTTCCGTCCGATGGCAGTTCCCTGACAGATTGTAAAGTCAGTGAAATGTATATATCTGAAAAGTATAAATAAAATTTAAAAAATGTCTTAATTCATACCACTTTAAGCAGCTGGGAGTACTTCTTGCTTGTACAGTGGTACCTTGGGTTACATACGCTTCAGGTTACCCAGAAATAGTGCTTCAGGTTAAGAACTTTGCTTCAGGATGAGAACAGAAATCGTGCTCTGGCGGCGCAGCAGCAGGAGGCCCCATTAGCTAAAGTGGTGCTTCAGGTTAAGAACAGTTTCAGGTTAAGAACAGACATCCGGAACGAATTAAGTTCTTAACCCGAGGTACCACTGTACTCATATTCCACCTTTTCCCCAAGGAGGTCAAGTTGACACGCATAGTTTTCCATTTAATCTCAACAACAACAACCCTGCGAGGTTGGGCTGAGAGGCAGAGACTGGCTCCCAAGTTCACCCAGCGAGCTTCATTATGGCTGAGTGGGGGATTCGAACTCTGGTCTCGCTGGTCCTTGTTTGGCACTCTAACCCAGCGGTTCTCACCTGCAGCCTGACTTTGGCCGTGTCCAAGGGGAAGGTGAAGAGGTCAGCAATGCAGGCAGCCGTCCCGGCGCTGAGAAACTTGACAGTTGCTGAGGGGGGGATGTCCGTGGGCTTCAAGCCGACCATCGTGCCACTGTTGACGGAGGCGTTTCAGCCCTGGAAAATGTCCGCGAACACCGAGAAGGAGGCTTTGCCGTCCTTGGCAATATAGATGAGCCTGGGGAGGGGAAATGAATCTTCATAAATCCTGTCCTTTCTCACTGTCATGTCCAATTCATGACCTTGAAAGCCCTAAACCACGCATAGGCAAACTCGGCCGTCCAGATGTTTTGGGACTACAACTCCCATCATCCTTAGGTAACAGGGCCAGTGGTCAGGGATGATGGGAGTTGTAGTCCCAAAACATCTGGAGGGCAGAGTTTGCCTATGCCTGCCCTAAACGGCCTCGGCCCAGTATACCTGAAGGAGCATCTCCACGCCCATCGTCCGGCCCGGACACTGAGGTCCAGCTCTGAGGGCCTTCTGGCGGTTCCCTCCCTGCGAGAAGTAAGGTGACAGGGAACCAGGCAGTGGGCCTTCTCGGTGGTGGCCCCTGCCCTGTGGAACGCCCTCCCATCAGATGTCAAGGAAATAAACAACTATCAGACTTTTGGAAGACATCTGAAGGCAGCCCTGATTAGGAAAGTTTTTAATGTTTGATGTTTTATTGTGTTTTTAATATTCTGTTATGGGACGCGGGTGGCACTGTGGGTTAAACCACAGAGCCTAGGACTTGCCGATCAGAAGGTCAGCGGCTCAAATCCCTGTGACGGGGTGAGCTCCCATTGCTTGGTCCCTGCTCCTGCCAACCTAGCAGTTCAAAAGCACATCAAAGTGCAAGTAGATAAATAGGTACTGCTCCAGCGGGAAGGTAAACGGCGTTTCCGTGCGCTGCTCTGGTTCGCCAGAAGCGGCTGAGTCATGCTGGCCACATGACCCGGAAGCTGTACGCCGGCTCCCTCAGCCAATAAAGCGAGATGAGCACTGCAACCCCAGAGTCGTCCGCGACTGGACCTAATGGTCAGGGGTCCCTTTACCTTTGATATTCTGTTGGAAGCCAGCCAGAGTGGCTGGGGAAACCCAGCCAGATGGGCGAGGTATAAATAAATCATCACCATCATCATCATCATCATCATCATCACTGAATGGATAACAGTCCACACATATTGAGAGCCGAAGAAGTGACTCCTGGATCTGCAAAATGGCCAGTCTAGACCAGCATCCTGTTCTCACAGTAGCCAACAGGGAACCCACAAGCAAGATTCGAACACAAGACTCGTCTCCCCTCCTGTGGTTTCCAGCAACTGGGGTCCAGACGCATTACTGCTTCCAGCTGTGGAGGCAGAGCAGAGCTACTGTGACTTGTAGCCATTGAGAGCCCTCTCTCCTCCATGAATTTGTCTCTAGGCTTTTGCTTATGACTGCTTCCTGTGGCAGCGAGTTCTCCAGTTATCTAGCAGGATTGTTGGTAGACCTGATATCAACAACATTGTGATGGCCTGGCATTCGGACTCGGAGGCTGAACCTGAGGAATCCCAGCCTGCACAGGAGTCCCCGCCTCCAGAACCAGCTGAGGGAATGAGCCTGAAGGGTCCTCACCTGTGCTGGATCCTCAGGTGCAGGCATCAGCTGAGTCTGCTCTGGCCCCTGAGGTGATGGAGGACCCATTGCCTGCAGGTGCTTCACTCTCAGCCCCGTCAGAGGAAGCTGAGGTTGCCTCTGGGTCCAGTAACCCTCCAGCCTCTCCTGAGCTGCAGAGGCTCAGGGCAGAGAGGCGGAGGGAACTAAGTTCCCGCAGGAGGAGTGCTCGCCTCCAGGCCAGGAGAGGCAAGTCACCTGTGGACCGGGGCCACCCTATGCCTCGGGGCAGATAAAAGCCAGCCAGCCCCAGTCCCAGGTTGCGGGAGCAACATTGTTGGTAGCCTGTTCCTGCCTGCACCCTGTCCTGCTCTTCTGCCAGAGTTCCTGACCTCACCCGACTCCCTGCCTTGGACCCAGCTTCAGCTTTGACGGACAGCCTCCATACCGCACCCTTGACCTCGGACTGGACTTGGACCTTGCCGCACGGTTAACCCTTGTTACCAGCACAAACATAAAACTAAAACCAAAACAGACACCAGTAGACCACTGTGGGGTGTATACTCTTCCTTGCCTGCGTAGGCCTGGCAGAATAGAAAAGTTTCCTGCAGGCGTTTTAAAGTTGGCACAGGAGGTGTCTGCTGAATCTCTAGTGCCAGCATGTTCCACAGGACTGGGTCAATCGCCCAATATACCAGAATACCTGAAGGAGCGTCTCCACCCCCATCGTTCAGCCCGGACACTGAGGTCCAGCTCCAAGGGCCTTCTGGCGGTTCCCTCCCTGCGAGAAGTGAGGTTACAGGGAAGCAGGCAGAGGGCCTTCTCGGTGGTGGCGCCCTCCCTGCAGATCTCAAGGAGATAAAGAACTATACAACCTTTTGAAGACATCTGAAGGTAGCCCTGTAAAGTGGATGCTGGGGTTGCGAATGTGATCTGTGCGGGAAGCACATTTGCAACTTGCAGCACCGTGTTCACACATGCGTGGGTTGCGATTCGGTGTTACTGTGCATGCGCAAAGCGCGATTTAGCGTTTCTGCGCATGCACATGCGCCAAAACCCGGAAGTAACCAGTTCCAGTACTTCCGGGTTCAGCGCAGTGCGCAACCCAAAATCGTGCAACCTGAAGTGTCTGTAACCTGAGGTATGACTGTATTGAGAAGTTTTTAGTGTTTGACGTTTTAGTACAGTATGTTTTATATGTGCTGGAAGCTGCCAAGAGTGGCTGGGGAAACCCAGCCTGATGGGTGGGGTATAAATAATAAAATTATGATTATTATCATTGCCTTACAACAATGTGTTATTTTATTGTTGGAAAGAGGGAGAAAGGAAGAAGGGGAACAAGGAGGATGGGAAGAATTGTTATGACAAAATGTGCTTCTCACATGCCAAATCATTTAATCTCTGGGCAAGGTGGAACTTGTAGGGTGACGGGAAACAACAGAAACTAGCCTGAGCTTGAGGGCCAGTAATTTAAGCCAGCAACTATTTGCATGAAGACTCCTGGAACGTACCTGAGAATTAAGACCGCTTGCCAAGCCTGGGAAATGAAATATTTTGCCAGTTCTGAGTGCTAAGAGAATTTTGGAGAGAAACAAACTGGATGTTGCAGACGGCAGCAAGAGTTGGGGGTCGTTTTAGGGGGAATTAACAATATTAGTTGCGTGAAGCTGGCGTTGCCCAAACGTTTGCTTCTCAAATGCTCCCACTTCATAGCTGCTTAGCACGTGTTGCAAAAAAGCGAATTATGACAGATGTAAAGACATCTTAACTTCCCAGTGCCTTTCTAAAGCGTCATGGCTTCTGAAAGGTTGCTGTGAATTCCGACTGTGTTGGAAGTTGGAGGAGAAGGTAATTATTGAACCAATGAAGTGCCCCTAGCCCAGCAGCCTAGTCTAACAGTGGGAAGCTTGGAAGCAGGATCTGAGCACAAGAGCAACTCTCCCCTCCTGTGGTTTCCACAGTTTAACCATTCGCTGCTTGAAAAAGGACTTTTTGGGGGTGGGGAACTGACTGCTTTGAGAAGGCTGGTGCCATGCTGCTTTTATTGGTATGGCTTTAACAGATTTTTATATATGTGTATCGTTTTAATTCTATCAGTGTTTAATTGCTTTTCAATTATTGTTTTCCCCTCTGTTTTCAGCAGTTCTTATTTTTATCTATAAGCTGCCCTGAAAAGACCCCGATGTTGGGAAAGATGGAGGGCACAAGGAGAAGGGGACAACAGAGGACGAGATGGTGGGACAGTGTTCTCAAAGCTACCAGCATGAGTTTGACCAAACTGCGGGAGGCAGTGGAAGACAGGAGGGCCTGGCGTGCTCTGGTCCAGGGGGTCACGAACAGGCGGACAGGACTAAACAACTAAACAACAACAATTTTCCCAGTAGTGATGTATGGAAATGAGAGATGGACCATAAAGAAGGCTGATCGCCGAAGAATGGATGCTTTTGAATTCTGATGCTGGAGGAGACTCTTGAGAGTCCCATGGTCTGCAAGAAGATCAAACCGATCCATTCTGAAGGAAATCAGCCCTGAGTACTCACTGGAAGGACAGATCCTGAAGCTGATGCTCCAAGACTTTGGCCACCTCATGAGAAGAGAAGACTCCCTGGAAAAGACCCTGGTGCTGGGAAAGATGGAGGGCACAAGGAGAAGGGGACGACAGAGGACAAGATGGTTGGACAGTGTTCTCAAAGCTACAAACATGAGTCTGACCAAACTGCGGGAGGCAGTGGAAGACAGGAGTGCCTGGCGTGCTCTGGTCCAGGGGGTCACAAAGAGTCGGACATGACTAAACGACTAAACGACAACATGAATCCACTACCTTTCCTTCCAGCTCTGAATCTTGTGATCTCAATCCCGTTGTGGGGGATGCCATGGCACAATTCAAAGATGCTCTGTTATTCAGAAAACTGTCCCAAAGCTTCCGCTAAGGCCCTGATCCAGTGACAATCAGAATCATAGAAGTGTAGAGATGGAAGGAACCCAAGGAGTCAGCTAGTCCATGGGTAGGCAAACTAAGGCCTGGGGGCCGGATCCGGCCCAATCACCTCCTCAATCTGGCCCGCGGACGGTCCAGGAATCAGCTTTTTTTTACATGAGTAGAATATGTCCTTTTATCTAAAATGCATCTCTGGGTTATTTGTGGGCCATAGGAATTCGTTCATTTCCCACCCCCACCCCCCAAAAAATATAGTCCAGCCCTCACAAGGTCTGAGGGACAGTGGACCAGCCCCCTGCTGAAAAAGTTTGCTGACCCCTGATCTAGTCCAACCCCACTGCAATGCAGGAATCACTGCTAAGTCCCATTAAAAGTCCCAGTAAAAGGAATTCAAAGAAAGTTTGTTGCTAAATGAGTCCAAGGTCTGAAATCACCCACAAAGCGAGTGCATGCGTAATACGGCAGCTTCTCATTCTCTAGTGCAGGCATGGCCAAACTTGGCCCTCCAGATGTTTTGGGACTACAACTCCCATCATCCCTAACTAACAGGTCAGGGATGATGGGAGTTGTAGTCCCAAAACATCTGGAGGGCTGAGTTTGGCCATGCCTTCTCTAGTGCAACTTTTGCCAGCCTGGTGCCTCCCAGCACAGCTGCCTGCGGCTGATGGGAGGTTGTCTTCCAAAACATCTGTAGGACACCAGGTTGGCAAAGGCATCTGCTCAAGTGCTAGAAGTAATAATAATAATAATAGTAATAATAATAATAATAATATATTACTGGGTTTCCTCAGCCACTTTGGGCGGCTCCCAACAAGAGATTAAAAACACATTAAAACATCAGTGATTAAAAACTTCCCTAAACAGGGCTGCCTTCAGATGTCTTCTAAAAGTCAGGTAGTTGTTTATTTCCTTGACATCTGATGGGAGGGTGTTCCACAGGGCAGGCGCCACTACTGAGAAGGCCCTCTGGCTGGTTCCCTTGTAACTTTGCTTCTCGCAAAGAAGACCTTTCAATCCAGCCAGTGCTATTTTTCTAGAAAAAGAGGTGCCGGAACTCACTACGAACGCCACCTTTGCTCTCTTATAATGGCAACGGCATAGGGACGCGGGTGGCACTGTGGGTTAAACAACAGAGCCTAGGGCTTGCCGATCAGAAGGTCGGTGGTTTGAATCCCCGCGACGGGGTGAGCTCCCGTTGCTCAGTCCCTGCTCCTGCCAACCTAGCAGTTCGAAAGCAGGTCCAAGTGCAAGTAGATAAATAGGTACCACTCCGGCGGGAAGGTAAACGGTGTTTCTGTGCGCTGCCCTGGTTCACCAGAAGCGGCTTAGTCATGCTGGCCACATGACCTGGAAGCTGTACGCCGGCTCCCTTGGCCAATAAAGCAAGATGAGCGCCGCAACCCCAAAGTCGGCCACGACTGGACCTAATGGTCAGGGGACCTTTAATGGCAACAGCGCCCACCTGAGAGATGCCATAACAAAAAAGTCCTGAACAAAAAAGCCCTGAAACTGGCCAACCAACTCCATGCAAACAAAGATAACCAGAAAAAACCCACACACCTTACTTGGCCCCAGATGTTTTCTGCTTGAATCCCTTTGTGGGCTGATCCGTAGGCGTTCCTGCCGAAAGGCGGTGATGTGAATTTTGCAGAGAAAAGTATTACTAAATCAGGGGGTTGGATCGACAGCCTAGGAATCGCAGCAGCAGCGAATGTTACGTTCAGCTCAACCATCTGCTGCTCACGAAGCTACTCTGTCATCGAGACTCTCATTTATAAGATTTGCCGCGGTTGGCATTTCAGCAGGGAGCAGACGGGTGAAAACAGAGATCGGGTCTCCTCGGGTCAGTCAGTTCAAGAAGAGCACATGCCCCAGTCGCCATGTCCTCATGTGAATTAAAATAGAAACGGGCGACTTCTGTTTGGTAATATCCCTGGTGGTGGTGGGGTGTACTATTTGTGGTAAAAGGTAAAGGTAAAGGGACCCCTGACCATTAGGTCCAGTCGTGAGCGACTCTGGGGTTGCGGCGCTCATCTCGCTTTATTGGCCGAGGGAGCCGGCATACAGCTTCCGGGTCATGTGGCCAGCATGACTAAGCCGCTTCTGGCGAACCAGAGCAGCGCACGGAAACACTGTTTACCTTCCCGCCGGAGTGGTACCTATTTATCTACTTGCACTTGGACGTGCTTTCGAACTGCTAGGTTGGCAGGAGCAGGGACCGAGCAATGGGAGCTCACCCCGTCATGGGGATTCGAACCGCCGACCTTCTGATCGGCAAGTCCTAGGCTCTGTGGTTTAACCCATAGCGCCACCCAGTAAAAAGCCATGTCCCACTAGAGATGCAATGAGGTTGAGGGTACGTTCTATCATGTGTGGCGGACTTGTAAAAGAGTAAAAAAAAGATAATTGGGAAATAATTCATAATGAATTGAAAAAGAATGTTTAAAAGTACTTCCCCCCCCAAAAAAAAACAGAGTACTTTTTGTTGGGGATAATTCAGATTGAAATTCCCAGGTGTCAAAAACGGTTTTTTATGTATGCCACTAACGCTGCCTCTGTTTTGCTAACGCAAAAATGGAAAACGAGTGAGGTCCCAACCAAAGAAGAATGGCAACTTAAACTGAAAGAATATGCGTGGCTTGCAGACTTAGCATATAGAATAAGAGAACAAGAAGAATATATGTTTCAAGAAGACTGGAAAATGTTTATTGAATATATCGGGGGGGGAATTGTTCACACTTGAAAACGTTGGCAGCATTAAGATAAATTCGACAGTGTAAATCAGGCAAAGGCAAACTCGGCCCTCCAGATGTTTTGGGACTACAGTTCCCATCATCCTTAGCTAACAGGCCCAGTGATCAGGGATGATGGGAGTTGTAGTCCCAAAACATCTGGAGGGCTGAGTTTGCCTATGCCTAGTGTAAATAAGTTTTAATGGATATAATAATGGAAAACTGAATGGTTTAGTTTATGTAAAACACGCAGGGATTTAGGGTATGCAAAATGAACCACGGAAAGAGAAGAAGGGAGGGAAGCCATTGATATTTTAAGGTTGTTTAAATGAATATTCTAAAATGCAAAACAGAAAAAATTAATAAAAAGTATACCAAAAAAAAAAAAGTCCCCAACACAGGAGCCTGGCTTGCAAATGTATCTGCGGAGAGAGTAGGACCCCATTACTGCTTACAACCCCGCTTTTAACCTTACAAAGCGATTTAAAGTCTGGTTGTGCTTGCCATAGCTGTCAACTTACAGATTTGAAAATAAGGGATCAGCAGCCAAAATAAGGGATCAACAATTACTTTGATAAAATACATATTTTTGTGTGCAAAATGGCTTTAAATACCTATTAGGTCCTATAAATTGCCATATAGCATATATTCAACACAAAAAAACAGCAACAATTTGTTGTTGACAAAGCACAGCTGGAAAAAGAAAGGGCCCCATTACCTTCAGTAGCTTATTTAAGGGTCATTATCAATAAGGGACAGCAGCGGGACATGGCCCTGGGATAAGGGACTGTCCCGCCAAATAAGGGACGCTTGACAGCTATGGTGCTTGCCCTTACAACAGCCTTGCAAGGTAGGACCCCGCTGTTCCCATTTTACAGATAGCTGTGACTCCTGCACTGCAAGGGGGCACTGGATGGGCCCCTTCCAGCTCTGCAGTCCCAAAAGTCTACGCTAGCAAGCTCCTCCAAATAATCAGGTTTTTTGGGGGAGGATTTTTCCTGATTTGCTTGCACAAAGTTTACGAGGAGATTAGCAGCGACAGGCGTTTATCTCGTGTCCTCACTTGACCTGGGGAACTTGTTATAAGCTTTGCAGAGGGAGCCCAGCTCTCCTACGTAACTTTGCCGACGACTCCGAAGTTTACGTCCCCCCTGTTTCCTTGTAAACCGAGGACCTGGTGGTCCGGTCTGGATATTGGCGCATTAAAAATAGATACTGACAAACATTGAGAGGACCTGGAATTTGACGAGGGCCTGGGGCTGCCCACCTGCTCTTCTGCTATTTAGAGAAGCCGCTTCCGTGAAACGAGCGAGGGAACTGTGGCCTTTGCACCAGATAGTTCATGTGTGTCATGTGTTGTTTTTTTTGGGGGGGGGGTCACATGCTGCAGCTTCTTTTGCAATTAGGGCAAATTGCTTGCAGGCCACTGATTGAGACGTCTAATCGCTAGTTCAGGGACGTTGTTCAGTTTTGACAGACAGCAGAGCTTGGAGGTATAACAGCCCTGTGGATTTACTGGGATCTGTTATGTGGCAAGTAGCCCTTGCGCCACCTCTTGGTTCCAACCTCACAAGGATCAAATCTGCTGCAATTTTGGGTATCTAACACCAACCCAACTTGCTAAAATGTACAGGACAAGAACTAAAGCGTGTTGGAAATGTAAAGGAAAGGAAGGAAGCTTCAATCACATGAGGCGGAACCGTAAAGAGGTAAAAGCTTACTGGGAAATGATATATAATGATTTAAAGAAAATGTTTTTGCTATGTTAACGGAGAAATCTGAGGGCTCCCTTGGACAAAAAACAAGGACACCAGCCAGGAATACCAGAGCAAAACAGCAGCCAGTAGGCTTGGTCTTTATTGAAGACTGTCGTGACAGGACACCCACCTGCCACAAGGTGGAACAAGATGGAAGCCCTGAACAAAAGAGCCCCCAAACTTTTATTAGCTGCTAATCCCCATGTTACACCCCCCCAACTACATCACTAATACATCATGGTTACATCATGAAAAGGGAGGTCTGATGATAGTAATCTGAGCATCCTGGACCCTGCCCCATGGTTCTCCTTGCCCTCCACCAAACACCCACAAGTGTAACAGAAGAGATCTTTACATTTCCGTGTTTCCCAGCCAAGTTAATCACACCCTTTTGTCTTCGTCTGGGTTTGTTATTTCTGGAATGGCTACCTGTCTGGCACTCAGGTATCAGGATGCCAGGGATTATCCCTCAGGCAGAGGGGCTGCTGAGTAGCTGAGCTCACATGTCTATATGAATTTCTGAAGTTTCCCCAGTGAGCCAGTACATAGATACATTTATCAGTGAATTCTTAATTTTGGTATCGTGCAGCAAAGGCCCTTTGAATAGATAGGAAGAAACTGTGATGAAGTGTTTTGTGGGGACAAATCACAAAAGTCACAAAAGCGATTGTGCTGATTTTGGTAGTGGGCTCCATGTGCATGATATCTGCTGGAGGGGCAACCGCCCCCCCAAACCTATACATAAATTCCTGCAACAGCTAAAACACCAGAAGCTTTCTTATTGGGTATGGTGGGGGATGAGATACCAAAGGGAGATTAAAAGAAACTGTTTATGTATGCAACAACCGCAGCAAGAATTCTTTAACCCCAAAATGGAAGCAACAGAAAGTACCAACGAAAGAAGAGTGAGATGAAGATGATGGACTTTGCAGAACTGGCGAAGCTGACGGACAAAATCCGAAACCAGCAAGACCAAGCATTCCTAAAAGACTGGAGTAAATATATACAATATTTGAAAGACCATTGCAAGCAATTACCAACACTAGCAGGGTTGTAACAGGACTTGTAAAGATAACCGTATTGACCCTTTTATATTTATTTAAAAATTGTGAAATCTTAAAGGAGTGAAATGTAAATTGGAAAATGTATAAAATAAATGTATAAAAGCTCAACATCCAAAAAACTAAGATCATGGCCACTGGTCCCATCACCTCCTGGCAAACAGAAGGGGAAGAAATGGAGACAGTGAGAGATTTTACTTTCTTGGGCTCCATGATCACTGCAGGTGGTGACAGCAGCCATGAAATTAAAAGATGCCTGCTTCTTGGGAGAAAATGACAATGACAAACCTAGACAGCATCTTAAAAAGCAGAGACATCACCTTGCTGACAAAAGTCTGTCTAGTTAAAGCTATGGTTTTCCCAGTAGTGATGTATGGAAGTGAGAGCTGGACCATAAAGAAGGCTGATCGCCGAAGAATGGATGCTTTTGAATTCTGGTGCTGGAGGAGACTCTGGAGAGTCCCATGGACTGCAAGAAGATCAAAGCTCTCCATTCTGAAGGAAATCAGCCCTGAGTGCTCACTGGAAGGACAGATCCTGAAGCTGAGGCTCCAGGACTTTGGCCACCTCATGAGAGAGAAGACTCCCTGGAAAAGATCCTGATGTTGGGAAAGATGGAGGGCACAAGGAGAAGGGGACGACGGAGGACGAGATGGTTGGACAGTGTTCTCGAAGCTACCAGCATGAGTTTGACCAAACTGCGGGAGGCAGTGGAAGACAGGAGTGCCTGGTGTGCTCTGGTCCAGGGGGTCAGGAAGAGCCGGACACGACTAAACAACAACAAATAAATGCTATGATATAAAGTTTAATTTCGAAAACCAGGAGGCAGGAGAGTCAACAAGCTCATATGAGCAAAGGAAGTAAAGTACCGTATTTATTGCTCTACAAGACGCACCAGACCACAAGACGCACCTAGTTTTTGGAGGAGGAAAACAAGAAAAAAAAAATATTCTGAATCTCAGAAGCCAGAACAGCAAGAGGGATCGCTGTGCAGCGAAACAGCAATCCCTCTTGCTGTTCTGGCTTCTGGGATAGCTGCGCAGCCTGCATTCGCTCCGTAAGACGCACACACATTTCCCCTTACTTTTTAGGAGGGAAAAAGTGAGTCTTATAGAGCAAAAAATACGGTAGATAATGAAGATGTGTCTAAATATGTTAAAATGCAAACTTAATAAAATTCAAAAAAACCCAAACTGCTCAATTTTGGATGTTGTGTACGGCCTTGCAGGTTTTTGTTGTTTGTTTGTTTTTTACCGAAATGTGAGATGTGGGACAACGCACAGGTGTTAGTCCTCACCATTAAAGGTTTCCACCTTTCTGCCCTGGAATGGATCTCCTCCCATTTTCTCCCTCCCTCTCTCCCATTTCTGTGTGGCCCTGACTTTTGGCTTTTTCTCACCATTCAAGCATCTGGTCCTTACTCTTAATCTGCAGCAACACCATTGCAAGACTCACTGCAAAACAGCTTATCTGTTCCTTTTTTCGGAAACAGTGTTGCAAGCGTGTTCCTTGGATCGTGGCCCTGCTGTCAGAAGGCAGGAAGGGGCTGATCTGAGGCTCGTCTTGCCAGCCAGCCAGCCAGCCAGCCAGCCAGCCAACCAACCCCTTACTGGATTTCTGGGACATCCAGTCCAGGAGAAGGCGTCATCACTTGTTTATAGAACTCCCTGATATTTGATAGCTTCACAGCAATCTGGCCTTGTATCTGATGAGGCAGCAAATTCATATTGCTCCATTGTTTGAGCTCAAAGAGGAGGGGAGGAGAGTGAGAGTCCAGGCACTTAATGTGATGTTGGATGGATGGAAGAGGAAGTCCAAGCATGGGCAAAGGGGCATAGCAAAAGTGCCAAATGTTACAGCTGCAGTTTTGAAGGGCTGAGAGTTTGTGGAGGGCAGAGAAGGAAGGATCCATCAGTATCTCTGACAGAGGCGCATTCGCACAAAATATAGCAGAAAATTCACACCGGGGGTGTTGGGAGTGTGTGTGTCCAGCAGTGTGGAAAATTAAAACTTGTTGGAGGAGTGCAAGGATCATAATGGAGCTATCTATCTTTTCAGTCCAGCAAGGTCAAAATATTTAACAAAGGGATTAGCTTGCTAGATATCAGGCCAGTGTCCAAATACCGCTTGCTGCGAATACCACAGCAGGGGAAGAGGTGCTCCTGAGCTCAGATTCTGCTTGGTTTCCTGACTGGCCACTCTGAGAAGAGGACGCTGGACTGGACAGGGCCACTGGCCTGATCCAGCAAAGGCTGTTCTTATGTAGTCCATCTAGTGTAACTTCAGCACAGATGAAAAGCCCTGATGGAATGTTGAACCCAGGGATATGTTCTGAGCACCTCAATGGAACTGAGCCGACAGTCTCTTGCCCTGCTTATTTAGATTATGCATTATATTTGGAAGAAAGGAAGGGAAAGAATCATCTTTCCGCTGCTCAGTCGGCAGAGCACGAGACTCTTAATTCTAGAGTCATGGGTTCAAACTACATGCTGGGCAAAATATTCCTGCGTCGCAGGGTTGGACTAGATGTCCCTCGTGGTCCCTTCCAACTCTACGATTCTATGAATTGGGAGTCGGAAATATTTGATGACCCGCTGAAAATCACCTAGAATGGGGGGAGGGGAAATGAGAGCTTTGGAGCCTGAGGGCTGCATTCTCTTTTGGACCACCTTCCGGCCGGACCAGAGGCAAAAGTGGGTAATAATTCTAAATTTTAGCATTATATGCCAGGCTATTTTCTACACCCCTCTCTGTCCCCCATTCAGGCAAGTAAGAGGCATTATCAGAGTTCAAGCATACATTTCCAGCGAGGCAAAAACACCTGGGTTGTGAAGTATGACCATCAAGGGCCAAGTGCAGAGATCTGGAGGACTGGATTCGGCCCCCAGGCCTGAGCTTTCCCACTCCTGACTTAATTATCTACTAAGCAGATAACGATCTACCTTCCGCTCACTTTGACATCTGCAGCGCATCCTAGGAGGTTCCAGGATTATATGAACAACTACTGCACAAAACATCACTTATTGAAGAAACACGCTCGAGGTCACAAAAATATAAATGCCGTTTTATTGTAAAAAAAGACAGAGAGACTCGCAAGTCTTTAAAAAATCTCTTTACAAATAAATTAGCATGATTTCCCTTTAGGGCAGATACTTTTCAAGGCCCAGTGTGCTTTTTAAAAAACTGACTTAAAATATATATATATGTAAATATGTGAAGATATTTATATCCACAATATTGCCTGTATTTTAACAAAAAGGTGCAACAATTTTATTTGCATATAAACAGTTCTGATCCTGGTAGACAACGTGCACAACCTACTTGGTGTGCATTTAGCCAAGTTTGCAAACGGAGGGTCTATGCTGGGCAAGTCTCCCACGTTCACGAAACTCAGCAGGAAAGAGCAGCTACAGGAAGGTTTTCGTCTGAGCCCAGGGTCCTTTGCACTGCCCTTTTGCATGTTGTCAAGTGTACCTGGATATACATGAGACCCGTAACCCCGGGCTGAGTTCTAAAGGACTGCGAGGATAAGAAACGCAACGCGGCAACTTTCATCGCTCACGCCAGACTCTCAGGCGCTGTCTGCTTCTGCTCGGAAAGGCGATTCTGTCCTGTTTGAACGTTTGGAAAACAATGAAGCAAACTTCACGGTCTCCAAGAAGGTGAGATGCCACATGAATCCCAGGCCAGAAGAGTGGCACAGGGTGAAAGTCTGACCAGCCCCAGACCTTACCGTAGCTCCTTCCCCACACCAGCACTGCCCTCTGGGAAACTGGGCACCCGGCGCAATGATAGGAAGGACACCCAGGGCAAATCTCCAGAATGGTGCAGGGCCTCTCACATTACTTGGTATAGTGGGGGAAGGAGCAGCACTGCTGCAACAGCTCCTGGGGTAAGAACACAGGCTAGGAGAAGGAGCTGAACGCGGGAAGGAGTGAGAATGGAACTTTAGCTCCTGGCAGAGCTCGGATCCAGAGGGTAGGCAGGGATCTGCCATTGCCTGTAACCTAATTCCTTGGCTTATTTGACTAATGCCACATGTCCTTCTAGGAGGAATGGACAGACCTCGTATGAGGCTCAGGAAGAGGGCAGGCTGAATCTCTGGTATACAGCAACAGATGGGTCTCCCGCTTTCACACCAGGCTCAGAACTCCCATACGGATTCAGAAATCATATTTCTCCCGGGGCTCCTTGAGATGTGTGCTTGCTACGGCAGCCCAAACAAGCCAGAAGTTTACAGCAAGCCCAAGCAACCACCTTTCTCAGGAGCTTCGCAGCCTTTCAGCCGTCACTGACGGGCCTCCCTGCCCCCCTCGTTCCACTACTGCTTTTTGGAGAACTGGGCTGAAAATATCCGAGCGATCCTTCTCATTTCCTTTTCCGGGAGCTCGTCTGGCGTCAGGCTCGGGTTGTGACGGGCCGGCCTTCGGTTAGGGATTCTCCCGGCAGCAGCAACGGCGGCGCCACTTCCAGCCTGAAACAGAAAGTGAGGTTGCACCAACTTCCTCTGAAGACACAGAAACTGCGGATCTTTGCTAATCATAAGAACGTGGGAAGCTGCCTTAAAGGGCGTCAGGCTGCAGCAGTGGGTGGCAGGGGGCCTTTCTCAGCAGGTTTTATACGTCAGGGACCGATTGCAAAGGCTGCTGGCCTGGCAGCTCCTCCTTGCCCTTCCATTCTCCAACCTGCCTGGTGGGATTCCAGGTGTGCCCCCTCCCCGGTTTCAGTGGCCCACAGTCTGTAGCTCCTAAGAGCAGAATAAAATGAAACCTTACGGCTCTTTCTCTTTATTCAAGCCTTCAGGGAAACCTAGGTGTCAAGAGTCCTGTTTGAGAACCCATGGGTGTATATTTTTTATTTATTTTCAAGAATAATAATATCTAGTTGCAGAAGAATAAGGGGTTTTTCATTCTTCAGTCAGTAACGGTGATTGCAAAGGTTGATGAATGCAGTATTTCACACACACACAAAGAAATACGTTGAGGTCCAGCTCCAAGGGCCTTCTGGTATTTCCCTCACTGCGAGAAGTAGCAAGGTTAAAAAAAGTTAAAGAACCCCGGACGGTTAAGTCCAGTCAAAGGCAACTCTGGGGTGCGGCTCTCATCTCGCTTCAGGTCAAGGGAGCTGGCGTGAAGTAAAGTTACAGGGAACCAGACAGAGGGCTGTCTCAGTATGAGTGCCTGCCCTGTGGAACGCCCTCCTATCAGATGTCAAACAGGTAAACAAGTACCGTATTTTTTGCTCTATAAGACTCACTTTTCCCCCTCCTAAAAAGTAAGGGGAAATGTGTGTGCGTCTTATGGAGCAAATGCAGGCTGCGCAGCTATCCCAGAAGCCAGAACAGCAAGAGGGATTGCTGCTTTCACTGCGCAGCGATCCCTCTTGCTGTTCTGGCTTCTGAGATTCAGAATATTCTTTTTCTTGTTTTCCTCCTCCAAAAACTAGGTGCGTCTTGTGGTCTGCTGCGTCTTATAGAGCGAAAAATACGGTATATGACTTTTAGAAGACATCTGAAGGGATGTTGATGTTTTATTGTTTTTAAAAATATTTTGTTGGGAGCTGCTGAGAGTTGCTAGGGCAACCCAGTCTGATGAGAAGCTTATAAATAATAAAATTTATTACATTATTATTATTATTATTATTATTATTAACACACACACCCTGCTGCCACAAGACCCCTCCTGCCCTTGAGCACCCATGTTTGATGATCTTAGCCACCGATTCTGAACCCTGCAACCTGTCCTGAGCTGTTGCTAAAAGGACGAGTTCAAAATCCAAAACAGATGACACTTGCGTCATTTTTAAACGCCTGTTTCATATCTATATCTATCTGTATGCTTAAGTTTGAGTCACATAAACGTTAATGCTGCTCTCAAGCAGCTCGTTCTCTCTCTCCATGCTATCTTCCAAGGCGAGTGGCTGCTGTTGAAACATTTGAGAACGCTGAAGTTGCAGAACTTGCAGCCAGCTACAGCCGGCCTGGAGCTCGTGTTTTTGACCTCTGTACAGCTTTAGCTAGCAAGCAATGCAGGATACAGAAAATGAGAAATGTGAACTTGGGCGTTTCCTAAAGCCTCCTTTGCCACAGGGTCTGCCCACCTTTCCAACTTGACATGCCTGAGAGCGGCTTAGCATGTTTCCTGTTTCAACACCAGGCCTGTGAATTCAGGTTGATCGGAGCTGACGGGATCCGGCTTGGTATTCAAGCCTCCTCTTTCTGGGTCACTTAAAGATAAGTCAGCTGGCAGCTGTCCAGCCCAGGCAGCTGCCTAATGCCGTAAGGCAGCAATTCACAGCAGCCCCACAGGCTTTATAATAGGGCAACTCACAGAATGCTAGCGTTGGAAGGGATCCAAAGGGTCATCTAAGGCCAGGGTTTCAACATTCATGCAGAGGTCAATAATGCCATGGCTGTTTCTGCAGTGCACAAGGAATGGAGTGGAAGAATGATATTTGTGTAGCTGGGTGGTGCATCTGGCCCAGTGCAGGTGTGATACAGGCTTCCTTGAAAGTTAGGAGCTGGGCTTGCGAATCGGGATCCATCCTCAGGGATGCAGTGCACCTCCCACCCCCAATTTTTGACTAGCATTACATCACGGTTTACCTCTCCTAAATTTTGAGGAGCTGGAGCATGAGCTAGAGTTCACCCATCCTTAGTAGTGGAATGCACACACCCTGCTTACAATTTCTGCAGAGCCACTCTTCTGGCAATGCCTCTCGATTAGAAAGAGGCAACTCCAGAGCAGGGAGTCTTGGACTACTCTTCCTAGAGAGGCTTGTCTGACAATTACTTTCTTTTTGACACCAGGATAATACTAAAAAGAATTAGGATTAGGATAATACTAAAAAGAAATAGACATATATCTCTATGCCTAACACCATTAGCATTTTTTTTTTTACCCTCACTGGATATTACTTAAGGTCATTATTTCAATCTCTGAAAATGATCTGTTTTTGAGCTGTTGTAGGAGAGCTGAGCTCTGTTGATGGGGTTAACCAGACCTTCAAATCTTCACCCAGTACTGTTTCATTTTGCTTTCTATGTAAAAAAACAAACACCCTGATGCCCTTCATTTCAAGGGATTTTTGTCTTCCATTACCCCTCATGTAGTAGGCTTTTCTCCCACGTACACAGTTGAGAGGTATGAATCAACGAAGAACAAGGGTCATTAGGACTATGGAAGGGGGCTTTAATAAGGAAAGTCCCTTGCCTTATTACTTTCACTAACTCTTTGTCTGTCTGTCTGTTTGTGTGTGTCTGTACACAGGGAGCCACAAAGGGTTCTGCTTTATACACTGGTACGTTGCTTGTCAAACTTAATCTGTTCTGGGAATCCGCTTGACTCCTGGAAGGGTTCGAAAACCAAGGCACGGCTTCCGAGTGGCTGCAGGAGGTTCCTGCACTCAATAGGAAGCCACGGAAGCCACGTCGGACATTCAGCTTCTGAAAAACGTTCGCAAACTGGAAAACTCGCGTCCAAGTACCAAGGCGTTCGATAACCAAGGTTGTACCTCGGGTTACAGACGCTTCAGGTTACAGACGCTTCAGATTACAGACTCCGCTAACCCAGAAATAGTACCTTGGGTTAAGAACTTTGCTTCAGGATGAGAACAGAAATTGCGTGGCAGCAGCAGGAGGCCCCATTAGCTAAAGTGGTGCTTCAGGTTAAGAACAGTTTCAGGTTAAAAACGGACCTCCGGAACGAATTAAATACTTAACCCGAGGTACCACTGTACCAGGTTGGCTCATTGGTGCACCTAGCTCAGAAATGTCTGCACTTACCAGTAGTGGCTCTCTAGGATTTCAGACAGGCAGCCTTCTCCCAGCCCTGCCTCGAGATGGTGCAGACTGAACCTGGGACCTTCTGCATGCAAAACAGAGGCTCACCCCATTGAACTACAGCCCTCCCCGGATTGCATTAAGCCTATGAATATTAAGAAGAAGAAGAAGAAGAAGAAGAGGAAGAAGAGTTTGGATTTGATATCCCGCCTTTCACTCCCTTTAAGGAGTCTCAAAGCGGCTCACATTCTCCTTTCCCTTCCTCCCCCACAACAAACACTCTGTGAGGTGAGTGGGGCTGAGAGATTCAGAGAAGTGTGACTAGCCCAAGGTCACCCAGCAGCTGCATGTGGAGGAGCGGAGACGCGAACCCAGTTCCCCAGATTACAAGACTACCGCTCTTAACCACTACACCACACTGGCTCGCTACACCATCCAGTCAACACAAAATGCATGGCACTTAGTTCAATCCCTACTTCTGTTGTTCCTGGGGAGCGAAAGGGAGGCTTATTTCTCACAGTTATGAACTCCGTGCCTTGCCTGATACTGGGCAGGCTGTGTCCAAAGAAAGAAGCCAGTCAAACCCTTTACGTACATATACTGGGCACAGAAAGAAAAAACAAGACGTTGCAGTGAAAAGGAAATGAAGCACAGCATCACTCGTTTTCTGCAAAAGAGGAACACAAACTCTGGCTGCCTAGGAAATGGCCCTGCAATATTGGGTCACCTGAGCTACATCATAACTGAATGAGAAGGAGGAAAGTCTTTTGTTTTGTTGCTAGGTGAAGCCTCATTTCCTCTGAGCATTCGAAAATTGGCACCCATCCGGTTGAGGGCAAGATTAAAAGGAAAACAAAAAGGTCACTGGAAAAAGAAAGCGCTCAAAGAGAGATCTGGGGACAAGATGTGATGGTAACATGTTGTGGGAACAAAAGCAGAAAACAGTAGGGGAAAGAGCATCAGGGTTGCTTGAGGTGTAACTTTGTTCCAACATAGGGACTCATTCCCGAGTTGGAAAAAGCAGCATGTGAAGCAGTCTTGAGAAAGGGTTTTAGAGAAGACCACTTAACTGAGACAAAAAACAAAACAAGCAATCCCACAATGATTGTGGAGGAGGAAGAAAGAAGTGGAAAGGCAGAGAAACAAGAGCAAAGAGGCTGGGTATCAAAGTGGCTGTAGCAAACGGCAAGGAAGGTTTTGCCAACTTCCCACTCCTGTTTCTTCTCTCTCACCTCCTCAGGGCTGTTTCTGAATGGGACAAAACGTTCCATTTCATTTCACTTTGTATACTGCCTTTCTATATTGCTATACACAAGGCAGTTTACAAGCTGAAGAAACAACAAAATGGACAACCCACAGGTGAAACTCAAAAAATTAGACTATCGTGGAAAAGTTCATTTATTTCAGTAATTTAACTTAAAAGGTGAAACTAATATACGAGATAGATTCATGACATGCAAAGCGAGATATGTCAAGCCTTTATTTGTTATAATTGTGATGATCATGATGCGTGTCATGAGTCTATCTCATATATTAGTTTCACCTTTTAAGTTGAATTACTGAAATAAATGAACCTTTCCAAGATATTCTAATTTTTCGAGTTTCACCTATAAGTGGATAAGGCAGGAAGATGGGGACAGGAGGAGCAGCTGAGTCATGTTCCCTGTTCCCCATGTGCTTTTCTATTTCATTTGAAACCAACATTGCGCAGCACCCTGCCCTCCATGACCAGGTGCCCCATACACTTTCATTGGGCTCCGCAGAGGTTCACCCTGCACAGATTCATCTATCAATGTACTCCTTTGCCCTCCCTGTCTCTGTCCCTCCTCTGAGCCTTCTGCCAGGCTTTTCCATTTGCCTGAAGTGGTCTTCTCCTCTCTGCCCGTCAAGCTGCAACCTCCCCTCCTCCCACCACTGCCACCCCCCACCCCCAGTTCCGACATCTCACCAGCAATCAGGCTGCTGACTTGAGAAACCAGGTGACTGGATTTCTCCAGCAGATGGCGTCCTTCCGAATCGGCCACCATGGAGGCGGGGCTTTGGTGACTGGCACCCAGATCGTCCGTGATTCTCAATGGAGAACCCAAGTCGGGATGAGGTTGGGTGAGCTTTTGACCGAAGTACCTCTGAATCTCATCCAGCTCACTAAGGTTTTTCCTGGAAGGGAAGAGAAGTCAGAGAGGAAGAAGAGCCCTATCATATAAGGGCCTTATGTGCAGCAAAGGATAAGCAGGTGTAGGTCAAAATCCATTTTATTTTCCACTTCCTTAGCGAATCCTTTTGCCCTTGGGTCTCAGTTCTAGTTAGGTCTCAACAGGGGCTATGTCCCAGAACCATAGCTGTCAACGTTTTCCTTTTTTTAAGGGAAATTCCCTTATTCCAAATAGGATTCCTCGCAAGAAAAGGGAAAAGTTGACAGCTATTCCCAGTAGTGATGTATGGAAGTGAGAGCTGGACCATAAAGAAGGCTGATCGCCGAAGAATGGATGCTTTTGAATTCTGGTGCTGGAGGAGACTCTTGAGAGTCCCATGGACTGCAAGAAGATCCAACCTCTCCATTCTGAAGGAAATCAGCCCTGAGTGCTCACTGGAAGGACAGATCCTGAAGCTGAGGCTCCAATACTTTGGCCACCTCATGAGAAGAGAAGACTCCCTGGAAAAGACCCTGATGTTGGGAAAGATGGAGGGCACAAGGAGAAGGGGCCGACAGAGGACGAGATGGTTGGACAGTGTTCTCGAAGCTACCAGCATGCGTTTGACCAAACTGCGGGAGGCAGTGGAAGACAGGAGTGCCTAGCGTGCTCTGGTCCAGGGGGTCACGAAGAGTCGGACACGACTAAACGACTAAACAACAACAACATGCCCAGAACCCTTTTGCAATGCCAGGAGTTAGCTCTGGCCCCCCTGGATTCAAAGCAGAGTGCCACCTGCCTTCTCCTTGCCACTGAACAACCAGAGTCAGCTGAAGGGAGATCTGGGGTCAGAGGCACGAGGCCCCTGGATATCGGACAGTGGAGAAAGCCTGCAGAAAGGTGGCCTTCTTTGTGGGCTCCTGTAGAGGCATCTGCTTGGCCACTGTGGGAAACAGAAGGCTGGGACTAGACAAGCTTTTGGCCTGACCCAGCTGCAGGCACTCCTGATGTGGAATTCAAAAGCACCAACTTTCAGCAACAGAGGAGAGCTCCATCAATGACCATCTCGCCTGCAACCAGGGAACATCCTAAGCTCCTCCTCTCCACTCTGCAAGCCTGCAAAGCATCTTGCTGTGATTTGGGGCGGAGGGGTTTTTGGGAAGAGCTAGCATATTATTTTCCAACAGAGCTCCTGCTGACACAGAGCGTTTTGCCGTCCTGCCACCTGCAACGTGGCTTTACCTGAGAGTTCTGAGAAGGGAAGTGCGTGAGGAATAGGAAAGGGAATCCAGCCTTCCCAACTGGGACGTGCTGCTTTCTGCCTGCTGCAGCGACTCGTGGAATCGGCGGATGTTCTTCACGTGCTCTTCATGACGGGGCATCTGGGACCCCAAGGACCCAGTCCTGCTAAAGGAAGAAACGCTGTTAGTGATTCTCTGCTCCATGCTTCACCTTCCGCCACTCTTGCTCAAGGGACAATAACACCTTTCTCTCCATTTCTGAAGATTCAAACACCTTACGCACAAAATCACAGCCCGGTACACCACACTACTTTCTCTGGAAAAACCATCCCCCTAGTTCCATGCTCAAAATCATTAAAGATCCCCTTCACTTAGAGAGGCCTCCTTTGACAGCATGCGGATGTCAACACAGGACTGAACACAGGCAGATCTTTCAGCCTTTTCTTATCAGATCTCTGACTTCTCCTTGTGGTTCTCCTTTGGCCCCTGCCCAGTTTGCTGGTTATTCTTTTGGAACATGGTACACAGGAAATAACCTTGCTGTTTTACTAAATAAAATATGTCTAGCTAAACACATAGATTTGGCACCGAGGGGTTGGAGAACAGTTGAGTTCTCAGTCAGAAGTGATGTTACAGGTGCTCTCCAACAGGTTCCCGTGGAGCACATGGAAGAGCCATAAATATGCTCTTCCGTGTGCTCCATGTTCCCCCCACGTTCTTCTCACCTCTCCAGACTGGTGGCATCAGTGCCCTTCAATGGGGACTTTTGATGTTCGCTGGTGCCTCTTGTGGAGAAGCTGGGGAATGCAGTGTACAAGTCCTGCGCTTGGAGGGCAAAAGAGCTGGTGGTTGGAATCTGCAACACAACAGAGAGGGAAACTGGAAGGAAGAAATATCTCCTGGGCTGAGCCAACATGCAGCTGTAGCTGCTCTGGAAGCCACAATTTCATTGGAATGAAAGCTTCCCCTCTAGCTTTCCTTCACAGAATGAATGAACAAGCCAGAACATCAAAGGGGATTGTAGATAAAACTACCACAGGCCTCTTGGGTTAGATTTTTTAATTTGTTCATAATATTTGCCCAACACCTGTGTCAAGCTAGTGTGAGAAAGGCCATGTATTATTTCTGACAGCTGCATCCCAAGACCCCTAAGCAGCCAATATGGAATATTTGCAGTAATTCTGTCAGTCCAGAAGTCAGAAACCTGAGAAACTGGGAAATGGACATACTGATGATCCTGAAGATTTGGTCTGGCTTCTTGCCTGTCTTTCTTCTTTGAGATGAGTTATATTTTCGAGGGGGGAAACGGCGACTTTGATCTGCCCCTGACACTGTCCGCTGAAGTCTGTGATGTTGTACCAGCCACAGACTAACTGGAAGCCGGAAAGGAGGGGGGAGAGATCCACAGAGGCAAATCCTATCACCCGTTCAACATCTGTAAAAGAAGAAGAAGAGTTTGGATTTGATATCCCGCTTTATCACTCAAGGAGTCTCAAAGCGGCTCACATTCTCCTTTCCCTTCCTCCCCCACAACAAACACTCTGTGAGGTGAGTGGGGCTGAGAGACTTCAAAGAAGTGTGACTGGCCCAAGATCACCCAGCAGCTGCAGGTGGAGGAGCGGGGAAGCGAACCCGGTTCCCCAGATTACGAGTCTACCGCTCTTAACCACTACACCACACTGGCTTTCATATCAATGGTTGCCTCTCATCTGTAGGGAAGGCAGGGTGGAAAATACACAGGTGTCAGCCAGGAAAACATGGCCAAAATTCACACCTAACTAGCTACAGTGGGTATGTCCAAAGTCCATTTTGGACATCTGGCTCAACAACTTCAATCCTAAAAAAAGGTCAACAACTTTGGTCAGCCCTCACACACGTTCACTTCATCAAATCTGGCCCTCTTTGAAAAAAGTTTGGGCACCCCTGAGCTACAGTATACCTTCTTGTTCTCAGAGTGGCCAACCAGGTGTGCCTGGGAAGCTCACATGGGGAACATGAGTGCAGTCACACCCTTCTCTGATGCCAGAGGTTAAGTACACAGCCATCATGACCAGCAGCCACTGACGACTTTGAATTCCTCCATGAATTTGTCTGACCCGCTTTTAAAGCCATCCAAGTTGGTGGCCAACACTGCATCTTTAGGTCGCAAATTCCAATACAGTGGTACCTCGGGTTACATACGCTTCAGGTTACAGACTCCGTCAACCCAGAAATAGTACCTCGAGTTAAGAACTTTGCTTCAGCCTGAGAACAGAAATCGTGCTCCGGCGGCACGGCAGCAGCAGGAGGCCCCATTAGCTAAAGTGGTGCTTCAGGTTAAGAACAGTTTCAGGTTAAGAACGGACCTCCGGAACAAATTAAGTACTTAACCCGAGGTACCACTGTATTAGTTATGCACTGTGCAAAGAAAGTTTTCCTGAATCTCCCACCACTGATCTTCACTGGATGCCCCCGGGCTTGAGCATTATGCAAGCAGGAGAAAACACCTCTATCCACTTTTATCTGCATCGTGTATGATTTTACGCACCTCTATCATGCTCCCCCCCCCCAATTTTTCCTAAGCTAAAAAGCATTTTGCACAGTCGCCCACAGCCTTAAGCACACACTCTCTGCGGAGGAAGGCATTCCGAGTGAAATCTTCCTGTGTGGAATTTCACACTGCCCGACGTTCTGCCCCTGGCTGTGGCATCCGTTCATGTCCCAGAGGAAAGAGCACAACTTCACCCCCCCATGATCCTGAGCCTTGCTACTGGCGCTGGGGGAACACACTTCTAAAATACCTGGATAAAAAGGGTGAATAAATATATCCAACATAACCATCTCTTGGGTGGGAAAGACTTTGGAAAAGAAATCACCTGAGTGCCCCCAAGCGGGGAAGGAAACAAACAGGCTCCAAGGCTGTCTGAATGCAGCCCCCAAATTAGGGCTGTTTGTATACTGTACGTTCTTCTCTCTCTGCCCATCGCCAACTGGCCTCTGAATATTCAAGGAGATTGAAAGGAGACTTGCTGCAGTTTTCCTTTGAAACAATCTGTCTGTTTTTTCCCTTCCCTGCACGGATGCCGGTGCAAACAAGAAACAGCCATTCCTTCTGGCAAACACAAAAGTAACCACTGTTTGGATTATCTCCTGCAAGCGGATTTTGGCATTCTGGAGCAAAGCCCCGAGGGAGTTCAAATTCTTTTCTCGAAGCGCACAGACCTGCGTGCAGTTGCCAGACCCCAATATCTGAGATGAGGCAGAACCTGAGATTGTTGGGAGTGGGAGAACCTGGAAGGAACAGATGCAGTCGTGGGCAAGAGCTGCACACATTAAGGCCGCGGGGAAAGGTTGGAGAGCCATGAAGGGAATAAGAGGACCCTGCCTCATGGGGCATTTGGAGTCACTGTCTTAAGAACTAGAAACTTGATTTGGCTTTGTTTTATTTAATCCAGACTTGGCGGGGAGTGACTGATGAAAATCCCTGCATGCCTATCTCTCGGATGACAGTTGTGGCCAGGAGCGCATTGCCTAACTTAGGCTGGTGGGCCCATTTCTGGTAAGGGCAGACCTGACCACAGTGACACATGCCTTCCTTGCATCTACCTTCGAAGAGTCTTTGGAAGCAGCAACTACATTCATAACTCATGTTATGTTTGCTTCATGATACGTTTTTTCAGGTTGCGTTCCGCGGTGACCTGGAAGTACCGGAAGGGGTTACTTCCGGGTTTCACCACTTGTGCATGCGCAGAAGCGCCAAATCGCGCCACGCACCTGTGCAGATACGGCGCTTCAGGTTGCGAGCTTTTCATGTTTGCAACCAGAGGTACCACTGTAGTCCTGAATGCAGCAGTGAGGATGCTGTGGGTGCTGGCTTACAGGATCCTACCACTCCTGTCCTATACCTATTTGCTTCTGGGCACGATCCAAAGCATCCAATACATGTGTCTTCTGGACGCATGTAGCACTTCCTTCCTACTTAGAACACATACATGAAAACGGCCTCCCAAGTTAGGTCCAAGCCCTTTACCATTAGTTTAGTTGGAAAGAGCTCGTCAGTCCACACAAGTGAAATGAAAAGGCTTCCTGGTCCCCAGCTGCGTAAGGCGCTTTAGTAACGGTTCCCCTTGGTATAGAACTTGGGGGTTGTTGGCTATACAGTAACTGCATTTGGACAATAATACCTGCTTTGTGCCACACTTTAAAGACCAGAGTTTGCTGAGGATCCAACAGAAGCTCTTTGGAGAGTCTGTCAAGAAGAAGAAAAAGTCAGAAATGCACCTTTATCATGGTCGGATGAAACATTTCTGAAATTCAAGTGACATATCATATGGAAAACTCTCCCTGAGGCATGAGAACATAGGAACTTAGGAAGCTGCCGGTCAGGAGACTGCCATCGAAAGGGGGAAGGGGGGCACAAGAATACAGGGAGCCTCCGACGTTGCTCAGAAGTAGCTCTTCATCAGGAAGTGGAGAGAGCTACGCCTCCAGTGAAGCAGAGGGGGAAAGGAGGGGCGAGGTGAGGGAAAGGCTCACAGATGCTACTGTGAGCCCAAGCGCTTCGCTTACATGCCGCTTCCGTCGCCCAGTTTTCGCAGAGGGATGAAACGGAGGGAGGGGAGGCGGAGATTTGGGGTGTCCAAGTTCTTATGTTGGGGGAGAAACCAGAAGGGGCCACTCCCGGAAGTGACTGAGACAGACATGAGCTTTGGGTTTCTGCACTGTACATAGTTTGTACTAAATAAAACCTGTAAAAGACAGGTTGGAGTCCTGGCTGTTTACTCGCGAGCAACCACCTGCAAACCTGACACTGCCCTATACTGAGTCAGACCATTGGCCCATCTTGCCCAGTGCTGCCTACACTGGCAGCCACTCTTCGGGGTTTCAGGCATGAGTCTTTCGCAGCCTGGCATGGAGATGCCAGGGATTGGAGCTGGGACCTTCCGCAGGCAAGGCAGCTGCTGCTCTAACCACTGAGCTATAGCCGCTTCCCAAATACATATGGGGGTATGTGTGAATAGGTAGGCATGGGTGGCAGCATTTCACCATGCGCCTGAAAACTGGTGTGTACATTTTGACACTTCTGGCTTTTGCTTAGAAGGTAAAGGTAAAGGAACCCTGGATGGTTAAGTCCAGTCAAAGGCAACTATGGGGTTGCAATGCTCATCTCGCTTATAGGCTGAGGGAGCTGGCGTTCATCCACAGACAGCTTTCTGGGTCATGTGGGCAGCAGGACTAAACCGCTTCCGGTGCAACAGGACACCGTGATGGAAACCAGAGCGCACAGAAACACCATTTACCTTCCTGCCACAGTGGTACCTATTTATCTACTTGCAATGGCGTGCTTTAGAACTGCTGGGTTGGCAGGAGCTGGGACAGAGCAATGGGAGCTCACCCCATCGCAGGGATTTGAAATGCCTACCTTCTGATTGGCAAGCCCAAGAGGCTCAGTGGTTTAGGCCACAGTGCCACCTGCGTCCCCTTATAACCTCTTAATCCTCATCCTTGAGCAAAATTAAACCTAACTTATTCTACCCCCTCCCTATTATTGTCATAACTGCGGAAAGATTTAGATTGCAAGTTCTTTGGGGCAAAAGATTCTCTCTCTAAAGCACCATTCTGTTGGGTGGTGCTATATAGATACTACTGCTCCTAATTGGTACTTGCAGTGCATTTTTGCCTCCTAACTGGAGTGTTCTTGTTCAGGGTTAATTGATTTCCTAAAACTGTGTGATTGTAAGCACACAAACAAACAAAAAACCCCAAATGTGTAACATGCATTTCTGTTGCTTTGACTGGAGAAATCCTTCCCTGTGTAGGAAGCCTGCTATTCCAATTGATTGTCTGCGTAGCAGATGGTGGGGCTTCTGAGATTCCCATTTGTTAAAGGCTCACATTGCATACCTGGTCTGCTGCTGAAAGTCCCAAACAGGTGAGTCGGAATTTTCAACTATTTCCGTGGCAACGGGATTATCGGCATCGGCAGCGACAAAGGACACGTAGCTACTGGGTGCCACGACCCCACGTTCAGTGAGAGGACTCCCTGAAAGACAAGTTGGGCTGATGTTGATTTGGTCTGAAGTTATGAGAAAGGAGGAAACTTTGGGAGGTACCACGGAATGCAGGCTCTCCCCAGAAGAGCCACAATCCGTGAGGCCAAAGGAAAGGGCACTTCCAGATGGTTCTGGGGGAATGACTCCATGATCCCGGGTTCCTGTGAGCCTGCCAGGCAGGCAAGCACAGCCTTGCAACTGGCAATGCGAACGAGAAGCAGGAGGCTGAGGGCACCAAAGCCCCATCGCTCACGTGCTCATACACAGGCCTGTTTGGACAATAAGCAATCTTGGGAGAAGCAGGGCGGTATCCAAGCACAATTCAAAGCGTTGGTGGTGAACTTGAAAGTCCTAAACGGACTTGGCCCAGGAGACCCAAAGGAGCATCTCCACCCCCATCGCTCAGCCCAGACTCTGAGGTCCTCCTCCGAGGGTCTTTTGCTGCGAGATGCGAAGTTACAGGGAACCAGGCAGAGGGCCTTCTTGGTAGTGGCGCCCTCCCTGTGGAATGCCCTTCTTTCAGATGTCAAGCAGATAAAGAATTACAGAAGACACCTGAAGGCAGCCCTGTTTAAGGAAGTTTTTAGATATGCTGTAATCCACCCAGAGGGACTGGGGAAACCAGCCAGATGGGTGGGAGGGAGGGAAATAAATAAATAAATAAATAAATAAGATGAATGTTCTGGGTGATAGGTCTTTATAAGGCCCATTGTCTTACAGCAAGGGGGAAATGCAGGGGGAAAGTGCAAATATAGAATTTGCTGAACATTTAGAAACGCTTGCAATATAATACAGAAGACAGGCCTTTAGGAACTGCCAAAGAGAGACCGAGGGTTCTTTGGTGCAAGAGAATGGACAAATAAAAGGCTCCTCCCCCCGATTACTATAATCTCTTTCATGGCTGGAGCAGGACTAGAGCTTACCAGCCCCCCAACCTGGGACTGTTTATCTCAAAAGCATGGGAAGAAGCCTGTGAGAATAGAGATTAGCTAATCGTTTAATTGGCTTGACCTAGTTTGCTCAGCACAAAGTCGCTGCTGTGCATCCGCAGAACAACAAGGTCGCCCTCTGGGAAGAGCCCCAATGCCGTTTCAGAGACAGAAACAATGTGGAACATGAATCCCAGGAAACTTTCCAGGGAAGGTGGTGATGCGGAGCCCAAGGCTGCCCAAATCAAGATCAGGATAAAGGGCATGTTGATGGCAGTTCTTTCGAATGGCAAATTCCCTTCCAGAACACTTCCGCCCAAACTCCTGTTACCGATATCTTTTTGAAGTTTTCCAGTACTTTATGATTATCATAAAGGGATAGGAGTTCATAACAACCTCTGTCTAAAAGGGCTGGGCATATAATGCAAGAATTCCATTATGACTACAAGTGGTTAACATGCAAACATAATTAAATTGCTCACTTATTTATTTATCCCCCTGCCCTCCAAGCTATTCACTCCAAAATCCTTTCTGAAGCAGCTTATGTATAAGATCAATAACATCAGCAGCAAACATTGAGCTCTTTCTTACAACCTAAAAAGACACTAACAGAAGGAAAAATCATTATTTTACACAGAACTTTCTCCTTAATGAAGACTTATTACAGCGTGAATAATTTCCTGGGAGCAGACTGCACCTTTTCATTTTAAAAATGCACGCACTGGGAACAGTTCTTAGGATGAACCGGATGTGCTCATGTAACAGATTAGTTGTTTATGCTGTTTCCAATGTTTAATTGTCGTCACCCTGATAATGGGTGGAATTCAACTACAGTGGTACCTCAGGTTAAGTACTTAATTTGTTCCAGAGGTCCGTTCTTAACCTGAAACTGTTCTTAACCTGAAGCACCACTTTAGCTAATGGGGCCTCCTGCTGCTGCTGCGCCGCAGGAGCACGATTTCTGTTCTCATCCTGAAGCAAAGTTCTTAACCCGAGATACTATTTCTGGGTTAGCGGAGTCTGTAACCTGAAGTGTATGTAACTCGAGGTACCACTGTAATGTGTCCCGTAAGCAGAAGCACAGTGTAGGGACCTCCACTCGTGAAGTGGGGCGGTTTTCCTCAACTCTCCTCCCTCTGACACTGGCTCGGGATGGTATAAATTCTGGAACAGTGCAGGGAGAGAAGAGGGGGGAATCATTTTGTCTGGAAAACTGAAATGTTTGCCTTGACAAAACAATCACCTTGTTCAATTCCTCCTAGTGTTTTTAAAGGTGAATATAAACCCAAGCAAACAAGTAACAACAGAACACCGCCTTTATGTCCCATTTGTGGGATTTCAACCTAGACCCCAGGGAGCCCAGAGTTTGACTCACCTTTTAAGCTCAAGTGCATAGCCCTTTCCACAAGGATGCTGACGGCAAACGTCTGCTCCTGACCCACTGTGTGGGGAGACTCCTTGGATGGTTTCTCGCTGAGGGTTTCCACAACGGAGGTCTGATCGGGTTTCAAATCTTGCTCGGGCTCCTTCCGCCTTTCCTCGTGGTCACTGATGCCACTGCTGCCATCTTCGGAAACATCAGGTCTGGAGGGGCTTTTGGGAGCCGCCACAATGTGGACTCGCATGGCGGCTCCCAACAAGTTTGAAGAATTGCGCCGGAACAAGGGGAAGACACCTGCAATGATGGGAGAAGGCACATTTCAAGAAGCAGAAGAGAGGCTGGGGGCCAAGTGTCTGGTTCTGTAATCTCCTCTGAGATCTTGCTGGTATTAAAAAAACTCTCCCGGTATGCCCCATGGAGGACCTGAAGGCCCATAAATAGCAACACACTAGAGGTCCCGGGCCCTAAGGAAGTCAGATTAGCCTCAACCAGAGCCAGGGCCTTTTCAGCACTGGCTCCGGCCTGGTGGAACGCTCTGTCTCATGGGACCAGGGCCCTGCGGGATCTGATTTCTTTCCACAGGGCCTGTAAGACACAGTTGTTCCGCCTGGCCTTCGGCTTGGAATCAATTTGATTCCCTCCCCCCTCTTCTTTTTTCCTTTCCCCTCCTGCGATGGAACTCCTATTTGGGGACTCCCCTGGCTTTTTTCTGGCCCATGTAGGACCAGTCTGGAAAGTTAGCCTTGGTGAAGACTTGACGTTTTCATCCCCCAAAAACGTTTTTGATTTGAGTTTCCATTGAAATGAAGCTGTATTTTAATATTGTATTTTAATCTTGCTTTTAAGTTGTATTTCAATCAATTTGTTTTTATATTGGGTGTCAGCCGCCCTGAGCCCGGTCTTGGCTGGGGAGGGCGGGGTATAAATAAAAGTTATTATTATTATTATTGTTGTTGTTGTTGTTGTCGTCACGAAGAGTCGGACATGACTAAACAACAACAATTATTATTTAATTCATTCATTTGTTGCCTCCCACTCCTGCTCAGGCGGAAAAGTGTGGGCAGCGTCCCTTTCCACCTAGGCTGGAGCCAGGCATCCCTGTTGGCCCCCAGCACCAGGTGATCGAAAGTACAGTGGTACCTCGGGTTACAGACGCTTCAGGTTACAGACTCCGCTAACCCAGAAATAGTACCTCGGGTTAAGAACTTTGCTTCAGGATGAGAAGAGAAATTGTGCTCCGGTGGCGCGGCGGCAGCAGGAGGCCCCATTAGCTAAAGTGGTGCTTCAGGTTAAGAACAATTTCAGGTTAAGAACGGACCTCTGGAACGAATTAAGTACTTAACCCGGGGTACCACTGTATGTGACTCTGAACATGGGAAGTTATTTCCTGCGTCCCATGGACAGCGCTAGACCTCTCCTTCAAGAAATTGCCCCCATACTTTTTGAAAGCCATCTGTAGTGGCAGCCACCACCACATCTCTTGGTTGTTGTTGTTTAGTCGTTTTGTCGTGTCCGACTCTTCGTGACCCCATGGACCAGAGCACGCCTGTTGGTAGCAAACTCCATATGGTAAGTGGGTGTCGCATAAATATGCCAATAGGGGCACGGCTGTTACAATCATTGCTTGGTGATGGGGTTAAAAAGGAGAATGCAAAGACTACGGGTTGGATGGCAATTGATGGATTGAGCCCCAAATCTGCCCAACGTTTTTTAAGCTGCTAGTGAACATACCACTAACTGTCCTTTTCCCCCTTGAGCTCTCCCTGAGCGCAGCAAGGTCCACGTAGGCCGACCCAATCAGTCGATCGGTATCCAGCGGCCTCTCAGTGTTGCTCTCGTTCCCATAGGCTCGCCACGCCTGGACCTCCAGCCTCTCCTCCTTGAAGTACCACAGTAAGGCTTGGCTCAACGGCAGATCCATTTCTTTGCTTTTCTTGAAGCTCACGGTCACGTGCTTCTGGTCTTCGGCTAATTTGGGCCTCCTAAGAGACGTCCACGTGGCTTCTTGGTCATACAGCTTATAGCGGAGGTAGCAATGGACGCTTTTGTTTAAGTGCGTCTCTCCTGCAAGTAGCACACACTGCACTGGTAGCCACAGCCGAGGGATGGAAATGGCCACGGCTGCAGTGTTTGGAGTAGGCTGGCATTCGCCCTCACTGTCGTCCTGCAGGCACTCAGCGCTGGCTTCCTTCAAATTCCAGCCTAAAAGTTTGGCCGCATCCAGGACACGCTGCCGGTCCCCAGGATGGGCAAAGGTGACAGAAAGCTCCAGGCCTCCAACTATGGTTTGCAGGATGTTTGCACAATGAGAGGGCACCAGATCCTCCGGCAGAGTTATTGGGAACCAGCCTTGAATACCTTTCACAGAGAACACAGGAAAAGAGTGTCATTATCACCTTTCAATGGAAAGTGGGCGTGGGGGAGCAGAACATTTTCATTTACTGAGCACCTCCCTATCAAAAAGCGACTCTGTTACGTACACCAAGGGTAACACAGGTATCTTTACCTGATCTTCTGTTCAACAGGTCTCTGGTTGGAATCTTGGCAGTTCCCAGGAGGTAATCCCTCGAAGCCTGGGTTTTTGTTCCATATGGTGCTGTAAGATCAAAACGAAGGACATAGCATAAATATGAAATAAATAAAAAATCATGGTTCATCCATCCAGAATGTACTCAAAACGGTCGAGTGTAGAAAAGGTGCAAGGGAAAAGCAATCCTCGCGCTACTGGCAATTGACTTATTTGGGGATGGATCTATCAGACCGGATCTGTGTGGGCAAAAATTGTCCTTCCTACAGCTGGGAGTTCTTTGAATCCTCTTTCATGTGGTTTCCTGTCTTTCCTCTCCTGCATACATAGTTGCTTAGGGACACAGGTGGCGCTGTGGTCTAAACCACTGTGGTCGGCGGTTCAAATTCGTGCGATGGGGTGAGCTCCCATTGCTCTGTCCCAGCTTCTGCCAACCTAGCACAGTGCAAGTAGATAAATAGGTACCACTGCAGCGGAAAGGTAAACGGTGTTTCCGTGTGTTCTGGTGTTCCACAGCACTGGAAGGGGTTTAGTCCTGCTGGCCACATGATCCAAAAAGCTGTCTGTGGACAAACGCCAGCTCCCTCGGCCTGAAGTGAGATGAGCACCGCAACCCCATAGTCGCCTTTGACTGGACTTAAACGTCCAGGGGTCCTTTATCTTTTGCCTTTACCTGACATAGTTGCTTATTTATGTGAAACGATTTCAGCTGTTATCCCTTGGAACTGGGCATGTTTGCCGCAATTGACTGTGGGGCAATTCTCTATGGTCAGTGGTTGTTCATTCTATGAAGGGTAATTCCTTGTTCTGTCATTGGGTGCTAATCTACCACTGCTTCCTCATTCCTGGTGTACAAAGAATAACTGGCAACCTAGCTAGATGGGTGGCATATAAATAATACTAATATTAATAGTAATAATAATGATAATGCCATCACCACCACAACCATCATGGCCTCTGTTTCATCAGAACACAAACTCAAAAGCATGAAAGCAAGGAGCTCAAGTGATTTAGTCTAGGAAAGCTACATACAAATCCAGGAAATGAAGCACTTATTGATCCCTTTGTAATAGAAATTGAGGGGCCCCAGTAAATGGACTGTTTGCTGGCTATAAGCTTGAAGGCAATCACTGGACCAGTCCCAAAGGCTGCCAGCTGCTGACGGTTTAAAGCCAATGTGTTGTACTTTAAAAATACAGAATATAGCAGCTGGATGGCTAGAAAGAGCTGGTGCTTGCTGCCAGAGCACCATCTAAGCCCTTGCTGTGCCAGTGCTGGAAATGTCTCTTGCACAAATTTGATGGAAGTTGATGGATGCTGTGTAAAAGAGCAGGTGGGAGTGCTGGGTGGGTTTGCAACCTAAGTGATCCTTCATTGGTAGCTTGCTGGGTCCACTCCCCTTGCCCACCCAGCTCAGAGTGATGGCGTGATGCAGGTTCTGTCACCGGCACAGCAAAAGTATGGGCTGCCCGCGTGTATTTTACATACCTGAGTTCAGGCTCTTGTGAAAGACGGAAAAGACTATCTCCGAAATCTGCAACAGCTCCCCCAGGGAACAGGCTTCTCCACTGCTTCTCTGGACCACGAGGTTGCACGGGAACTCTGTGTGGTGCTCGAATTCTGGGCAGAAAGTGCGAGCCACGGCTCGGGTGTTGCGCCTCTCAGATTCGGGGAGGAAGGGCAGGTGCACGGAGACGTACGCGTTCACTCCAACTTCTGCACTGCATTGGAGCGAAGGGTTCTTTTCTGCCACAGCTCTTAGCAAAGAGAAGAAAATATCCCAGAGACGCATATAAGGAGCGATTACAAAAAAATTAGACAGGCAAGCACATGGGTATGTGTTGATTGTGCGTTGCCGTATTTAATAGGGGCAGGAAAGCAGGATGGCTGCCCTAATACAAACTATCTGGACCATCTAGCCTAGGGCAGACAGCTCTGACTGGCAGCAACACTCTCTTGGGCTGTGCGCTTACCTGGCTGCTGCCTGCAAACCGGCTGCAAAGTGTATCTGAACAGAAATAGAAACTGCTTGAGCTGCCAGGATGCCTTCCGTCGCTTTCAGGGAGCGCCTGTATTTTACGCTCACATCAAGAAAACCTGGGGAAAAGGGGAGGAGAAAGAAATACATATTTAAGCTTTCCGTTGCTGAAACTGCGGGCAAGGTCTGCACGTGGCTGATATGACAAGAAGTCACAGCTGAAGATCTTCCTGAAAACAGACGCTCCGGTCCTTCTCGTCAACCACATGAAGGTTAATACTTGGAGGAATCTAAGGAAGGTAGAAAGGGGACACAGGTGGCGCTGTGGTCTAAACCACAGAGCCTAGAGTTTGCCGATCAGAAGGTTGGCGGTTCGAATCCCAGCGACGGGGTGAGCTCCCATTGTTTGGTCCTAGCTCCTGCCAACCTAGCAGTTCGAAAGCACGTCATGTGCAAGTAGATAAATAGGTACATTCCAGCGGGAATGTAAACGGCGTTTCCGTGCGCTACTCTGGTTCGCCAGAAGCGGCTTAGTCATGCTGGCCACATGACCCAGAAGCTGTACGCCGGTTCCCTCGGCCAGTAAAGTGAGGTGAGCGCCGAAACCCCAGAGTCGTCTGTGACTGGACCTAATGGTCAGGGGTACCTTTACCTTTAAGGAAGGTAGAAACAGAATATGGCGGACAGAATGCAAGATGCTCTTTCTTAGCCTCAGGGTGGGACCTGACATTATAAGGCAAACACAAGGTTCCCCAATACCATGTTTGCCTTCTAATTCCAATGTGTGTGTGGTGGTGGTGGGGAGGATTTCAGGAGAGGCTGTATAACCAATTGGTCCTTCTTGCACCAATTCTCTCAACCCCTCTACCCTGGGCCTGTTTCCCCCCTTCCCCAGATAAGACCAAAATTAGCTCAGCTGTGAGAAAAAACTGGAGGTCGAGAGAAAAACGAAGCCTTCCTGCCTCCACTTGATCTACCTTACACATACATACACACCCCACCCCTGTTTTACTGTTAATCTCCAAACCTGTCTGCTAATATATGAAGTTCTGCCCTGCTTTTCACCTGTAAAATGGGACTGAGCCCTCCAGTACAGGTTATTGTATTTTAGTGTTTTGTTGGAAGCCGCCCAGAGTGGCTGGGGAAACCCAGCCAGATGGGCGGGGTATAAATCAATCAATCAATCAATCAATCATCACCACCACCACCACCACCAGGAAGGTAAAATTTATTTAAAGTCGTGAAAAATTATGCCTTACACTCTGGTACAGTAAAACCTGACCAAACTCCAGACTTGCTCTGGGCCAATGTCTTCTGTTACCTGAGGAATGGGGATGGGGTTCCCCTGTACTCTCAGTCCTTGGGATTAAGGGTAGACTGAAGGTCTGGATGCCCACGTCCTCTCGGTACTGCATGGTCACCATGGCACACAGGCGGGACAGCGGCAAGGTCCCCCTGGCTACCATCTGGTCTCGGACGTTGGGGTAGTAATACCTACAAGAAGAGAAGTAAACGTTAGGGGTAAACCCTTTTGAATGCAAAGAGGACCCTGCTAGGCCAGCATCATGTGGCCCACCAAGCCAAATGCAGCCATGTACTGTATCCCAACAGCCCCAGTCATAGGAAGCTGGCTTATGCCAGGTCATACTCCTTGTCCATCTAAAGCAAGGCTGCCTGGTCTGACTGGCAGCCGCTCTCCAGGGTCTCAGGGGGAAAGGGCCTCTCTCATCACCTGGCCCAGTTGCATGCAAACTCTTAAGGTTTTGTTACAGGCTCAAAGAAATGAGTCTGAAAGGGATAATTCTGAGAGTGAAGAGCTCAGGTACAGAGGACTCATTCTTTTAGGACTTTCTGTGCCCCGCTTTGAGGAGGATCCTTCGCATGGTCATCTAATAATAATAATAATTATTATTACTTATACCCCGCCGATCTGGCTGAGTTTCCCCAGCCACTCTGGGCAGCTTCCAACAAAACACTAAAATACAATAACCTATTAAACATTAAAAGCTTCCCTAAAGAGGGCTGCCTTCAGATGTCTTCTAAAAGTTTGGTAGTTGTTGTTCTCTTTGACATCTGGTGGGAGGGCGTTCCACAGGGCGGGCGCCACTACCGAGAAGGCCCTCTGCCTGGTTCCCCGTAACTTGACTTCTCACAGCAAAGGAACCGCCAGAAGGCCCTCAGCGCTGGACCTCAGTGTCCAGGCAGAACGATGGAGGTGGAGATGCTCCTTAGGTCTACTGGGCCAAGGCCTAACCACGGCTTGATGCCAGCAGAAAGGAGAGGTGGGTGTTTGCCTTGGCTGCGAGTGCTGCTAAGAAGGGGCATTGTAGGGATGGCAAGGGACACCAGAAGAAATACCTGCACCAGATTTCAAACTGGATCCCTCCTCCTCCTCCTAAGCCCTGGGCAGAGAAAGAGCTGAGCAGCAGCCTTTGGACAGGGACATCAGCAGGGACCATCAAGGAGTGATGACGCTGGTCGCCAAAGTTGGGGTCAGGGACGCACAAGGTGGTTGTCGAGCGGAAAGGCTTTAACACAAGGCCTGAGGAGGTAAAGCAAAGCCAGAAAAGACCTGTGATGCAAGGGACAAGGACCCATGTGCCACCCAACACTGACCCAAGCCCACTCATTAGCCAAGAGGACCCAAGGCTGCTCCTACAGCCGTCATTCACGTTAGGCCTGTCTTTGGGCATTGATATTGGGTTCTAGCTTGTTTCAATACTACTACTACTAATAATAATAATAATAAAGTAAAGATAAAGGGGACCCCTGACGATTAGGTCCAGTTGTGACCGACTCTGGGGTTGCGGCGCTCATCTCGCTTTACTGGCCGAGGGAGCCGGCGTACAGCTTCCAGGTCATGTGGCCAGCAGGACTAAGTCGCTTCTGGCAAACCAGAGCAGTGCATGGAAACGCTGTTTACCTTCCTGCCGGAGCGGTACCTATTTATCTACTTGCACTTTGACGTGCTTTCGAACTGCTAGGTTGGCAGGAGCAGGGACCGAGCAACGGGAGCTCACCCCGTCGCAGGGATTCGAACCGCTGACCTTCTGATCGGCAAGCCCTAGGCTCTGTGGTTTGGACCACAGTGCCACCCGTGTCTAATAAATAATAATAATAATAATAATTTATTATTTATATCCCGCCCATCTGGCTGGGTTTCTCCAGCCACTCTGGGCGGCTTCCAATGGAATATTAAAAACACAATACAGCATTAAACATTAAAAGCTTCCCTAAACAGGGCTGCTTTCAGATGTCTTCTAAAAGTCAGATAGTTGTTTATTTCCTTGACATCTGGTGGGAGGGCGTTCCACAGGGCGGGTGCCACTACCAAGAAGGCCCTCTGCCTGGTTCCCCGTAACTTGGCTTCTTGCAGCGAGGGAACCGCCAGAAGGCCCTCGGAGCTGGACCTCAGTGTCCGGGCAGAACGATGCGGGTGGAGACGCTCCTTCCGGTCTACTGAGCGGAGGCCGTTTAGGGCTTTAAAGGTCAGCACCAATACTTTGAATTGTGATCGGAAACGTACTGGGAGCCAGTGTAGGTCTTTCAAGACCGGTGTTATGTGGTCTCGGCGGCCACTCCCAGTTGCCAGTTTCTAAGCTCAGTCTGGCATGTTTGTGGGCCCTTGCTCATCCATCACGTTGACTCGAGCTGACAATGACGTTCAGCAGGTTGGGATCCTTGCAGCTGTCACTTCCTGTCTCTTGGCCACTTACTTTCTACATTCAGCTGAAGGGGTAGAGCAGCGGAACATACAGTATATCGGATGTGGGAGCTCTGCACCCTGGGGAGGCCAGCAGGCGATAACTCAGTTTTCTGGCAACATTCTCATGTGCAAGCTAGCCAGGAAGAGGTTCCATGCTCCAATCCTGTCCAATTACCCTCCAAACAGGAGAGGAGGCAGGTGCCCTGAGTGTAAAACCAGTCACCATCAGTGAGAGCAAAGCCCTGGCAAGCAAGCCACTGCTGGTCCTATTATAGATGAGCAGCCTTGTTTCATTTTGGAAGCTCAAATACGTATTTGTCCATCACCATGGCACTCTAGCCAGTTCGGTTCAGAAGTTGGGAAGAGCACCCAGAATATCATGATCGACAAACAGCACTTACCATTCTCACAGAACTCTGTCCCATGCAGTACGTCAGACTCCGACTTCTGAACGGGAAAGTAGTATTGCACGTAACAGTCAGCCTCTCCCCAGACTGTGGACTGGAGGGGAGTGAGCCCTTTGACGCTCTCAATGTGGATCTCAAAAATGTGCTCCATCATCCCTTCCTTTTCTCTGCCTGACTGCTAAATAATAGACAAAATGGAATCCCTGTGAAAGAGGGGAATCCCTGTGGGGGGAGAGTCCCCATCTCTGGTGAACAAAATGCCCAATCTCAGCATGTTCTGGGCAGGTAATAATAATAATAATAATAATTTATACCCCGCCCTCCCCGGCCAAAACTGGGCTGAGAGCGGCTAACATCAAATGTATAAACCAACATAAGATCAGGCAATCAATTAAAATACATCCTAAAATCAGATCAGGATTAGAATAAAATACAATCAGATGGCAACCCGCAGATTAGGGTTGGGGTAATAAACCACCATCATTATTTATTTCATAAAAATTATACACCAGCTGACTGTGAAAGCAAAACAAAACCTCAAAGCGGCTTACGAAAAGAAGGTAATGAAAAGAACAAACAACAATATTTGAAACCATTAAAGCTCGCTTCAGTTTTCTAAACATCTGGGTAGGATTGTCTGAACACAAAGGTTCAAAACGTGCCCAAGAGAGGTACCGCAAAGGCACCTGACTTATTCCCTGAGGCAGGGAGTTCCAGAGAGTAGATGCTATTGCACCAAAAGACTGATTGCTCACAAATGCGGGGTGATTTTGTGTGGCACTTGCAACAACCTCAGTTCTGCAAACTAAAGTGGTTGAGTGGGTGTATATTTGGTATAGTGATCTCACAGGTATACCGCAGGTTTGCCACACCTGTAAGACAGTCACTGACATATAAACACAACACACACACACACACTTTAAATGTTCTACACTCCTTCCCCATCAACACCACCCCAAGGAAAAAGCTCTTGGAGACACAGCCAGGTGCGGTCTCTGGTGGGTCTCTAGGCCAGGCACAGGCAAACTTGGCCCTCCAGATGTTTTGGGACTACAACTCCCATCATCCCTAGCTAACAGGACCAGTGGCCAGGAATGATGGGAGTTGTAGTCCCAAAACATCTGGAGGGCCGAGTTTGCCTATGCCTGCTCTAGGCGGAAAAAGTGCTAATTTGGGGGGCAGCCTCAGCAAACACAAAGATATGTTTGATGGAAATACCTTTGGAAGAGGCATGGCAAGAGAGTCCAGAGCATGTGGAGGGCGCATTGCAACAGGAGGTGCCATTCCTTCCTCGTTTTTGAGCCTCTGCAGTGCCGCGATCTGCTCCGCGGAGCCCATGGCCAGAATGACCTTCAGGCTCCCCTTTTTGCTGCCGGTGAAGACGTCCACCATGGGCATGGAGCCATCCACAGCCAGCACCGGATACTGAGCCTGAAGCAGCAGGTTGGATATCTTGGGGTCCCTAGGAAGGGAGGGAGGGAGACAGTCATGCTATGTAAACTGCGTAGTGATTCCTGTTGACGCATGAAGTGGTGAATTAACTAACTAAAACATGCAGAAGAGTCCAATTTCCCTACCAGTGAATCTCCTTGCCACCTTCGCCTTTAGCAGAGACCGGCAACTTTTTCATGGAGGCTAGGCATTTTAAAATGCAGGAAAGCTGGACTTCTATAAATTTGACATGTGAGATTACAGTGGTACCTCGGGTTAAGTACCGCATTTTTCGCTCTATAAGACGCACCAGACCACAAGACGCACCTAGTTTTTGGAGGAGGAAAACAAGAAAAAAAATATTCTGAATCCCAGAAGCCAGAACAGCAAGAGGGATCGCTGCGAAGCGAAAGCAGCGATCCCTCTTGCTGTTCTGGCTTCTGGGATAGCTGCGCAGCCTGCATTCGCTCCATAAGACGCACACACATTTCCCCTTACTTTTTAGGAGGGAAAAGTGAGTCTTATAGAGCAAAAAATACGGTACTTAATTCGTTCCGGAGGTCCGTTCTTAACCTGAAGCACCACTTCAGCTAATGGGGCTTCCTGCCGCCGGAGCACGATTTCTGTTCTCATCCTGAAGCAAAGTTCTTAACCCAAGGTACTATTTCTGGGTTAGCGGAGTCTGTAACCTGAAGCGTCTGTAACTTGAAGCGTATGTAACCCAAGGTACCACTGTATATTCTGTAGTTCATGCTGCAGTTCCTAGACTCTCTGCTTAAGCAAGCTGCATACTTAATCTGATCTGTGAGCCTTCAAGGCCTCATCACTCATCTGAATTGTGCTGGATACCTGGGGCGAGCGTAAGTCTGGGGACTGGGGGAACTTTTCCAACTTTAGGGTCGTATTTTCTGATGGGCGACCTTTCCAAGGGTGGCTGCATGTCATACAGGAGAGGTGGAAGGCAAGAGTGGATGGAGGAAGTTATTATTTATTTTTGTATGGTAGGGCACGTTCCAGCCAGATGAATTTTACTCACCGCTGGAATTCCCTCCATCATTTGTCAAAGCAAACTGAATGACAGTTCAAGGGCAGCCAAGCCAGTCAAAAGCACTTGAGGAGGGCATGGAGCAATGGCCTTGCTGAGTGTGTGTGTGTCCTGACAGTGTGCTAAGGGGCAAGGAGGAATGCAGGGCCACATTTGACCCTCAGACTCTCAGTCCCCTTGGCTCAAATTCCCACTCAATCTTTCTGTGATTGTGTTTCCAGTTTATGTGCCACACCCTGGAACCTCAGAGCGAAAAGTGGGTGAGAAATGCAAGAAACGGGAGTCCAAGGATTACTCGCACATGAAGGTGGCAGGTGGTTGGTGGCAGGACCCTGTGAGTGAGAGGCAGGGAAGGGAAGGCCTTCCAGGGTGAGAGACCCCACCCCCTGGCCCTGGGAGTCCTCATAAGGAAGCTGGACCTGGAGGAAGACCTGTGAGGGGAGAGACTCCATCAGGCAAGGCCTTCTTCCACCTGCCTTACACCACCCTACAGTCTCTGCTTCTCAAGTTGTACTGTATTATTTTGTGCACTGTGGCTTGCCGTTGTTTTATTGATTGTAGTTTCGAAATTATTCATTGCAATTGTTAAGAGTGGGTTTCTGTTTAATTTTTATATGCTGATATTATTATTCTATACTATTCTAATGAATGTGGAGCTTTATTTGATGTAGATTGCTTATTTCGAAGCCGTTTTATTATCACATTTTTGTATTGCATTAGATTGTTATGAGGTGTACATTCTTTGTTTCTTCGGCTTGTAAACTGCCTTGAGTATTGTAAGATGGAAAGGTGGTATACAAATTAAAAATGATGATGATAAGGAAGGAAAGCTCCCAGTGAGAGCTGAGAGGGTCCATGGCTTTCTGTGTGAGACAAGGGTTAACAACTAGTTTTGGGAGAAGACTCTTTTCTCTTTCCCTGTTTTTGTTTTTATTTAGATTATATATATGAGAAATGAAAGAAACAAATGAATCAAAGCAAACTGGGTGGTGGATGTTTTGGGCAGTATACTGCCCCTTAGCTTACTTCAGGATGAACTCACAGCAATATATCATATGTAGCCCAAGTTAGGGATGGAAATTAAAAATCACTGCCTGGAAGTGATTTTCGGTTTTTTAATCTGACTTGGTGGTGGTGGTGGTGGGGCATTATCAGTGTTCCCGAAAGAAGAAAACTGAGTAAATATGCCACAACACAGTAAAATAAAAACAATTTTAAAAACGAAGACTGAGTTTTTACTTGAATGAAACGTAGAACTGATGCAGTGGAAGCTTCACCAGTCCTAGCAGGGCGTCTCCTCCTGGAATGCACACCTTGTTCCAGGCTTCTATGACCATCACGTTGTTCTTCAGCCTCTCCAGATGTTTTGATGTCAGTGAAACAGGAGTTACCTAGAGATTTGATCAGACTCTTTGATCAGAGAAGCAGGCCTACACACACACACACACACACACACACACACAGCCCTTCATCTCAGCCTTTGCAAATATAAAAATAAAGAGGATGGCATGTAAACCAGCAAATCCACAGTAAACTGTCCTTGGACCCAACACAGCTAAGGGGGGGGGGAATTAAGTCCCCTTGCAAGCTTACCAAGTTTGATTAAGTTGCAGGTAAAATGTTTGCTGACAAGTTTTCCTTGTGAGGAAAAGAAAACGAGTTTCAAAAGTTAATTTTGTTTAGTGATGTTCTAGGCCAGGGGTCAGCAAACTTTTTCAGCAGGGGGCCGGTCCACTGTGCCTCAGACCTAGTTGGGGGCGGACTATATTTGTGTGTGTGTGGGGGGGGGAAATGAACAAATTCCTATGCCCCACAAATAGCCCAGAGATGCATTTTAAATAAAAGCACACATTCTACTCATGTGAAAACACCAGGCAAGCCCCACAAATAACCCAGAGGTGCATTTTAAACAAAAGGGCACATTCTACTCATGTAAAAATACGCTGATTCCCAGCCCGTACGTGGGCTGGATTGAGAAGGCGATTGGGCCGGATCTGGCCACCGGGCCTCAGTCTGCCTACCCCTGTTCTAGGTAAAAGTAAAGGGACCCCTGACCATTAGGTCCAGTCGTGGGCAACTCTGGGGTTGCGGCGCTCATCTCACTTTATTGGCCGAGGGAGCCGGTGTACAGCTTCCGGGTCATGTGGCCAGCATGACTAAGCTGCTTCTGGTGAACCAGAGCAGCGCAAGGAAACACCGTTTACCTTCCCGCCAAAGCGGTACCTATTTATCTACTTGCACTTGACATGCTTTCAAACTGCTAGGTTGGCAGGAGCTGGGACTGAGCAACGGGAGCTCACCGCATCACGGGGATTCGAACCGCTGACCTTCTGATCGGCAAGTCCTAGGCTCTGCGGTTTAACCCACAGCGTCACCCACATCCCTATTCTAGGCTGCCCCATAAAAAGATGTGTTTCACACACTTTAATATTTGGTCTCTCGTGGGGTTCTGTATGCGGGCGACCTGGGAAGGCCTGAGCACACAGGGAAGCATAGAATTGAAAAGTGGGCAGGGAACCCAATGGTTACAGTCCAACCCCCTGCAATGCAGGAATCGCAGCTGGAGAATCCCCAGCAAATGGCCATCCAACCTCTGCTTGAGAAGCTCAAAGGAAGGGGAGTCCACTGCCTCCTGAAAGAGACTGATCCACTTTCAAATAGCCCTTAACTGTCAGAAAGTTCTTCCTAATGTTTAGTCAGGATCTCATTTCTTGTAATTGTAATCTTACCCGAACAAGCCTGCTCCATCTTCCAAATGACAGCCCTTCAGATATCTGAAGAAGGCTTTCATACCACCTCCCAGTCTTTTCTTCTCCAGGCTAAAGATCCCCAACACCCTCATAAGGTTTGTTTTCCGGACACTTTGCCATCCTGGCTGCCTTCTGCTGCACACATTCCAGCTTCTCAATATCTTTCTTAAACTCCAGTGCCCAGAACTGGATACAGGTGGGGTCTGACTCATGACTGAGACGTCCTTTGCTGCTGGGAATTGGGCGGCTTTAATTATAGGGCCAAGCCAGCTATGAATACCTGTATACCTGAAGGAGCGTCTCCACCCCCATCATCCAGCCCGGACACAGTGCCAAGGGCCTTCTGGCAGTTCCCTCGCTGCGAGAAGTGCGGTTACAGGGAACCAGGCAGAGGGCCTTCTTGGTAGTGGCGCTTGCCCTGTGAAACGCCCTCCCAGCAGATGTCAAGGAAATAAACAACTATTTTACTTTTAAAAGACATCTGGAGGCAGCCCTGTTTAGGGAAGTTTTTTAATGTCTGATGCTGTATTGTTTTTGATATTCAGTTGGAAGCTGCTCAGAGTGGCTGGGGAAACCCAGGCAGATGGGTGGGGTATAAATAATAAATTATTATTATTATTATGAAGGGCAGCAAAACACATTCTGCCTCCTGGCAAGTCTGACAACTACTTTAGAATACAGAAACTGGCCCTCCTGCTGTAAAGCAGTGGGCAAATAATAAAAGTTTTGGGCCTGTATTTTGTTCTCTGACCTCACAATTTTAAGGACGTGACGTTAAACACTGAGGAGGAACTAATGTTACCAGGATTACTGCGTACATTAAAAAACTGAAGCTTGCCTGAGAAAACTGGAAGATGGGTTGTGTGGTCCCCCATATCACAGCAGACCTTGTGGCTTCTTCTGTGCTGAAGAGCTTGCAGTTTAGATACACGTTACAAGAGCCATGAAATCCAGCGTCTTTGGGAACAAAGACCTTCCCTTCTGGGACCATCAAGAGTACGTGCAGCAGCAAACCTTCTTCTTCTGATGCACACAGCTGGTTCAGGAGGTTACGGGAGACGGGCATGGGGACTGGCAGCTGACTCACGCCAACGTTGGCCCTTTCTGATACTGCAGGTGAAGACTCTTGGTTCCTCTTTGGGAGCTGGCAATTAGTTTGCTTCAAGACTGGGGGGCTTCCAGCAGGAGTGGTGCTCCTGCCAACTTCTTGAAACTTGACTCCGGGACTCCTGATGGCGTGAACTGGAGCTTGTGGTGCCCCATTCGCTGCCTTGGCACTGGTGCTGGAGAAATCTTTATTATCAGCTGCAAGTTCCAATGACACCTGTCGCAAGAAAGTTAGAAATAACGCGTTACCTGCTGTCTGTTGAGAGCACAACCTTCTGCAGCTGTGCTTTTCAAACTCTGTTCCTGTGAACCATGATGTCTCCACCTCCATCGTTCTTCCCGGACACTGAGGTCCAGCGCTGAGGGCTTTTGGCGGTTCCCTCGCTGCGAGAAGCCAAGTTACAGGGAACCAGGCAGAGGGCCTTCTCGGTAGTGGCACCCACCCTGTGGAATGCCCTCCCACCAGATGTCAAAGAGAAAAATAACTACCAAACATCTGAAGGCAGCCCTGTTTAGGGAAGCTTTTAATGTTTAATAGGTTATTGTATTTTAGTGTTTTGTTGGAAGCCACCCAGAGTGGCTGGGGAAACCTAGCCAGATGGGCGGGGTATAAATAATAAATTATTATTATTATTATTATTGGAAGCTTTGTAGGGCTTCTTCCTCAATAGCAAAATCAGTGTGTGTGTGTGTGTGTGTGCACGCGCAACAGGAAAGAGAACCAGTGCACCAATGGGCTCCAGTTGGTGGCATCATTGCACTTCCTGGGAGGGAGAGGGTCAAAGCCCCGGGGAGGCTGGCACAGTGCAAAAGTGCAGCAGCGGAGCTAATCTGTCATTCTTGCTACTGCACTCGCACTGCGCTGACCTACCTGATACCTTGCCCTTCTCAGTAAGCATTGCAACACTGCTGATGGGAGGACAGGGGTGTGGTGACACCCCTCCCCACCGACCACCCAGACAATCAGTAACAGCAGAGACAAGTTTGTTCTGGGTTGCACCATCCACTTAGAAGAGGTACAGTAAGAGTCCAGGCAGCTCTTGCCAGTGTGGACCTTGAAAGATGCCCCAGAACCCTCTGCAATATGGAAAGCTTCTTCAGCAGACATTCTGAGAAACAACCCCCAATCTGCTTGCCCCCAAGGGAATCACTCTGTTTTCCACTGCCTTAGCACCTTGGTGACATCAGGAACCATCCCTCCAATCCCCACTTTCATCTCCAACCCCATTTGCATGATTAGCAGGCAACAGACCTCACAGTGGTGAATAAGAAAAAGAGCAAAAATCACCTGCAACGGGCCTGGAAAGCAAAGGGTCAGGAATGGCGGTGGCCCTAAAAAACTGAGCAGTACCCAGCACAGCCACTCAATACATATTCCCACCATTAGGTGACTGCTTTTGTCTAGATATAATAAATACTCTAGATATAAATATAGGAGGTCTTTGTTTGGGAATGAGCTGGGGTCCTTCTCTTCCCAGATGTAAACCTGACACCTGAATGAGCTCCAATGCAGAAAGCAGAATCCCCCAAAAATTTCCATGGCCAAAGCAAGAGGCAACGATACAAGCCAATTCTTTAGTCTCCTTTGGCAACAAACCTGTGGGCAATTCATGCCCTCACAGATTCAGGCGGTACAGTCGTACCTCCTCCCTCTGGTTACGTAAACTTTGGGATGCGCACGTGGCAAACCCGAAGTATATTTACCGGGTTTCGCCGCACGCACATGCGCAGAAGTGGTCCTCAGGTTGTAGAAACCTCGGGATCTGACCGGACCTCCGGAACAGATCCCGTCCACAAGAGGAGGTACCACTGTATTCGTCATGAAACTGAGAGGAGCAGAGAAAAGGAAGCTACTGATAAGATTTCACAGTAAAAAAATATCCAATTCCCAAAGGCTACAGGGCAGGGGCTCATCCAGTGCTAACTAAAGCACAAAAGCCAAGGCAAATCCTCGGCATAGAATATATCCTGATATGCCATTAACACCCAACAAGAACAATACCAGTTCCGAATAGTTCAATGATGAGAGTGCATGACACCTAAGTGTTGCATTAAGACAAGCTACCCGTGTGTAGAACGGTATAGAAGCAGGTTGTGTATACCTTTAAAGGCCCCAGCTGGGCTGGACCTCCGTCTTCTTTCACAGGCAGTTCACGGCTGACCGTTAGTTGTTCAGACTGAATTATGTCTCGCAGTGGGAAAACGGCTGAGCCAATCAGCAGGGGCTGAAGACAGGAGAACACAATGGGGAAGGAGAGGGTAATATTGCGCATTTCACTTTTCAATATTACATAATCTATACTGTATTGTGCTCATGGTCGTAAAACCTCTGGTAGGGTTTGGGGGCTGGGGTTCTGCCAAGGTCTTCAAGGAAAAGTAATCAATAAGAAAATATATGTACTGTACTGGCCCGAATATAAGCCGCACCCAAATATAAGCCACACATTTAAAATTGGAGGGGGGGGGGAGGAAAAAATACTCAAATATAAGCCTCTCCATTCCTCGCTGCTCCTGGCTGCATACTTGGGGGGGGGGTGAGTTTCCGGCGGCCTTTTCCCTTCCTTGCTGTCTCCCTTACCGTCCTTGGGGGAGAGGATGCACAGGGCGGGTGCCACTTTCTCGCACTCCTGGCGCTGTTTGCCCCGTGCTCCTGGCTGCATACCGTAAGGTTGCGAATATAAGCCGCACTTTTCATGGTCAGAATTGGGGGGGGGGGGAGTGAGGCTTATTTTCAGGCCAATACGGCATTAAGAACATTAAAATCCTGACTTTCTGACAAAATAGTGCTCTAAGTGGCTAACAGTAAAACAAAAAAATTAAATTACGAAACAAAACTTATTTAAAAAATTATCACAAATTACACACAGGTCTACAAAGGGTATCTATAAGCAGACAAGGTTTAAAATATCCATTTAAACCTAATTAATATGCTGAAAGCCAACTGAAAAAGAAGCATTTTTGCCCTCCTCCACCAGCGGAATGCCAAACTATGCCTCTCAAAGGAGGGGTTGCAGTGGAGCCCGTGAAAAGGTCTCCTTGTTGGCTCTTGCCACACAGACATCCAACACTGGTGGGACAAAGAGTGAAGCCTTAGCTGCAGATCTTAATAAGCAGCAGTCTCATAAGCAGGGCTTAAAGGTAGGTTGAAATGGGTCTAGATAATCTGCTTCATCCAGAAAAACAATAACAAATACCTTTCTTTGTGTGCCTTGTTTTGAGTAGATGTTAAACTCAAGGTCTGAGTTCCACCAGTGGGTTATCATTGTGCCACTGAAGTGAACGGGGAACACGTACCGCTGTTGAAACTTCACCACTGAAAAGGTAAATTGACAGGGATTGGATGCCCGATGGGATGGAAGAGGTAAGAAAAAGATGCTCAGTCAAAATTTCAAGGATACGGCAGAAGAAAGGTCTCTGGAGGCTTGTGAGGGAAAAGGTACAATGAAAGAAGAACAGAACTAACTACTTAACTAACCCATTCCTCTCTGGCAGATTATTTAGGCTTTTAGCATTTACAGAGTGATCCTATACATACCGTATTTTTGGCCCCATAGGACGCACTTTTTCCCCTCCAAAAATGAAGGGGAAATGTGTGTGCGTCCTATGGGGCGAATGCAGGCTTTCGCTGAAGCCTGGAGAGCGAGAGGCATCGGTGCGCACCGACCCCTCTCGCTCTCCAGGCTTCAGGAAGCTATCCGCAAGCCTTGCAAGCCCGGCGGGAGTTCCCGCGGGCTCACAAGGCTTGCGGGCAGCAGCCTGCAGCCCGAAGCACGGGGAGCCCTCTGAAGGGCTCCCCGTGCTTCAGGCGGGTGTCCGCAAGCCTTGCACGCCCCGCGGGAGGTCCCGCTGGGCGCGTGAGGTCCCGCTGGGCGCGTGAGGTCCCGCTGGGCGCGTGAGGCTTGGGGCGGCAGCCTGCAGCCCGAAGCACGGGGCGCCCTCCGGAGGGCGCCCCGTGCTTCGGGCTGGTGTGCGCAAGGCTTGGGGCGGCAGCCACGGCTGGGGGGGGGAAATAATTTTTAAAAATTCATTCCCCCCCCAAAAAACGAGGTGCGTCCTATGGGCCGGTGCGCCCTATATGACGAAAAATACGGTATATACTCCAAAGGAAGTCTATGAGGCTGTCTCCCAGGATTTCAGCATTTAAAATCCATTTTTATTAACCTGATTAATAAATATTTTTTTCTTAACTATCTAACTATTCTTTCACTCCCTTTCTTTTTGTTGTTGTTGTTTAGTCGTCTAAGTCGTGTTTGACTCTCCGTGACCCCATGAACCAGAGCATGCCTTGGAAACTCTCACTTTCTTCTCAAAGCTTTTCCTTTTTTATATCCATGGAGTTTTGTTGGAAAAACGCTGGAGTGGTTTGCCAGTCCCTTCTCCAGGTGGATCACATTTAGTCTAAACTCTCGGCTATGACCTGTCCATCTTGGGTGGCCCTGCGAGGCATAGCTCATGACTTCTTCGAGTTATTCAAGCCCCTTCGCCATGACAAGGCAGTGATCCATGAAGGTGATCCCTTTCTTTACAGTGGTACCTCGGGTTACATACGCTTCAGGTTACATACGTTTCAGGTTACAGATTCTGCTAACCCAGAAATAGTGCTTCAGGTTAAAAACTTTGCTTCAGGATGAGAACAGAAATCGTGCTCCGGTGGCACGGCGGCAGCAGGAGGCCCCATTAGCTAAAGTGGTGCTTCAGGTTAAAAACAGTTTCAGGTTAAGAACGGACCTCTGGAACGAATTAAGTACTTAACCCGAGGTACCACTGTACTAGTAGCTAAATCCTATTGACCGAACTGCGGGAGGCAGTGGAAGAAAGGAGTGCCTGGTGTGCTCTGGTCCATGGGGTCACGAAGAGTCGGACACGACTAAACGACTAAACAACAACAACAACAACAACAAATCCTATTCCGGTTAACTAGACTGCCACTCTTCATTTTCTAGTTATCTTATAAAGTTCTTGGGCTCTATTTTTTTTTTTTTTGTGGGTGGGGGGGAGCTGATCAGCTTACTTTTCCTTATCAGAAAGATCCAATCCCACCACCTTTCTCCACCTATAGTAGGGGCTGCCAGCCTTTTGGGGTCAATGAGGACATTTGGAATTTTGAGGAAGTGCAGGATGCAGTGTGGCAGAGGACAAAATGGATGCTACACCTAAAAGGACAGGACCAGAAAGTGGTGTTGGGCATGACACCATGCAGTCAGCTGCCCCATCCATGGGAGAAAAGGCCCCTTTCCCCCAGGTAAGGCTTACCTTCCCCCGAGATTTTACTTGACGCTATCCGAACTATTTCTGTCGTTATGGCGGCCTGCCCTGCTCCAATCTTTGAAGCTCCCACTGGAAAGTGAAACTCGACAAAGAATGTCCTGTGGATGGGAGAAACAGAAAGCGTATTGGGTGAATCAACCAACTGTTTTTAATATAATGGGCCAAAGTGGAAAGGGCATCAACACAAGAAGAAGAAGAAGAAGAGTTTGGATTTGATATCCCGCCTTTCACTCCCCTTCAGGAGTCTCAAAGCGGCTAACATTCTCCTTTCCCTTCCTCCCCCACAACAAACACTCTGTGAGGTGAGTGGGGCTGAGAGACTTCAAAGAAGTGTGACTGGCCCAAGGTCACCCAGCAGCTGCATGTGGAGGAGCAGAGACGCGAACCCGGTTCCCCAGATTACGAGACTACCGCTCTTAACCACTACACCACACTGGCTCTCAAGTCACTGAGGTCAAGCTCAGCGGCTGAGTGACAGCTTTGCATGCAGGAAGTCCTAGATTCAACCCCTGGGAACCCCAGGAAATGCACGGAAACACCCTTTTCTGAAATCTTGGGAGAGCCATTTGCCAGTTAGTGGAGGCAGCACAGAACTAAATGGGCCAATGGATTTGACTTGGTATCAACAGGGATTTTACATCATCCCCAAATCTTTGCTCTTGTGATAAAATGAACGATTCTAATGATTCCTACTGAGATTGGATCAAGTCAATGAGCTTACATGCCTCACCCCTAAGTGAGAAGGAAGAATTATTACCTCTTTTTGGCCAACGCTGGCCTGGGCGGCTTTCCAGTTGAACGTTTTTTGCCTGGAGTGATGTTTTCAGGGGGCACCTTTAGGCTCTCCACGACTGCTCTAGCTAATCGGACCCGACCCAGCACTGCCAGTCTGTCAAGGCTCAAGTTGACAGCTCGTGTTTCCTCTGTAGATTCCATGGAAGCCTCATGAAGAGGAAGCGGCCCAGCGGGAGAATGGCTGAGAAGGGGAACACGAACGAGCAGGCTAAGATAACCTTCCTCATAAAAAGGAAAGAGAAAGGTGCTCCAAGGAGTTGTTCTATTACATCTCTTGCACATAAGAACCTAAGAGGAGCCTGTGCTGGATCAGACCAGTGGCCTAACTAGCCCAGCACTCTGTTTTCAAAGTGGCCAACTCACAAGAGGCATGCAAGCAGTACCAGAGTGCAATAGCACCCTATGAAGCTGTGATTCTCAGCAGCTGGCATTCAGTTACGTACTGTCTCCAACAGTGGAGATAGTACCTAGCCATTGTTGTGAGGAGCCACTAATAGTCTGATCCTCCATGAATTTGCATACTCACACATTTGATACAAATGCCCCAATTCTGTGTAGGGAAAAACACCTGAACTGAATTGATATTCAGAGGAAATCAGGAGTTGTGATGCCATTATTATTATTTATTAAATTTGTCAGTGATTTTTCTTGCCCAGGGCAACCCAAAGGGACTTAAAACCAACCAAACAGCAGATAGTGGGAATTGATAAGAATAATGATCTGTTGTGACCTTGACGGAAGCATACAATAGATGAGCCTTCTTGTGTTTTGGCTCATCTTCCTCTTTTTTCTTTTCCCTTTTTTTCTTTCCTCCTCCTCCTCCTCTCCTTTTTCTTTCCCATAATAGCTTAAGTTCTAAGCCATGCACTTAGATTTTTTTTTGTAGTTTTTTAGCTTTTTTCATTATTATTATTATTATTATGAAGGATTTTTTTTTGTCATTTTGGTTGTTTATATTTCTCTGTACAGTTGTACCTCGGGTTAAGTACTTGATTCATTCTGGAGGTCCGTTCTTAACCTGAAACTGTTCTTAACCTGAAGCACCACTTTAGCTAATGGGGCCTCCTGCTGCTGCTGGATGTTCTCATCCTTAATCAAAGTTCTTAACCCGAGGTACTATTTCTGGGTTAGCGGAGTCTGTAACCTAAAGCGTATGTAACCTGAAGCGTATGTAACCCGAGGTACCACTGTATTTGTTTAAAGCAAAATAAAAGTATTAAAAAACAACAATCAACCGAACAGGTGGACAATTCCCCCCCTCAGTAGTTTTCAACCAGTGTGCTGTGGCACCCTGGGGTGCCTTGAATGATGGTCAGGGGTATCATGGGCAACACTGACCTCTGTCCCTCTTTCCTTCCCTCCCTCCTTGGATGCCCTCTCACGTCTCTGTCTCCCAAAGGCTTGCACAGCAGTTTGTTGCAGCAGCCCTGGCTTCAAGCTCCCCAGGCGAATGGTGCCTCTGGGACTGGTCAGGGTGTGCTGGCTGCCAGGATCTGAGGAGACCTCAGAGCAAGGGAGCCCAGCCAGTCAGTCTGCCAGCCCTTGCTGTTGGGAACAGACTGACAAGTCCTAGGCTCCTGAGGGGCAGCGTGAGGAGGCACCTCTCTTTGGGGCAATGTGTGTGCGTGTGAGCTCAGAGACCAGGGATGCCGGCAGCAGAAGCTGCCCGGAGGACTCCCAAGCAGAGGGGAGAGGAGAGGAGGCTGAGGGAACACTCCGCAAGGGAGGGTGATAGAAAAGGGGTGAGAGGCTGCCAGCTCTGCAGGCAAGGGGCTCCTGAGCCCCACAGGGGTGCCGGAGAAAGAACGCAGTTGGTCAAGGGAGCCGGGGACTCAAAAAGATTGGAAAATTCTACCCCACCCCATAGGTGCATTAGAAACACAAGGAAAAAGAAATACATTTAAAACATCCCACCCACTTCAAAAAGGCCACAGGTAGTTAAAGGCCCACGGCCTGGTTGCAAAGCAAAGTTTTTGCCTGGTGCTTAAAGATGTGTAACAATGGTGGCAGGCAAGCCTCCCTGGCGAAGCATTTCACAAATGGGGAGCCACTGCAGAAAAGGCCTGTTCTTGTGCTGCCGCTCTTCAGATCTCCCTTGGGGGGGGGGGGCACACAAAGTAGGCCCTCGGATGGTGATCGCAGAGTCCTTGTCGGTTCATATGGAGAGAAGCGGTCCTTAAGGTATCACAGTTCTGAGCTGCTTGAGTTATGTGTAATGGAGCCCACAACAACTGGTTTACCTGGGTTTTGTCTCTCGAGTCCCTTTCTGACCCAAGGGGCTAGACTCTGAAGCCTTTTTTGATCTCCGACACTTGCTGTTCTGCGACTTGTTTAGTTTTCCGGAAGCAACAGCATCTTCCTCCTCACTGAGGAAGTCACTTAAGCTGCTGTCGGACTTCTAAGGGAAAGAGTGAGAAAAGCAAAAAACATTTAACAGTCACAGAACACTCACGAATTAACGATTCAGTTGCCAAAAGGAAGTTCTCCTTATATTGAGATTAAAGATGATAACCACTTATAAAAACCAGATGATGGAACGGAGGGAAGTCAAAAGCTCGGCAGAGCTAAAACTTTGTAAAAGGTGATATGATGTGATATTTTCAAAAATGGAAAATTAATAAAAAAACATTTAAATAAAAAAATGTAATTACAGTATAGAATTCAAACTCAGTTGCTGAAATACATGATCTGTTTTAGTAGGCACGTTGCTAGATTAATAAAAGGAACCATAGAATTATTATTTTTTTAAAAGATGGTAACCTTTTCCAAACACTGCAAGTTTTTTTAATCTCTACTCAAATTCTATTTTGTGGCCAAGCTAGACAGAGAGATATGAGGAGCATCTGGAAAGGTGTGAAGTTAAAGGGGCAGAGGCAGAACCTCTGGTCTTCATCTACTCCTCCAGCAAGTCCCGGCACAAATGAGAGGTGTGGCATATCTGATGTGTTCCTACACGAATGCTTCTTTTATGGGGGATGCCTCTAGCTGCCAAGGGTGTGATACAGATGCCTCACACTAAAAGAATCTTCATGGTGAGTACCACACATTATTTTCTCAGGAGAACACTCTGTGGACGAGCTGTGCTAATCTTCTGGGGGGGGGGGGGGCACCACATAAATCTGATTGGCCTAGGAGAGGGCTAGTGTTTTAAACTTCACTTAAGTCTTTTGCACACCTAAAACAAACGTTTTTGTCTTTCTGCAGCTCTCGTCTTTTGGACGATGCCCAGCGCAAGAGAGGTAAGACGGAATGAAAGGAGAGGCAGAGAGGAAGAACATAAGCCAGCCTTCCCCAATCTGTTGCCCCCCCCAATGTTTAGACTATACCGTATTTTTCGCTCCATAGGGTGCACCGGACCATAGGGCGCACCTAGTTTTTAGGCGGGGGGGGGAATTCCCCCCCGGTCCAGGAGCGGCGGTAAGATTGCACGCAACCTTGCCGCCGCTCCCGGAGCTTGCGGGGCTGGGGACGGGGGAAACCCGAGCTTCCCCCGACCCCAGCCCCCAGAACAGGTCCAGGAGCGGTGGCAAGATTGCGCGCAACCTCGCCGCCGCTCCCGGAGCTTGCGGGACTGGAAAGCCTGAGCTTCCCCCACCCCAGAACAGGCAGCTATCCACAAGCCTTTGGAGCCTGGCGGGAAATCCCGCCGCGCTCAGAAGGCTTGTGGATGGCTGCCTGAAGCCCGGCAAGCGCTGCGGGAATTGGCGCAGCGCTCGACGGGCTGCAGGCTGCTATCCGCAAGCCTTCGGAGCGCTCCGAAGGCTTGCGGATAGCTGCCTGAGGCCTGGAGAGCGAGAGGGGTCGCTGCGAAAGCCTGCATTCGCTCCATAGGACGCACACACATTGCCCCTTCATTTTTGGAGCGGGAAAAGTGTGTCCTATAGAGCGAAAATACGCTAACTTCCAATGCCTACGGCTGCTGGGAGTTGTAGTCTAAAACACCTGGTGGGCGCCGGGTTACTGTGCTGACATAAGCAAAGCAGACTTTGATTCGCAGAATTGTTGCCTGGTTCACTCTAGCCCAGTACAGACAGCAGCCTTCCAGTATCTCAGGCAGAAAAGTATTTCACAGCCCCTCTTGAGACTCTTTTAACTAGAGATGACAGAGGTTGAACCTTGCACAGGCAAAGCATGGGTTCTACCACTGAGCAAGGCCCCCTCCTTCAAACACAGGATAAGAGACTATGTACAAATAATGTTTTCTAGCCAGGAAGCTGACTGTGGTAAGACTGGCTTGGTTCATGGAAAGCTTAGTCACAATAACATGCCCAAACCACCTACACGCCTCTGGCGCTTACTCGAGCCGTGTAGAACAAGTTTTCCAGCAGGCTCTGGTCATAGTGGGGGTCGTTCAGCTCACTGTCGTACACCTCACTCCCGGGAGAGATACATTCCAGGGGAGAGCCTGTACCATCCAAAAGGCGCAGAGGGGAAGAACCAGAACTGTGGGGGAGAAAAGGAAAGAAGGTAAATATGCACATCATCTAGCTACATACACAGATATGCGCATGCACACAGTAACGTTGAATTCAGCACTGTCCTAGCTTTTTGGTTTTTATCCAGCACTACTCTGCTAGGTGATGTACAGAACACAAATGAGACTGAGTCTCTAGCTGTGTTAGACAGAATCTATTGTATTCATGATGACCCTTGTTGCTAGAGGTCTCCCCACACATTTCACATCTTACCTGCCCAGCAAGAGCTGGATTGCTCTGTTTTCAGCATGTAAATCAAATTCTGAGCCATCAGGCAGTGGCTGAAGAGGCTCTTCAACGGCAGATATGAGGCCAGGGTGCAGGTTTTTAAGATTCCTGGATAAGAAAATATGCCAATAAAGATGAACTAGGCACTTCCCGGGCATGGTACACTCTGGATGCTTTGGACTACAACTCCCATCAGCCCTTGAAGTCATAGTGAATGGCCAGGAGTGATGGAAGTTGTAGTCCAATTTAGCCGAAGGGCACCAGGTTGGTGTCAGGGAACTGACATCGGAGCGAGAGGCGAAGGGGAGGCTCCTAGAAGATGCTGGCGAAGGACCCAGCAGCAGGGGGAGAAACAGCTCAGTAGAGAGGGAAGCATTTAAGCGCAACACCAGGGATAAAGGGGGCCAGATGGGGGAATCGGAGAGAGGGCTCCAGGACTCTTCACTGGAACTCAGTGAGGAGGGGACAGGTCCTCCACTACCCACGCCCTCCCTGCGCAGAAGACTCCCGCGCAGTGAGAGGAGGAGGAGACTGGGTGCCAAACAACTTTTATGTTGGAAGAGGTTCAAGAAACGCCCACTGACGGATTCTGCCAGCAACTGAGGCAGTCACCATGAGAAAGGGCTATGCAGTCAGAAAGGTTTAACAAGGCAAATTAGCCTAGAGAGGCACCAGTTTACGCACGAGTAACTCATACTCATTACAGTTGGGTAAGGCTGAACTAGGAGCGGGGGTGTGTGTGTGTGTGTTATGAAATTAAGCAAGGATAAATTACCAAAACCAATGAGGTTTGTTTGGTGCCAACATTAGCATCATTTAGGCACCAGGCATTTTAACAAATTTTATTGCTATAGGCTGCAGACCCATATACATTTAACTTGTAACAAATCCCATTGGACTTCTGAGATATATAGGATTGTAGTCTTTTGCTATGTTTCGTTCCTGCAGCAAAAAACCCCTAATAACAATCTGTTGGACCAATCTACTGTTTCCATCAATTTAGTATACACACACATACAAAGTTAGATCATATATCTTTGAAATGGGATGTAAATGTACACACTTCATGGTTTTTTTTTCTGATATAGAGTTGGCAACTTGCATACTCCTAATCCAGCAGATGTCAGGGATAGAACCATAACTATTTTGTCTCTGTCTATAGAATTGTTGGTCCCAAGCTACTCTGAAAAAGTGATTTGATACATACTGCTTTTACTAAGCATCCTGAATGCCATTATATCCATGACACAAACATTCCCACATACTCTTCCAAACTCACTTTTCAACTAGTTTGGAGACATCCTGCTTTATAGGCTGAAATTCATAAAGCTGTATATCGGGATCGGGATTCGAAGTCATTGCAGACACTACCATAGCGTTTCGGAGTCTATTGCCTCTATCCAAAAGGGCTGGGGAAAAGAGAACAAGAGTGAACAATGAATTTAAAATAACAACTGTACATACTGACTTATGGGCGAGCCATTCCTTGACCACTCCTATAGGGGAAAGTGCAACGTGACAGAACTTTTTAAAACGATAACATCGTAGATGAAACCCAACTGTTTATATACATACCTGAAAGGAGATCTTTTGTGGGTGGGTTGTTGCAAGAAAGAACATGGGCAGGTTTGGGACTTTCCTTAGCCGACCTCACTTGAGCCTCAAGATCAGAGCCACCGGAAAACAATCCTTGTTGTTTTGGATCATTTGCATTGACAGAATCATTGTGCCCTTGGAGGTGGTGGTGCTGAGGTCGAAAAAACCCTTCTTTTAGGTTCTCGGAGTTCTCCTGAAAGTACAAGTGATCCTTGCCCCTGTTCCAAAACATAAGCACCATCACAAAGTTTAACTCAAGGATGGTTTTTCCAAAATGCCCCTAATGCTGTTCTGGGCATGCATATAAGGTACCAGTATAACTGACAGGGAGAGCTGAATAATGGGGACAGAAAACACACCCTTGCCTTCAGAGCACTGCAGAGTGAAGGGCTAGGGGACATTCTGGCCTGCAGAGTTACTTGGGTACTGAGACATTTGGCAATATGTTCTCCTGAGTTCCACTGAGGCGTGCAGTCTCCTTCTGCATCACCTGACAGAGGTCATCATCAGTGGGGGACACAGAGACAGGGCTCATGAGCCGTTTTGCAACCCAGGATGTTCAAGTCATGGCTTCACATGAACTGGGAAGAGACTGGCACGCCCACCCACCCTGAAATGCTTATGGGTAATGACAGCAATCCGCTTTGACATGCATAACAGACATCTATGCAGCTTCTGATCTGGTGAAATAAGCTTTCCTGAGGAATACTGAGCTCCCTGGGTGCTTAATGGAAGCCAGAGTTCAGCCCATTAGCATTTTTTTTTTAAAGTACTTTAAGCAGGCATAAGACTTACTAGCAGCCGATAGTCTTGTTCAACCCAAATACATGAGAATGCAGAACACAATCATGTTGGTTCCTTGCCAGCAGTGGAAAACCTAGACCATGCTTCTCCCATGCCATTCTTCAAGGGAGGTGTGCAATCTTGAAATGGAGAGTGCTTTTCCCGGACCAGTGGGTTGCCAGCTTTCCATCAATATGAGATTATGGGACAAGGAACCCACTGATGACAATATGGCCTCTCTTTCCATCTCAGATGAGCTCTAGCTGTTCTCCACTTACAAATCAAACCAAAACAAAAGTGTCCGGTACCCTTTCCTGGGTCTCTTGAGGGCCTGCCCTTTCTAGGTTCAGAGGCAATGGAATCTGCAAGAGCCAAAGATGCCCTGAAGGCAGCTCTCCAGCCCACCTGATGGGGTCCACACCCAGAACAGCCAGAGGACCTTGGATGCCTCCTTTTCCCTTGAATATGTGCTATGGGAAAGCGAATGGAGCTGTTTAGGGAAGTTTTTTAATGACTGAGGTTTTAATGTATTTTTAATCTTTTGTTAGAAGCCACCCAGGGTGGCTGGGGAAACCCAGCCAGATGGGTGGGGTAGAAATAATAAATTATTATTTATTATTTCAAGAAAAATGGCAGTTGAGATGACCCCATGAAGCCTTCTAGACATTGCTGAACTCCTGTTCCCGTCATCCCCGATATTTGGCTGTGCCAGTGGGTTGGTGGGAGTTTTGAGGGTCCCACCTCTGGAGGGTCACATGTTCCCCATCCCTGCCATCACTTAGTTAATTTCTACCTTACCCTTCCTCCCAAGGGAGCCCAGGGTGGCAAACAACAGGTGATAAAACGACAAAAGCCTATTAAAGGGCTTCACAACAGAAACAAAAAGCCTCCACCCTGACAAATGTGCGGCTCAAATGTATTTATCTGTCTCTTCAACTTAAAACATTCATTGAGATCAAAATGGAAAACCAAAAAAGAGAAAAACACCTTGGTGTGGTGGCCCTGCTACTGCTAGCAGACTCTCTTCCAACAATATTCGTGCTAGCCGGCCTGTGAGGCTGCGAGGGTACAAGGAATGGGTTAGAGTCAGCCGTTTCTTTGGTTCCCCGGATTGACAAACCAGCACTGAAGCTGACGTCTGTGTTTGGGACGGAGCTGTTGCTGTCATAGGTTTCAGACAGCGGTTCCAGAACAAGCGATACCTGAAAGAAAAAGTTTGAAAGGGCTCAGCAGTAGTAGTTAGCATTTAGAAAGCACATTATTATTATTATTTATTAAATTCGTTAGTAGCTTTATCTTGTGTTTTCCATGCCCACCTCACCATGTGTTGAACTTGGAGCACATAGCTGCCGTGGTGTGGGGATGACCATTAAACAGGGAAAGGTTTGAGAATTACCTGCAGCTCTCCCATCTTCTCAGATGTCGGTGAGACAATGGTGAAAAAACCGCTGATTGGGTGACTTGGAGAGAGCTGTGCCAGCCCATTGATTTGCACCCGGCCAATTGGAAGGTGATTTGGTTTGGCCATTACTTCCAGGACAAGAGCACCCATATCTGTAGGAGGCAAAACAAACAAAAATAAACGAGCTCAATAAACAAAACGTGAAGAAACAGCACAATGTGTGCTTTTACTTCAAGATGCAGAAACAAGTGGCTGAGCTATTCAAGCTACCCTATACAGTGGTGCCTCTGGTTAAGTACTTAATTCGTTCCAGAGGTCCGTTCTTAATCTGAAACTGTTCTTAACCTGAAGCACCACTTTAGCTAATGGGGCCTCCTGCTGCCGCTGCGCCGCCAGACCACGATTTCTGTTCTCATCCTGAAGCAAAGTTCTTAACCCGAGGTATTATTTCTGGGTTAGCGGAGTCTGTAACCTGAAGCGTATGTAACCTGAGGTACCACTGTATATGAAAACCAGTTCCTCACCTCCATCTCTTAGCCATGGCTGGATACTTACCATGATGGAAATAAGAAACTGGTATGGAGGCGGCCCAGGCTGGGGCCTGGAACAAGGGGTGATGGAAGGACCTGAAATGGGGAGAAAGTGAAAGGGGCAATGGGAAGGGGTCTCCCTCCCACCAAAAATAATAAATAAAATCCTTCTAATGCAGGCATCAAACTGAGGGACCATCAGCTAGCAACTTTTATAAGGCTCTGAAAAAGCAGAAGTTGCCCACCGATTATGAGAATGAACCTTATCTGCCAGCAATGCAGAATAATTTTACTGTTTGTTCCATCTCATTCTAAGCTGACTCACTGGGACTTGACTTGAAGGGGCAAAACACAATCACTGCCTTCCTTTTAATAGTAGTAGTAATAATAATAATAATAATTTTTATTTATACCCCGCCCTCCCCAGCCAGAGCCGGGCTCAGGGCAGCTAACACCAATAAAATCACAGTAAAAACATAATGGGGGGGGGGAGGGAAAACCAATTTAAAATACAGGTTAAAATGCAATTTAAAAGGCAGGCTCATTTTAAAAGTAGCCAATTTGTGCTTTAGCAGCTTGTCCAACCCTAAACTAACAAACCACACGCTCATACTTCAAAGAAGTAGCTGTACCTGTCAGATAGGAGACAAACTGTTTTGGTCCACACCGAACTGGGTAGCGGGTCGTAGTTTTGAGGGTTTTTTGCTCGGCCTGCGAGGTATCCCGGGGAACAAAGGCTGTCCCGTCCGATGTTTCTCCCCACCACCTCACCTGGATAAGGAAGGAAGCAGGTGGCTTGGCAACCATCCATAAGATTTTGCTAATGGTCAGCTTCAGAAAGCAACGCAGTTGTCCTTCTACAAGTGGAGGCAAACTTGTAGAGGGGGAGATATCACTGACGTCTGTGGAGAAGAGGTAGAGCACAGCATTACTATTTATCCAAAACAGGCCAGTTAGTTTATTTCTTTTTTAAAACAAACTTTATTTATCATCTTTCAATTATTACATAGTAACCCAATAACATCCAAATACACAACAAAACATCAGCTTCTCTTCTCCCCGCCCCCCTGGTCCATTGTTTTAACTTCTCCCCCCCCTTATGTTTTCTATTTTCTCTCCTATTCCTTCTATTTCAATTTTATCTGTTACAAAACGGAGCTGTGCAATTTAGGTAGTACTGTCCCTAGAATAATTCCCAAATTCTATCAGTGCCAAATTGTATTTTGACGGTTGCTTTTCTTTCTTTGTTTTGAGCTGTTCTTGCTGTTGTCTGCAAGGCACCTCGAGTCCCTTACCAGGCGGCATATATAAATGTAGTTGTAGTAGTGATAATAATACTAATACTAATAATAATAAATTTAAGGTATGTGGCGAGCCCAGTAATCATAATATTAATAAATTTAAGGCATGTGGTGAGCCTGGTAATAATAGAAATAATAATAATAATATTAATAAATTTAGGGCATGTGGGGAGCCCAGTAATAATAGAAATAATAATATAAATAAATTTAAGGCATGTGGTGAGCCCGGGGGGAACGGTTGTCGTTTTAATAATAATAATAATAATAATAATAATAATAATAATAAATTGAAGGTATGTGGTGAGCCCGGGGGGAGCGGTTGTCGTAATAATAATAATAATAATAATAATAATAATAAATTGAAGGTATGTGGTGAGCCCGGGGGGAGCGGTTGTCATTTTAATAATAATAATAATAATAATAATAATAATAATAAATTTAAGGTATGTGGTGAGCCCGGGGGGAGCGGTTGTCATTTTAATAATAATAATAATAATAATAAATTTAAGGTATCTGGTGAGCCCGGGGGGAGCGGTTGTCGTTATAATAATAATAATAATAATAATAATAATAAATTTAAGGTATGTGGTGAGCCCGGGGGGAGCGGTTGTCGTTATAATAATAATAATAATAATAATAATAATAAATTTAAGGTATGTGGTGAGCCCGGGGGGAGCGGTTGTCGTAATAATAATAATAATAATAATAATAAATTTAAGGTATGTGGTGAGCCCAGGGGGAGCGGTTGTCGTTTTAATAATAATAATAATAATAATAATAATAAATTTAAGGTATGTGGTGAGCCCGGGGGGAGCGGTTGTCGTAATAATAATAATAATAATAATAATAAATTGAAGGTATGTGGTGAGCCCGGGGGGAGCGGTTGTCATTTTAATAATAATAATAATAATAATAATAATAAATTTAAGGTATGTGGTGAGCCCGGGGGGAGCGGTTGTCGTAATAATAATAATAATAATAATAATAATAAATTTAAGGTATGTGGTGAGCATGGGGGGAGCGGTTGTCATAATAATAATAATAATAATAATAATAAATTTAAGGTATGTGGTGAGCCCGGGGGGAGCGGTTGTCGTTATAATAATAATAATAATAATAATAATAAATTTAAGGTATGTGGTGAGCCCGGGGGGAGCGGTTGTCATTTTAATAATAATAATAATAATAATAATAATAATAAATTTAAGGTATGTGGTGAGCCGGGGGGGGGCGGTTGTCGTTTTAATAATAATAATAATAATAATAATAATTTAAGGTATGTGGTGAGCCCGGGGGGAGGGGTTGTCGTAATAATAATAATAATAATAATAATAATAAATTGAAGGTATGTGGTGAGCCCGGGGGGAGCGGTTGTCGTAATAATAATAATAATAATAATAAATTTAAGGTATGTGGTGAGCCCGGGGGGAGGGGTTGTCGTTTGCTTCCCTGCCCACCTCACCCACCAATCCGGGGTGGGCGGCTAATGGCACCCCGCCGCGCCCCGTTCCTTTTACGGGGTCCCCGCCCCCCCCGACCCCCCCTCACCTTTCTTCTTGCGGCCGGACCCCGGCCGGGCCGAGCCAGCCGCCTTGGCCTTCCTCTGCTTCATCCTCCCGACTAGGCCCCCCGAGCCCGCTTCCCGCTGCTTAGCAACGGCCGCCGCCGCCGCGCGGCCTTCTGGGAAACCGGCGCCAACGGCGGGAGGAAAGCCCGGCGGGGACTTCGCCGCCTCCGGTGCGACCTCCGACCTCCAGAGGGCGCTGCGGGGCTGCAGGCGCCGCCGAGGAAAGGCGTCTCCGCGGGGACCTTCGCTAGCACCGTAGAGATAAGAATATAGAGGAGCATTCCAGTTGAGGTGCCGCGGCTCTGCTTCTCTCAAAAGCGCAGGGACGGAGAACAAGGGAGAGAGGGAATAATGGCAGCAAAGAGGAACGGCGGGTGAAAAGGGTGGAGTATTCAGATTTAGCAAATTCAACGAATTTAGTAATTATTAGTAATTATTAAGATTACTATGATTATTAGAATTAAAAACAATTTTAGATTTTTAAATAATATTAAGAGTGTTATTTATTTTTAAAATTTATTGTTTATTTAACATAATTGTTACAAAATATAAGCAAAATATAACAACTAAGCACATATATATATGAAAAAAGGAACAAAAGAGAGAAAAAGAAGTAAAGAAGAAAGAAGAAAAAATAAAGAGGGAAAAAAAGAAAAATTGGAAGAATCTCTTTCAACTTAATTCTACAAATATCTCAATACGAAAATAATAAAATTTCATTGATTGACTTCCATCGCTTACACTGCACTTCCTATATACATTTTAAACAAGATTGTATCTGTTATTCTGTATTTTCCCCATACAATCTCACACAAATATTCTAATCAATAAGTTTTCAAAATTTCTCATAAATCTATTCTAAACACACACCTTACATTTAATCCTTGTCTACATAATCATTATTAATTTTAATAGTGATATTAATATCAACATTATTATTATTAACAATAATAAATTATTGTTGTTATAGAATAAGAGATCAGGAAGAGTGGAGTATTTAAAGGAGAGTGGGAAATGTTTGCAGGTTGAAACGTTAGCAGGGATGGAGCGGATTAAAGTACTGTATATGAAGGTATGATTGAGTAAGGAGGACAATAAAACTTATGGAGCAATTAGAATATGCAGTCACAGTGGGTAAATATACAGAACCGCGGAAGGGAGGGCAAGGGAAGGAGATGATTATGACAGTATTAGTAAATTGAACGGAATATGAACATTTGTAATGGAAAAAGTATAAATATATTTCATCTTTTAATCATGGAAAACTAAAAAGCGACTCTACAACTTTACTATCTCTACGGCGCCGCCCCGCCTGGCTCATATCCCAAAACGGAACCGCGCCTCCCAGGGTGCACCGCGGCCGCTCCCGTTCGGAATATTCAGAAACTCCATTTCCCAGCAGGCCTTGGGGCGCGGGGAGGCGTCCTTCCGGCGCAGGCGCGCAGAGGCTGCTGGGAGAGGCTGGCCGGCGGCTCCTTCTGGGAGGGCGGGGGCCGGATCCTGCCCCTTCGCCGCCGCCGCCTCGCCTCTCCCCGCCGCCCTCGCCATGTCCGCCTTGGAGAAGCAGCTGCAGCTGGGCCGCCTGCCCCCTCGCCCGCCGGGACCCGCCGGGGGAAGCGGCCAGGCCCTCCCCAAGATGCGCATGGGGTACGCGAGGGGGAGAGAGAGGGGTGGGGTCGGGGTGGCGGGTGACGTCACGCGGGAGGGAGATGACGTCACGCGGCGGGGGACCAGGGAGGTGGCGTGACGTCATGCGGCTGGGGTGGGGAAGGGGGCGCCGAGTCCAGGAGGGGGCGTGGCTTTGGGGAGGATGAATGGGGCGGGGCGGGGTTTGCCCAGGGTTTATTTAGGGGGTGGGTGGGGTGGGGGGATTTTCCAGAACACGCGTGGGTGGGGAGTCTTTTTTGGGGAGAATGATTGTCTGCAAAATGAAGGGGGACTCTGAAGGGGGGAGGAGGCCTCTTCTTTCAATGGAAGCCTGGTGTGTGTGTCTGTCTCTTAACACACACACATATACATTTATATGTATACATATATATATACGTATGTGTGTGTGTGTGCATGTATGTATGTATATATATAGAGAGAGAGTGGATAAACGTGTATATATGTGTTTATGTGTATCATGGGGGTTTGACATAACCCCACACTCCTCCATTGTCCCCTGAGACAGACAGATGCCAACAGCAAATAGGGGTTATGCGATGTGTAATATGGGGGTGAGGGACGCGGGTGGCGCTGTGGGTTAAACCACAGAGCCTAGGACTTGCCGATCAGAAGGTCGGCAGTTCGAATCCCTGCGACGGGGTGAGCTCCCGTTGCTCGGTCCCTGCTCCTGCCCACCTAGCAGTTTGAAAGCACATCAAAGTGCAAGTAGATAAATAGGTACCGCTCTGGCGGGAAGGTAAACGGCGTTTCCATGCGCTGCTCTGGTTCTCCAGAAGCGGCTTAGTCATGCTGTCCACATGACCCGGAAGCTGTACGCAGGCTCCCTCGGACAATAAAGTGAGATGAGTGCGCAACCCCAGAGTCGTCCACAACTGGACCTAATGGTCAGAGGTCCCTTTTCCTTTACATATATACAATGTGGATATGCGTGTATATATGTATGTGTGTATCATGGGGGTTTGCCATAACCCCAGAGGCACACTCCTCCATTGTCTCCTGAAACAGACAGATCCCAACAGCAAATAGGAGTTATGTGATGTGTAATATGGGGGGTGTGTGTTATATTAATGAGGGGCCCAGTTCCAAAGGACAGGGCGGAAGTGTGTAAAAGTGCCTGCTTTGAAAGGGTGGATAACAACAGTGTTCATACGGTGTTTTCTGAAATGCATTGCGTGCAAAACAGCCCTGCAAGGTAGGCCACCCTAGTTCCCCACTTCCGCCCCCGCCCCCGTTGGCTGAGAGCGTACGAGAAATAACCCTCACCCGCTCTACAAGGTTGGTTCATGAGCACGACTGAATTTATGCATTCAAGGAGGTGCTTTGGAGGCAGTAGTGCGCCCCGTAAAAAGCACTGCTCCTCGGTTGCAGACATGGACAGAGGCCACCTGGGGAATCCCAGGTTGACTGCTGCTTCTGGCCTTATGCTGTGGGGTGTTGCAATTTCTTCACCCTTACACATAGGGTTTAAGGGGTCCTTTTTTTTGCCCGGTGAGAAAGGATGGAGAAGGGGATTCTCCTGGAAACTGAAGTCTGTCGTTTGTGATGTGAAAGCTTAATGCGCTTCTCTCTTCGTTGTAAAAAGGTAAAGGGTAAAGGGACCATTAGGTCCAGTTGTGGCCGACTCTGGGGTTGCGGCGCTCATCTCGCTTTATTGGCCGAGGGAGCCGGCGTACAGCTTCTGGGTCATGTGGCCAGCATGACTAAGCCGCTTTCTGGCAAACCAGAGCAGCGCACGGAAATGCCGTTTACCTTCCCGCCGGAGCGGTACCTATTTATCTACTTGCACTTTGTGCTTTTGAACTGCTAGGTTGGCAGGAGGTGGGACCGAGCAACGGGAGCTCACCCCGTCGCGGGGATTCGAACCTCCGACCTTCTGATCGGCAAGTCCTAGGCTCTGTGGTTTAACCCACAGCGCCACCCACGTCCCGTCATTGTATGTGTTGTAAAAATCACATTGCAATAGGGGTAACCTCAAGGCAGCAACCAGCTCAGAGAATTGGGGGGGGGGGAGGGGGTTTGTGCCTGATCCTGAGCCGGGTGCATGAGATTCCATCAGAGGTAGGTGATGTTCATCCAGCGCAAGCAATGCATGTGGGCTGTGATGGATGGCGGGGTGTGCCGTTTGCAAAAAGGAGGGACCTGAATCCTACTTTCAAAGAGGTGGTGTTTGGGGGAAGGAGAGGACGGTGTTACCATATTGTGGCGCTTGCTGGCCATTTGCCAGGGAAGGCTGGGTGGGGAATCGCTGAAGGAAACCTGCTGTGCATGGAAGATGCAAAGCGACAGCGGAAGGCGTCTCTCGGGGAGGGGCCGTCGCTCGCTGCTCGAACACACCATTTGCACGCAGGAAGTCCCAGGTCCACTCCCCAGTGAAAGCAATAAAAAAACAACAACACTGGCAGCGGAGCCAGCCGAGATCTCCGCCCGAGACTTTGCGGTGAGAACAGCTAATCAGCCTGGACCAGCCTTCCCCTAGTCTTCATGTTCTCCAGATGTTTTCGACGCTTCACTCCCAGCAGCCTTGTCGGAGTCCAAATCATCTGGAGGGCACCAGGTTGGGGAAGCTTGCTCTGCACCACATCTGGCTATGCTTCTGGCAGATCTGAGCAGCTTTTCGGAGGAAGGAGGCCACCTTGAGCTAATAATCTCAGCTTCTGTCTGCACGGTAAAAATAATGCTTGAGGCGAGACTGTTTTGGTGTTGCTGTAGGGAAGAAATTAGGCAAGCGCCACTTTCCTGGCTGGAGTAGTTTCAGGTGAAGCTTCGGAATACAGTCATACCTCGGGTTACAGACGCTTCAGGCTGCGTTTTTTCGGGTTACGGACCCGCTGAAACCCGGAAGTACCGGAACAGGTTACTTCTGGGTTTCGCTGGTCGCACATGCACAGAAGCGCTAAATAGTGCTTTGCACATGTGCAGAAGCACCGAATCTCATCCTGCGCATGGCAGAGGCGCCTCTGCGGTTTGCGAACGCTGCGGGTTGTGAATGTGCATCCAGCACGGATCACGTTCGCAACCCGAGCGCCCACTGTACAGTGGTACCTCGGGTTACATACGCTTCAGGTTACAGACTCCGCTCACCCAGAAATAGTTCTTCAGGTTAAGAACTTTGCTTCAGAATGAGAACAGAAATTGTGCTCCGGCGGCGCGGCAGCAGCAGGAGGCCCCATTAGCTAAAGTGGTGCTTCAGGTTAAGAACAGTTTCAGGTTAAGAACGGACCTCCGGAACAAATTAAGTACTTAACCTGAGGTACCACTGTATCTGGTTGTGAGAGAAGGAGATTTAGCCCCCAAACCTGTGTCCCTATAATCTCATGGAACACCTTATTTGTATGGAATGTGTTTGGCCTTCTCAGCCTCTGATGCATCCCACCAGCAGGGGAGAGGGCTCTTGTGTTCGAATCCTGCTTGCAGGTTTCCCACAGGCATCTGGTTGGCCGCCGTGGGAACAGGATGCTGGACTAGATGGGCCATTGGTCAGATCCAGCATGTTGTTCTTATGTACCCCCAACTCCCATCAACCTAAGTCAGCATGGATAGCAGCCAGGGATGATGGGAGTTGTAGTCTGGCAACATCTGGAAGGCTGCAGGTTGCTGGATGTAGATCAGGCATAGGCGACCTCATCCCTCCAGGTGTTTTGGGACTACAACTCCCATGATCCCTGGCTAACAGGACCAGTGGTCAGGGGTGATGGGAATTGTAGTCCCAAAACATCTGGAGGGCCGAGGTTGCCTATGCCTGATGTAGATCTTGTTGTTGTTGTTGTTTAGTCATTCAGTCGTGTCCAACTCTTCGTCACCCCCTGGACCAGAGCACGCCAGGCACTCCTGTCTTCCACTGCCTCCTGCAGTTCGGTCAAACTCATGCTGGTAGCTTCGAGAACACTGTCCAACCATCTTGTCCTCTGTCGTCCCCTTGTCCTTGTGCCCTCCATCTTTCCCAGCATCAGGGTCTTTTCCAGGGAGCCTCAGCTTCAGGACCTGTCCTTCCAGTGAGCACTCAGGGCTGATTTCCTTAAGAATGGAGAGGTTTGATCTTCTTGCAGTCCATGGGACTCTTAAGAGTCTCCTCCAGCACCAGAATTCAAAAGCATCCATTCTTCGGCGATCAGCCTTCTTTAGGGTCCAGCTCTCACTTCCATGTAGATCTTAGTCTTCGTTATATTAAGTCCCAGGATGATTGTGAAATGTCTGTGTGCCAGCCTGTGATATTACTTCTGTTGCCTGACTCCACCATCCATAAGTATAGATTTCTAAAGCTTTCTTTAGTAAATAAATGAAATGTTGAGTTGCTGGCAAAAGATGTGTTGTGATGAAGCCTGGATTATTTTGTGGTACCCCAGGGGAATCCAATCTGTAATGAAAGGAATGGCCGTAACTTTCTTCTCCTTCTTTTAAATTGCAAGAACGAGGCTGTCGTTGCACATAAAGGGCCTTCCTGCACACAGCAAAATACTTCTTAAGCCACCCAGGTGCAATATTTAAGCGTCGTGTCTCTGTTTTCCAGGCCTGGAAGGAAGCGCGATTATTCTGCTGTCCCGTGGAGCCAGTACTTCGAGTCCATGGAGGATGTTGTGGTTGAGAGCGACTCTGGCAAGGATATATCCTTTTCCCCTCCTTTGTTAAAAAAAATGCCTGATTTATAGGGTCCTCTGTTGCGCACGTAGCTGTAAGGCCACCTGTTTAGAAGCTGCCACCCTCCACTCAGTGTGGCTCCCGGCAGATGGCCTTGGGTGGTGATGTTTGCAAAATGTTTCCCTGACTGAGCTCGCTTTGAGTGGCACTGAACCGATTCAGTGCTGCCAAAGGACGTTGCCAAAGTCTTCTGGGCGTAAAAAAATAAAATAATGTCCTGTTGACTGAGTGACGATGTGTTCCTGGGAGGTGCAGGCGATGTTGCAGCTTGCATCTTAACTCGGAGGTCTTTCTCTTTTTATTTTGAGAAGGTTACAATGTCCTTAACTGTTCATACACTTTTCGAATTTACAAGAGTGGGTCCGAGGGTCCCGTCTTACTCCTTCTACACGGTGGAGGCCATTCTGCCCTTTCCTGGGCTGTGTTTACCGTAAGTGAACAGCTGATTGCACGTCTTTTCCTTTGGTTAATATTTCGTTGTTTACGGAGCCCCGTCTGCATGCGAGGCGCCTTTACAGAATAAACCCGGAAAACGTCCTTCGGGATGAGAATCCATGTTGCGGCTTGATGGCCGCAAGCAAATGCGTTGTGGCTTTCCAGCACAATTGCTGCCTTGTTTTTAAAGGCTATGACGGAGAGCAGGGCACCTGCTGTGAGTGGAGAAGAGAAAACCATACATCGTAAAGACACCACAGTCTCCACTAACCTTTATTCCAAGGAGGCAAGATTGTTGAACCCCCTGGAATCTTACCACTCTTGTGTTGGTGTGTAACACTATACAGAGACACACACATGAACCCCTCTCCGTCCAGGCAAGCATAGAGGTATTATTGCGCTTCCAGGAGCCTTCTAGTCAAGCAGGAGCACAGAATCCCACCCTTTTAACTCTGCGCTGCATGAAACAGACTTTTCTTCAGTTTCTCCTGCATCTACCAATATTGAGCTTCGTGGTGAGGGGCATATTTTTTCTGACTAAGCACCGGGAAGAACTTTGTGACGGCAACAGCCGTTTGATAGAGGAAAAGGCCCCCTCAGAAGGCGGCAGGCTCTCCTTCGTTGGTGGTCTAATAATAATAATAATACAGTGGTGCCTCGCAAGACGGAAAACCCACTAGACGAAAGGGTTTTCCGTTTTGGAGGTGCTTCGCAAAACGAATTTCCTATGTGCTTGCTTCGCAAGACGAAAATGTCTTGCGAGTTCCTGCGGGGTTTTTTTCCTTTTCCCCCCCTTTTTCCCAAGCCGCTAAGCCACTTATCAGCTGATCTTTAAGCCGCTTAACAGCTGATGGCTAAGCCGCTTATCAGCTGATCTTTAAGCCGCTTAACAGCTGATGCTAAGCCGCTTATCAGCTGATCGTTAAGCCGCTTATCAGCTGATCTTTAAGCCGGCTAAGCCGCTAATACTGTAGCGCTAAGCCGCTAAACCTCTAATGGGCTTGCTTCGCAAGACGAAAAAACCCGCAAGACGAAGAGACTCCCGGAACGGATTCTTTTCGTCTTGCGAGGCACCACTGTAATAATAATAATAATAATAATATATTATTTGTACCCGTCCTCATCTGGCTGGGTATTCCCAGCCACTCTGGGCAGCCTCCAACAGAAGGCCAAAAATGCACTAAAACATCAGCCATTAAAAGCTTCCCAAAACAGGGCTGCCTTCAGATGTCTTCTGAATGTCATATATTTGAATTGAATTTATTACAGTCCCAGGCCAGACTCACATACCGTACTAAACAAATCAGAAACACAGTACTGTAAAATTAAGTTTAAATTAACGATCAATATAATGATAAACAATACAATAACGGCAGTGGTTAAAACGTCATATGGTTGTTTATTTCTTTGACATCTGATGGGGGGACGTTCCACAGGGTGGGCGCCACTACCAAGAAGGCCCTCTGCCTGGTTCCCTGTAACTTGGCTTCTCACAATGAGGGAACCGCCAGAAGACCCTCAGAGCCGGACCTCCGTGTCCGGGCTGAACGATGGGGGTGAAGACGCTCCTTCAGCTATACTGGGCCGAGGCCGTTTAGGGCTTTAAAGGTCAGCACCAACACTTTGAATTGTGCTCAGAAACGTACTGGGAGCCAGTGTAGGTCTTTCAAGACCGGTGTTATGTGGTCTCAGCTGCAACCCCCAGTCACCGGTAGCTGCAGTTTCCGAGCTAGCTTCAAAGGTATCCCCATGTAGACCGCGTTGCAGTAGACCAAGCAGGAGGTAACAGAGATTCGGTGATCACCTTTCAGGGATTCTGCAGCTGTGATTCCTGCATTGCAGCGGGTTGGACTAGATGACTCTAGCAACCCCTTCTTCCAACTCTACAATTCTATAAGCTGCTGTTGCTGCCAGTTAAGCTATCCCTGTTTCCCCCCCCTAACCTAGTGTCCTCATTTGTTTTTTGACTACAACTCCCATCAGCTCCAGCCAGAAGGGTCCCAGGTCTGGGAAGTCTAGGGTACTTGGACCAATGGCCTCACTCTCCCCTGTATCTCCTAGCAGAGCTAGGGGAGACTTGTCCTAAACTCTGGACAGCTGCTGCCAGCCAGGGTTGGCAATACAGCTCTCAATGGAACAATGACCTGACTTGGTTGCAGGCGGCTTCCTGTTTGCTTGGACCACTGATGGAAGCAGAACACTGCATGGGAAATCCGATTCAGCATGGCATCCGAACTGGCTGAAGGCAGCAACCCTGTGTCCACTTTACCTGGGTAGCAAGCCACGAGATTTTCGTCTGAGCAGACATGCCCAGGTTTTCGCTGCTACCGACTTGCAGAAATTCCCTCAACCCAGCCCCTGTTTGTCCTTCCTTGGATTCCAGCAGCCCAGTAAATTAAAATAAGGGGAACCTGGATCCTTCCAGGGGCCGTTGGACTCCAACTCCCATCAGCCCCAGCCAACATGGCCTGTGGGATGATGGGAGTTGGAGTTCCGCTACATCCACAGGGCCACAGGCTCCCCATCCCTGGCTTAAAAGTTGGAGAGCATAATGGTTTCCGCTGTTGCAGGCATCCCTTCTCTCCTTGGCTCTTGGGAGCCTTTTCAACAGGCATTCTCCGCCGCTGCCGGGTGCGCCTGGTTTTTTGCCACCCAGTCGATTTTCCTGGAACAAAAGGCCTATTTTTAAAACCCGCCTTGGAGCCTCAATGCCGCTTAATCACTGCAATTCCAAAAATATGTTATTTAGGTGGCAGGAACAAATCACGAAGCGTCATCGTCTTTGCAGCAGGGCTCTTATTTTTCATAAGTGTGCCTGGTGCAAATCCCACCCCACCCTAAAACAGACTGGAGCTTTTTCCCTATTTCCACCCTTCCGACTGAGAGTTCACACATCTCCCCACCCAGTGCAAAGGAAACTTGGATCACCTCCTAAATCCGGGCTGCGGATGGTCCAGGAATCAGCCTGTTTTTACATGAGTAGAATGTGTCCTTTTATTTAAATTAATCTCTGCTTGGTGTTTTTACATGAGTAGAATGTGTGCTTTTATTTAAAATGGGTTATTTGTGGGGCATAGGAATTCGTTCATATTGCCCCCCCCCCCCACAAAAAAAATATAGTCCGGCCCCCCACAAGGTCTGAGGGACAGTGGATCGGCCCCCTGCTGAAAAAGTTTGCTGACCCCTGACATTTTGTCGTGCCTACTTGTTTCCAAAATCTGTTAAATTTGTTGGCGTTTTCTCATGAAGATTTAACACTATGTAATTGCATGGATGGTTTTTTTTAAAAAAAAAATTGTTAAGCAGTACATATTGTTAAAATACAGTGGTACCTCAGGTTACATACGCTTCAGGTTACATACGCTTCAGGTTACAGACTCCGCTAACCCAGAAATAGTGCTTCAGGTTAAGAACTTTGCTTCAGGATGAGAACAGAAATCGTGCTCCGGCGGCGCGGCAGCAGCGGGAGGCCCCATTAGCTAAAGTGGTGTTTCAGGTTAAGAACAGTTTCAGGTTAAGTGTGGACCTCCGGAAGGAATTAAGTACTTAACCCAAGGTACCACTGTAAGTAAAATAAATGTTAAGACCTTCACACCAGGAGCTTTAAATTTACTGGCGTTGCATTGGAGCCGCAGACTGTGGCATTTCCAGTATGGCGTATTGGTGAGAGTGTCAGATTCGAACCTGGGAGAGACCAGGGTTCAAATCCCCATTTGGCCGTGAAGCTCACTGGGGGGGGGGCGGGGGCCGGACCTTAGAACGGTTCCCTGCCTCTCGGCCTACCTACCTCACCGGGTTGTTGTGGGTATTAAATGAGGAGGGGGAGAAGACCTACGTATGCCACCTTGGGGAGGAAATGGTCATGAACAAAATTTATTCACCACAGAATTCGGTTTCGGAAGCACCTCGGCTTTCGGATTAAATTTTTCACCAGGTTTCTAGCCCACCTAATCCCGGCTGAACCTGTTGAAATCTCTGAAGGCGGGGGGGGGGGGGCTGGGTGGCGTCTGTAGCACTCCAAGAGCCGTGCTTTTGTACAGTCATACCTTGGGATGAATACTCTTCAGGTTAAGCATTTTCGGGTTGCGCTCCCCGGCGACCCGGAAGTAACGGAACGTGTTACTTCCAGGTTTCGCTGCATGCGCAGACGCTCAAAATGATGTCATGCGCAGAAGCAGCGAAACGCGACCCACGCATGCGCAGCCGCGTGTTACGTTCGCTTCTGGATGCGAATGGGGCTCTGGAACAGATCCCGTTCACATCCAGAGGTACCACTGTATTCCCCCTTTTTTTTACTGCTCCCCCTGATTAGCGAGAGCAGCTAAAAAACAATACCAGGCAGTTAAAACCTGCAGAATAAATTATTCTAAAGTGGAGGTGACACGCATTGCAGGGGGTTGGACAATTCTACAATTCTATGACTCATGTTTACTTCTGCTTGGGTCTGCAGAATTCATTTTTTTCCTGCTCTGAGGATGTGGGTCACCTTGTCCCGATTTCAGCCTTTTCTTCTTTAAGTGGGTCGCCTTGTCCCCATTGCACAGCCCCCTTCCACTACTTAAAAGACCAGAGGCCCCTCCGAGAGACTTGGCCTTCTCCCAGTCCCACTGTTTCCCCACTCTCTCTCCCAACCCACTTAGCTTCATTCATATTCCTGGTGGGCCTCCTTGCTACTTTACGCTGCTCCAAGCTGCCTGCCCTCTTTGTCAATGGGACCAGAGCGCTCCCTCTGGCCGGCAGCCCCTTCCCTTCCCAGCGGGCTTTCCAAACTGGCCGCATCGCAAACAGTTGTCACGCAATGTTCGTTCCTCACCTCGGCCGTCCAGATGTTTTTGGCCTACAACTTCCATGATCCCTAGCTAGCAGGACCAGTGGTCAGAGATGATGGGAATTGTAGTCTCAAAAATATCTGGAGTGCCAAGGTTGAGGAAGCCTGATCTAGACCAACCCCCTGCAATTCAGGGATATGTGTGTGTACTTTTACTTACATTTTCACTGTTTATGGTCACCTTAATGCCTGATCTTTTTATAATCATTATTTTTTAGTGGATATGTAGTTCATATTGTTCTATATATAAATAAAATAAATTTTTCTGTTTTTCAATCTAAAATATTCATTTTAGCAACCTTAAAATTTCAATTCTTCCCTTCTTCTCTTTCCATGGTTCATTTTGCATAACATAAATCCCTGCATATTTTATATAAACCTTTCAGTATTCCATTATTACATCCATCAAAACTTATTTACACTGTTGAATTTATCTTAATGCTGCCAGCATTTTCAGGTGTACACAATTCCCCCCATATATTCAATAAACGTTTTCCAGTCTTCTCTAGATGTATGTTCTTTTATTCTGTATGTCAGGTCTGCAAGCTACACATATTCCATCAGTTTAAGTTGCCATTCGTCTTTGGTTGGGACCTCTCTCATTTTACAGTTTGGGGCTAACAAAACACAGATCACAACAGTGGCATACATTAATATCCTTTTTTGACACCTGGGAATTTCCACCTGAATTATCCTCAAAAGAAAGGACTCTGGTTTCTTTGGAAAAGTGCTTTTTAAACATTTCCCCCCTCAATTCATTATAAATTATTTCCCAATAGTTCATATTGTACTTTTGTAAACGCCTTACAAGTATGGGTGATTAAGCCGTGTATAAGCCCTGTTAAATAAAACAGATAAATGAAATCTTTTCCTTCCTTGCAGTCTGCCATCATCAGCCGTGTCCAGTGCCGGATCGTGGCTTTGGATCTGAGAGGACATGGTAAGGAATCCTTTCAGAAATAAGAAGCGACTCTTTTTTCTTTTTTTTTGGTACTGCTGTGGGTTTTTCTTTCCACAGCCAACCACCCCCTCTACTCCCTGACCTTAAATATAAATGGCAGTTCTCTCCGAAGGATTCATTAAAAGATTATATCGAGCCATCTAGACCCACCTAGTGTGGTTAAATTATTTTATTCCAAAAACGTTTTACTCTGCCATTCGCCCAAAAGGCTCTTGCGATTGCCAAGACACAGGAAGTCTTTTTTTTAAAAAAATGCACACAACAATTCAATAAAACAAGTAGACATTAACATTGCAAAATGCAGGCAGCAGGTTGTTTTAAATGAGACCACCTTGTGAGCCCTGGAAGACCCGCACCCTGCCTTGCTGGAACTTTCTCATCTGGCCTGGGAGTGCGGACTGACTCCAGCTACAAAAGCTGTTGAACAGATTCTTGGGCTGGTGTATTTATTCACGGGAGGTTGAGAGAGCTTGTTGCTGTTATTGATATTATTGCTGTATCTTTAGTTTTAGATCTTAGGATTTACGTGGAAATTGTTTCCATTTGGTTGTGTGCTTTATTTATTGTTTATGACTTCGGTAGTGTTTGTAATTATGTAAATCTTGTCATGTTGTAAGCCGCCTTGAGCATTGTTTCAGTTATGGAAAGGCGGTATACAAATAAAATGATGATGGTGATGAATTTCAGGAACCAAAATGTCATATTGAGAGTCATATTGTTAGAATAAAGCAGCATATGAATTTTGTCAAACGGATCAAGTAAAAGAAATCCGCTTTCCTTTGCAGGTGAGACGAAAGTTAGGAACCCAGAAGACCTCTCTGCGGAGACGATGTCCAAGTAGGTTGTTCCGTAGTCTAGCCTTGCTGTGCTTGGTTTTCTCAGCCGTATAGACAAAACCCATTCCGAGGTGCCCTTGATTTTGACGAGGACTTAAGGGTGAAGTTGGAAGACCTGAGACTGGCCCTTAAGCATCCGTCAAAGCGATAAAACTCTCTCCGTGCTAAAAAGTGTCCTGGCTCTGGGCATTTGGCTGTCTGCCTAGCACAGGGGTCAACAAACTTTTTTTGGAGGGGACCGGCTCACTGTCCCCCCCCCCCACCTTGTGGCGGGCTGGACTGCGCACGCAGTGGAGGGGGCTTCTCTCTCTCTCCCCCAGCCCCTCCCCTCCCCCTGCCTACCTATAGTGCTGCTGGTGCAAGGGCAGGCTGCTGGCTCTGGAGAGGTGCTGCGTTGCACTCTGCCAACCGCGGCTCCTGTGCCTCCCCTTGCGAGCGGCAGAGGCTGGCGGCGGCGGAGGGATGAGCGGCCCAAAAGGGCTGGCTGGCTCCAGAGAGGTGCTGCCCCAAATGGCGCTCAGCCAGCTCAGCCCAGCCCCCTTCCTCCTCTAGGCAGGGCAGGGAGAAGCCAGGAGGAGGGAGGGAGAAGGTGCCACGGTGTGTGAGAGGGAGAGGGGGGGAAATGGCGGCGCAGGGGGAAAAATTAATGAAAATTAACGAACAGAATTCACACGATCCATGGACCTTCTCGCAGGCCAGATCCTGGGGGCAATTGGGCCAGATCTGGCCTGCGGCCCATAGTTTGCCGACCCCTGGCCTAGCAGTTCGAAAGCACACCAGTGCAAGTAGATAAATAGGTACCGCTGTGGCGGGAAGGTAAACGGCGTTTCTGTGCGCTCTGCTTTCCGTCATGGTGTCCCGTTGCACCAGAAGCGGTTTAGTCCTGTTGGCCACATGACCCAGAAAGCTGTCTGTGGACAAACGCCGGCTCCCTCGGCCTGAAAGCAAGATGAGAGCCGCAACCCCATAGTCGCCTTGGGCTGGACTTAATCGTCCAGGGGTCCTTTACCTTTTACCTTACCTGGTCCTCAGCTGTAGCCCAACCGTTCTTAGGCCAGGCTCTTTGAAATTCAGTCATCAACCCACCCTGCAAATTTATTTTCTTGAGTCTCCAGCTTGGCATAGCTGCCTTGCGAAGGTGACAGAGTCCTTCACGCTGGCAGGGACATTTGCCTCCTTGCAGAGCGGCCATCTGTGAAGTTTGCGACATTTGTGTGTCAGCGTCGGGGTCTTGGAGAGATCCCTTCTGCAAAGACTTTCTCCCGATAGCGGCCTGGAGCGAGAGATTTTGACAAATGGCTGTAGCTAACTCGCTTAAAAAAAATAATCTAGCCTATCTTTCATCTGAGCATCTTTCTGGACTAAATCAAGGCATCGGTTTTCCAAGGGCAAAGAGGGTTTTGTGTAAGAGATACAAATGCAGTATCTTAAATCCAACGTGGTACAGGTTTATAGGGAGACAATGGTGCTTTTGCCAACTTTTTCCAAAAATCGGAACTGGAGAGGATGTTTGCACTTATCTAGTATTTTTTTATTTACCCCATATGCACAAGGGGTTGTGTTCCATGTCATTGCACATTTGGTTGGAAATCGGAAATCCATTTTAAAAAGCCTGCAGACACCCCATTCGGCCTTTTAGTGTCGTTTCAGTGACGTCTTTGTGACGTTTCTGGGTCACTTCTGGGTTCATGCTGTCCTCGGTCATGCCTAAAATGGGAGTTTTCTGTACAGTGGTACCTTGGTTCTCAAACTTAATCTGTTCTGGAAGTCCGTTCCAAAACCAAAGTGCGAAGAGGTCGCCTTCCAACTGTTCACGGGTGTCAAGTTCCTGAGGAAGGTGAGGGAAAGCTGCTGTGGTCCCTCTTCTCCCTCGGAAGCATAGGTGCTCAGGGATGTTTAGCACCCCAGGACAGAAAATGTGGGTGCCCTCGCTTGCCTCTCCCGCCAGGCTCTGCCTTCGTATTATACGATGCAGGCTTTGGAAAACGCCCGTCGTTTTTGGGTGACGATAAACAGGCCCTTGCTTCTGCCTCCTTGAAAGCAGCCAAACGAAAAAGAATTACAGTGGTACCTTGGTTCTCAAACTTAATCCATTCCGGAAGTCCGTTCCAAAACCAAAACATTCCAAAACCAAGGCGCGCTTCCCCGTAGAAAGTAATGCAAAATGGATTAATCCATTCCAGACTTTTAAAAATGACCCCTAAAACAGCAATTTAACATGAATTTTACTATCTAACGAGACCATTGATCTATAAAATGAAAGCAATAATCAATGCACTGTACTATGAAATAAATAAGACAGTATTGTAGATGATAAAAATTAAAAGTATTTTGTTTTCTTACCTGCACTGATGATCGTCATTGTTTGGATGGGGGGCTTTTATCCATTTCCGCAGGCACACAATCAGTCAGTAGCTGAACTGGGTTCCACACAGACATAAAAACAAATTAACCTGAAAAAACCTCAAAAACAAAAACGCAAAATAAATAGCAAAAAAAAAAAAGTGCCAAACTTAATCCGTTCCAGAAGTCCGTTTGACTTTCAGAATGTTTGAAAACCAAGGCGCAGCTTCTGATTGGTGCAGGAAACAATCGCCGACAGCCGCATCGGACGTTCGGCTTCTGAAAAACGTTTGAAAACCGGAACACTTACTTCTGGGGTTTTTTTTTGTTTTTTTAAATAATGTTTATTAAAAGTTTAGAAATTACAGAAAAAAGAAAAAAACAAAGTTAAACATAGCAAAGCAATACAATACAACACATATAAAACAGAAAACACTACTTATCTTAACAAAACAAAAACAGAAACAATTAAAAACACATCCAATATTTCCAGATCTTATCTTTCATTTACTTGTTTCGACGACCTCCTCACACCTCCCTTTTTTGTATTCTAGTTCAATTAGCTATTTCAGCAAATCCTTTCCATCTTTCTCAGTTTTTGCCCCATAATTTATCTTAACACAATCTGACCTTATTTTTTTCCCCTTTAGCCCATTAACAGTCTATTTTTATTTAATTCTTTATAACATTTCTGCTAAAGCCATATAACTTCATTCCAGCATCCTTCTAACATTCATTCACTTACTTCTGGGTTTTCGATGTTTGGGAACCAAGGCATTTGAGAACCAAGGGACCATTGTATTTGTATGCTAATTTATATGAATGAATCAGTCATGAATCAATCATCTAGTCCAACCCCCTTCAATGCAGGAATATGCAGGTGGCCCATATGGGAATCGAACCCACAACCTTGGCATTGCCAGTGCCTTGCTGCAACCAGCTGAGCTGAAACAGTGGCTCCCAGCTCCCAGGAGCTCAAGGTGACATGCATGGTCCTCTGCCCTCGCACTGGAAGATAGGCAGCTAACTTATACAAAAGCAAACCGCGGCCAATCTAGCTCTGTGTCTCCAACACCCCAGAGTTTCAGACACGCCTACCGGGAGAAGCGAAGGATGTGTGCCTCTGAGCTCTGGCCCATGCAAGTAAATAAGCAATCACTCAGGGGTTGAGCCGGAGACTCTTAATCTCAGGGTTGCGGGTTCGAGCGCCACCTTGGGCGAAAACTTCCTGCATTGCAGCGGGTTGGACTAGATGGCCCTCGGGGTCCCTTCCGCTTCGACAGTTCTGTGATTCCAAGTATTGTCCTGTGTGCAAGGAGCAACCAGCTTGTGCCTTTCTTTTATGCAGGGACGTCGGAAGCGTGGTGGAAGCCATGTACGGGGACCTCGCCCCGCCCATCATGCTGATTGGCCACAGCATGGGCGGGGCTATCGCCGTGCACACGGCAGCGTCCAACCTGGTGCCCAGTTTGCTGGGCCTCTGCATGATTGATGTAGTGGAAGGTAAGAGTTGGCGTCACTTGGCGCTTGTTCCTTTGGTTCCTTTCCTATTTCTCAGGCATGTTTCCCTCCCCTTATGGTTTTGATTTATTGGCTATTTTAAATTGCATTTTAACCTTTATTTTAATATTGCCCCCCCCTCTTTCCCCCCCCATTATGTTTTTACTGTGATTTTATTGGTGTCAGCCGCCCTGAGCCCGGCTCTGGCTGGGGAGGGCGGGGTATAAATAAAATTTATTATTATTATTATTATTATTATTATTAGTCTCGCTGCGGGACATACAGTGGTGCCTCGCAAGACAAAATTAATCCGTTCCGCAAGTCTCTTCGTCTTGCGTTTTTTTCGTCTTGCGAAGCACGGCTATTAGCTGCTTAGCGGCTTAGTGGCTATTAGCGGCTTAGCGGCTATTAACGGCTTAGCGGCTTTAAGAAAAAGGAAACAAACTCGCAAGAACTCACAAGACGTTTCGTCTTGTGAAGCAAGCCCATAGGGAAATTCGTCTTGCGGAACGACTCAAAAAACGGAAAACTCTTTCGTCTTGCGCGTTTTTCGTCTTGCGAGGCATTCGTCTTGCGAGGTACCACTGTACTAGGCCAGCATTTGCCTCTATATAGGCCGGCCTTTTGGGAAAACACCAGCTGCCACCCTTTCTCTTTTCTTTCCATTAAAGCAAACCTCCAGGCATGCCCATAGCAGTTTTTCTCTTTCTTTTTGTGTTTTGTTTTTTTATTCAGTTTTCTATTTGACAATTTAAAATAGTCATTAAACAACCTTAAAATGTCAATGACTTCCCTTCTTCTCTTTCCATGGTTCAGTTTGCATATCGTAAACCCCTGCATATTTTACGTACACCGGGCACATCCAACTCTCTTGAGACTACGATCTGCACCCAGTATAATAAAACTGGCAGTTATCTACCCATTGTCGAACTTTTTTGGGGGGAGGATTGCCCATAGTTGTCAAGCTTTTTTAAGGGGGGAGTAGTGCACCCAGAATTGTTCAGCTTTTTTGGGGTTAAGAACTTTGCTTCAGGATGAGAACAGAAATTGTGCTTCGGCAGCGCAGCGGCAGCGGGAGGCCCCATTAGCTAAAGTGGTGCTTCAGGTTAAGAACAGTTTCAGGTTAAGAACGGACCTCTGGAACAAATTAAGTACTTAACCTGAGGTACCACTGTACATCCATCAAAACTTGTTTACACTGTTGAATTTATCTTAATGCTGCCAGCGTTTCCAAGTGCACACAGTTTCCCCCCATATATTCAATAAACGTTTTCCAGTCTTCTTTAGACGTATGTTCTTGTTCTCTTATTCTATATGTTAGGTCTGCAAAGCATCTCATATTCTGTCGGCTTAAGTTGCCATTCTTCTTTAGTTGGGACCTCAGCAGTTTTTCTATTTAAATCATGAGGTCTAGAAACCTTTTTTTTTTAAAGCAAGTAAGTTTCTAGATCTCATGATTCAAAAGGAAAAACTGCTATGGGGGTATAAGGATAGGGGGACTATGAATGGGGCACCCTTGATTTCATCCCAGTCACAGTTATGTAGGTTTGGATATCATCTCTTCTGTAAAACACTGGTTTGCTTCATGCCAGGTTTTCCCCCTTTCTTGTTCATAGGCACAGCCATGGATGCCCTTAACAGCATGCAGAATTTCCTTCGGAGTCGCCCAAAGACATTCAAATCTCTGGAGAATGCCATTGAATGGAGGTAAAGGGGAAATTTTGGGCATCTTACACAGCCCATTGCAAAGGGAGCCCATTTACAGTCTTCTCTACTAGGAAAGCGATTCATTCTCTCTCTGTCTCTCTCTATCAAATTTCCTATTTTACAATTTCAAGGAAGCATTTTACAAACTTTAAGCTACCCAGTGACTTCCCTTCTTCTCTTTCCATGGTTCATTTTACATATCATACACCCCTGAGTATTTTACTAGTAAAGGGTATTTCACTAGTAAAGGGTAAAGGGACCCCTGACCATTAGGTCCAGTCGTGGCCGACTCTGGGGTTGTGGCGCTCATCTCGCTTTATTGGCCGAGGGAGCTGGCATACAGCTTCCGGGTCATGTGGCCAGCATGACTAAGCCGCTTCTGGCGAACCAGAGCAGCGCACGGAAACGCCATTTACCTTCCTGCCGGAGCGGTACCTATTTACCTACTTGCACTTTGATGTGCTTTCGAACTGCTAGGTGGGCAAGAGCAGGGACCGAGCAGCGGGAGTTCACCCCGTCGCAGGGATTCGAACCACCGACCTTCTGATCGGCAAGCCCAAGAGGGTCAGTGGTTTAACCCACAGCGCCACCCGTGTCCCTGAGTATTTTACTATAAGCATTCAAATCAGTTTTCCACTTGTACATCCATCAAAAATGATTTACTCTGTTGAATTTATCTTAATGCTGCCAGCGTTTTCAGCTGCATACAATTATTTTCCAGATATTCAATAAATGCTTTCCAGTCTTCTTTAAACGTATGTTCTTGTTCTCTTATTCTATATGTTAAATATGCAAGTTCTGCATATTCCGTCAACTTCAGTTGCCCACCCTCTTGAGTTGGGACCTCACTCACTTTCCATTTTTGGGGCTAACGAACCACGGGCTGCAATTGTTGCACACATAAATAACCTTTTCTGACACCTGGGAATTTCATTCTGGGTTATCCCAAACAAAAAGGACTTTGTTTTTTGGGGGAAAGTAATTTTAAACGTTTTTTTCAGTTCAGTATAAATAATTTCCCAATTTCCTTTTACCTTTTTACATGTCCACCACATGTGGAAGAACGTTCCTTCTACTTCTTTACACTTCCAACACTAATCTGATTCTGCTTTATAAATCTTAGCCAACCTACTCGGAGTTTACCATCTGTGAATCATTTTCAAGTAGTTCTCTTTCAATGAATAGCATGCTGTAAATTTCTGGTTGCTTTTCCTAAGTTTCTCCCAGAGGTTAAGATCTACGGTATATTATGACCTATATTGCCCATTGTATCACTGAAGCTTTAACAAGCTCGTCTTTTGTTTCCCATTCCAATAAAAAATTACACATTTTAGACAAAGGTTTAAATTTTGCAGGAGTTCTTTTTCAAATTGCGAACTTTGGTCAAAAAATCCATTCTTTCTATCTAATTTAAATGTATCGTGTAACTGGTGATACTGCAAACCATCCGTAACTTGGCTCCTTAGGTTTTCCACTGGTTTTATTTTGGGTTCCCCACTCTATAAAATCTAGCTGTTCCCTGTAGGGAAAGTGATTCTTTGCTTGCTGAGCTCTGCTAAAAAGCAGCAGGCAGTAAGCAGGGTGGATTTGATTTAAATCAAATCGATTTCAATCACAATTTAAATCACTAGCCAGTAAGACTTGATTTAAATCTTTTTTTTTTTACAGAAAGACTCATTCTTGCTGGTAGACTCTTCATATTTACAACCAGATGAAGGTTTCATTTTTGGAATAATAAATTTTCAGAGTAGTTTTTACAGTTATATCAAAAATTACTGATTTGGCTATACTATTAGGAATGCACTGACAGATAATTATGCAATTATTGTGTGGTTTAATAAGTAACTGTTTATATTTGGACAACTTTTCTGCTGTCCTTTATTGGAAGGAGAAAAATAACCATTTCCTTAATAACAATTGAAACAATTTATTTAACTAAAACAATAATATTATAGCATATGTATCCATGTTTGTTAACTGATGTGGTTAAATGTTTTTTTTTAAAAAACGAACAAACCTTAGACTGAGTTTTAGCGCACATGAAAAACTTAAAACAAATTCTTATTTCCTGAAGAATAGCCTTTGGACTATAATGTAACTTAAATAGAAAACGATCTTTAGAAAGATTTCCCCTCCAAATGCATTTTATTTTTAAAATCCAAAAAATCCATAAAAATAAAAATAAATAAATTGATTTTTATCCACTCTGGCACTAACTAACCCCCATCTAATGGCTGTTTCCTTTTCTCCTTCTCTAGCGTAAAGAGTGGACAGATACGGAATCTTGAATCTGCCAGGGTTTCTATGGTTGGCCAAGTCAAACAGTAAGTCGTGCCTTCTTCAGTTGCCTTTTATCGCGTGCTTCTGCCCCGTTTTCATACATGGATGTGTGAAATGATGGTGGGAGCTTCTCATGGCTGTGACATTCCCGCAGGAGCCGATCTTCTGGGGTTTGGATTGCAACTTAACAGGTGTGTGCTCTCCCTAAAATTCCACTGAGGAACCCCAGTCAGGTAGTTTAGATTTTTATTTTCTTTGGGGGGGGTCCTGTAGATAATAAACATCAAAGGCAGCATAGGGTTACAGTGGTGCATCGCAAGACGAAATTAATCCGTTCCGCGAGTCTCTTCGTCTTGCGGTTTTTTCGTCTTGCGAAGCACGGCTATTAGCGGCTTAGCGGCTATTAGCGGCTTAGCGGCTATTAACGGCTTAGCGGCTATTAACGGCTTAGCGGCTTTAAGAAAAAGGAAACAAACTCGCAAGAACTCGGAAGACGTTTCGTCTTGCGAAGCAAGCCCATAGGGAAATTCGTCTTGCGGAGCGACTCAAAAAACGGAAAACTCTTTCGTCTAGCGAGTTTTTCGTCTTGCGAGGCATTCGTCTTGCGGGGCACCACTGTATCAGGCACAGCAGAAGGAGCAAAAGGAATTATGCGGACATTATTTTTAAAAGGCACAACCAAAAAATACTTTAACCGTACATAGAATTCTGACTCGGAACTTGCCTCCCCTTTGCCGGACAGCCCGGCACTGTGACTTTTCCTGAAGCTTAGTAGGAATATTGGGGGAGCGGGGCTTGAAAGCCATGTTTTGAGTGGGACCACATTGCGGTCTTCCAAATCCAAACCTTTATCTTTAAATACTATATTTTTCACTCTATAAGACGCACCAGACCATAAGACGCACCTAGTTTTTGGAGGAGGAAAACAAGAAAAAAAACATTCTGAATCCCAGAAGCCAGAACAGCAAGAGGGATCGCTGCGCAGTGAAAGCAGCGATCCCTCTTGCTGTTCTGGCTTCTGGGATAGCTGTGCAGCCTGCATTCGCTCCATAAGACGCACACACATTTCCCCTTACTTTTTTGGAGGGGAAAAGTGAGTCTTATGGAGCAAAAAATATGGTACTTCCATGCCACTTAATCCCTGTTACCCCATTCTGGGAGAAATTTTCCTTGGGGCTACAAGTACAGAGGCTCACACCACTTATCCAGTTGGTCAGGCTTTATTCAGTAATGCTTTACGGGACAAAGACCAGAGAATCTGTGAGATCTTTGCATTACAATGCACTCTGTATAGGAAAAATATACATATTCTGAGCTGTTCCATCTAACTCTTCATCCAACCACAGTCCTCGAAAATCAACTTTACTCAACTGATTTATTTTTGCTGTACAGTCGTACCTTGGAAGGCGGAATCCGTTCGACTTCCAAGGTATGACTGTACAGCAAAAATAAATCAGTCCGTTCGACTTCCAAAACGTTCGGAAACCAAAGTGCAGTTTCGAAGCTCCTGCAGCCAATCAGAAGCCCCGTCGGACGTTCGGCTTCCAAAAGAATGTTCGAAAACCGAAACACTCACAAATCAGTCTGGGAGCTAATTTGTTCGGGAGCGAAGGAGTTTGAAATCCAAGGTATGACTGTATTTGTTAGAACCCTCCCTGTACCTTATCTGGAGTTGTTTTTCTCTCTAGCATTCTGCTATTAGGTTCCCCGCTCAACTGGCTTTTACCAGTTTTGTGGTCAGACTGCACTCTTGCGTCCGTGACGCTGGCCTCGCGGACGATAAGAATAATAAATTTTATTTATACCCCACCCTCCCCAGCCAAGGCCGGGCTCAGGGCGGCTAACAACCAATAATAAAAACAAGCTGAATGAATACAACTTAAAAACAAGATTAAAATACAACATTAAAACATTAAAATACAGCCTCATCACAGGAGGAGAAAGGAAAAAAGGAGGAGGGGGAGGGAATCAATGAGTTTTACAGAAATCCCACATCCTTGCCCGGGGAAGGAAGAAAGGCATTCTGCCCCCGGGATTCCGGAAACCAAAACTAAACATTATGGGACCTACATCGGGTGTGATAACTTCAGTTTCCTATGTAACACGCTGGTATTTCCCCCCGTCTCATTAAGGCCAAGGTGGAGCGTTTCAAATTGACTTGAGGGTCTTCTTGTCCAGGTCTCCTTCACTCCTTGTTGTTCCTTTGAACCAGGTGCGAAGGTGCAGCCAGCCCTGGAGGTCCCAAAACCATCGTGGAGGGGATCATAGAGGAGGAGGAAGAGGAGGAGGAAGACGAAAATGGAGAATCGGTGAACAAAAGGAAGAAGGATGATGACACAGAGGTGAGGAAGGCATCTTGTCAGGATTGGGAGAATAACTGTGGGCCTCTGGCTGTTGTCGGGCTGTCAGGCAGGGGTGATGGGGTCGGAGTATAGCAACATCTAGAGAATCACAGATATTCCCCATCCCTGACCCACAGGCTGCCTCTTCCCTCTCTTTCCCCACAACCTCTGAATTCTTCTTCAGCAGCATAATAATAATAATAATAATAATAATAATAATAATAATATATTTGTTCCCCAGCCACTCTGGGCGGCTCCCAGCAGAATATTAAAAATACGATAAAAGATCAAACATTAAAAACTTCCCTAAACAGGGCTGCCTACAGATGTCTGGTTAAATACAGGACTGGTTATGATTTATGAAGCCCTATATGGCTCAGGTCCAGGTTATCTGAAGGACTGTATTTCCCCATAAGAACCTGCCCAAGTTTTGAGAACTTCCAAGGATGCCCTTCAGGGAAAACAGGGTCTTCTCAGCAGTGGCTTCTCCCAGGCAACTTTGGAACTCCCTGCCTGGAAAAGTCAGACTGGCTCCCTCCTTGCTGTCCTCCTGCTAGCAAGTGAAGACCAAGAGGCTTTGGGGAACTGACTGTTTTGAATGAAAACAGTCTCATGGATATCATAATAATGATAATAATTTATTATTTATACCCCGCCCATGTGGCCGGGTTTCCCCAGCCACTCTGGGCGACTTCCAACAAAATATTAAAAATCCAAGAAAACATGAAACCTCAAAAACTTCCCTAAACAGGGCTGCCTTCAGATGTCTTCTAAAAGTCAGATAGTTGTTTATTTCCTTGACATCTGGTGGGAGGGTGTTCCACAGGGTGGGCACCACCACCAAGAAGGCCCTCTGCCTGGTTCTCTGCAACCTTGCTTCTCGCAGGGAGGGAACTGCCAGAAGGCCCTTGGAGCTGGACCTCAGTGTCCGGGCAGAATGATGGGGGTGGTGGAGACACTCCTTCAGGTATACTGGGCATAAGCCATTTAGGGCTTTATAGGTTCAAATCCCCGTGACAGGGTGAGCTCTCGTTGCTCTGTCTTAGCTTCTGCCAAACTAGCAGTTTAAAAGCACACCTGTGCAACTAGATAAATAGGTACCGCGGCGGCGGGAAGGTGAACAGCATTTCTGGGCGTTCTGGTTCATAGCTGTCAACTTTCCCCTTTTCTTGTGAGGAATCCTATTCGGAATAAGGGAATTTCCCTTAAAAAAGGGGAAACGTTGTCAGCTATGCTCTGATTTCTGTCACGGTGTCCTGTCGTGCCAGAAGCAGTTTAGTCATGCTGGCCACACGACCCGGAAGCTGTCTGTGGACAAACGCCGGCTCCCTCGGCCTGAAAGCGAGATGAGCGCCACAACCCCATAGTCTCCTTTGACTGGACTTAACCGTCCAGGGGTCCTTTACCTTTTACCCTTTATAGGTCAACACCAACACTTTGAATTGTGTTCGGAATAATATTAACGGCATCCTCCCCTCCTCTTACGCTTCCATGGATCCAGGCTGGGATACAACAGGGCTGGGGCAAACATTGCGGCCTTCTGGCACTTCCAGACTCTTATCTCCCATCAGCCTTGCCCCAACGGTCAGGGATGATGGGAGTTGTAGTCCTCCGGGATCTGGCGGACTGCAACCCAATGCTCGCATGATGCGTTTCTGGCATTTTAAAGCGGACATCTTCTGTCTCCCCTACGCCCTCCCCTGAAAAAAAGACCAAGAAGGATGTGGCCTACACATGGCGGATTGAGCTGGCGAAAACGGAAACGTACTGGGATGGCTGGTTCCGGGGCCTTTCGAACCTCTTCCTCAACTGCTCTGTTCCCAAGCTGCTGCTTTTGGCCGGTAAGTGTATTTCTCTCTCTGCTTTCTTCTGCAAGCCCCACAAAGACACTCCGCCCCCCAATTCCTTGTGGAGATTCTCCTTGTCACTGCTCACAGGTCAGATTGCCCTGGCTTTGTCTGCCCTGTGAGGGAGGAAGGGTGTTTTCTTTACAGGTAGCATTCTGCAGCCAGGTACTGAGGCGTTCCCAAAGCAAAGGAAGGACTGAACTCTACATTTTCTAATTTGGCTTTCGGTGTCTTTTTTTTCAGTTGATGGGCAGAGAAAACGTCCCTGAGCCCTGTGTCAATTGTCCCCCATCCTTAATAAAACAGCAATTCCAGCAAGTTCTGGATTATGCTTCGCCCCTTCTCTTCTCCTCCTCCACCCCCATTTGCAGGATTTCCAGCAGGGCAAAATAACTTGAAACTTTTTTAAAAAAACCTTCTCATCCTTCTCTCTCTTTCCCCCTGCCCTGGAATCGTTTTTTAGGTGTCGACAGACTGGATAAAGATCTAACCATCGGCCAGATGCAAGGTAAATATGCTGACGTCCTGGGCTCTGATTGGTTTCCAAGAGGATCAGGGGGTTGCCTTTCGAGGGATCTAACAGGAGGCAGGGATGGTGGTAGCCAGTTCTGGATAATGTCATTTAAACAATGACCTCCGATAGATTGGCCCTTTGCTTCGCAATTAGAGTTCTTAAAGCTGGGAGGTGGGGACGAGGGTGTTGTCTGAACGCATGCTGTCCTTCCAAAGTGCTATTTTTTAATTGGGATTATTTTTTTTAATTGGGATTATTTAATTGGGATTATTTAAAGCAGGCACATCCAACTCCCAAGAGACTGCAATCTACTCACAGTATAAAAGAACTGGCAGTGATTTACCCATTGTCATTGAAGGATTGATCAGGGTTGTTGAGCTATTTTTGGGGAGCCAGAGTTGTTGAGTTTGTTTTTTCCTGTTTGTTTTTAGTGGGGATTTCTCAGGGGGTCCAAAGAAAGATCAACCAGGATTTAATAAATATTATATTAAAACAAAAAACAAAGATCGACCAGGGACATAAAAACAAAGATGGACCAGTAGATCGCGATCAACCTGTTGGGCATGTCTGGTTTAAAGGATCGAGACAAGTTCCTAGTCCTTAAGCCTGACCAGATATGTTTGGAAGTGCACTTAATACCAAAAGCTTGGGAGGAAGCTGTACTGAAATTTCTATCGGTTGTGGGTGGGCTTTGGCACTCCTCCTGGGTGCTTTGCCCCACCCAAAATGCAAATTCCCGTAACTTCATAGAATCACAGAGTTGGAAGAGACCACAAGGGCCATCGAGTCCAACCCCCTGCCAAGCAGGAAACACCATCAGAGCACTCCTGACATATGGTTGTCAAGCCTCTGCTTAAAGACCTCCAAAGAAGGAGACTCCACCACACTCCTTGGCAGCAAATTCCACTGTCGAACAGCTCTTACTGTCAGGAAGTTCTTCCTAATGTTTAGGTGCAATCTTCTTTCTTGTAGTTTGGATCCATTGCTCCGTGTCCGCTTCTCTGGAGCAGCAGAAAACAACCTTTCTCCCTCCTCTATGTGACATCCTTTTATATCTTTGAACATGGCTATCATATCACCCCTTAACCTCCTCTTCTCCAGGCTAAACATGCCCAGCCCCTTAGCCGTTCCTCATAAGGCATCGTTTCCAGGCCTTTGACCATTTTGGTTGCCCTCCTCTGGACACGTTCCAGTTTGTCAGTGTCCTTCTTGAACTGTGGTGCCCAGAACTGGACACAGTACTCCAGGTGAGGTCTGACCAGAGCAGAATACAGTGGCACTATTACTTCCCTTGATCTAGATGCTATACTCCTATTGATGCAGCCCAGAATTGCATTGGCTTTTTTAGCTGCCGCTAAAAACTTCCATGTAGACCATTGCAGCATTTGGGTTTGCGGAATTGAGGCTGCCTCGGGGGCAGAGTGAGACTAGCTCCTGAGGCCTCTCATGCAGAGATTCCTCAGCTAAGCAGCTGCTGCTCCTCCCCCCAGGTGTGCTGGAGGATGCTAGTGGGTCACACAGGGTCCCTGGACATTTCACCGTCTATTGATAATAATAATAATATCTTTATTGTCATTGCCCCCTTCGGGGACAACGAAATTACTTGACTGCTCCATAAAAACACTAATTAAACAATACAGTATAATACAGCAAGGGAGATTAGATGACTTTCAAAGTCCGGGCTTCCTATTCAGGGCCGAGATCGCTCTGGAGAAGAAGCTGTTCTTAAGACGGCTCGTTCTTGTCTTCATCGTCCTGTATCTCCGTCCCGACGGCAAGAGCTCGAAGAGACAGTGACCAGGATGCGATGGATCTTTTACTATGTCCAGTGCCTTCCTATGGCACCTTGTGGCATAAATCTGCTCTAAGGTGGAGAGTGGGCAGCCAACAATGCTCTCTGCTGCCTTAACAACCCTGCACAACCCCATCCTGTCCTGGGTAGTACAGCTTCCGTACCACACACATAAGCCATAAGTGAGCACGCTCTCAATGGCACAGTGATAGAAGGCAAGCAGCAGTCTCTGCGGAAGATGGTTTTTCCTTAGTATTCTCAAAAAGTACAGTCTCTGCTGCGCCTTCTTCACAAGCCCCCTTGTGTTGACACTCCAGGACAGATCCTCTTGTAATTCAATGCCCAAAAATCTGAACGTTGTTACCCTCTCCACACAGACCCCATCAATCAAAAGTGGCTGGACGTTGCTCTTCTGTCTCCTGAAGTCCACCACTTCCCTGTGCCACCACTTTATTTCTTGCTGCCACCACCCAGGCCCTACCTGGTGCAATACTGAGTCCAGTCAGGGTTTACCGTATTTTTTGCTCCATAGGGTGCACAGGACCATAGAGCGCACCTAGTTTTTAGGAGCTTTCTTTTTAGCCGCGGGGCTGGGGTGGGGGAAGCCCAAGCTTCCCCTGACCCCAGCCCCCAAAACAGGTCCAGGAGCGGCGGCAAGATTGTGCGCAACCTCACCGCTGCTCCCGGAGCTTGCGGGGCTGGGGCAGGGGAAGCCCAAGCTTCCCCCGACCCCAGCCCCCAGAACAGGCTGCTATCCGCAAGCCTTCGGAGCCCGGCAGGAACTCCCGCCGCGCTCAGAAGGCTTGTGGATAGCTTCCTGAAGCCTGGAGAGCGAGTGGGGTGGGGGGGCACCCACCCCTCTCGCTCTGCAGGCTTCAGCGAAAGCTTGCATTCGCTCCATAGGACGCACACACATTTCCCCTTCATTTTTGGAGGGGGGAAAAGTGCGTCCTATAGAGCAAAAAATACGGTAAATTTGAACATAAACTTCTGTTTATTTATTGCAGTTTAACAAGTGTGTGGTTTCATAAACGGTCTCGGTCAATTACAATCATGGGGTGCCTATCCAGACCTATAACTTCTGCTACCTGCTCTCACTCACTAAACCACCTCTCAGATATTTCCTTGTCTTCCTAGCCCCTAACTGTTACTTATCTTATTTCGCTACACTAACTCAACCTACCCACAGATTCTATCCCAATTCACTCCCACTCCAACCAACCACCCAACTCCCAACGAACTCCTCCCTTTGCCCCTCCCAGAGCTGGTTTTATAATCCCACTGACTCCACCCCCCTGGGTCCTGATTGGGCAACCTGTTTCACTATTTCTCCTCTAGCACTCATGTGTTAACGTCCCAGTGGGGTCCATTGTTGGTTCAGTCAGCTTTTGTATGTGGGATGCAGGGTGGCATCCGTCTAGAGTGGTACCTTGGTTCTCAAACTTAATCCGTTCTGGACGTCCGTTCCAAAACCAAAGTGTTCCAAAACCAAGGTGTGCTTTCCTATAGAAAGCAATGCAAAAGGGATTAATCCGTTCCAGATTTAACAACCACTAAAACAGCAATTTAACGTGAGTTTTACTATCTAACGTGACCACTGATCCATATATTGAAAGCAGTAATCAATGTTCTGTACTATAAAATAAATAAGACAGTATTGTAGATGATAAAAAATAAAATTATTATTTTTTCTTACCTGTACTGATGATAGTCATTGTTCGTCCTGTGAACCAATGCAAGATTTTAAGTAGGTACAGTGGTACTTTGGTTCTCAAACTTAAACCGTTCTGGAAGTCTATTCTGAAACCAAAGCATTCCAAAACCAAGGCACGCTTTCCCGTAGAAAGTAATGCAAAAGGGATTAATCATAGAATCATAGAGTTGGAAGAGACCACAAGGGCCATCGAGTCCAACCCCCTGCCAAGCAGGAAACACCATCCCAGACTTTTAAAAACAACCCCTAAAACAGCAATTTAACATGGATTTTACTATCTAACGACACCATTGATCCATAAAAATGAAAGCAATAAACAAGGTACTGCAGTCACACAATCAATCAGTAGCTGAACTGGGTTCCACGCAGTCACAAAAAAAGAGCTGCAAAAACAAAAGCGCAAAATAAATAGCAAAAACAGACAGACCTCGGTGTAACACTCAAAACGGAAGTGTGGCACTCAAAACGGAGCATGTTCGGCTTCTGAAAAAAGTTTGCAAACCGGAACACACACTTCTGGGTTTGCGGTGTTTGGGTTCCAAGTTGTCTGAGTACCAAGGTGTTTGAGAAACAAGGTGTTTGAGAACCAAGGTGTTTGAGAACCAAGGTACTGCTGCACTTTACCTTGGGAGGAAAAAACCATGTCTTGGGCTGCCGCCGCCTTCTCCCTGCCTATGAACCATGGAGTCAAAAGCAGAAGGCCGGGAGCAAAGGATTCTGGGAGTCCTGCCTCACCCTCTCTTGCCCCCTTGCAGGGAAATTCCAGATGCAAGTTCTTCCGCAGTGCGGCCACGCAGTCCACGAAGACGCTCCGGACAAAGTGAGTGACGTTTTGGAGCAGCTGGGGCTTTGAGGGCAGAATTCCAGTCTGCTCCCTTGGGTTTTGTTTTTTGTTTTTTGCAAAATGTATTTATTTATTATTTATACCCTGCTTGAGGGGGAGGGGGGTAAAAAAATAACCCCAGCAACCTCAAAGCGGTCAACAACAACAACAAAAAAGATAAAACCATAAAATTATCCCTGAGAAAAGTCAGCAACGGTAATTTAAGACATTCAGAAAGAGTTAACGGATCACGAAACCCCGCCAGATGAGCGGGGTATAAATAATAAATTGTATAATTGTTATTATGACTTGCATCAACTTTCCAAGCAGCCGGGTCGCCTTGTTTTTAGCAGGTGCCGAAAACAGTACAGTCGTACCTTGGTTTTCCAATGCCTTGGGAGTCGAAACATTTTGGCTCCCAAATGATCAAAAACCGGAAGTGATTGTTCTGGTTTTCGAACGTTGTTTGGAACCTGAATGTCCAATGCGACTTCCGTGGCTTCCGATTGGCTGCAGGAGCTTCCCACAGCTAATCGGAAGCCGTGCCTTGGTTCCTGAACATTTTGGAAGTCGAACAGACCTCCGGAATGGATTCCGTTCGACTTCTAAGGTACGTCTGTACAGTGAAAGCTCTGCCTGATATCAAAAGGCAGGGAGTTCCGATGTGTAAGAGCAGCGGCAGCAAAAGATTGAGTTCTTACAAATACAGAGTAGGTGTTATGGGACACCTGTAGCAACGCCATTTGCAGCAGTCAGGTGGGCACAAGCGGGGCAAGGCGATCTTGCAGGTAAACTGATCCCAAGTTGTTAAGGGTTTTGTATGCTAAGAGCAGGGACGCGGGTGGTGCTGTGGGTTAAACCACAGAGCCTAGGACTTGCTGATCAGAAGGTCGGCGGTTCGAATCCCCGCGACGGGGTGAGCTCCCGTTGCTCAGTCCCTGCTTCTGCCAAGCCAGCAGTTCGAAAGCACATCAAAGTGCAAGTAGATAAATAGGTACCGCTCCAGCAGGAAGGTAAACAGCATTTCCGTGCGCTGCTCTGGTTCGCCGGAAGCGGCTTAGTCATGCTGGCCACATGATCTGAAAGCTGTACGCCGGCTCCCTCGGCCAATAAAGTGAGATGAGCACCGCAACCCCAGAGTCGGTCACGACTGGACCTAATGGTCACGGGTCCCTTTACCCTTTACCTTTTATGCTAAGAGCTACACCTTAAACCTGGCCCTGTAGCGACCTCTGAAGTGTTTTATATTTGCTGTTAGCAACCCTGAGCCCGGTTTTTAAATCGGGAAGGGCAGGGTATAAATAAAAATATTATTATTGTTGTTGTTATTATTATTATTATTATTATTATTATTATTATCATCTGTCTAACTGACCTGTTGCTTCCGTTGAGCATGTGCTGCCAAGCAGAAGGGTTAAGGAGGGGTGCAGAATATTTGTTTGTTTGTTTTAGATTTATAAACAGACCTCCATTGGAAGATCTCTGTGTCATTCACTAGATGAGGGTGATGATGATGATGATGATGATAATAATTTATTATTTATACCCCACCCATCTGGCTGGGCTTCCCCAGCCACTCTGGGCTGCTTCCAACAGCATATTAAAATACAATAATGCATCAAACATTAAAAGCTTCCCTAAACAAGGCTACCTTCAGATGTCTTCTAAAATTCTGGTAGTTGTTCTCTTTGACATCTGGTGGGAGGGCGTTCCACAGGGCGGGTGCCACTACCGAGAAGGCCCTCTGCCTGGTTCCCTGTAACCTCACTTCTCACAGGGAGGGAACCGTCTGAAGGCCCTCAGAGGTGGACCTCAGCGTCTGGGCAGAACGATGAGGGTGGAGACGCTCCTTCAGGTCTACTGGGCCTTTGAGGCTGTTTAGGGCTTTGAAGATCAGCACCAACACTTTGAATTGTGCTCGGAAACGTACTGGGAGCCAGTGTAGGTCTTTCAAGTGTTATGTGGTCTCAGCCGCCGCTCCCAGTCACCAGTCTAGCTACCGCTAGATGAAAACACAAATAGTTAAAACACAATAGCATCCGCCTCCTGCAAACACTGTAGAATATTAATCAATTAATCAATAAATTAATTTATATGGTGCCCTTGATAGTCTGCAGGGAGGCAGGGCTTATTCAGGGCTCCCTTCGCATGCAAGACTTTCCGTTCTCTCTTTTAACATCTCCAGACGCTCTCTTCCAGGTTGCCGAAGCCGTCGCCACGTTCCTGATCCGTCACAGGTTTACAGAGCCCATCGGTGGATTCCAATGGTGAGGTTCGTCGGGCAAAAGCAGCCCCAGGCTGGTCTCTTCACTTGCACAAAAGTCGCCCATGTGGCGCTGTTCCTGCCCTCCTGAAATACAACGGGGTGGGGGGGGAGTTTCCTGCAATGCCTGAAAAAAGAAAATGCATTATTATCACATCTGACTGAACTCCAAAGTTCACTTATTATCTTGCCCAGATAGCACTGATCGGATGGAAATAGTTGTGCAGGTCAAACTGTTACTGAGCCAGGTGGCTGCTCGGTTTTAGCTGAGCTCACTATTACAGTGGTACCTCGGGTTACAGACGCTTCAGGTTAAAGACGCTTCAAGTTACAGACTCCGCTAACCCAGAAATAGTACCTTAGGTTAAGAACTTTGCTTCAGGATGAGAACCGAAATTGCGCGGCGGCAGCGGGAGGCTCCATTAGCTATAAAGTGGTACCTCAGGTTAAGAACAGTTTCAGGTTAATAACGGACCTCCGGAACGAATTAAGTACTTAACCCCAGGTACCACTGTACTGGCTTGTGGAGATGCTTTGCATGTATTTATGACCAGTTCCGCAAAACTGCTACTTGAAGAAATCCCAAACTTAATATTTTTGAACTTCAAACGGAGCTCAGAATCCAGTTAGACAATCAAGCCTTTGCAGTTGAATTAGGAGGCACTGAGAGACGGCAATTTGCTGCTTTAAAGCGAGCCGGGGAGGAGGGAAGGAAGGGGAGCCATTGTGGTGTAGTGGTTAAGAGCAGTTACCTCGTAATCTGGTGAACCGGGTTCGCTTCCTCGCTCCTCCACATGCAGCTGCTGGGTGACCTTGGGCTAGTCACACTTCTCTGAAGTCTCTCAGCCCCACTCACCTCACAGAGTGTTTGTTGTGGGGGAAGAAGGGAAAGGAGAATGTTAGCCACTTTAAGACTCCTTAGGGTAGTGATAAAGCGGGATATCAAATCCAAACTCTTCTTCTTCTTCCCAAACCTTCCCGGGGCTTCAGGGGAAAGGGGAAGCCGCCAACACCCTGGGAGGGCAGGGCAACGGCGCGCGCCACACTCGGGCGATTTGGCTCCAAGGACCACACATTTGCTCCGTAAGACGCACAGACATTTCCCCTTACAGTGGTAGCGCTGGATGTGAACGGGATCCGTTCCGGAGCCCCGTTCTCATCCTGAAGCGAACGTAAGACACGTCTGGATGTGCGCGGGTCACGTTTCGCTGCTTCCGCGCATGCGTGTGACGTCATTTTGAGAGTCTGCGCGAGCGGCGAAACCCAGAAGTAACACACTCCGTTACTTCTGGGTCGCCGCGGAGCATAACCCGAAAACATTTAAGCTGAAGCATATTCATCCCGAGGTATGACTGTACTTTTTGGGAAGGAAAAGGTGTGTCTTATGGAGCGAAAAATACGGTATACACCTGTTGCTTGTGGGCGACTGGGCGAAACCAGGACGGGCCCGTCTCATTCTCACAAGTGGGGAGCAAGTATTACGTGGTGCCTGTGACCCGTTGCTTGAGTGTGCAGGGGCTGGCTGGCTCGGGCTGCTCTGAGTTTACCTCTCTTTCTCTCTTCCTCCACAGTGTTTTTCCTGCTTGTTAATGCCCCGACGGTCCTCCCGGCACCGACTCCCCTTGTAAATAAACCTGCACCAGAGGGCTGTGGTGTTTTCTGTCTCCTCCTCGGCCGTCCCTTTCAGTTGCCAACTCGGACCAACTGGCTCCAGGGCCCAGTCCGTGGCCAGACCTTCTGCCGCCGGACCCCCAACCTGGTCCGTCCCCAGATCGGGGGAGGGGGGCCTCCTTCCCGTCGCCCTGAAGGAAGTAAGCCGGCTCTCTGCGAAATCACGGGTGGATGCGAAGGATTCTCTGCGCAGCCCCTCCTGGAAGTTTTAGGAAATCCTTGGCCCGGACGGACCCCATCGAAGCCCCTCTCCCCCTTTGGTTTTTCTTAAGCATGCAGGATCCCGTCATTTCAAAGCTGGGCTCTCCGCTTCGCTCCTCCAGAGCAGGGCTTTCATTTTTGGGTTGCTTGGGCCAATCTTCCTCCCACCCTCTTCCTCCTGGCGACTTCTCAGTAGTGCAGGCTGCCAAGATGCGTAGAAATCTGAAACGCATCTCTCCATCCGTGGCTTGTGGCCTGTCGCCTCCTTGACCGACCTCCTGCGTTTGCGTTCCCCAGCGAACGGGGGCTGCGTTTCGGTTTGGTTAACACACCTGCGTCCGCCAAGGGGATTCAGGAAAGGAGCTGAAATGCAGGGGGGTTTTCTGAGGTTTCCCCAAGCCTGATGTTTGAGAGCCCAGCGTGGCAGGTTCTCCAGATGTTCCCTGCTGGCCAGTGGCATTGAAACAGCTGCCAGAATTGGGCAGTTCAGATTCACACGGTGCTATGCAGTCGCGCCAACCATCAGCAAGCAAGAAGAGGGCAGGGGGCGGTGTCGTTTTAGGATTACAGAAATGGAGGCGGGGAGCCAGCCATTCCTTTGCTTCAGGGCTGCAAACGACGGTTTGGGCATCCTTCAGCTAAATTTCAAGGAAGCAACCCCTAGAATTAAAGCGCCTTTATGGCCCTTGTCAGTTCTGGCGCTCTGGTGGGGATAACGTCCTAGAGCCCAGACCTCTGTGTATCTGAGGAGGTGTTTCCCATGCGTTCGCACTTCCAAGCCTCGGTTAAGAACAGGAGAGTTGCTCCCCTGAGCAATATTTTCAATACTAGGGGAGAGAGAGAGGAGAATATTTGCATTGGGCTTTGGGGTCTGTGCCTCTTAGCGGCAGAGATAAAGGCTGTGTCAGGAGCCTTGATAGTTTTCACTGCGTGCTGCAGTCAAATCCTTCTCCGCCTTCTCTTGCAAACAAAAAACAAAAAAACAGGTGAAGAGAAGCAACGTGAAATATTACACAGCAAGCAAGGAGGAGAGACTTAGGGAAATATCCCCAGCCATCCCCTGGGAACTTCTCTTGCAAACTCCTTGTGCTGCTCCTGTTCTGTTCAGAGGGGTGTTGGCCAGAGACCTTCTTGGTGGATCGGGCCCAGTCAGGACCAGAAAATCCAAACCCTTTGCCAGATTTGGGGGGGGGGGGGGTTGGTTTTGTGCCTATGTCCCAAGCTGAGTAAGGGAGGCTATGACTTCTTCCTCATGCAGGAAAGATGAGCAAGGCATGTTGGAAGACGCACCCTGCACATTGATGCCCTGAACGTTTTCCGGTTGGAAAAGTTTCTGGAATTTAATGCGTAGTCACAGCCCTGCCCAAAAAAATAAATCTCTGTTTGAGCAGCCTGCCCTTGCGGTCTCTTGCCTTCTCTGCCACAATGGCCCTCGCTTCTAAGATGGGAGCCCCCCATTCTGCTCCATGGACTGGAGGAAAAAAACCCCAAACTCGCACGGTTGTTGCCCCATCTCCGGAAATGGCGCCCAGACCCCGAGCACCACCTGGAATGGGGAGCCAGGAGAGGAGGAACCCTCCCAGTGCAGTTTCCAAGTTTCCACCAACACTTCCCGGTCGCCTTTGTTTTCCCCCCTGCTTAGGTCTGGCAGTGGTACCCAAGGATGCTCTCGTCTTACTGGGGAGCAGCCCAAAATTAAGGGGCCGCCTCTGGAAGTCGGACGGGCGAACCTGACCCAGCTGCGTCCCTTGTTTTGGCAGGGAGGGCTCTATTTTTTTCCCCTTTCAAATTTTTCTGGGGGTATTCCCTTCCTTCCCTTGGATAATCACTCACTCAGATGTTTAGGATGCCGGTGCTTCCATTGGCTGGGGCGGGGTCTCCTGTCTTCCCCCTCTTCTCCTGGCTTTTGAATGAGCTGCCTTGGAAAGAGGTTGCCCATCTGCCTGCGCATTCAATGCCAATTTTTGCCAATTTGGTGGTTTTCTTTGAACCAGTTTGAAAAACGATCTCCCATGGCGTATGCAGCATATATCACAAAACTCAACGCAGAGTCGCCAGGTGACGGTCCCCCTTCGGTTAGGTACTCTGTCTGTGGGTCACTTGCTACATTCGGGGGCTGGGAAGCGTCCCTAGATTCTCCCGCACCCCCACCCCCGCCACGAACACTCCTTCCCACCCCAAACTCTGAACCTTCAGCATAATTTTCTTCCCCTTTTCTGGGGAGGGAGGCAAACCGAATCTGGTTCAACAAAGACTAGAGTCCTCGTTTAGCCTTGCCCCCTTTAAATAACACATACTGTACTGTTGGCAATTTTTTCTGTGGGGGGTGTGAGATTTTTTTTTGTCAACTCCCTGCTGATGATGACGACCACCCTTGTTTTATGAAAATAAATATTTCGCTACCTGCCGTGGTGCGGATTTGTGTGTGTGTGTTTGTTCTTGTTTTTTTAATTTCCAAACAAAAAGAAAAAAAGAAAAATTACAAACATCAAATTCAGCATCCATGTTTGTTTCAAAAAAAAAACCCAGCCTGTTACATAAATCAAAAAATACCTAATTACTCTAAACTTTTCTTTGCTGTATACAAATACATCACAATTAGAAATTTTGAATTGAAACTTTTATATTATAAATAATATTTCACATTTCCCCCACTCCCCTTCACCCACGTGTGATCTCAAATTTTTACTTCTTCCGTCTTGTTGTGTTGTTATAATTTAATCATTATTCAGTTAATTTTAATTATTTTCTTGATTACCCCTGCACATTTTACACATCTATTAATATTCCAGTTCCGGAACCATGTTTTTTCATATATTCCTTTACTCCATCTCACTCTTTATTCTCTGATTTGAATGGCCTCTAATAATTGCCGTCAATTTTGCCATTTCCACAAACTCACAGAGTTTGCTTTGCCATTCTAATAATTGTATTTTCTCCCCCTTCCAGTTCTCATCTCTGGGAATGTCATTTGATATTAAGCCTAACAAAAAAAGCCAGTGGCTTTTTGGCAAACGAAATCTTCAATAATTTTTTCAGCTCATATACCTCGTTCCAATTTATTTTTTGCAATTTTACATCCCCACCATGTATGATAAAAGGTTCCCACCTCCCTCTTACATCTCTAGCATAAGTTTGATTGCTTTTTGTAAATCTTAGCCAATTTTTTCAGAGTGAGGTACCAGCGGTAAAACATTTTCATCATGTTCTCTCTTATCATATAACAGGCTGTGAAATTGGTATCCACCTCCCACAATCTTTCCCAGTTTTCTAGTTGGATTGTATAGCCAAATTCCTTTGCCCACTTTATCATTACTTCTTTGGTTGTTTCATCCTTCAATTCCCACTCTTAATAACAAATGGTTTGTGTGTGTGTTTAATGGTTCTTTGTATATAGTGGGAAATGGTGGAGGCAATAGAGGTTAAAGGGGGCGGGGCCTCTTTTCCCCTTGGGGGTGGGTGGGGCCAGGAGCAAAAGTGTGCGGGACAACAGAGGCAAGGTTCATGCAAAATGTATATTGTTACAGGTTTCAGAGAGTTTGGATGATGCCCTGAGTCACTTCCAATTCTTGGGATCCTGTGTCTCTGGAGGTGGAATGTAAGAGCATCTTTGCCAAAGCAGCCCTTTGAACGGATTTGGCTGGCGAATTAAGCACCACAATTAGCATAACTAAAGAAGTTGCTCAGTGCCATAGAACAAATGGGTGGGCATCCTGCCATGACCACCAGCTGCTAGGTTGGAGAACAAAAGGCAGAGTTGTGTGTGAGCTGGAAGCTGGAGACACAAGAGACCTGCTTGCTCTGTGCTGGAGTCAAAGCTATGATTAACGCAAAAGTGAGATCTTTGGAGTTATTAATGCTCTGAGATTAAATTAATACTCAACTTGTACAGTCATACCTCGGGTTACAGACGCTTCAGGTTGTGTTTTTTTGGGTTACGGACCCGCCGAAACCCAGAAGTACCGGAATGGGTTACTTCCGGGTTTCGGTGGTTGCGCATGTGCAGAAATACTAAATTGCGCTTTGTGCATGCGCAGAAGCCCCAAATTGTAACCCGCGCTTGTGCAGATGTGCTGTCGTGGGTTGCGAACGTGCATCCCGCACAGATCACGCTCGCAACCTGAGTGGCCACTGTATATACGCATAAATAAAACCAGATGTCCTAAAGACACCACAAGTCTCCACCAATCTTCATTCCAAGGGGACCAAACTCTGGGCAAGCTGCTGGCATCTCACCCTTCTGAGATTGGGGTGGCGTAAGGTAAAAGGTAAAGGACCCCTGGACGGTTAAGTGCAATCAAAGGCAACTATGAGGTTAGCTCTCATCTTGCTTTCAGGCCAAGGGAGTCGGTGTTTGTCCACAGACAGCTTTCCTGGTCGTGTGGCCTGTAGGACTAAACCACTTCCAGTGCGATGGGACACGGTGATGGAAACCAGAGCGCATGGAAATGCCATTTACCTTCCCGCCGCAGTGGTACCTATCTATCTACTTGCACTGGTGTGCTTTTGAACTGCTAGGTTGGCAGAGGCTGGGACAGAGCAATGGGAGCTCACCCCATCGCGGGGATTTGAACCGCCAATCTTCCGATTGGCAAGCCCAAGAGGCTCAATGGTTTAGACCACAGTGCCACCCGCGTCCCTTTTGGAGTGGCGATAACAACACACCGAGCCAGAGTTCTCTCCGTCCAGGCAAGCAGAGAGGCACGATTACATTTCAAGGTCAAATATCAGGGAGGCAGGAACACGGGACAGATGCATTGCATAGCAAACCCCACCAGTTTTAGTCTATGCTCTATAAAGGCCTTTATTTGGTCTGTCCTGAAGCTTCCAAAATTCAGTTTCATTGGAGGGCCATATTTTTCCCTTCTGACTAAGCACCAGGAAGAACTTTCTGACAGCAAGATGGGGGGATGGACTAGATGTCCTTTGGGGGCCCTTCCAACGCTTCAATTCTATGAGTCTATCATTCTTTCTGCGCTACATGCAAGAGGCCTCTGGGTGGCAGCACCCCCCAATATCTTAGACCTACTGAAACTTCTCTGCAGCAGCCGCAAGTTTGTATCAGTCGCTCGTGCCTTTTTTTCTAAATGAGGTTTTATCATCCTGACGTTCCTGATAATTTGCAGATTTGCCAAAGCTTTTGCTGCCATCTTGCTGGGGACTGTAACTCTCATAGATTTTTATTATAAAGGTATAGGGACCCCTGACCATTAGGTCCAGTCGTGGCCGACTCGGGGGTTGTGGCGTTCATCATGCTTTATTGGCTAAGGGAGCCGGCGTACAGCTTCCGGGTCATGTGGCCAGCAGGACTAAGCCGCTTCTGGCAAACCAGAGCAGCGCACGGAAACGCCGTTTACCTTCCCGCCGGAGCGGTACCTATTTATCTACTTGCACTTTGATGTGCTTTCGAACTGCTAGGTTGGCAGGAGCAGGGACCCAGCAACGGGAGCTCACCCCGTGGCAGGGATTCGAACCGCCGACCTTCTGATCAGCAAGTCCTAGGCTCTGTGGTTTAACCCACAGTGCCACCCACGTCCCCAATTTTTATTATTATTATTATAGTGCATGTTTATTTTCATGCTTTATGTTTGTACAAAAACCTTCCAGTCATTAGGAAGGAGCATGTGTATAGCAAACAATTTTGTTGTTGTTTAGTCGTGTCCGACTCTTTGTGACCCCATGGAGCAGAGCACGCCAGGCACTCCTGTCTTCCACTGCCTCCCGCAGTTTGGTCAAACTCATGCTGGTAGCTTCGAGAACACTGTCCAGCCATCTCGTCTTCTGTTGTCCCCTTCTCCTTGTGCCCTCCATCTTTCCCAACATCAGGGTGTTTTCCAGGGAGTCTTCTCTTGTCATGAGGTGGCCAAAGTCTTGAAGCCTCAGCTTCAGGATCTGTCCTTCCAGTCAGCACTCAGGGCTGATTTCCTTCAGAATGGATACGTTTGATCTTCTTGCAGTCCATGGGACTCTCAAGAGTCTCCTCCAGCACCAGAATTCAAAAGCATGAATTCTTTGGCAATCAGCCTTCTTTATGGCCCAGCTCTCGCTTCCATACATCACTACTGGGAAAACCATAGCTTGAACTATACGGACCTTTGTCAGCAAGGTGATGTCTCTGCTTTTTGAACCGGCAAGCCACTCCGGTATGCCCACCAAGAAAACTCCATGGACATAGCAAACAATAAGTTCAATTAATTAGAATCCTGCATTTGCTTATTTTATTTTTACATGAAATATGCTCTTAAAAAGATATGTACAGTGGTACCTCTGGTTAAGAACTTAATTCATTTTGGAGGTCCGTTCTTAACCTGAAACTGTTCTTAACCTGAAGCACCACTTTAGCTAATAGGGCCTCCCGCTGCCACCGCACGATTTCCTTTCTCATCCTGAAGCAAAGTTCTTAACCCGAGGTACTATTTCTGGGTTAGCGGAGTCTGTAACCTGAAGTGTCTGTAACCCAAGGTACCACTGTACTCTCAGTTATGCACTGCCGAGATTTTAATGCAAGATGCTTAGCATTTCAAGTGCATAATGTTGTTTTGGATTATCGCTCCCCACAGGAACCCTATAAGGTGGGACAGTATTGCTTTCCCCCCATATTCAGTCCCCCCTTCCCTGAGAACTCGCTTTGAGTTTGATTGTTTGGGGAAGGAAAGAGTAATAATTAACAACAACTCGGGGAATCTGGGCGCAGAATAGCGATCTGTGTGTCTCTGCAATGTGATGCCCTTGGCAGAGAGTTTTCTCACACCTCCTTGCAAAAACTGCATAAGTGTGCGGATAAATGCCAAATCTGGGGAGTCCGGGACGTGCAGGAGACACCCGGGTCTGCTTCAAGCAGGGCTGTTCTCTGCTTTCTGATCTCTCAAACACACAACTCAGCAACCAGCTTTGCCCCCCCCCCCCCGGACGGGGGGGAGCCTCTTTGGAAGCAGCTGGCGAAAGGCAATTTTATTGCAGGACTGAGAAGTTGGGAGTTTTCAGGTTGGGAGAGAATCGCCCTTTTGCTAATAATCTTGTTGGTTTTTGTGTTTTTTTTCAAAAATCACCATTGCAGACATACAACGTGGACATGTCCCGTTTTATACTGTTTTTGGTCCAAGGTTGTTGCCCACTCTGATGCACAGCTGTCAACTTACAGATTTGAAAATAAGGGACCAGCAGCCTTGAAAATAAGAGATCAGCAGCTAAAATAAGGGATTTTGGCTTAGCTTATGCAGAAATCCACCACTGATGGAGCCAGGCTGCTTTGGCTGCGACTGACTGTGTTTTGCAGGGGGTTGGACTAGATGGTCCTAAGGGTCTACAGCTCCCACCAAAGAAGAGTGGCAGACAAAACTGATGAACGACGTCGAGATGGCAAAGCTTACAGGCAGAATTAGAAACCAGGAAGAGGACCTCTTTCATAAAGAATGGGGAAAGTTTATAATTTAGTTGAAAAGCTATTGTAAAGAGTTACATACATTGGTAGGATGGACAGAAAACGTGTAGTAAAAATTTGAACCATGGATGGACAAATGATTTTTAAAAATAGAGTTATGAAAGGGATGCAGAGGGGGAAATCACTACATTAAGATGCTGCACTGGTTGGAGGGGATGCTAAGCAGCACGTCGGGGCTGTCATCGTCTTGGAGTGAGGGGTTCCATCGGCCCTTCCTCGCCTGAGAGAGAGGGAGGGAGGGAGGAAGAGGGACTCTCGCCCACACCGCCCGCGAGCCCGGCATGAGGCGGTAGCGGCAGGGCAGCGGCGGCTGCTGAAGCGCAGCCCTTCTGCGTCCCTCCCCATCCCCTCCTCTTCCTCCTCCTCAGCCGCCGCCGCTACCGCCTCTGGCTTCCCCTGGCAGCGCGGCGGAAGTCTCACAAGAGAGGGGCTGCCTGCCTGCCGCCACCCGTCTCCTCACCATGCATCCCTGAGGGGGAAAAGGCAGAGATGGAGACGCGGCAGCTCGTGCGCGCTCTTTCACTCTCTCGCGGTGGAGGACCCCGAGCCGCTGCTTCCCTCCTGAGCCAGGCGAGCATGAAACCTAGGAAATTTAAGGGACATCATCAATCCGGGACAGCAGCAAGAAGCGGCGCTGGAATAAGGGAGTTTCCCGCCAAATAAGGGACAGTTGACAGCTATGCTCTGATGTTGTCCTGGCTAAACCTTTGATACCTGCAGACATTTGTGTCTTTTAAAATTTACCGTATTTTTCCAGGTATAAGACTAGGTTTTCTTCCTAAAAAATAATGTCAGAAATGAGGGGGTGTCTTATACATGGGGCCATCTCCCCCCATTTTTAAAAATCTGAGTCTCCCAAAATAGGGTGTCTTATACATGGGGGCGTCTTATAGACGGAAAAATACAGTATATTCCTGTGCTGGGGTGTTAAGGGGGTAGCTCTGATGTGGGACACATTGTGCTGCTTCTGGGGTAGTTGGTCAACCTTTGGCCCCCACCCTGAACTCACCACCAATTTTAAATATTGCTTCACAAAAGCAAAAAGGAAACACAACACCCGTCAGTTAGCAAAAATACGTTACATACTAAGAAAAATGTTACCCAAAAATATATGTTACATCTACAGTGGTACCTTGGTTTTCAAATTTAATCCATTCCGGAAGTCCGTTCCGAAACCAAAGTGTTCCAAAACCAAGGCGCGCTTCCCCATAGAAAGTAATGCAAAATGGATTAATCCATTCCAGACTTTTAAAAACAACCCCTAAAACAGCAATTTAACAGGAATTTTACTATCTAACGAGACCATCGATCCATGAAATGAAAGCAATAATCAATGTACTGTACTATAAAATAAATAAGACAGTATTGTAGATGATAAAAATTATTATCCACACAGTCACATAAACAAATTAACTGAAAAAGCCTCAGAAAGAAAAATGCAAAACAAAAGCGCCAAACCAAGGCGCAGCTTCTGATTGGTGCAGGCGCACAGGAAACAAAAGCCGACAGCCACATCGGACGTTCGGCTTCCAAAAAAGTTCGAAAACCAGAACACTTACTTCCGGGTTTTCGGTGTTTGGGAACGAAGGTACCACTGTAAATAAAATAAAGTTCTTCCACGAACTTCAATGTTTAAAATCCCCGGTAGAGGACAAGGATCCTGAGATCACACTAAGGGTAACCAAATTCTGATTAAGATTTTAAATGATAATTTTAGGTTATATGTTAATGACTAAGTTCTAATTTATATATTTTTAAACTGTTGCCATATCTCTATTGTACCTGTTATACCTAATTGCAAATTCAAATGTATCCCTATCGTGTTTTATGACTTCCTTGATGTTTTATGTGGGCTGTGACCGAAATAATCAAATTCATTCAAAGTTCTTCCACACTTTAAAACTTCTGTCCTTCATTTCCTCATTAACTGCATTCTGTTATAACAATTAACCTAAGATATATTGTCTATATTCTTTATAACATATTATATTTCAGCAATTAGTCAAAGCATGTTAAAGGTTTCATACGGGAACAATGTTCTTTTAAATATAATCTATAGTTATCCCATTCTTTACTGAACTTTTGGGTTGTCCGATTGCTAATTTTCCCTGTCGTCTTTGCCAACACCTGTGGCTCCTTAGAGCTGTCAGCGTATGGCAGCGGCCACAATCCCAGGAAACGGCTTCGAAAGGGCCAGCTAAAGCAGGTCTCCCATCAGCACCAGCCAATAGTCAAGGTTGATGGGATTTGTAGTCCAACATCATTTTACGGCATTTTACGGCCTTGTGGGAGGGTATGTTGTTTGTTTTTATTTTATTGTAGATCCTCATTCTTTATTTTTATGTTGTGCACCACATGCAATCTGTGGGTGAAGGGTGGTATACAAATTTAATTTAATAATAACAGTAATAATGAACATTTGGAGGACCAAATATTCCCCAGCCTTGGACTAGATGGATCTCAGTCTGCTCCAACAAAGCACTTAACTGTTTCGTTTCTTTTAACTTTTAATCAACTTTTTTTGGTTCTAAAAGAGACACTCACATTTTTAAGCTTTTAGTGGGAGAAATTCCATCGTTGTCTGGGGTGTGTGGACGGTTGGACGTGTGAGATACTGGCGGAGAGGGAAAGAGAGGGGGCTTGTGTGGGATGGAGAGACCGTGTATCATTCTTTTGTCTCCCAGGAGGCTCTCTCTGAAAGAAGAGGCACAGTCTGTTTCTGCTCCAGTTAACCACAATTTCACTTTTTCAAATATTGACTCGGCTGGCCTCAGGCCACGAGGAGGTGTGTGGACCCACAGCGACTTGGGAAGAAAGCAGCTTTCTTTTGCTCCCGCGCATGTATTCTGCACCAGTTTGGTTGCCACTGAGAGTTTCCGTCTTTTGGTGGGCTGGGTGCCTTTCATAGCCGCAGAGCAGGCAGAAATCAACGGTGAAGCTGTTCCATCAGTGCTTCCATGTTCCCATCAGTGCTTCCAAGTACAGTGGTGTCCCGCAAGACGAATGCCTCGCAAGACGGAAAACCCGCTAGACGAAAGGGTTTTCCGTTTTTGAGTTGCTTCGCAGGACAAATTTCCCTATGGGCTTGCTTCGCAAGACGAAAATGTCTTGCGAGTCTTGAGATTTTTTTTCCCGCTCCCCCCCCCTTTTTCTAAGCCGCTAAGCCTTTAATAGCCTTTTAGCAGCTAAGCCGATAAGCCTTTAATAGCCGCTAAACCGCTAATAGCGCTAATCCGCTAAGCCGCTAATAGGGTTGCTTCGCAAGACGAAAAAACCGCTAGACGAAGACACTCGCGGAACGGATTAATTTCGTCTTGTGAGGCACCACTGTAATCGTGTCTAGACCTTTGGATTGCAAAAGAATTAATAATAATAATAATAATAATAATAATAATAATAATAATATATTTATACCCTGCCCATCTGGCTGGGATTCCCCAACCACTCTGGGCGGCTCCCAATCGAATATTAAAAACACAATACAGCGTTAAACATTAAAAACTTCCCTAAACAGGGCTGCCTTCAGATGTCTTCTATTTATTTCTTTTTTGCATTTTATTTATTTAGCCTTCAGATGTCTTCTAAACATCAGATAGTTGTTTATTTCTTTGACATCTGATGGGAGGGCATTCCACAGGGCAGGTGCCACTACCAAGAAGGCCCTCTGCCTGGTTCCCTATAACTTGGCTTCTCGCAGGGAGGGAACCTCCAGAAGGCCCTCAGAGCTGGACCTCCTTGTCCGGGCTGAACAATGGGGGTGGAGATGCTCCTTCAGGTCTACTGGGCGACGGCTGTTTAGGACTTTCAAACCATGGAGAGACCTGGTCTGAATAGAGACATTGGATTCTTATCTCATTATACATGATAAAGCTATTTTTGGCCATCTCACCCCTTGCTTTTTCCTGTAAAACCAATTGCAGTCGTTAACAGTCGTCAACAGGTTTACCACCCATTCCCACCACCCTTCTGAGTAATACCCCTCCCCATCCTCTCACTATATATAAGAGTCTGGTGACTTCTGTTTCAGAGTATCTGAAGAAGTGTGCATGCACACGAAAGCTCATACCAATATCTAACTTAGTTGGTGCTGGCCAATGACCTGGAAGCTGTACGCTGGCTCCCTCAGCCATTAAAGTGAGATGAGCGCCGCAACCCCAGAGTCGGTCATGACTGGACCTAATGGTCAGGGGTCCCTTTACCTTTACCTTTAAGGTGCTACTTTGTCCATGGAGTTTTCTTGGCAGGGATACTGGAGTGGCTTGGCTGTTCCTGCTCCAGGTGGATCACATTTAGTCAAAACTCTCCACTACAACCTGTCCATCTTTGGTGGCCCCGCATGGCATAGCTCATAGCTTCTCTGGGTTGTTCAGACCCCTTCGCCACGATAAGGCAGTGATCCATGAAGAGCTGGACCCTAAAGAAGGCTGATCGGTGAAGAATTGATGCTTTTGAATTATGGTGCTGGAGGAGACTCTTGAGAGTCCCATGGACTGCAAGAAGATCAAACCTCTCCATTCTGAAGGAAATCAGCCCTGAGTGCTCACTGGAAGGACAGATCCTGAAGCTGAGGCTCCAGTACTTTGGCCACCTCATGAGAAGAGAAGACTCCCTGGAAAAGACCCTGATGTTGGGAAAGATGGAGGGCACAAGGAGAAGGGGACGACAGAGGATGAGATGGTGGGACAGTGTTCTTGAAGCTACCAGCATGAGTTTGACCAAACTGCGGGAGGCAGTGGAAGACAGGAGTGCCTGGCGTGCTCTGGTCCATGGGGTCACGAAGAGGCGGACACGACTAAACGACTTAACAACAACAACAAGGTGCTACTGGAAGGAATTTTAAAAATTATTTTATTTTATTTTATTTATTTTATTTTGTTAGGACTTTCAAGGTCAGCACCAACACTTTGAATTGTGCCCAGAAACGTACTGGGAGCCAGTGTAGGTCTTCCAGGACCTGTGTTATGTGGTCTCGGCGGCCGCTCCCAGTCACCAGTCTAGCTGCCGCATTCTGGGTTAGCTGCAGTTTCTGGGTCACCTTCAAAGGTAGCCCCACGTAGAGTGCATTGCAGTAGTCCAAGCTGGAGATAACCAGAGCATGCACCACTCTGGCGAGTAGTACCAGAGTGATATCTCTGGGTTGCAAGCCTGGGGTGTGTGTCTATATAGATTGTCTGGTTGCTCCCACCTCCGTAGACCTTTGCATTCCCTGTCCCACACCTGACAGTCCACAGATTAAATGAGAATAGGAAGTAATAAAACACGATAGGGATACATTTGAATTTGCAATTGGGTATAACAGGAACAATAAAGATATAAGGTAAAGGGTAAAGGGACCCCTGGCCATTCGGTCCAGTCGTGGCCGACTTTGGGGTTGTGGCACTCATCTCGCTTTATTGGCGAGGGAGCCGGCGTACAGCTTCCGGGTCATGTGGCCAGCATGACTAAGCTGCTTCTGGTGAGCCAGAGCAGCGCATGGAAACGCCGTTTACCTTCCCGCCGGAGCGGTACCTATTTATCTACTTGCACTTTGACATGCTTTCGAAGTGCTAGGTTGGCAGGAGCAGGGACCGAGCAACGGGAGCTCACCCCGTCACAGGGATTCGAACTGCCGACCTTCTGATCGGCAAGCCTTAGGCTCTGTGGTTTAACCCACAGCACCACCCGCGTCCCATCAATACAGATATAGCAACAAATATATATTTTTAAACAAATATATAAATTAAAACTTAGTCACTAACACATAACCTAAAATTATCATTTAAAACCTTAATCATTATGATAGTACAGTTTCTTCCCTAAGTTTTATGAAAATCACACAGAATTTGGCTACCCTTAAAGTGATCTCAGGATCCTTGTCCTCTACCAGGGATTTTAGACATTGAAGTTCAGGTTCATTTGAAGATTTTTGCATAGGAGGGGTAATAAATACCTAGTGTATATCCCCGTAGAAACGGCAGCATAACAAGGCATGAGGGACAGTTTCTACCTCCATCAAACCACAGGGGCAGAATATAAAAAATGCTGCTGGATCTAGTCTCGCAGTGGCCAAACAGATCACTGCCGCCATGATTTTATTTGTACTTCATCTCCCCAGAGCTGAGACCTCGCTTGGGGAAGCTTACCACACTTTAAGATTTATGCCATCACAAACGTCGCAAAAGTCATCAGGAACAATAAATAAAAGGCATCCAAAAATACAAAAACAAATGGAACTATTTTCACATAAATCATAACAAGATCTAAGAAAAAAGGTACAAAAAATTTAATCCGTTCCGGAAGTCCGTTTCAAAACCAAAGCGTTCCAAAACCAAGGCGTGCTTTCCCATAGAAAGTAATGCAAAAGGGATTAATTCGTTCCAGACTTTTAAAAACAACCCCTAAAACAGCAATTTAACAGGAATTTTACTATCTAAGAAGACCATTGATCCATAAAATGAAAGCAATAAACAATGTACTGCAGTCACACAATCAATCAATCAATCAGTAACAACTGATATGGATTTTTTTGTGGTTTTTTTAATGTTGGTTTTTGTGTTTTGTGTATTGTTATTTTTTGATATTTTTCTTGTTGTTGTGTGGAAAATGCTAATAAAATTTATAATTTAAAAAAACAAAAGTGAAAAAAACAACTGGGTTCCACACAGTCACAAAAACAAAGCAAAAAAGCCGCAAAAACAAAAATAAATAGCGAAAACAGTCAGACCTCAGTGTAACATTCAAAACGGAAGTGTGGCACTCAAAATGGAGCATGTTCGACTTCTGGAAAAAGTTCACTTATTTCCGGGTTTGCAGTGTTTGAGTTCCAAGTTGTTTGAGTACCAAGGCGTTTGAGAACCAAGGTACCACTGTACCGGCAACAAAAAACCATACCCTGTCTGTTCAGCCTCAGCTTTTGCAGCTGGAGTCAGTCCAGGCCCTGCCCTCCCAGGGAAAAGACCTGCAAGGCAGGGAGCAGGTCTTCCAAGACTCACAGCCAAGATGGTCACAGCCAAAGGCTCATGGGGAACCTACGAGCAGGATTCGAACCCAAGAGCAACTATCCCCTCTTGTGGCTTCCAGGAACTGAGATTCAGAACCACTACCGCCTCCGACTGCGGCTCCATTGCGGCCAGAGGCCACCGACAGCCCTTTCCTCCACGAATTTGCCCCATCCTCTTAAAGCCGTTCCAGTTGTTGGCCAATCACTGCACCCAGTGGCAAGTAGTTCCATAGTTTAACGATGTGCTCCATCAACAGGTCCTTTCTTTCTCGGATGCCTGAGAAAACCTTTGCCAAGGTGTGGTTTGGCCGTGGTTCACTCCGAGGTGGTCTTTCCGGACCAGGCTGTGTTGGGGTAGGGAGTGGGCCCAGATCCCCTCCCCACACTTGAGCCCCTGGCATTCGCCGAACCCAGCTGAGAGCACGTGGACAATTTAGTCTTCTGGGCTGGTGCCACACGGCCTCCGAAATTCCTGTCCATGTTCATGGAACCACTTGTTGGCCACTATTAAAGAGAGGTGGGGATTAATAATAATAATAATAATAATAATAATAATAATAATAATGTCCTGCCTTCCCCCCTGATAGGAACTGCTCAAGGCAGCTTACAGTTAAATCAGAAACAGCTAAAAACACAGGGAGGAAAAAGCAGTAACTAAAAAACAATTAAATATGAGTCCATTTGGCAACTTTCATGATTATTCAATATGTTTGGCACAAAGAAGAACCTTGTATTCATTCCACTGTTGAATATATTTTACACCACTCATTCTTTCTCAAGCATTCTTTGATTATTACGATTATCATTCTATTATCTTGCACTTTTATTCTTCCTGCTCTTATGACTGTTTTTATTATTACTTCTAGCTTGATGTTTTCAAGTTAAATTGAAAAACAATTAGATATAGATATATAGATGAGATCTCTTAAGATATACAGAGCATTACAATAAAATCAGCATGATAAGAGCGTCTCCACCCCCATTGTTCTGCCTGGACACTGAGGTCCAGCTCCGAGGGCCTTCTGGCAGTTCCCTCCCTGCGAGAAGCGAGGTTACAGGGAACCAGGCAGAGGGCCTTCTCGGTGGTGGCACCCGCCCTGTGGAACGCCCTCCCACCAGATGTCAAGGAAATAAACAACTATCTGACTTTTAGAAGACATCTGAAGGTAGTTTTTACAGTTTGATGTTCTCTTGTATTTTTAATATTTTGTTGGAAGTCGCCCAGAGTGGCTGGGGAAACCCGGCCACATGGGTGGGGTATAAATAATAAAATTATTATCATTTTTATGATATCCACCAGACTGTTTTCATTCAAAACAGTCAGTTCCCCGAAGCCTGTTGGTCTTCACTTGCCAGCAGGAGGACAGCAAGGAGAGAGCCAGTCTGACTTCTCCAGGCAGGGAGTTCCAAAGTTGCCTGGGAGAAGCCACTGCCGAGAAGACCCTGTTTTCCCTGAAGGGCATCATTGAAGTTCTCAAAACTTGGGCAGCTTCTTATGGGGAAATACAGTCCTTCAGATAACCTGGACCTAAGCCATATAGGTAAAGGGACCCCTGACCATTAGGTCTAGTCGTGGCCGACTCTGGGGTTGCGGCGCTCATCTCGCTTTATTGGCCGAGGGAGCCGGCGTACAGCTTCCAGGTCATGTGGCCAGCAGGACTAAGCCGCTTCTGGCGAACCAGAGCAGCGCACGGAAACGCCGTTTACCTTCCCGCCAGAGCAGTACCTATTTATCTACTTGCACTTTGATGTGCTTTCGAACTGCTAGGTTGGCAGGAGTTAGGGACCGAGCTCACCCTCTTGCGGGGATTCGAACCGCCGACCTTCTGATCGGCAAGTTCTAGGCTCTGTGGTTTAACCCACAGCGCCACCCATATAGGGCTTTATAAGTTATAACCAGCCCTTTGAATTGTGCCTGGGGAAAAGACCTGCTTTATCACGGGAATCGTCTGCTTGCCATAACCACCCCCGGTCAGCAGTCCAGCTGCAGCTCTTTGAGCCAGCCAAAGTTGTTATTATTATTATTATTATTACATTTATTCGTCGCTTTTTCTTGCCACATATCGGCAAACTGGAAACGATTGCCCTGTGCCATGCAAACACAAGCAAAGAAAAGCAATTCCCCTGCCTGGGTCTTTTCCTGGCAGGCTTTTTGAAGAAAGGGCAACCAGGGTCACACCTTATTTTATTTTTTATATAATTTTTATTAATTTTTCTGCTTTACTATTTAAAGTACAGGGCTCATTTTTACATCCTTCATATCTCAATGACGTCTTCTCTTTCCATGGCTCATTTGCCATATCATCAATCCCTGTATATTTTACAAAAACGTTACCCTTGTTCCATTAACACTCTTGAATTTATCTTAACGCTGCCCAGGAGTCACATTTGGGACGGTAGGACGTTCGCCCCTTTTCAAGCACCCCTCCCCACAATTGAAGGCAAAACTAATTTATATAATTTATTGTTATATAATAGTAATTTATTGTTTATTATTTTATAGGACAAATTTAGCCAGCTAGCCCTGGTGATCATCTAATGTTTATTGGATGGATTTCCCCCCTAAATTGATTTTTAAATTCTGAATTTATTGTTATTCGCGTTTTATACTGTATTTTATGCTGTTTTTTGTTGCATCAATTAAGTGTTTTAAATTTCTTGTTAACCGCCCTGAGCCCGGTTTTCTGAACCAGGAAGGGCAGGGTATAAATAAAAAAATATTATTATTATTATTATTAAACATGTCTATTTCACTTCCCAGCTTTTGATGGCACAGCAGTGAAATTGACCGAGCTCCTCGGCAAGGCATTTTTTGTGTGAGCCCCCTACCCTCGTAGGAACTTGACGGCTGAAATTAGCCGGTCAGTTCCTTCCTTCCTGCACCCTGAGCTCTGCCCCTTACCCCATTTGTCTCCGGCAAGGACCGGGCAGCCAGCGTGGAGGGTGTCGTCGTCCCCGTCCCCGTTCCTGCGAAGGTTCCACCAAAAGAGAGCCGCGTTCTGCAAAGGGGACCAGAAAATAAGAATGTTCATGGCGTGTCTGCAGAGAAATAACCCATGCTCCAGACTGAGCAGCGTGGCAGGCACCCAGCTGAGTGCACAAATCCCGTTCCTTTGAGCATTTACAGGGGTCAGTTTCCCTGAAAAAACGTGCTGAAAACAGGTAAAGGTAAAGGACCCCTGGACGGTTAAGTCCAGTCAAAGGTGACTGTGGGGTTGTGATGCCCATAGAGGAGGGAGAAAGGTTGTTTTTTGCTGCTCCAGAGAAGCGGACACGGAGCAATGGATCCAAACTACAAGAAAGAAGATTCCACCTAAACATTAGGAAGAACTTCCTGACAGTAAGAGCTGTTTGACAGTGGAATTTGCTGCCAAGGAGTGTGGTGGAGTCTCCTTCTTTGGAGGTCTTTAAGCAGAGGCTTGACAACCATATGTCAGGAGTGCTCTGATGGTGTTTCCTGCTTGGCAGGGGGTTGGACTCGATGGCCCTTGTGGTCTCTTCCAACTCTATGATTCTATGATTCTATGATCTTGCTTTCAGCCCACCTACAAGAAACCTCTGACCTCTGTAATTGCCAACAAGGGTTTTGCCACCAAGTACTAAGTCATCTTTTGCAAAGGGATCAAATACTTATTTCACTCATTATAATCCACATCAATCTCTGACTTTTGTCTTCTGGGTTTCTGGGGTTTTTCCTGTTGTTATTCTGTCTCCCACAGCTACAATAAACCTACCATTAAAATTATGGACTGGTAATTTATTCGCCAGGGGGCAAATGGGCAAATTTAGCAGGGGATCAAATTCTTTCCCCCCTCACTGTAGGTACTGCTGTGGCAGGAAGGTAAGCGGTGTTTGTCCACAGACAGCTTTCATGTGGCCAGCATAAACCACTTCTGGTGCAACAGAACACAGTGATGGAAACCAGAGTGCACGGAAACGCTGTTTACCTTCCCGCCGGAGCGGTACCTATTTATCTACTTGCACTGGTGTGCTTTCGAACTGCTAGGTTGGCAGGAGCAGGGACCGAGCAACGGGAGCTCACCCCGTCGCGGGGATTTGAACCACCGACCTTCCGATCGGCAAGTCCAAGAGGCTTGGTGGTTTGGGCCACAGCGCCACCCGCGTCCCCAGGGAACAAGAACCTTCATGGCATGTGTGCAGAGAAATAACCTAGGCCCCAGATGAATGCACAAATCCTGTTCCTCTGAGCATGCGCAGAGGGGCAGTTTCCCTGAAAAAGCATTTGCTGAAAAAAGACAGCCCCCTGAACACAAAGGGGTGTGTTGGCACAGCTGCCAAAGGGGTGAGAGGATGATAAATTTGAGCCTCAGATGCCTCTTTTTTATATGTTCAAGGAAGTTGACGACTTGTTCCTCTGTCTCTTTTGATCTTGTTACCTTTGATACCTCTTTTCACTCCCCAGAGAACCCTTCTTTCTGCAGTTCACAACACACAGACTCACCTTGACAGCAGGAATGCTGAGGTTTGCATAGATGAAGGCTGTGGACCCTCCGGCTTCTACCAAACTCAGCTGAGCAGGAAAAGAAATGGGACAACGTTATCCTTCGGCTCAAGGTGGCGTATGTAGTTCTCTATATCTCTCAGCCTAACTACCTCACAGGGTTGTTGTGGAGTTTAAAAGAGGACAGGGAGAACCACGCTGAGTTTATTTTTATTTTTTGCATAGAAAAAGAAAGTTTTGGAGCTATTTTCAAGGAAATTCACCAAAATCTACACTTCCGACGTGGGTTGCCAGACACATGGCAGTGCTAGGATATAAAGCATGAGACTTTGTTTTTATTAATTTCCCAATACAAAAAATCCAATTAACATGAGACAATCTCAGAGTCATGAGTTGGAGCCCCATGCAAACAACAACAACAACAACAACAACAACAATAATAACAATAATAATAATAATAATTTATTTATACCCCACCCCTTTTGGCTGGGTTTCCCCAGCCACTCTGGGCAGCTTCCAACCGAATATTAAAATACAATAATCTATTAAACATTAAAAGCTTCCCTAAACAGGGCTGCCTTCAGATGCCTTCTAAAAGTCAGATTGTTGTTTATTTCCTTGACATCTGATCGGAGGGCGTCCACAGTGCGGGCACCACCACCGAGAAGGCCCTCTGCCTGGTTGCCTGTAACCTCACCTCTCGCTACTTTGCAAAATGGGCAGAACTGATCCTCATTGCCATTAAAGAAACTAAATATATTAGCTGCTTTCACTGGTGTGATGAGCATTTAGAAATATCAGGGGAGGTCTGCTTCACCCTCTTTTCCCTTCTCCAAATCACCCTTCGCCCCAGTGACTCTTCCCTCCCACAAAAACATCTCCCAAATCACGCTTGTCCTAGAAAATACACTGCAGAAATCTAGCTGGGAAATAAACACTGGGCCAGCTGTTTGAAGCTTGGCACTTTCCATTTTAGCCATGGAATGACAAAACAAAAAACAAAAGCAGCCCTATCCTTCTTGAAGCATATACAGAGTTCCCTGGCAAAACCACAATATCCTTTGCAGATCCCAGCAAAGAGAAGAAGACTCACATAGACCATCAACGTGGCAATTCGGTTTCCGGATTTCATCCTGTAAAGGGGGCTTTTTCTTGACTGCATTGGGAAAAAAGAGAATTCCTTGATTACGAAACACCAGGTGGTTGCATTCATCAAGTTTTAGTACTTCCAGAACTGGAATTGTCTACCACAAAACCTGAGCATAACTACAAGTTGTCCTACAAGAGCAGAACTTCTGCAGTCAAACTGGTGGGAAGTCACGGGTGGAAAAAGATTTGTACGGGGAAACGAGTATTCAGTTAAGAATCTATGCTGTAAAGAAATCAAGTATATATGTATATGTACAATTTACATTTAATAGAAACTATATAAATACACACACACACACACACACACACTGGTTTAAATTTTAAAGTGTAGGTGGAGCTTAGGACTGTGCTTGTGGCAAGGGGAAGCAGGAGATATAATTAATTATAATTATAATTATAATTATAATTATAATTATAAATAAGAGAAGTTTAAAAAGACAGAAAGACTTGGATTGCTTCCAAAGAAAAATGCAAGTGTTTACATCTCAGACAATACAGTGGGACCTTGGTTCTCAAATGCCTTGATTCTCAAACGCCTTGGTTCCCAAACTCTGAAAACCCGGAAAAAAGTGTTCCGGTTTTCAAACGTTTTTTGGAAGCCGAACATCTGATGCGGCTGTTGGCTATTGTTTCTGGGGCGCCTGCATCAATCAGAAGTCGCGCCTTGGTTTCTGAGCATTTCGGAAGCCAAATGGACTTCCAGAATGGATTAAGTTTGGCGCTTTCGTTTTTGCTATTTATTTTTCATTTTTGTTTTTGAGGCTTTTTCGGTTCATTTGTTTTTGTGGCTGTGTGGAACCTACTGATCAATTGATTGTGTGACTGCGGAAATGGATAAAAGCCCCCCATCTGAACAATGACTATCATCAGTGCAGGTAAAAAAAAAATCATAATTTTAATTTTTATCATCTTCAATACTGTCTTATTTACTTTATAGTACAGTACATTGATTATTGCTTTCATTTTATGGATCAGCGGTCACGTTAGATAGTAAAATTCACGTTGAATTGCTGTTTTAGGGGTTGTTTTTAAAAGTCTGGGACGGATTAATCCCTTTTGCATTACTTTCTATGGGAGAGTGCGCCTTGGGTTTGGAACGCTTTGGTTTTGGAACGGACTTCCGGAATGGATTAAGTTTGAGAACCAATGAACTACTGTATCAAACTGCTTTCATGCCCTGCCGGACTCTGCAGCAACAGACTCACCGTCGCGTGGTCAAAATGGGGCTCGTAGTGCCCACCTAATCCGTAGTTTACCACCTGCAGGTATTCTGCGTAAGGGGGCTGGGTGTTGAGGCCGGTCAGGGCTGCGACCCGTCGATCTAAAGCCACGATTGCTGGATCCAAGGTGTCTTTCAGCCAAGCACTAAACAAGGCACAGTGAGCAGGAAAGAGTTGAGCTCAGAAGTGCAGTCGTGTACCGTATTTTTCGCTCTATAACACGCACCCAACCATAACACGCACATAGTTTTTAGAGGAGGAAAATCCGTAGGCATGCCACCCATAGGCATTCCCTCCATAACACGCACAGACATTTCCCCTTACTTTCTAGGAGGAAAAAAGTGAGTGTTATGGTGCAAAAAATACGGTAAATATGTACAATTTTTCTGTTCAAGGGGGGGGGGGGGCTCACAAGACTACTTTGAGGGGCCCGAAACTGCCTTGGCCCCTAGGAGTCAGCGCGCCTGCTCAGAACCCAAAACAAACTACAGCTCTCACGATTCTTGGGGCGGGGGGCATGGCATGGCTATTTAAAGTGGTACAGCGCTGCTTTTAAATGCATAGTGCAGATGAGGCCAGAGTATTAATCGATTTAAAATATCTTCACTGGCATACGATTCTGTTCATTTTACCGCTGCCGTTTCAAGCCAAGATCCTTCTGTTTTTCCCAACGGGGCCAGAGGTGAGGGAAGAGTTAATCGCTCGTTCATCCAACCATAATTCAAAGCCCCCCACCCTGCAGAGAATGGAATTCTGGCGGTCAGCGGGGGTCTCTCAAACCCAGATTGCAAAACCCAGCGCTGAGATCATCTCGGAAAATATTTGCCAAGGCTGCTCTGCGACCGCAGCCTATGTCTCCGTCATCCTTTGTGTGGAAATTCCATATCTAGCTCTGCATTGCAAGACGACTCAATGAAGTCATTTTTTCCCAGCCTAAGAAGCCTGGAATGATAAACGCAGCTGTTGGCTATAAATCCTGCCCTTTGGCAGTTTGCAGAAGAATAGAAACCTGGATTGTAGTGTACTAGGGAGATGGGAGGCCTGATCCTGAACTATTCACCTCTAGATTGCTTGCTCAGATTCCTTTGCTCAGTGGCAGAACACCTGGTTGGCATGCAGAAGGTGGCAGCTTAACCAAACAGAACGTCTGGTCCCCTCCCCAGCCTCTCCATTTAGAAAAAAAGGATCTTGGCAAACTAATGCCAGTGTACTGGAAGAAGCAAAGATCATCCATGTCGAAGCAATGATTCTTCAACATCAACTTCGTTAGACTGGTCATGTTGTGCGCATGCCTGATGATCGTCTGCCAAAGCAACTACTATATTCTGAACTTAAAAATGGAAAGCGTAATGCTGGTGGTCAACAAAAGAGGCTCAAAGACTGTCTCAAGGCAAATCTTTAAAAATGTAGTATAAACACCAACAACTGGGAAACACTGGCCTGCGAGTGCTCCAATTGGAGAACAGCCCTTACCAAAGGTGTCATGGGCTTTGAAGACACTCGAACTCAGGACACAAGGGAGAAATGTGCTAAGAGGAAGGCACACTTGGCAAATCCACACCGTGAACAACTCCCGCCTGGAAACCAATGTCCCCACTGTGGAAGGATGTCTGGATCCAGATGTGTGGCCTCCACAGTCACTTACGGACTCATTGTTAAGACTGTGTTTAATAAGACAATCTTACTCGGCTACGAGGGAACGCCAAAGAAGAAGAAGAAGACCCTATTAAAATGAGTTATTCAGAAGAGCAGTTTGCACGACCCACTCAGGAAGATCATAGTGCAATAAAATTCTGCAAATAATATTGCATGAAAAGTACAGTGGTACCTCTGGTTGCAAATGGGATCTGTTCCAGAGCGATTCACCGCTTCTGCGCATGCGTGTGGTGTCATTTTGAGCGTCTGTGCATGCGTGAGCGGCGAAACCCGGAAGTAACCCTTTCTGGTACTTCCGGGTCACCGCGGGACGCAACCTGAAAAGATTTAACCTGAAGCAAACGTAACAAGAGGTATGACTGTATTGTTTATGTATTCTTGCTAAACAAAAACATAAGGTAGAAGGAAATTTAGGGCATAAAATGTTTTGATTGATTGATTGATTGATTGATTGATTGATTGAGCTAGCCTGCAAACGTGACAAAAAGGCTAGCAACCTCAACCCTGCGGTGTGGGGTGTCCCTGGAGGCACCCCTAAATTTCACGAGGGGGCCAGCTCCTTGCACATCCGTTGGTACATCAAGCGATGCAAGCTCCTTTGTTCCCTGAGATTTCTGTGTGTTGCTAGCAAGAGACTTTACCTTTTGCTTATTCGGTAGTCCGCTTTCTGCTGCTTTTCTCCCGAGGCAACCACCGACCTCTGCAACTGGAGAGGGGAACAGAGAGAGAAAAACGCAAGAGGTTGCAGTGTCAAATCTGGAGTGGAAAGGAGACAGGAAGGGCTTTGCTTCTGATGTTTGGCTGAGTTATAATAATCAAAAAAAATATGGGAGGACGACATAGGCTCTGAGATTAATCCCACTCAATGGACCAGAATGTGGTCTAAGCCCCACCCCCCCTTTAAATCCATATCAACAAAAAGAAAAGAACTCACTCTGAAACTCACCTGCAGGTGGTACCTAACACCAAGAAAACTAGCGCTAATAAGCTACCGCAGAGAGATGACCCAGAGTCACCCATGGAACCGAGTTTGGGGATTTTCTTAATGAACTAGTTTGGGTCGGGGTATGGTCTACGGCTGTATGCCTACAGATCTGTACACAGAATCTGGTGACCATCCGGGTCGTCTTATGATCTTTGCCTAACAGGAAAAGGTCAAATTTTGTTTTAAATGTTTGTTTTCCTTCTGGGATTGTACCCCCAAGTGTGTTTTATAAGCTGCTCTCCGACCGTAATAAATTATCTATCTATCTATCTATCTATCTAGCGCTAATACGCCCAGGAATCTCACCGAAATGCTGGAGAGGGTGCACCTCCACAGGCACATACCTCCACATGTGGTGGGAGTGCCCCAAATATGTAAAATAACCAAGCAAGTATTAGTTAAAATAATATTTCGTTTATACCCCACCCATCTGGCTGGGTTACCGAAGCCACTCTGGGCGGCTTCCAAGACATAAAAACATAATAAAACATCAAACATTAATAGTAACAATCTGATCCAATATAAAAGTCACAATAACTTTAAAATAAACAACTGATATCAAACAAAGCAACATTCAACAATCCATCAGAATCAAATAGTAAATAGTAAAATTAAATACCAGCAAATAATAATTAAACAGTCCAACCGCAATAAAGAATTACCAATCTATAATCAGTGAAAGGAATAGCAAATCACAATGAATAAAATACCATAAAACATACAAAACCATGTAAAAGGGTCAAATTGAGAAGCAAAGAAGCACAACTTATAAAAGTATTTTTAAAATAATAATTAATTAAAGAGTGGCAGATGAAGATGATGGACCTTGAAGAATTGGTGAAGCTGACAGGAAAAAATCCGAAACCAGCACAATCAAGTATTCCAAAAGGACCAGAGTAAATTTATACAATATCTGAAAGACTATTGTAAGCAATTAACATCGGTAGCAGGGTTATCTGAAGACTTGTAATGAGAAGTTTTCTACCTTTCTATATTTATTCAAATTTTGAGCTATTTTGTAATTGGAATTGGAAAACGTACAAAATGATATAAAGATTAATTTTGAAAGCCATGAGGTGGGAAGGAAGTAAGTCGATAGGCTCTAAAGAGGCAGGGAGGTAAAGTGGATAGCAATGATGTGAATGTATATTATTAAATGGAAAATAAATAAAAATTACATATAAATAAAGAATAATAATTAAAAAATTATGGACATAGTGTTGCACACCACCCCAATCTCACAGCAGTGCAAAATCCCAGGGGTCCCAGGAGTGCTTAACAGGGTCAATGTTTCCTTTTGGAATGAGGCACAGTGGGGACTGTGGTGTCTTTAGGATATATGGTTTAGTTGCAAATTGTTGTTTAGTTGTTTAGTCGTGTCCGACTCTTCGTGACCCCATGGACCAGAGCATGCCAGGCACTCCTGTCTTCCACTGCCTCCCGCAGTTTGGTCAAACTCATGCTGGTAGCTTCGAGAACACTGTCCAACCATCTCGTCCTCTGTCGTCCCCTTCTCCTTGTGCCCTCCATCTTTCCCAACATCAGGGTCTTTTCCAGGGAGTCTTCTCTTCTCAGGAGGTGGCCAAAGTCTTGGACCCTCAGCTTCAGGATCTGTCCTTCGAGTGAACACTCAGGGCTGATTTCCTTCAGAATGGATCAGTTTGATCTTCTTGCAGTCCATGGGACTCTCAAGAGTCTCCTCCAACACCATAATTCAAAAGCATCAATTCTTCGGCTATCAGCCTTCTTTATGGTCCAGCTCTCACTTCCATACATCACTCCTGGGAAAACCATAGATTTTACTATACGGGCCTTTGGCCTACGATGGAGGGATTCACAGCACTGCACTCCAAAAGAATCTTGCTTCTGCCCTACCCACAGCCTTAGATTCAGACAGACACCATGCTCTGCCTTCCTGATTCCCTTATACATGACTCCTTCGCAGGTTTCTAACTCCCATCGCTTTATCTGTAGAGTGAAAGGCCCCACACATTTTGCCACCTCACACAGATGTTTTGTGTCCTTCCTAATGCTCCATCCCCAGGCTTTCACTTCACACAGGAGGCCAGCCTAGGTTAATAAGCCTTTAACACATGCTGATTTCAGAGGATTAGCAGTGTCTAGCACACAGGTTAATCAGGGCCGGATTTAGGTTTGATGAGGCCCTAAGCTGCTGAAAGTAATGGGGCCCTTTATAAGGAAGACTCTTGTGTCTTTATTCTTTTAGGAGGGAATCTAAGGGGTCTTACCAGGAATATACCCCAATCTGGGGGTGCCAGATTGGATTGCTTAACTAAAGGGATTCAAACGAATCTGGAACTAGTTTCTTGCTGTGTAAAGTGGAACGAGTTGTGCTATATATGTGTGACTCACTAGCGTGAGTTAGGAAGGATAATATTTCATCAATATATACTCTCCTACTACCCACAACAGGGACGCGGGTGGCACTGTGGGTTAAACCACAGAGCCTAGGACTTGATCAGAAGGTTGGTGGTTTGAATCCCCGCAACGGGGTGAGCTCCCGTTGCTCGGTCCCTGCTCCTGCCCACCTAGCAGTTCGAAAGTACGTTGAAGTGCAAGTAGATAAAGAGGCACCACTCCGGCGGGAAGGTAAACGGCGTTTCTGTGCGCTGCTCTAGTTTGCCAGAAGCGGCTTGGTCATGCTGGCCACATGACCTGGAAGCTGTACGCCGGCTCCCTCGGCCAATAAAGCGAGATGAGCGCCACAACCCCAGAGTCGTCCGCGACTGGACCTAATGGTCAGGGGTCCCTTTACCTTTTTTACTACCCACAACATTCCTACAGCTGTGCCTGGAGTTGCCATTGGAGACTGAACGTGGGGACCTTCGGTATCCAAGAAGGATGCTCCCACAAGGCCGCACACCTGTTAAAGGTGAAGGCGCCACCTGTTCCTCCTGGCAACCAGAAACACTCTCAAGACGCTTCCAGCTGCCTAGCGAAGCTAATGTCTGCCTTTGTCTTTTGCATTTCTGGTCATACCTCGGGTTACAGACGCTTCGGGTTGCACGATTTTGGGTTGCGCACTGCGCCGAACCCGGAAGTACCGGAATGGGCTACTTCTGGTTTTCGGCCCTTGCACATGCACAGAAGCACTAAATTGTACTTTGCGCATGCGCAGAAGTGCCAAATTGCAACCCGTGCGTGCGCAGATGCAACGCTGCAGGTTGCAAACGTGCTTCCCGCACGGATCGCGTTCGCAACCCGAGCAACCACTGTAGTTGAGGGAAACAGCCCTAGGCAGTTGTTAGGAGCAATGCACCCGGCGGAAAGGCGTCTAGCCTGGAGAACTGCGTCCACGATGACACACTCGGCCGAGATGCCAGGATGTCTGGAAGCTGCCCAGAGGAATTGTGATGGATTGGCAGGCAGAGCCAAGTGCCGTCTGGCCTTGGGAAGGAGGAGAACCGCAAAACCGATGTCCCATCCACGCCGTGGATTAGGTTAATAATCTCCATGTGGGCCTGTTTCCGCGGTTGCCAAGGCAACTGGCCGGGATGTTGGATGGAGAAGGAATTGTTTCGGCCAAGTGTGGAGGAGCTGGACCGCAGGCTCTCCTCATTCTCCTCCTCAATCCTGTCTCGAAGTGGCAATTTTTAAGCTTAATTCTCTCGGCTGCTGAAGGAATCAGAATAACCAAAAAGGAAGTTTTCTGCCCTCTTGTTCAAAGTAGGGTTGGGCACACCATGTTAGCAGAACTTGAGTGATACTTGTAAACACAACAAATACCGTTTGTGGAGTAGACGGCAACAACAATAATAATAATAATAATAATTTATTATTTATACCCCGCCCATCTGGCTGGGCTTCCCCAGCCACTCTGGGCGGCTTCCCAAAAAATATTAAAATACTGTAATACATCAAACATTAAAAGCTTCCCTAAACAGGGCTGCCTTCAGATGTCTTCTAAAACAATATTAAAGAATATAAAACTGTGCAGGGAAAACGACGACAGTATAAACAGTACAATGAGAATGATTGGAAGACTCATTTTGTCAGAAGTCTTTTTTATTTAAGTGTTTATTTAAGTATTAATTAGGAAGTTTAAGATTTTTTTATGCATGTAAATCTGCTTTTTCTTCTTTCTTTTTTCTGTGTTTTCTGCTTTTCTTAATTGTTTTTTCTTTAATTTTCTTTTTGGAGTGTGAGATTGTAAATTCTTTGTAAATTCTTTGTATATGTGTGTAATTTAAATTAATAAAGATTATTTTTTAAAAAACAAAGTAGGGTTGGGGATGCAAACTGGGGTGGTCCACCCCCCCTTTTTAGGGGGGTTTGCTAGTATAACAGAATTTGGAGGGAACAAAATTCTCCAGCAGACTAACATGGTTAGAACGTGCGATTGGTATTTGTAACCATAATGGTCATGCATTTTTTCGATTTAGCTGCGATTCCTGCATTGCAGGGGGTTGGTCTGGATGACCTTTGGGGATCCCTTCCAACTCTACGATTGTAGGATTCTATGATTTATTAGTTGTCCTTGGGCAACTTACTAACCAGTCATCAATACTCCACACCCATTGAGAAAGCCTCAAAAATCTCATTGACCACAGCAGCAGTAAAAAAAACAAGTTTGTGGCCTGGGATAACCGCCCTTTGGCTCCTATGGGAGGAAGAGGGGCAGGAAAGACACCCAAGGTACAAAATAAATGACGATCCATCAAGTGCTCTGGTAACCTCAAGGTTGGTTACCGCAAGGCATGGGTAGGCAACCTAAGACCCGGGGGCCAGATCCGGCCCAATCACCTTCTAAATCCGGTCAGCGGACGTCCGGGAATCAGCGTGTTTTTACATGAGTAGAATGTGTGCTTTTATTTAAAATGCACCTCTGGGTTATTTGTAGGGCCTGCCTGGTGTTTTTACACTGTTGTTTCCAGTGAAATGAGGCTGTATTTTAATGTTTTAATGTTTTATTTTAATCTTGTTTTTAAGTTGTATTTCAATCAATTGTTTTTATGTCGGGTGTTAGCCGCCCAGAGCCCAGTCTTGGCTGGGGAGGGTGGGGTATAAATAAAAATTATTATTATTATTTACATGAGTAGAATGTGTGCTTTTATTTAAAATGCATCTCTGAGTTATTTGTGGGGCATAGGAATTCGTTCATCCCCCCAAAAAATATAGTCCGGCCCCCCACAAGGTCTGAGGGACAGTGGATGGGCACCCTGCTGAAAACGTTTGCTGACCCCTGCTGCAATGCGTTCTACGTAGGGCTGCCTCTGAAGACGGTTCGGAAACTTCAGTTGGTGCAGAATTCAGCAGCCAGGTTGCTCACCGGAGCAAGACGGTTTGAGCATGTTACATTGATCCTGGTCCGACTGCACTGGCTAACAATTAGTTTCCAGGTCCAATTCAAAGTGCTGGTTTTGACATATAAGGCCTTAAACGGCTCAGGACCACAATACCTCAAGGACCGCCTCTTCCCATATGAACCTACCCAGACCCTGAGATCACCTTCTGAGGCCCTCCTTCGTGTGCCTCCTCCTCAAGAGGTCTGGAGGTCAGCAACACGAGAACAGGGCCTTCTCTGCAGTGGCTCCCCGTCTGTGGAATGCTCCCCCCAGGGAAGTTCGCCTGGCGCCTTCATTACACACCTTTAGGTGCCAGGCAAAAACGTTCCTTTTTAACCAGGCCTTTGGTTGATCTTACTGACATCCTATGCCTTTTTAAAATGTAGTTCTTTGGGGGGAGGAGGGGTTGTTATTGGGTTGTCATTTTTATTTTGATTATATATATTGTGGTTTTTATATTGATCTTGTTCTGTGAACCACCCTGAGACCCCTGGGTATAGGGCGGTATATAAATTCAAACAATCAATATTATTATTGTTGATATTCACAGAATTGTAGGATCTTAGAGTTGGAAGGGACCCTAGCGGTCATCTAGTCCAACCCCCTGCAATGCAGGAATCTCAGCTACAGCATCCATGACAGATGGCCATCTAACCGCTGCTTAACAACCTCCAAGGAAGGAGAGTCCACCTTCTCCTGAGGGAGACCGTTCTACCATTGAACAGTTCTTCCTGTCAGAAAGTTCTTCCTGATGTTAGCTGGAATCTCCCTTCTTGTAGCCTGAAGCCAACGACGCAAGAGATTATGATGAAAAGAAAGGAAGGTAGTAATTTGAACTAGTTAATTTTATTAGAAAGTGAATATTGGAAAATTGCAAAAATGAGATTCAATGAAAATCAGTTAGGAAGGATTCGAGGAAGTCATTTAATAATGGAAATTAATTTGGTTTTTTAATTGGAAGAAATTTTATATGTTTGTTTGTTTTTCTTCTTATATGTTTTCTTTATTGTGTTGTGCTGTATTTGTTATAAATTTGGAAAATTAATAAAAACATTTGGGAAAAAACACAAAACGACGCAAGAGCCCAGGAGTGACCCGTCCCGTTTTGCCGCATAACACGGCTTCCAGGCTCTGGCAAGATATTGCTAGAGCCCCACAAGATCTCGCAGGGCTTTTGCGAGGTCCCGCCAGAACCTGGAAACCACTGCCGCAGCCACTTCTGCAGCAGGCCTGCCCCTTCGGTTCCGTCGCCTGAAGTGGCTGCCTCGGTTTGCCTCATGGATGGGCCGGCCCCGCAAGACCCCATTTCCTGCCTCTCCAATGCCCCCAAGCTGCTTACCCGTGGAGCGGCAAGCTCCTTGATCCTCTCCGCTTCGGCATCGCTGACAAAGTCGTGGTAGAGGGCGATGTGGGGTTGCTGGTGAACAATCTCCCTCTTCAGAGGCTGGAGCATCAGGAAGGGGGTCCCATTGGTCTCGTAGGAGCAGTAGAGGTGTTGCTGCTGATACTGGGATGGCTGGAGGAGGACCAGAGAGAGAGGGTGACGCAAGGGAACCTACCAGCAAACCAGCCAACCATCAATAGGCCAATGTCTATTGCACCAAGTTATAGGCAAAAGGCCCTAGCCCAGTAGTTAGAACCAGTGAAGTCAGTGAATGTCCTGTGTGAATGTCTGGAGGCAGTTGGAAGATGGATGGTGGCCAACAGATTGAGGTTGAATCCTGACAAGACAGAAGTACTATTTTGGGGGGACGGGGCGGGCAGGTGTGGAGGACTCTGTGGTCCTGAATGAGGTAACTGTGCCCCTGAAGGACCAGGTGCGCAGCCTGGGAGTTATTTTGGACTTTGGTCCATGGAGGCGCAGGTCAATTCTGTGTCCAGGGCAGCTGTCTACCAGCTCCATCTGGTACTCAGGATGAGACCCTCCCTGCCCGCAGACTGTCTCGCCAGAGTGGTGCATGCTCTGGTTATCTCTTGCTTGGACTACTGCAATGCGCTCTACATGGGGCTACCTTTGAAGGTGACCCAGAAACTCACCCCATCGAGCAGATTCGAACCACCGACCTTCTGATCGGCAAGCCCTAGAGGCTCAGGGGTAGTTCCTTTAAAAAGATCAGTTTTATTCTATTTTTCAAAGAAACAAAAATTGTATTTTACACCCACCAAAATATCATACAGGATGATGAACCAGCAAAAGGAAAAACACGGAGGGTTGGTGATGGTTGGTTTTTTTCCTCTAAGGGGGGCTTATATTGCAAATTTGTCACTCAGCTATCACAAGCAGATCATTGGTGTTACAGTCATACCTCGGGTTACTGACACTTCAGGTTGCATTTTTTCAGGTTACGGACCACCGAAACCTGGAAGTACCGGAATGGGTTACTTCTGGTTTTGTCGATCACACATGTGCAGAAGCGCTAAATCACGCTCTGCGCATGCGCAGAAGCGCCGAATCGCAACCCGTGTGTGTGCAGACGCGCCGCTGCGGGTTACGGACGCTGCAGGTTGCGAACGTGCATCCCACATGGATCACGAGCGTCCACTGTATCTATATATTTAAAAGCTCATCAGATTTCCCATGGAAATTTGGCATTTCTATCCCAAGGACACCGAAGGCGCATGGATGCTCATTCCACAATGAACACCCGTCTGATAACATCATCCTAACACTGCTGGGGTTTGTCACTATTTCGTAAAAACAAAACACCAAGGTTGGATTCCGTGCCTTTTCTGCGGCCCCACCTGAGACCCCAGAGTCTGACACAGCTTCTCGTAAATATCTCTGGTCTCCAGCTGGGTCACGTTTGGCCTCTGCAGGGACCCCCCTTCTTCACCACTCTCAGGGTTCACCAGCAGCAGCTTCTCGTACTTGAGAACATTCCTCACCATCCTCTTGTTGCTTGGATCTGGTCGAGATAACAGGTGGTCTGAATCCAAAAGTGGATATACATTTTAAAAGGCCCCCCCCCCTGCCCCTTTAATAGCCATCTAGCATGCAGAAATGAAGCGGTTGCCCATGTCCAGGAAAGTTCTCCTCGTGTGCCAGGTTGCCACTGAAGGCAAAGGCGCAGAGCCAGTAAGAAAAAGTTGGCAACCCGGTTTTAATTATTTGTAGCTTTTCAACTTGGCCCCGTGACCGTGCCAACTTGGCCCTGCGGTCGTGGGGGCCGTGGGGGGGGGGGCGGCATGTAGCGTGAATATCCCTGGCATAGAAATTTGTGGGTGCCTGGTCCCTTCATGGGGAATTTTGTGGGTGCTTGGGCACCCAGAGCCCCAGAGAGTTGGCACTTATGCAGAGCAGTACTGAAGCATGGTCAGTAATGAGAATGACATTGAAGCAAAGGTTTTGCTTTGTTTTGTTTTTTGGGTTGTTGTCTTTTGATCACTTTTTGTAAACCAAAGGGTGGGTTGCCAACTGACTGTAAAAAAATGTACTGGCCTGCTCTTGTACTTCCCACCCCCCATTATTTTATTTTATTTTGACAAAGTAATAATCATAACTAAATAAAATAAAAATGTGCACCCCACCACTGAGACCATTCCATTGCAACTATCCAACCTCCCAAAATTTCAACACCTCCTGCCATGGTTTGACCCCTTTCCGTTTTAACAGTACAAAATTCTACAAACATCCTCCATACCGCCTCAAAATCATTTCTCCTGCATGTTCCCTGTCTTACCTTAATGGCACATGTTAATTTATCATTAATAGCTATATCCCACAACTCTTTATACCATTCTTCCATTTTATATTCTGCTTTCTCCTTCCGCTTCCTAGCTATAATAATGCGTGCAGCTGTCAATAAATTTGTGAGCGAGTCCTTCATGCTCTTGTACTTTTAAGAGCAGCTGCATTCAGCTGAAAAGCTTCGTGGCAAGAAACTGAACACAATCACCTGCTAACTGAATGGCTGTTAGTTAGAGGCTGTGGTTCAAAAGCTAGCAGCTCTAGTGGCTTTTATGCAGGTAGAATTAGGTGGGTCTTTGGCCCACTGCAGCCAACTCCCTTTACCTTCTGATTCTATGGATGTTAAGTTATTTGAGAATCTCTGCAATAGAGAGAGAGATGATTTCAATGTCCGTTACTGATACATGAAATCCTTACCAGGAGACAGCATTACTTTCCAGTTAGGTAACCCAGAATAAATGTGGAATCTCTGCTCCTTTTTCAAATGGAGGGTTCTTAGTTGTGTAGGGAATTTCAGTAGGAAACAAGTCATCTCTGCTGAAAGTCCATTTTCACGGCTATGAAAGGTGCAGTATTTTTTTGTTTCCATGCCCGCCTCATTTTAATGTTCCTCTGATATTTACTTCCCCATGTTCAACCCGGAATCCCTTACTCCCTGGGAGAAAAATGCCCCGGCTGGTTTGAACAGAAACTGTTTCCCCCCTAGTTATGAAGGCCCACTGATGATTGTGCAATTTATGAGGAGAGCATCTAATCCTTTAAAGCTTGATGTTTGGAGTGACTAAGTAACATTCTTCAGTCTGACAGGATCTGGACAAGAAGCACATACCGTAGTGAAGAAATTCTTGGGAAAGGCTTAAGGCATGAGAGATGTTTCCTGCCTTTAAAAAATGAAGAGGGGAGAAAGCAAAAAGTTAGATTTCTGGGGGGAAATAGACACTCAAGCTGACATGAAAGCAAAGTGTGTGTGTCTGTGTGTGGAGGCTATTCTTACTCAGCGAATGGGGAGAGTTGCACTCTACACATGCTCAGAGGAACACCTGATTTAGACGTAAGGAGAGAAGGATGCAAGATGGTTCATAGGGAGGCAGGGCATGCTGTCAAGTGTCACCCAGGGTCCCAAGTGAACAATTCACTCTTCCATTGCCAGACAAGCTGAATATTCCCTGCAGGGAGTTCCACCAGTGTGACAGCAGAGGGGAGCAGCACACTGTGAGTGTCTGGAGGCGGTTGGAAGATGTTTGGCGGCTAACAGATTGAGGTTGAATCCTGACAAGACAGAAGTACTGCTTTTGAGGGACAGGGGGCAGGCGGGTGTGGAGGACTCCCTGGTCCTGAATGGGGTAACTGTGCCCCTGAAGGACCAGGTGCGCAGCCTGGGAGTCATTTTGGACTCACAGCTGTCCATGGAGGCACAGGTCAATTCTGTGTCCAGGGCAGCTGTTTATCAGCTCCATCTGGTACGCAGGATGAGACCTTCCCTGCCCGCGGACTGTCTCGCCAGAGTGGTGCATGCTCTGGTTATCTCCCGCTTGGACTACTGCAATGCGCTCTATGTGGGGCTACCTTTGAAGGTGACCCGGAAACTACAACTAATCCAGAATGTGGCAGCTAGACTGGTGACTGGGAGCGGCCACCGAGACCACATAACACAGGTCCTGGAAGACCTACATTGGCTCCCAGTATGTTTCCAAGCACAATTCAAAGTGTTGGTGCTGACCTTGAAAGCCCTAAACGGCTTCGGTCCAGTATATCTGAAGGAGTGTCTCCACCCCCATCGTTCTACCCAGATGCTGAGGTCCAGCTCCGAGGGCCTTCTGGCGGTTCCCTCACTGCGAGAAGTGAGGTTACAGGGAACCAGACAGAGGGCCTTCTCGGTGGTGGCGCCCACCCTGTGGAATGGGCAGGGTATAAATAATAAATTATTACTATCCCACCCTCCTCCCCTCCTTGAGTGAATCATCTTGTGCAGAATGTGGTATGTGATACTAGTCAAGTGCAACATTCCTTGTTTTCCTAGAGTGGACATGCAAGGGGATGTTTGGTCCAGCCAGTAGAAAACTTCCTGTTTCCTCCTGGCTGGGGCATACTTCCTCTGCATGTGACTAGAGGTGGGCGTGACCTTACCTGCGCAGGTAAGAAAAGGACAAGTCACACAGCACACCTCCTCTCTTTGACTTCATTAGAAGCAGCTTCGTAGAAGCAGCAGCCTTTTATCTAGAGATGCTCTGTTGGCTGAAACCCAACAGAGGACAAAGAGACTATCTCCAATAGTTCTACATGCATATACTTTGTAACTAAGTCTGCCTTCAGGGATCCACTGTGAACTGATGGTGTGAGTAAATATTCTTCATATACTTTAAATAAGATTGCCATGTGTTTATTCTTTTTAAGAGGGACAATAAGGGAATTTACCAGGAACACACAATTCAATACTGAATTGTATGATAGCGAGAGGCTTACACAAGCCTGCAACCAGCTACCCCCTGTGTGTTAAAAGGGGAATTGAAGTGAATGGCGTGAGGCAGGAGCTGGTAATGCAGGTGAGCTGTGCATAAGCAAGCTGCCAGCTAGCTCTGCTGAGGCTCTTTTTATTGAACAACAAACCCCTGTGTTGCCGAAGTAGTCAGTGAATAACAACGTAGGACGGTGCTCCCTGATAATCTGACTGTTTCGCTGGAATATACATATTCTCATGACCGCTGCTCCTTGTGCATTTTTCTAATCTATGGGTTGTGCTGAAGAAGATTCCAGCGAAACAGACAGATTATCCGGGATCACTGTCCTACGTTGTTATTCACTTACTACTTCCGCACCATGAACGCCTAAAAAAGTTTTACCGCTTAGCCCACAGGATAGCATCTATTACTTTGTTTCAACCATAGACTTATTATACTTCTACGGACTTTCAAAGATTGACAGACGTGTGTTCATTTGATTTCAAACATATTAGAGAATTTACAAGTGTACACATTTTGTTTTGGTTGTACTAAATCATGTATACTATGCAATAAGAACTGCAGTGCTATCTAGTATACTGGTCTTCGTGTTGCTTGTATTGTTTGTTGAGGCTCTTTTTACTAGCACAATATGCAAAACCAGTCAGATACATTTTGGACTGTGCCCTTTACATCTTCCAGTCACGAGATCGTGGGGTGATACAAAGTTATTTTGGCACCTGTTTCCAGCGCGTCACTTTCCCCCTGAACAATGTATGACGAAGGAGACCAAGGTCACAGACGGGGCACTGCAGACCACTGAGAAAGCCAAAGGTTAGGTAGAGGGCATGATATTCAGACAGCTGTGGCTTGTCTGCGGGTGGAAGTGTGCTCCACACCCGGCGATCATTCCTTCAGGGAATGTAACCTCTCCTAAGTAAAGGGACTTGCTAATGGAAGTTTTGATGCCGAAGAATGGATGCTTTTGAATTATGGTGCTGGAGGAAACTCTTGAGAGTCCCATGGACTGCAAGAAGATCAAACCTATCCATTCTGAAGGAAATCAGCCCTGAGTGCTCACTGGACGGACAGATCCTGAAGCTGAGGCTCCAATACTTTGGCCACCTCATGAGAAGAGAAGACTCCATGGAAAAGACCCTGATGTTGGGAAAGATGGAGGGCACAAGGAGAAGGGGACGACAGAGGACGAGATGGTGGGACAGTGTTCTCGAAGCTACCAGCATGAGTTTGACCAAACTGCGGGAGGCAGTGGAAGACAGGAGTGCCTGGCGTGCTCTGGTCCATGGGGTCACGAAGAGTCGGACACGACTAAATGACTAAACAACAACAACAACAACGGAAGTTAGGAAGGACATTAATAAACAATATATCCTCTCCTGCCTCCCTGAACATTCCCACACAGAATCAGCATGGAAGTTGGGCAGGACAAGCGGAAGTTGTGCAGAAGGACTGTAGCTCGGTGTCAGCGCATCTGCGTTCATGAGGCAGGCTCCAAATTCAATCTCCAGTGTGGCATCTCCCCTGCCTGGAAAGCTGCTGCAGACAGTACTGAGCTAGATGGACCGAGAGTCCGACTCGGTAAAGGCAGCAGCTCCCTGTGTCCTCTTCCAGCATCCCGTCTTACCTTGAAATAAGAAAAAGCCAGGTGGTCCAGAGCATCTTCAAGGCTCCCCTCGTCTTCCGTGTTCCAGCTCCCGTAGGAAACGCGGAAGAGGCTCACGGCTTCCTCCAGCCACAGAATGGAGTGGTAATAATCTTCCATGTCGTAGGCAACCTGGAAGAAACCAGGAATGGTAAGAGAAAGCCCTTAGGAACTTGGGACCACTTTAACCTGCGAAATCACTGGCTAGATGAGGATTTTTGCCTGCATAATTTCTACTGCTGCCGTTGCCGTGAACCAATGCAAAATTTTAAGTAAGTACAGTGGTACCTTGGTTCTCAAACTTAAACCGTTCTGGAAGTCTATTCCGAAACCAAAGCGTTCCAAAACCAAGGTGCGCTTTACCATAGAAAGTAATGCAAAAGGGATTAATCCGTTCCAGACATTTAAAAACAACCCCTAAAACAGCAATTTAACATGAATGTTACTATCTAATGAGACCACTGATCCATAAAATGAAAGCAATAATCAATGTGCTGTACTATGAAATAAATAAGACAGTATTGAAGATAATATTTTGTTTTCTTACCTACACTGATGATAGTCATTGTTTGGATGGGGGGCTTTTATCCATTTCCGCAGGCACACAATCAATCAATCAATCAATCAATCAATCGGTAGCTGAACTGGGTTCCACACAGTCACAAAAACAAATTAACCAAAAATGCCTCCAAAACAAAAACGCAAAATAAATAGCAAAAACAAAAGCACCAAACTTAATCCATTCCAGAGGTCCGTTTGACTTCCAAAATGTTCAAAAACCAAGGCGCAGCTTCTGATTGGTGCAGATGCCCTGGAAACAATAGCCGACAGCCACAATGGACGTTCAGCTTCCAAAAAACGTTCGAAAACCGGAACACTTACTTCCGGGTTTTCGGCATTTGAGAACCAAGGTACCACTGTAAAATATATTTTTAAACTTAACCCCCAAGTTACTGCCTGATTCTTGTTTAAAGAATATCTGAAAAAACACGTTAATATTTAAATCTTAGAATAGCTTTGGAAGTAGATATAGGTTGTAGGGTTAGAAGTAGAAGATAGCGTATTTTAAAATAGTATTATTCGTAAGTGATAAAATGTGAAGATTTTTATGGTAAAAGTAAATGTGATTAAAAAATGGTTAAAAATTATGATATATGAAACTGCTAAAGATGAGGTAAAATGAAAATCAGATAGGGGGGAGCTGGGGAAACTCACCTAACAATGTTTAGGGGAAAAAAGGATAAGACAAGAATTTGTTTGTATTGTTTGTTTTTCTGTTTGTCTTGTTTATTTGTGTTATAAAATGAATAAATTTTTTTTTTTGGGGGGGGGGGGAGTTGCTGCCTGCTTCTTTGTTAAGCAGGGCGAAAAAGGGAGAACCAGTTGAGTAAAGGTAAAGGGGTAAAGGGACCCCTGACCATTAGGTTCAGTCGTGGATGACTCTGGGGTTGCGGTGCTCATCTCGCTTTACTGGCCGAGGGAGCCGACGTACAGCTTCCGGGTCATGTGGCCAGCATGACTAAACCGCTTCTGGCGAACCAGAGCAGCGCACGGAAACACCGTTTACCTTCCCGCCGGAGCGGTACCTATTTATCTACTTGCACTTTGACATGCTTTCGAACTGCTAGGTTGGCAGGAGCAGGGACCGAGCAACGGGAGCTCACCCCGTCGCGGAGATTCAAACCACCGACCTTCTGATTGTTAAGTCCTAGGCTCTGTGGTTTAACCCACAGCACCAACTTTGTAGCTAATTCGTAATTTTGCAGCCTAATTCCTATGCTTTTAATTTGTTGGCAAGGATGGGATTTTTAACCTACACACTTGGGTGCCTGGAGGCATAAATTGCAATTAATATAGCTCACACAGCGCAACCCTATCAACCCCTTGCCTCTTAGCATGCCTGCCAGGTAATCCCACTGACCTCCAGGGGGTCTGTTACTGCCCCCTTTGGAAACCACTGACCTGCCCCCCTCACCTTGCCAATATGGAAACAGTCGTCGGCGGACAGGGAGAAATCCTGGCTGGGGTTGTAGACGTCTGGAAGCGGAGCATTGCTAACCCTCTGGAATTTCCCTTTGGCCAAGCCCTTCACGCTCAGGGAGTAAACATCTTGCAGGCGCATCACCCCCCGCGCAGCTCCTTCCAGGTCCTCAAAGATGGGCAACTCCTCCTCCAATCGTTGGTAGCCATTCTTCAGTGCTGAGAACAAAAGTTAAAGAAAAGGTGAAGGACCCCTGGATGGTTGAAATATACTCGGAGTCGAGTGTGGATTTCATGCTCTTTATTCAGCTCATAGTAGTGAGGAATGAAAGTTTCCCCAAAATATCTGCTTTATATACATTATTTACAGAATGGGCTGCATGTGATTGGCTAATTCCGGGATTCTCCTGTAGGCCAATCAGGTTGCGGATTCACTTCCACCTAGAGCTGGATTGGGTGGCTCCTGCGGACCAATCAGACTGCTGCATTGATCTAGGACCAACCAGACTGCTGCATTTTGGATCCTATTCAACTCAGTACATAACAATGGTTAAGTCCAGTCGCAGATGACTCTGGGGTTGCGGCGCTCATCTCGCTTTATTGGCCGAGGAAGCCGGCGTTTGTCCACAGACAGCTTTCTGGGTCATGTGGCCAGCAGGACTAAACCGCTTCTGGTGCAACTGGACACTGTGACGGAACCCAGAGCACAGGGAAACACTGTTTACCTTCCCGCCACAGCGGTACCTATTTATCTACTTGCACTGGTGTACTTTGGAACTGCTAGGTTGGCAGGAGCTGGGACAGAGCAACAGAAGCTCACCCCGTCGCGGGGATTCGAACTGCCAACCTTCTGATCAGCAAGCCCAAGAGGCTCAGTGGTTTAGACCACAGGGTCACCCGTGTCCCTATCAAGATAAAGGTAAAAGGTAAAGGACCCCTGGATGGTTAAGTGCAGTCAAAGGCAACTATGGGTTTGCGGTGCTTATCTCACTTTCAGGCCGAGGGAGCCAGCATTTGTCCGCAGACATCTTTCCAGGTCATGTGGCCAGCAGGACTAAACTGCTTCTGGTGCAATGGAACACCGTGACAGAAACCAGAGCAGCGTGCAGAAATGCCGTTTACCTTCCCGCCTGAGGGGTACCTATTTATCTACTTGCACTTTGACATGCTTTCGAACTGCTAGGTTGGCAGGAGCAGGGACCAAGCAATGGGAGCTCACCCCGTCGGGGGGATTCGAACCACAGACCTTCTGATCAGCAAGCCCAAGAGGCTCAGTGGTTTAGACCACAGGGCCACCCGTGTTCCTGCTGAGAACAAAACCAATCCCTCCTTGGTACCGAGCCTTAACAATAGGGGCAGGGTAAAAAAATTAAAAAATTCTTTCCCGTAGCACCTTAGAGACCAAATAAGTTTGTTATTGGTATGAGCTTTCGTGTGCATGCACACTTCTTCAGATACCTGCCTTCATAATAAATCATTTTTATTTATTTTTTTGAATTTACATTTCAAAATATTCATTTTAACAATCTTAAACCAATGACTTCCCTTCTTCTCTTTCCGTGGTTCATTTTGCATACCGTACATCCCTGCATATTTTACATGAACTAAACCATTCCGTATTCCATTATTACTGTTGAATTTATCTTAGTGCTGCCAGTGTTTTTAAATGTACACAATTTCCACCCGCATATTCAGTAAACATTTTCCAGTCTTCTTTAAATGTATGTTCTTCTTGTTCTCTTATTCTGTATGTTAAATCTGTAAGCTGCACATATTTCATCAGTTTGTTGCCATCCTTCTTTAGCTGGGACCTCGCTGGTTTTCCATTTTGGGGCTAACAAAACATGGGCTGCAGTAGTGGCGTACATAAATAGTCTTTTTTGAGATGTTGAAAATATCAATAATAAAAAAATGGGTTTGAAATAGAAATGGATTTGTAAACTAAATGAATACTTAACTCTGGCAAAACTAACAGCTATCATAAGAAACCAATCGAATCAAAAATTAAAAATTAAAATTAAAAAAGGAGTGGGAATATTTTGATGAATATATGGTAAAATATCGCTCAAAAAAAGATATGATAATATGCCTAGATTAAAATGTAAAGTATCTGAGGGAAGGTAAATTAGTAAGGAAAGATAATAAGAACATATAGAAGATTTGAGAAGATTGTAAATGTAATGATAAATGTAATCTCAGAATGTAGAGGAAATCGAGTGGGGCGGAGGGAAGCAGGGGGAGGGACAAAAGAATATTCAGCCAGCTAGCCCTGGGGATTATCTAATTGATTTTTGAATTTTATTGTTATTCATGTTTTTATACCGCATTTTATGCTGCTTTTATAATTAAGTGTTTTAAAGTGTTTAAATTTGTTGTTAGCCGCCCTGAGCCTGGTTTTTGAACCGGGAAGGGCAGAGTATAAATAAATAAAATATTATTATTATTATTATTATTATTATTATTTATTAATATTATGAAGGATGTGGTGGTGGCTTTGGTTTATTTATATTGTGATGTAATATGGGAAAAACCAATAAAATACAGTATTGGAAAGGGGGGGTAGTCTTTTCTGACACCTAGGAATTTCCCTCTGAATTATCCCCAACAAAAAGGACTCTGGTTTTTTGGGGGGAAAGGTACATTTTTATTTTTTTTAAAGGTGCCTTTATTTAAAAAAGGTCCATCTATCTCAGGGCTGCCCGTACTGGCCAGCAGCTGCTGCCCAGAGTTTCAGGAAGGCAACATTCCTACCTAGAGATGCTACTGTGGCTTGAACCCGGGACCTTCTGCAAGCCAAGCAGGTGTCCTCCCGCGATGCAATGAACCTTCTCCGCCCAAAATGCCCATTACTATCACTCTTATTGTTATGTACTGAAATTCTCCCCTGGGCCAGTAGGGGGATACTTAGATAGTTTTCACTCAGGTCCACATATGCAAATAAGGAATTGAATTCAGTGATTGGATAGTTACAGAAAGTTGTTACTGTTGCTTTGTAGTGGAGCTCTATATAAGCAGGCTGGCTGAACCCTTCAGTTCAGTTCTGTTCTGGGCCTGTGAATAAACAAGAGCTGTTTGAAGAATCGCTGTGTCGTCTGATATGTTCACCCACAACTTAACAGTTATATTCCCAGCAGCTAAACAGTATACCCTGCCTTCAGCCCACATACCTTGGGCGTTCTCGCTGGCTTCCATGCTGTACACCACGTTCAGCCAGTCCGACTGCAACCTCTTGATGAGCGTGTAGGCCAGTAAAGGGTTAACCACGGTGCTGCCCGCGCCTTGGTGCAAGGCCTGGATCTTCCTGTAGAATCTGGTTGGGGAGGAAGGCAAGAAGAAGGATATTATTCACAATTAGACAAGACTCAGGAGAAGAGGGCAATGGAAGGCTCCTATGGAAGGCTCCACAGTTGGGGGCAGCGATACTAGCCTAGTTGTGGCAGCTAGACTGGGGACTGGGAGCGGCCGCCAAGACCATATAACACTGGTCTTGAAAGACCTACATTGGCTCCCAGTACGTTTCCAAGCACAATTCAAAGTGTTGGTGCTGACCTTGAAAGCCCTAAGCCAGGGCTTTAAAGGACCAGGTGCACAGCCTGGGAGTCATTTTGGACTCACCACTGTCCATGGAGGCGCAGGTGAATTCTGTGTCCAGGGCAGCTGTCTACCAGCTCCATCTGGTACGCAGGATGAGACCCTACCTGCCTGCAGACTGTCTCGCCAGAGTGGTGCATGCTCTGGTTATCTCCCGCTGCAATGGGCTCTACGTGGGGCTACCTTTGAAGGTGACCCGGAAACTACAGCTAATCCAGAATGCGGCAGCTGGACTGGGGAGTGGGAGTTCAAAGTGCTGGTGCTGACCTTTAAAGCCCTAAATGGCCTTGGTCCAGTATACCCGAAGGAGCGTCTCCACCCCCATTGTTCAGCCCGGACACTGAGGTCCAGCTCTGAGGGCCTTCTGGCGGTTCCCTCCCTGTGAGAATTAAGGTTACAGGGAACCAGGCAGAGGGCCTTCTCGGTGGTGGCACCCGCCCTGTGGAACGCCCTCCCATCAGATGTGAAGGAAATAAACAACTACGTGACTTTTAGAAGACATCTGAAGGCAGCCCTGATCAAGGAAGTTTTTAATGTGTGACATTTTGATGTATTTTCAATCTTTGTTGGAAGCCTCCCAGAGTGGCTGGGGCGGCCCAGCCAGATGGGCGGGGTACAAATAATAAATTATTATTATTATTATTATTATTAATGGTCAGGGGTCCCTTTACCTTTTATACATTTTAATCCACTAACTATAATAATAAATTATTATTATTATTATTATTATTATTATTATTATTATTATGAGTCCCAGTTGCTGGAAACTGCAGGAGTGGAGAGTTGCTCTTGTGCCTGCAGGCTTCCCAGAAGCCTCTGGTTGGCCACTGTGAGAACAGGATAATAATAATAATAATAATAGTAATACATTTTATTTATACCCTGCCCTCCCCAGCCAGAGCCAGGCTCAGGGCGGCTAACACCAGTAAAATTACAGTAAAAACATAAGGGGGGGGGAACAATTTAAAATACAGGTGCTGTACTAGATGGGTCATTGGCCTGATCCTGTATTTCCTAAAACTGAAAAGTCACAAACTCTGCAAACTTTCTTCATACAGGCATCGTTTCATCCCCTGCATCATTTTAATTTTCTGAACCTTTTCCAATGGAAATATATATCTAATATGTTTTTACTTATGAAAACCCAATTCTTTATGGGCTGTTCCCATAAGGGTTTTTTTGGTGGTGGGGGGGGGAGGTTGTACTCACTTTCCCTTTCAAAAAAAACCCAAACCACAAAAACCCCGCCCTTCTGGTTCACATTCTATCATACACAGCCAACACCTACAAAAGGGCAGATGAATATTTGCCAAGACACTGTTTCGAATTGCAATGCTCTCTTGCCAATTTTGCCGTCCAGAAGTTTGGTGGAGAAGGATTGATTTCCCTCCACGCCCATCCCTGGAAAACTGCATAGCAAAAACCTCAAACAAGGAGGGGCTGTTAGAAAGTGGACATGTTCGTGGCTGGTTCTGGCGTGGACCCGGGCAAGGTGGCTGCCTCAAGTGGCAGATTCTGGGCACCTGTTCTGGTGGATCTGGGATTTTTAAAAAATATGCACCATATTTTTTGCTCTATAAGACACACTTTTTCCCCTTCAGAAATTAAGGGGAAATGTGTGTGTGTCTTATGGAGCGAATGCAGGCTCCTTGGCTTCAGCAATAGCAACGTGAAGCCTCCGAAGGGCAGTGGGAGAGCTCCCCCCGCGCTCCGGAGGCTTTGCGTTGCTTTCGCTGAAGCCGCCTGAAGCCCCCGGGGCGCAGGGAACTCCCGCTGCGCTCCGGGGGCTTCAGGCAGCTATCCGCAAGCCTTCGGAGTGCAGCAGGAGTTCCTGCCACGCTCCGAAGGCTTGTGGATGGCCGCCTGAAGCCTGGAGAGCGAGAGGGGTCGGTGCACACCGATCCCTCTTGCTCTCCAGGCTTTGCTTCGCTGAAGAGGCGCTCCACAGTTTTCCCTCTCTGCGCAGCGCCCCTTCAGCGAAGCGGGAGGAGAAATGGAAGGGGCTCCGTTTCTCCTGCTGCTTCGCTGAAGGGGCGCTGAGCAGAGAGGGGGAAATTTTCCCCCCCCTGTACTCCCCCTCCTATGGTCCGGTGCGTCCTATAGAGCGAAAAATACGGTATGTATAATTGCAAGGCACAGAAGATGGGAGTAGGAAACAACTAGCAAGGAACAATTGGGAGACTGCCTTCTGGGAAGCCTCCAGACTGTTGTAGTTTCGAGTGGGAATCCATCACATACTGGCAAATTCAGGTCCTGCAAGTAAATGTGATTTGGAGCTCTTGTGCAACAAACCAGCTATCCCCAAATACCAGACTTTGTGATCAGGAAAGCAGTGAGAAAATGCACTGGGAATTGCGGGATAACATTTGCTTTGAGTCAATGTAGGGTTCCCTCATGTTGTCGATGAACGTGGGTAGTTTTTGCACCTCCATTCATTCTCCTTTGTCTCTATCAGTTGCTCCTCCAAATCTCTGTCTCCCCCTCTCCAGATCTTCAGACGCGCTGGCAGGCGCCAACAGGAGTCTGCCAACAGCTGGAGAAGCAGAGGTTCCCCATTCCCGCTTTAACTAGAGATGGCAGGGATTGGACCTGAGATGTTCTGAGAGCACAGCAGGCACCCAGTGTAGCACTAACACAAAACTAATGAAACTGGCAAAATGGATTTCAACGGGGACAAATTTCAGCTTCTGCACCAAAATAACCAGATGCAAGTTAAAGCTATGGTTTTCCCAGTAGTGATGTATGGAAGTGAAAGCTGGACCATAAAGAAGGCTGATCGCCAAAGAATTGATGCTTTTGAATTATGGTGCTGGAGGAGACTCTTGAGAGTCCCATGGACTGCAAGAAGATCAAACCTATCCAATCTTAAGGAAATCAGCCCTGAGTGCTCACTGGAAGGACAGATCATGAGAAGAGAAGACTCCCTGGAAAAGACCCTGATGCTGGGAAAGATGGAGGGCACAAGGAGAAGGGGACAGCAGAGGACGAGATGGTTGGACAGTGTTCTCGAAGCTACCAGCATGAGTCTGACCAAACTGCAGGAGGCAGTGGAAGACAGGAGTGCCTGGCGTGCTCTGGTCCAGGGGGTCACAAAGAGTCGGACACGACTAAATGACTAAATAACAACAACAACAACCAGATGCACAAAGATAAGACTTGACAGCAGTACATGTGGACAGGATCTAGGGGTCTTAGTTGAGCACAAGCTGAATGTGAGTCAACAGTGTGATGCAGCAGCAACAAAAGCAAATGCTATTCTAGGCTGCATCAACAGAAGTCTAGCATCCAGATCGAGGGAAGTCATAGTCCTGCTCTATTCTGCCTTGGTCAGACCACACCTGGAGTCCTGTGTCCAGTTCTGGGTGCCAGATTTCTGAGCACAATTCAAAGTGTTGGTGCTGACCTTGAAAGCCCTAAACGGCCTCGGCCCAGTATACCTGAAAGAGTGTCTCCACCCCCATCGTTCTGCCCGGACAGAGGTCCAGCTCCGAGGGCCTTCTGGCCATTCCCTCCCTGCGAGAAGTGAGGTTACAGGGAACCAGATAGAGGGCCTTCTTGGTGGTGGCGCCCTCCCTGTGGAAGGAGGGAAATAAACAACTACCTCACTTTTTGAAGAAGGCAGCCCTGTTTGGGGAAGTTTTTAATGTTTGATGTTTTATAGTGTTTTTAATATTCTGTTGGGGATGTGGCTGGAGAAACCTAGCCAGATGTGTGGGATATAATAAATAAACTATTATTATTATTATTATTATTATTAACTGACTGGAAGGTGTGCAGAAATCTGGAAACTGGGCCGTATGAGGAATGGTTGAAGGAGCTAAGTATGTTCAGCCTGGAAAAGAGGAGACTGAGAGGGGATATGACAGCCAGTATACCTGAAGGAGCATCTCCGCCCCCATCATTCTGCCTGAACACTGGGGTCCAGCTCCGAGGGCCTTCTGGCGGTTCCCTCACTGCGAGAAGCAAAGCTACAGGGAACCAGGCAGAGGGCCTTCTCGATAGTGGCACCCGCCCTGTGGAACGCCCTCCCATCAGATGTCAAAGAGATAAACAACTACCTGACATTTAGAAGACACCTGAAGGCAGCCCTGTTCAGGGAAGTTTTTAATGTGTGACATTTTAATGTATTTTTAATCTTTGTTGGAAGCCGCCCAGAGTGGCTGGGGAAACCCAGCCAGACGGGTGGGGTACAAATAATAAATTATATTATTATTATTATTATTAAGGTAAAGGTAAAGGGGGCCCTGACCATTAGGTCCAGTCATGGCCGTCTCTGGGGTTGTGGCGCTCATCTCACTTTATTGGCCAAGGGAGCCGGCGTACAGCTTCCGGGTCATGTGGCCAGCAGGACTAAGCCACTTCTGGTGAATCAGAGCAGCACATGGAAACGCCATTTACCTTCCCGCCGGAGCGGTACCTATTTATCTACTTGCACTTTGACGTGCTTTCGAACTGCTAGGTTGGCAGGAGCAGGAACTGAGCAACAGGAGCTCACCCTGTCGCGGGGATTTGAACCGCCGACTTTCTGATCGGCAAGTCCTAGGCTCTGTGGTTTAACCCACAGCGCCACCTGCGTCCCACTGCCACCGGCGTCCATTATTATTATTATTATTTTAATTATCTGACGGTCTGTCACCTGGAGGATGGAGCAAGCTTGTTTTCTTCTGCTCCAGAGGGTAGGACCCAAACCAACACATTCAAATGCCGAGAAAGGAGATTCTGGCTAAGCGCTAGGGTAGTAAGAACTGTTTGACAGCAGAATGGAAGGTTATCCGGCAGGGATTATTCAGCTGCGATTCCCTGCATTGGAGGGGGTCGGACTACATAGCCCTGGGGTGTCCCTTCCAACTCTACGATTCCAGCCTCCTGGGCTTGATCCCCGCAAACAGAGCCCGGCCCTTACCTCCTGAGGTCCTCCAGCCTCTTGGCTTCCTCTTCCAGGTAGGTGTGCAAAAAGCGCAGGAGCTCCCTCTCGGTGCTGAGCGCCTGGTGGATGCTCAGCATGGAAGTGTAGGTCTCCGCCTGGACGCGCTGCGAGAGACCGGCCAGGAGGACCACTGCCGCCACCGCCGCGGGCCACAACATCGCCTTACTCTTCTGCACAATGCCTCTGTCTCGCCTCCGCCTCCCTTCCTCTCCCGCAGGCTGGGATCCAAAATCTCCCCTCTCCTGCACCCACCCAGCTCCTCCAGTGCCACCCAGTCCCTCTCCCGAAGCCAAGGGAGCGTCGGTGGTGTCATGGGCGCAACCGGAGCATCCCTTTGCGCTGCTGCTGCGCGCCCTCGGTCCTCCTCCTCTGGAATCTCGCCCTGAGCTGCGAAAGCCAAAACGGCATCCCAGCACCGACTTGAATCTCTCTCTTTCTCTCGCAGCAGCAGCAGCAGCAGAAATGAGCCGAATGGAAACCAGATGGGGAAAGAGGCAGTAAAAACCGCTGTGCGTTTTTCGCTTCCCTCTCCAGTCTCTGCAAAGCTCCGGCAAGGATTCGCTGAGGCTGCTCAGAAATCCGTCTATCTCTCCCTGTCTACTCCAAGATTGAAAATGGGGTGGGAGGGGAGACGGGAAAGTCCTCCCTTGGCTCAGAGGCTGAGCATCTGCTTTAATCATCATCATCATCATCATCGTCATACCTTGGGTTCCATATAGTTAAAGCTCTGGTTTTCCCAGTAGTGATGTATGGAAGTGAGAGCTGGACCATAAAGAAGGCTGATTGCAGAAGAATTGATGCTTTTGAATTATGGTGCTGGAGGAGACTCTTGAGAGTCCCATGGACTGCAAGAAGATCAAACCCATCCATTCTGAAGGAAATCAGCCCTGAGTGCTCACTGGAAGGACAGATCCTGAAGCTGAGGCTCCAATACTTTGGCCACCTCATGAGAAGAGAAGACTCCTGGAAAAGACCCTGATGCTGGGAAAGATGGAGGGCACAAGGAGAAGGGGACGACAGAGGACGAGATGGTTGGACAGCGTTCTCGAAGCTACCAGCATGAGTTTGACCAAACTGCGGGAGGCAGTGGAAGACAGGAGTGCCTGGCGTGCTCTGGTCCATGGGGTCACAAAGAGTCGGACATGACTAAACGACTAAACAACACCACCTCGGGTTACAGACGCTTCAGGTTGCGTTTTTTCAGGTTATGGACCGCTGAAACCCGCAAGTACTGGAACAGGTTACTTCCAGGTTTCGGCAGTCTTGCATGCACAGAAGCGCTAAATTGTGCTTTGCGCATGCGCAGAAGCGTCGAATTGCAACCCGCGCAGACACGCCACTGTGGGTTGTGAATGTGCATCCCGCACGGATCACTTTCGCAACTCGAGCATCCACTGTAATTTATTATTTATACCCCGCCCATCTGGGTGGCTTTCCCTAGTTACTCTGGGTGGCTTCCAGCAAAATATTAAAATGCAATAATTCACCAAATATTAAAAGCTTCCCTAAACAGGGCTTGGTATGTAGAAGGTCCCAGGTTCAGTCCTTGACTACTTCAAGGCTCCCACCTGGAAACATGAAGGAGAGGGTTCTGGCTGGCTCCTAGCCATGATCCCTATACGCTCTGCCTCCACAGCTTCTGAATCCCAGTTCAGAGAATCGCAGAACTGTAGCATTGGAAGGGGGACCCCTGAAGATCATCTAGTCCAACCCCCCTTGCAGGGCAGGAATCTTTCGCCCAAGGTGGGGCTCAAACCCATGACCCTGAAGTCTCATGCTCTTCAGAGAAGAAGAAGAAGAGGCCATCCTTGAAGAGGATTTGGAAACGATTTGTAGATTGTTTTCTTTAACAATTGCTGCAAACATGTCAAAACGCGAGTCGGTTTGGAGTAAGCTCAGCAGTAAAAAAATTGTTATGAGAATAAAATGATTGGAAGAATGATTGCAATTATTATAATGTGCAGCAGTAAGAGATAATTTGAGGAAACCATGGAAGGGTGAAAGGGAAGTCGAGGAGCAAGAAATAATTTGGTGTATCGGTTAATTAATTGTATTGTATTTTTCCTGTTTTTGCGGTTTTGAAAACATTTTATATATATATATATATATATATATATATATATATATATATATATATAATGTTTATAATTATATAAATTATATATACATTATATAAATATAATGTATATAATTATTATTATTATTATTATTATTATTATTAGAGTCTCATGCCCTACCAACAGAGCTATGCTGGAAAACACCAGCAAGGGGAAAAGGCTTGTGTTTGAATTCTGCTTGCTGGTTTCCGACAGCTCTGTGAGACTGAGATGCCGAACTGCATGAGCCATGGATTCAGCAGATGTTCCTTAGATTCTTAAACTTGGCATGCTGCTGCCAACAGTGTAGAGCAGTAGATCCCAACTGGTGGTCCGTGGATCCCAGGAGGTCTGCATAACCCCCCTAGGGGGTCCATGAAACCATTCACATAACAAAAACTACCATGGAGAGATCAACATTTCCGAAAGGAGGTGGTCCAAGGTGTGCTGGGCCCGGGGGTTAACCCGAGCCGAGCGGTCCGGATCCGGTCCCAAATCCAAGGATTCCGCGAGGAGTCAGTCCAACAGGGCCAAGGCAGGAAACCAGGCATGGTCAGGCACAGGGTAACAGGGAGGTTCCAGCAAGCAGCAATGTTGCTCCCGCAACCTGGGGCGGGGTCCGGCAGCCTTTTAACTCTGACGGGGTAATGGCCGGTCCTGATCCCCAGGTGACTCACCTCCCTGTTTCGCCCGAAGGCGAGCACTCCTCCTGCGAGTACTCAGGTCTCTCCTTCTCTCAGACCTCAGTCTCTGCAGCTCGGGAGACGTCGGTGGGTTACTAGGCCCAGGGGCCGCCTCAGCCTCCCCTGACCCAACCGGTAGTGGAGCAGCTGTGAGTGATGGCCCAGCTGGAGGCAACGAGGTCATCCCCACATCTGGAGCCAGGGCAGGCTCAGGCCCCTGACTCGGCCCAGCTGGTGTTTGTTGCAGGGGAACCTGTGCAGACTGGGGCTCTTCAGAATCAGGCCCCAGACTCGGTTCAGATGCCGCCTGAGGCAAAGGATCCGATGCAGACTGAGACTTCTCCGGCTCCGAGTCTGAGCCCGAGTCAAAACCATGGCTTGGTTTTGAAAAACAGGGGTTCTGCGGTACTTAGCTAATTGGGAAGCCACTGGTGCAGAGATTATGGAGCAAGATGGATAAGGCAGCCTGGTCCGTCCGTCTGGAGGTCCTGGGTTACCCAGACAACAAGACCCCCCTCTCGGCCTCGCTGATGGGGTCCAACGGAAAGCAGAGCAAGTCATTTGGCACCAGCTTGTCTGAAGGAATTGCCAGAAGGAGGCGTACATGCTTCTGAATTGCAATTGATGGAAACCATAGGCAGTGGCGGATTTACATAAAGCAACTACTCTATTCCAAACTTAAAAATGAAAAGCGTCATGCTGGTGGTCAACAAAAGAGGTTTAAAGACTCTCTCAAGGCAAATCTTTAAAAATGTTGTATAAACACCATCAACTGGGAAACACTGGCCTGCGAGCGCTCCAGTTGGAGAACAGCCTTTACCAAAGGTGTCACGGGCTTTGAAGACGCTTGAACTCAGGACGCAAGGGAGAAACGTGCTAAGAGGAAGGCACACTTGGCAAATCCACACCGTGATCAACTCCCGCCTGGAAACCAATGTCCCCGCTGTGGAAGGATGTGTGGATCCAGAACTGGCCTCCACAGTCACTTACGGACTCATTGCTAAAACCGTGTTTATGGAAGACAATCTTACTCGGCTACGAAGGATTGCTGATGAAGAAGAAGAAGAAGAAGAAGAAGAAGAAGAAGAGGAAGAGGCTAAACAAGCTATAGCTTAGGGCCCCACTCTCTTGCCCCCCCCCAATATACTTCTTAATTGTATTTCACTATTAATATACTTCTTAACTATTTCAGTTCAACAATTACTTTGGTAAAATACATATTTTGTCATGTGCAAATGGCTTTAGATACCTATCAGGTCCATAAATTACAGTATAGCATATATTCAACGTGAAAAACAGGGACAGTTTGTTGTTGACAAAGGACAGCTGGACATATAAAGGGCCCCATTACCTTCAGTATCTTAGGGCCTCATCAAACCTAAATCCGGCCCTGACCACAGGAAGGGAGAGCGTTGTGCTCAAATCCTGTGTGCAGGTTTCCCTTGAGGGCATCTGGTTGGCCACTTTGGGAAGAGGATTCTGGACTTAGAATTATAGAATCTTAAGAGTTGGGAGGGATCCCAAGGGTCATCTAGTCCAACCCACTGCAATGCAGGAATCTCAGCTGACGCATCCATGACAGATGACCATCCAACCTCTGCTTAAAAAGCTCCAAGGAAGGAGAGAGTCCACCATCTCCCAATGGAGACCGTTCCACTGTCAAACAGCTCTTACCACCAGAAAGTTCTTCCTAACTTTTAGTTGGAATCTCCTTTCTTGTCACTTGGAGCCACGGGTTCGAGTCCTGCCCTCCGGAGCAGGAGGAGCAGAGCTTGATAGGTCATTAGCTTGACCCAGTAATTTCTTCTTATGCTCTTCTTACGTTCCACCTTGCTGGAGATTCTATCCTCCTGGCTGCTTTCATTTGCTCTAAATTTCTGAGAGGTAAACACAGGAGAAGCCTCTGTGCAGACGATGGAGGCTTGGACAGCAAAAAAATTCCCTGAACTTTGCAGGCAGTTATCCTTGGGATCCGAACATGAATGTCTAGGATGCCCCCTCGTGGGAAGCTGTTGCATAACATGCAGAGCATATTTGGTAGGCCTGGGCTGAATCTACAGTGGTACCTCGGGTTACAGACGCTTCAGATTACAGACGCTTCAGGTTACAGACTCCGCTAACCCAGAAATAGTACCTCAGGTTAAGAACTTTGCTTCAGGATGAGAACAGAAATTGTGCCGTGGTGGCGCGGCAGCAGCGGGAGGCCCCATTAGCTAAAGTGGTGTTTCGGGTTAAGAACAGTTTCAGGTTAAGAACAGACCTCCAGAACGAATTAAGTTCGTAACCAGAGGTACCACTATATGTGCATTGGGGGGGGGCATTAGAGTAGGGTTTTCAGAAGTGTGAAAGATTCCGCCGCCCCCTAAATCTCTGCTCATCATCAGAATTACTAGGCTGCCTTTTAGAGTATAAACAAATATTTCCTAAAATGTTGGACTGCTTCTGATAATAATAATATTTTTCAGATTCAGTGGACCCTCTGGATACGAATGTAATTGGTTCCGGGGGTCTGTACGCACCCTGAAAATTCCATAAGCAGAAGCGCTGCTTCTGCGCATGCGTGAGCGGTGAAACCCAGAAGAATACACTTCCAGGTTTGCTACATTTGCAACCCGAAAGTTATGTTATCCAAAGGTAACGTAACCCGAGAGTCCACTGTATTTGAAAACAGCTATCATATCCCCTATCACTCTCCTCTTTTCCAGGCTAAACACACCCAGCTCCTTCAGTTGTTCCTCATACAGCCCGATTTCCAGATTTCTGCACACCTTCCACCCAGTCAATATCCTAATAATAATAATAATAATATATTGCTTATACCCCGCCCATCTGGCTGGGTTTCCTTAGCCACTCCCAGTATTCTGTTGGGAGCCACCACAAGTGGTTGGGGAAACCCAGCCAGATGGGTGGGGTATAAATAATAATTCATTATTATTATTATTATTATTATTATGAACAGGAGTGCCTGGCATGCTCTGGTCCATGGGGTCATGAAGAGTCGGACATGACTAAACGACTAAACAACAACAATTATTATTATTATTATTAACCCTAATGAATCAAATAAGCCTGGCAATGACAAGGCAAGCAGACTTTGCAGCAAGGACGGTCATGGGATGTGCCCAAGGCCAGAAATAGGGATACAAAAGCTTGAATAGAGCACAATTCTGCTGATTTGCTAGATTTCTGCTTTGTGATATAATAAGGGACCAGGCATGCCCAGACAGCAGTGTTGAAAACCAGACATTGCCAACTTGGGGCTCTCCTCGTGTTGGTCCCTTACCTTTATTGCCCTGACCAGGCCACAGTGATTCATGCGATGGTCACCTCCAGGCTTAATTATTGTAACTCGCTCTACGTGGGGCTGCCCTTGAAGCTGACCCAGAAACTCCAGCGGGTGCAGAATGCCGCGGCGAGGCTCCTTACGGGGTCCTCGCCGTGGGATCACATTCATCCAGTGCTTTACCAACTGCACTGGCTCCTGGTGGAGTATAGGGTCAGGTTTGAGGTGCTGGTTTTGACCTTTAAAGCCCTATTGTGACCTAGGACCCTTGTACCTACAGGACCGCCTCTCCTGGTATGCCCCGGGGAGGACCTTAAGGTCCACAAATGACAACATTTTGGAGGTCCCAGGTCACAAGGTGGTTAGATTGGTCTCAACTAGGGCCAGGGCCTTTTCAGTACTGGCCCCAACTTAGTGGAACACTCTGTCACAAGAGACTAGGGCCCTGCGGGACTTGACATCTTTCCACAGGGCCTGCAAGACAGAGCTGTTCCGCCTGGCCTTTGGCTTGGACTCAGTCTGACCCTTATGTTTCCCTCCCCTTATGGTTTTGATGAGGCTGCATTTTAAATTGCATTTTAACTTGTATTTTAAATTGGTTCCTCCCCCCATTATGTTTTTGCTGAAATTTTACTGTTGTTAGCTGCCCTGAGCCTGGCTCTAGCCAGGGAGGGCAGGGTATAAATATTATTCTTATAATTATGTTTCATATCCCATCGCTCCAAGGAGCTCAAGGTGGCCTGGGTCTCCCTCTCTTCATATCCTCACAACAACTGTGCGAGGTGGGTGAAGCTGAGCGGCAGTGACTTGCCCTGGGGTCATCTAGTAAATTTCATGACTGACCTCTGTTTGCCCGCTTGGGTGTGCACACTAATGAATTCCGCAGAATAATTGAGTTTGGAGTAAACATGCATACGGTCAGGCTGTATACAATGCCGAAGCTAATTCCTAAATCCTGGCCTCTCTGAGTCACGATGTGGCACGAGTGTGCCAAAGTCCACCTTTTTGCAGAGGGGGCCCCCAAAGGATAAATGTCCAGGGAGCTGGGATGGTTGGATGGGAGCCGGCAGAAATATTAGCACCCGATCGACGCAGAACCATGAAAGCGTTCGGACCACAGCTGCTTCTTTTGCTGGCGCTGCTAGGATTCATCGGTAAGTATCTCCCAGTGACCAGGTGCAAAAGGAAGTCTCTGTCTTATAGGGAAATATCTCAACTTGTCATGGGAGAAATAGTCTTTGTTGAAAGATCCTCTTTTCACTGCTGAAAGGGATAGGAATGTTGTTGTTTTTTGTCTGATTGCCCTGCATTTTAGGGTGCCCTGCCACTGAGGGCCTCTGTTATTTTAGCTCAGTGGTACAGGATCGGTTTAACATGTAGACAGAGGGTGGTGAACACAGCGCATGATATCATGGGCTGTCCCTTGAGTCCGCTAGATGACATCGCAAGCGATCAATGCCTTAGGAGAGCGAGAAAAATTCTTAGGGACGATTCACACCCCGGTCAGCACCTCTTCAATCTTCTACCCTCAGGCAGGAGATATAGAAGTCTAATCAGTCGTACCAACAGGCTAAAAAGCAGGTTCTATCCGTGGGCTGTTAGGCTGCTGAACAGAAAATAATACAGTCATACCTCAGGTTACAGACGCTTCAGGTTGCGTTTTTCGGGTTATGGACCTGCCGAAACCTGGAAGTACCGGAACGGGTTACTTCTGGGTTTCGGGGGTCACGCATGCGCAGAAGTGCTAAATCGTGCTTTGCACATGAGCGCTGAATCGCAACCCACGCGTGCGCAGACGCACCGCTGTGGGTTGTGAACGCTGCAGGTTGCAAATGTGCATCCCGCATGGATCACGGTCGCAACCCGAGCGTCCACTATATAGTGCAACTGACTTTCAGGGTTGGTGTGTTGTGCGACAAGCACACAGAGTGCAATGAGACTTACAGTGGTTAAGAACTTAAGCTTGGGTTAAGAACTTAATTCGTTCCGGAGGTCCGTTCTTAACCTGAAAATGTTCTTCACCTGAGGTACCACTTTAGCTAATGGGCCCTCCTGCTGCCACCCCGCGATTTCTGTTCTCATCCTGAAGCAAAGTTCTTAACCCGAGGTACTATTTCTGGGTTAGCGGAGTCTGTAACCTGAAGTGTCTGTAACCCAAGGTACCACTGTATTAGGTTCAACGCTTGGCATCTCCCTGGGACCACCAGAGAGATCTTGTAGACCACTATGCTGTCAGCTAGGATCCGGGCCAGATTTATGTATAAGCCAAACAAGCTATAGCTTAGGGCCCCACTCTCTTGGGGCCCCCAAAAAATTTAAAGGGCAAAAAACCTGGATGTACATTTCCAAAATATGAGAGGGAAAAAACAAATAAAATAAAACCTCTGGGTATAGGGCGGTGTATACAGTAGTTTTCCGTGTATAAGACCAGGTTTCCCCCCTAAAAAATAATGTCAAAAATTAGGGGGCATCTTATACACGGATACATCTTTCCCCCATTTTCTTAAATCCAAGTCCCCCAACATGGGGGCCTCTTATACATGGGGGCATCTTATAGACAGAAAAATATGTAAGTTGAATAAATAAAATAATAAAATATTCAGTTTCTCACTTTTCCAAACTTAAATGCAGTTCTTTGCATTTCTGCAGCGGTCTGTGATTTATTTATTTTTAAATCCTCATGAAAATTGGTCAACATTTTAGTCCAAATCTCTCCTTGATATCATTATACTTCCGGACCTGTTTACTGAGAATTCTTCCTGATTTGTTTGCGCACTTTGTGGGGAGTTTAGACAAGTATGTCTCTTTAATGAGCATTTATCCTAATTTGTTTCCGGGATGTGTGTGTGTGTGGTGGTTCGATGGCATTTCATCAAAACAAATGGTATCCCACAATATCCTTTGCATTTTCCCAGAACTTTCCTTATCACAAAAACTCTGATTTTATTGGGGGGGGGGGGAGGGGAGTGCTTAAAAGTGCCAATTCAGTTTTAATTTTGTGACCTGAATTTCAATTGCTTAGCTGAACACGCGCTTGATCTCAGTTGTGTTCACTCTAAGAACAGCCCTGTGATAAATCTCTCAAATAGAAGCCCAGATGAATCACACTGGTTTAGACCGCAGGCACCATTCGAGACACGGACAAGCCATCCTTTGTAAAAACATTGGCCGGGAAGAGCAGCTGCAACGGAAAAACATGTCTGGGCTTTGTGAGCTAATCCGCAGGAATTAATTGGGGCGACACAAATATTAGTTCCGACACTCAGGATCTACCAACAATCCCCCCCTGTGTGAAGACGGGCCTGCTTTATTTGTTTATTCGGTTTACAAAATATTCCTATACAACACAAAACCAACAATAACACAACCTCCGTAAAAAAAGCACGAAATACGTTGCGATTCAGTAGGAAGCTGGTGACATGAAATGGTGAGCCGGCCCACTCATTGCACAAATGAGACATGCTACTGATGCCTACACCCTTGTGCAAATTAATTGAAACAAGCAATGTAGTTTATTGGACAAAACTCACGTATACGTACATTAGTAACGGATATGACCTCCGCTATTTTTAAGCAGCATTTGAACACGTTTCGGCATGGAGTCTACTGTAGTAGTTTCGAACAGTCACTGTTGATTTTCGGATCCCTGTACCACAATTGAATCAGCTTCTCCATAGTCATACAGTCTACAGAACGGAGGCATCTTTTGCATACAGCCCACAAATTCATCGTCTGGGGAATTCCCTGGCCAATCAAGTACCTGTATTTGCTGTTCTGTCCTGAATTTCTTCACCACTTTCGATGTGTGACAGGGGGCTAGATCCTGCTGCAATATCCCAGTACCGTCAGGATACCTCTTTTCCAGCTCTGGAATAACTCTCTTTTCATAGAACCTTAATATATTGTGGCGAGCGCATCATTCCTTCTATTGGCTGCAGGCTTCTGACACCACAATGACCAACTGACTTTTCATGTTTGTTTTGAGTACAGGATTAGGAGTAAGATAGAAAACATGCTTTTTTCAATTAATTTGCACACAGGTGTAGATGCTTTGCTCCCACCCCCTTCAATCAACTTGCTGGTCCAGTGGGAGGGAAGGAGAATTACCAACCATTTGTTGTTGTTGTTTAGTCGTTTAGTCTTGTCCGACTCTTCGTGACCCCCTGGACGGGAGCACGTCAGGCATTCCTGTCTTCCACTGTCTCCTGCAGTTTGGTCAAACTCATGCTGGTAGCTTCGAGAAGACTGTCCAACCATCTCGTCCTCTGTCGTCCCCTTCTCCTTGTGCCCTCCATCTTTCCCAACATCAGGGTCTTTTCCAGGGAGTCTTCTCTTCTCATGAGGTGGCCAGAGTCTTGGAGCCTTAGCTTCAGGATCTGTCCTTCCAGTGAGCACTCAGGGCTGATTTCCTTCAGAATGGATCGGTTTGATCTTCTTGCAGTCCATGGGACTCTCAAGAGTCTCCTCCAGCACCAGAATTCAAAAGCATCCATTCTTTGGCGATCAGCCTTCTTTATGGTCCAGCTCTCACTTTCATACATCACTACTGGGAAAACCATAGCTTTAACTAGATGGACCTTTGTTGGCAAGGTGATGTCTCTGCTTTTTAAGATGCTGTCTAGGTTTGTCATCGCTTTTTAACCTTCATTGTTGTGACTTCCTATACCCAAGCTGGACAGGAGATGGGGATCCCACTGAACACACGGACCTGTGCCAGTTGGAGAGGTCTCTGCCGTCGCTCCTGCCTGGCTTATGAGATCCACCTGGGTGTTCACGGCTGCCCACGTCACTATAGGTATGGCTGTTCTCCTTGTGGGTTGATTGTTTATTATTTGTGAGCACATTAAAGTCTCATCACGCTTGTTAACACCTGCCTTGGTCCATTGTAACCCCAAGGTCTCGTTCGTGGTCCCTCACCACTATGGCGTTCCCAAAGCAAGGAAGGATTGGACTCTGATTAATAGAATACAGTGGTACCTCAGGTTACATACGCTTCAGGTTACAGACTCCCCTAACCCAGAAATAGTACCTTGGGTTAAGAACTTTGCTTCAGGATGAGAACAGAAATCGTGCTCCGTCAGCGCAGCAGCAGTGGGAGGCCCCATTAGCTAAAGTGGTGCTTCAGGTTAAGAACAGTTTCAGGTTAAGACCGGACCTCCAGAATGAATTAAGTACGTAACCAGAGGTACCACTGTACACACGAGGCTTGACCAGCAAGACTCTGGGAGGAGTGCGTATAATAATCCTCTCTCCATCCCTTGGCCCAGGTCGTTTTATTCACACAAGAACTTTTTACACAGTGTTCGTAAGAACCAATCAGATTTCCTCTGAGCATTTCAAAAAAACCGACGTGGGACAAAGTCAGATCAGAAGAAATTATTTTAACTGCAAAGACTACTCTGAGCATGCATACACAATCTGAAAGTAAATAAAACAGGACTAAAGGAATGCATTCAGGTCATAAACAGGCCGGAAAGGAAGGAAGTATGGCAAGAAAGAGGATTTACCATCTCCTTGTGAACTCTCTTCCTGGCCCTTAAGATCTACCTAAAAATTAAACTACATCAAAGCTAACTGTTATCTTTATGACCCAGGATGCCTGATGAAGCAACTGGCCTGTGTATTTAGAATGCTTATATACGCCTGTCAGGTGTAGAGAAATAGGACATAGATGAAGAGGCATGGATTGATCAGGAATCGTATCAAAATGGCTCGAACCCGGTCAACACAACGCTTTCATCGCGGACACAAATGGCTTCCTCCATATTTTTTATAATTCCTCATAGCAATCCCACCTGATCGCTACATACCACGAGCTGATAAGATATTTTGCTCCGACGTGCCTCAATTTCCACTTGTTTAGGTCAAATTGAATTTGCCATTTTACCACCCATTGTTTCAGGGCTGCCTTCCTGGCGTGGGGGCCAGTTTCCGCTAAGCGTTGTGGGGGAAGGAAAGCAGGGGAAAAGAGCTACGAGGAGAGAAAACCCCTTTACATTAAGTCCAAGCGCTACTTAGGTCTCTGTGATTGTTGCATGGCTTCTTTCCACCTCTCCAGCTTTGAATCCAGTGAAATAGGCCAATATTTGGGAGGCTCAGGACAATGTGTGGGGCAGGGGGTGGGGCAGTGCTTTGGGCAGCAGGCAGGGCGACACTTCGACAATCTGCAGCCTTCTTCTGAGACTGTCCTTGGTGACTGCAATTCTGAAAAAGACTCGTTTCCTCTTCCTTCCCAGATGCTGTGTGTTGAGAACCTAACACAGACAAGGAAATCCATCACTCCAGCAAAGGGAAGGATGTTCCGTCTACATGCTGATCAGAAGAAGAGTGGCCCCTTTTATAGACAGCATTTGCAATACAGTGGTACCTTGGTTCTCAAACTTAATCCGTTCCGGAAGTCCATTCCAAAACCAAAAGCGTTCCAAAACCAAGGTGCGCTTTCCCATAGAAAGTAATGCAAAAGGGATTAATCCGTTCCAGACTTTTAAAAACAACCCCTAAAACAGCAATTCAACATGAATTTTACTATCTAGCGAGACCATTGATCCATAAAAATGAAAGCAATAAACAATGTACTGCAGTCACACAATCAATCAATCAATCAATCAATCAGTAGCTGAACTGGGTTCCACACAGTCACAAAAACAAAAAAGAGCCGCAATAACAAAAAAAGCAAAATAAATAGCAAAAAACAGACAGAACTCAGCGTAACACTCAAAACCGAAGGGTGGCACTCAAATCGGAAGCGTAACACTCAAAATGGAGCACGTTCAGCTTCCGAAAAAAGTTTGCAAACCGGAACACTTACTTCCGGGTTGGCAGTCTTTGGGTTCCAAGTTGTATGAGTACCAAGGCGTTTGAGAACCAAGGTATCACTGTATCTGTTTATTTGACATCGCCACGGAAATTATCGCCTCCCAACAATTCAAAATGGCTTCAATTTGTTTTAAGCTGATATGTTTTTAGTTGCTTATTTCTGCCTTGCAGCAAGGTGATTGCGACTGTTTAATTTTCTTTAAAGGAAACGCTTCAGAGGACACATGACGCAACTTTTGAAAAGTTTGACAATGCTAAGTTAAAGCTTTGCAACTGTCTAACACTACTTTGCTTGTTTATCGTTCTCAAGACAAAGATGTAGCACATGTAACCAGCCGTAACAAAAAGCACAGTGGATAATTCATTGTTTGGCAATAATGATTAAAACATGCATTTACATTGAACATTCTGTTTCAGCAAATGCACACCCACGACTGCTTTCCGTCTAGACAATAGGGTTTAGTCACAGACTGGCTGGTTTTTGCTGCAAAAGAATAACAGGAAATTCTGGAAATTCACTAACACTGAAAGGGAACACACCAGGAAGATAACTTACATGCAAATATATGTTGCTGGCTGAGATGTGCATGTCCATTGTGTTCAAAGAGATTTTAAAAAAAATTACATATATTTTCACACCAGCAGACAACAGAAGAAAAGCTTGTGCAAAATAATAATAATAATAATAATAATAATAATAATAATAATAATAATTTATTTATACCCCGTCCTTCCCGGTTCAGAAAACCGGACTCAGGGCAACTAACAACAGATTTTAAACACTTAATTGATGCAACAAAAAACAGCATAATATACAGTATAAAACGTGAATAATAAATTCAGAATTCAAAAATCAATTTAGGGGGAAATCCATCCAATAAACATTAGATGATCATCAGGGCTAGCTGGCTAAATTAGTCCTATTTGGGCCAGCGAGGAGGCCAGGGGAGAATTAGCTGTGAGGGAGAAGAGTCGGTGGAAGAAGATTGGAAAAAAATTAAAGACTATTTACAGAAATATTGTAAAATTAATGAATGTTAGAAAAATGTTGGAATGAAGTTATATGGCTTTAGTAGAAATGTTATAAGGAATTAAGTATAGATAGGTTAATAGAGCATTAAAGGAAAAAATAAGGTTAGAATTTGTTAAGATAATTAAAGGATAGAAAGCAGAGGAAGATGGAAAGGAATTGCTGAAATAATTATTAGAAGTGGAATACAAAGAGGGAGGTGTGAGGAGGTCGTGGAAATAAGTGAGTGAAAGATGGGATAATGAAACTGTTTTATTTTATTGTTTTTGTTTTGTTTTGTTAATTTAATGTTTTGCATTGTCTTTTTTTTTTTAGTGTTTAAGTTTCTGGAAAAATAATAAATATTATTTTTAAAAAAAGAGAGAATTAGCTGTGGGATCCCAGAGCGGGTAGTCCAAGCAGGAGATAACCAGAGAAGGGACTACTATGGTGAGACAGTCTGCGGGCAGAGAGGGTCTCATCCTGCGTACCAGATGGAGCTGGTAAACAGCTGCCCTGGACACAGAATTGACCTGCGCCTCCATGGACAGCTGTGAGTCCAGAATGACTCCCAGGCTGCGCAGCTGGTCCTATGATTCAAGACACTATTCAGAAGTGGTGACTGTTCTGTTCCAAGGCTTCTTCATCCAACTGAGTCCAAAAATCACTCAAGATCTGTACAACCCATGAAGTTATGGAGAAATCAGCTGGGCCGTTTAAAGGTCAAAGGGCCTCTGTTAATGAATGTTAGAATGATGTTGGATTGAAGTTAAGTGGTTTCTAGCTGTACAGGCATAAAAGAATATGGAAAAATTGGTTTTTAATATGTAAAATGTAAAATTTAAAGTTATATTATATCAAGATTAAAGATTAGGATTAAAAAGGAGGGAAAGGAATTGTTGGATTAACATATTTAATTAGAATACAGAAGAGGGAGGTAAGAGGAGGTCCGGGAAACAAGTAAACGTAAAAGAAGTGAGGAAAAGATGAAATTGTTTTTAATTGTTTTTTCTTTTTACTTTGTATTTTTTCTTTTCATTGTTAACTTTTTCTTTAGTAATGTGGTTTTTTTATTTTTTTTCTCCTGTGAAACTTTAATAAATATTATTTATAAAAAAAAAAGAGACAACAGCAGTACAGATGGGATTTGAGAGCCTTGGCTATGCGTGACCTCCCCTGTCGAAGGCAGTATGCCTCTGGTTAGCAGTTACTGGGAATCTCAAATGCTGTTCTTGTGCGCAGATCCTGCTTGTGAGCTTCCCTTGGAGGCATATAGCTGAACACTGGAGCATCTAGGATGTGGGTCTTTGGCTTGATCCAGCAGCCAGGCGCTTCTTACGTTCGCACTAAATAGATGTGTGATTGAATATTAAAATAATAATAATAATAAAGGTCAAAGGGCCTCTGAAGGCATGAACACCCTTCCCTTAGATCGGGGGGGTGACTAACTGTGGCACTCCAAATTAATAATAATAGTAATAATAATAACAATAATAATAATAATTTATTTATACCCCACCCATCTGGCTGGGTTTCCCCAGTGAAGCTGTACTACAACTCCCAGCGTTCCTGGCTGTTGGTGCTGCTGGCTGATCGTCCATCTCTAGAGGGTGGTGGACTCTTCTTCCTTGGAGGTTTCTAAGCAGAGGTTGGACGGCCATCTGTCATGGATGGTCTAGTTGAGATTCCTGCATTGCAGGGGGTTGGACTAGATGACCCTCAGGGTCCCTGACTGCTCTGCGATTCTGCGCTTCCCAGGCCTTAGGTTCTTCAGAAGCTCAACGTCGCTGAAAAGCTGAAAGGCAATTTCTTCGCATGCAGTCGCCGCCCCGCATTCAAACAGGCACCCAAACAGCACCGGCTTGCCCTCCTCCTGGCACACGGCCAGGTCCGAATACCCACTGGGCCCTTTGTTCAGCACCCACGGAGTTTTCCAGCAGCCCTTCTCCAACGGAGAGGTGTTGAGGTAGATGCCCAGATCCAAACGCTTGTGGCTGTTTGTGGGGTGGGAGAAGACCAGCCACGACTTGGCGCTCCTCTTGCGAGGGGCCGAGGAGAAATCGACACTCAGCAGACATGCCGATTCGCCTGAGCCTTCCTCTAGGCCCCGATCCGAGGGTTTCGGCGCCGGGACGAAACTCACCACACTGCCCTGGCACCCGTGGGGCGGCTCAGGCAGCTGCTTGCAAAGAAAGGACTTCTGGAAATGGCCTCCGTTATCGGCGCTGAAGGCCTCAGCGCGGCAGCGGCTCCAGCCCGAATGCCGGGCATTGACGTACAGCAAGCGACTTCCGTCCTGGCGGTTGATCTCGGCCAGCTGGCACTCGGTGGCTCGCAAGTCCTCGAGGAGCCGGCCCCGCGCCCAACTGCGCCCTCCGTCGTCACTGAGCAAAGCGAAGCAATAGGGAGCCACGCAGCAGAGCGGGCAGAAGCAAAAGCAACGTTTGCGGGTGCGGTACGCGTACGCCGGGACCGCCAGGCGCCCAGAGCCAAGCTGCACACCGTGGCCCGGCCCGACGGCAAAAGTGGCCCACTTCCTCCGGTCGCCTCCAAACATCTGCCTGGTTAAGTCCACCACCTGGCTCCAGGTGCGGCCACCATCTTGGCTGGAGACGTAGCAGAGCTTGGCAGCGTTCCTCCCCGTCGCAATCTGCCGCCGGGCTGTGACGTGGTCCAGAACGCAGATGAAGAACAGGTAAGTGGTTCCGCTCTTCTCCTCGTGAACCGGGCAGGGGTTCATGGTGCGGTATTTTGGGAGCGTGGCCATCGGCAGGGGCTCCTGAGGACCCCACTGGAGAGAAGAAGAAGAGGAGTTTGGATTTGATATCCCGCTTTATCATTACCCGAAGGAGTCTCAAAGCAGCTCACATTCTCCTTTCCCTTCCTCCCCCACAATAAACACTCTGTGAGGTGAGTGGGGCTGAGAGACTTCAGAGAAGTGTGACTGGCCCAAGGTCACCCAGCAGCTGCATGTGGAGGAGCGGAGACGCGAACCCGGTTCACCAGATTACGAGACTACCGCTCTTAACCACTACACCACACTGGCTCTGAAACAGAGAAGGGACAAAAGGGTTTGCTCTCGGGGTGATGTCTCTGCGCACTTCACATCCAACCTGGAATCGTCATCATTAATTAAATCTGCATACCTTCCTTCGTCTGCAGATCTCAGGGTGGATCACAAGATGCAAGTTAGCGGATTAAAATGTATAAAAGGTAAAGGGACCCCTAACCATTAATAATAATAATAATAATAATAATAATAATAATACTTTATTATTTGTACCCCGCCCATCTGGCTGGGCCTCCCCAGCTACTCTGGGTGGCTTCCAACAAAGATTACATCAGAATGTCACACATTAAAAACTTCCTTGAACAGGGCTGCCTTCAGATGTTTTCAGGTAGTTGTTTATCTCTTTGACATCTGACGGGCAGGTGTTCCACAGGGTGGGTGCCACCACCGAGAAGGCCCTCTGCCTGATTCCCTGTAGCTTTGCTTCTCGCAGTGAGGGAACTGTCAGAAGGCCCTCGGAGCTGGACCTCAGTCTCCAGGCTGAACGATGGAGGTGGAGACGCTCCTTCAGGTATACTGGGCCGAGGCCGTTTAGGGCTTCAAAGGTCAGCACCAACACTTTGAATTGTGCTCGGATACGTACTGGGAGCCAGTGTAGGTCTTTCAAGACCAGTGTTATGTGGTCTCAGCGGCCGCCCCCAGTCACCAGTCTAGCTGCCGGGTTCTGGATTAGTTGTAGTTTCCGTGTCACCTTTGGTCTTAGCTTGACATACATTCCTTCCTTCCGCCCTTGCCTCATCACCAGCTACTTGGCATCGCCCCAAGCCCCACCCACTTCTAAAGCAGATGGGGGGAGTTGCTTCAGAAAGCATTCCCCCCCATACATAGTGTGCAAAGCACCTCCCCGCCTTCATTAAACAGCTTACCTGAGCTGCCTGCCACCCTGCTGTCACGCTGGAGTTGGTGTGGCCGCATATTGGCAGGACCATGAACTGCTGCGTGACGACAGCCTTACATTTATTGTATATAGTAAGAAAGTAAAGAAACGTGCAATGAAGAATAGCAGCGTTACGGTTTCTGCTCCTGGCGTTACCTGAACGGACGTTCCTTCCTTCCGCCCTCGCCTCATCACCAGGAACTTAGCATCTTCGTCCCGGGGGGATGAGCGCTCCTCTGCAAATGCCAGGAAGGTGGACTCGGAGGGCAGGTAAAGCAGCGCCGGGATACGGTAGGTGAGACCCCCTCGTTTTGTCTGGCTGAAAAGAACCACCTTCCCAGAGGCAGCCTGAGCCTCGGCCATGTTTTCTGGGCATGCAGAAGTATTTGGGGAGGAGGGAAGGAGGGAGATGAAGAATCCAATTAGTTTGTTGCATCACCTGAAAGGTCCTATCTTTATAAACCTGCCCAGGTGCTAAGATCCTCCTACCACCAGCCCATATTCCTCACCAGGTGGAACTAAAAGCTAAGTCGCACCCAGAATCCACTGTCTTCCTTGATTCCCATAAGTATACAAATCCTGGATTTGCACCCTGTAAGGGACATTTTGCCTCCGGGACTCAGACCTGAAGAAATTTCACACCTCTGGCCGGAACCAGTCCGGGTTGCAAATCTGCCTGCCGACATGTACTGAGCAACCAGTAGTTAATTGACAACCTGGGAAGAAAACAAACCAAACAGACCCCACCACCCAATCACGTCCAGTTTACAAAAGCTTCAAATCTTGGTCACTAACAAAAGATTCCTGCTTGCTAAAGGTGACCAGTAGGCTAGTTATCGCCAGAAATAATAATAATAATAATAATAATAATAATAATAGTAAATTTTATTTATACCCCACCCTCCCCGGCCAGAGCTGGGCTCAGGGCGGCTAACAACAGTAAAATTACAGTAAAAACATAATTGGGGGGGGGGACAATTTAAAATACAGGTTAAAATGCAATTTAAAATGCAGCCTCATGAAAACCATAAGGGGAGGGAAACGTAAGGGTCAGACTGAGTCTAAACCAAAGGCCAGGCAGAAGAGCTTTGTCTTGCAGGCCCTGCGGAAAGATGTCAAGTCCCGCAGGGCCCTAGTCTCTTGTGACAGAGCGTTCCACCAAGTCGGGGCCAGTACTGAAAAGGCCCTGGACCTAGTTGAGACCAATCTAACCACCTTGCAACTTGGGACCTCAAAAGTGTTGTTATTTGTGGACCTTAAGGTCATCCACGGCGCATACCAGGAGCGGCAGGCCCGTAGGTATGCGGGTCCTAGACCGCATAGGGCTTTAAAGGTCAAAACCAGCACCTTAAACCTGACCCTGTAGTGATCTATAGGAAGCCCTCTTTAGCCAAACTGCAAGCCTTACATGCATAAGCTGCTTTATAGGGTCTCAGACTATTGTTCCACCTAAGCTCAATACTGTCAACATGGACTGGCAGCAGCAGGAATCACAGTTAAAGAATTCCTGACAGGGGGCCATTCAACCAGCAATGTTTCATCTATTATTGCACCCGTGCACAGACGCGGGTTGCGAACGCTGCAGGTTGTAAACATGCATCCCGCACGGATCACGTTCGCAACCTGAACATCCACTGTATTTATATATATATATATATAGCTCACAATAAATATACTGCACTGCACTGAAGAACCTGGAACTCTGATCATTTCTGTTAAAGCGCAGCGGAGAATTCGCGACTGTGTGTGTGTGTGTGTGTTGGGGCAGGATCAGTACCTTGGTATTGGGGAATGACTTTTTAATTTTCTACTGGGTTGCCACATTTCAAAGTAAAAACCAGAAAAACCTGAAAGTTATTGAGCTCTCTTTAGACAAAAGCCTGAAGTTTGACATATGGCACTCCTACTTCCCCAGTTAAAATGGCATCCCTGATCATTATTTCCACGGTAAGGAACATTTCCAGGAATCAAACCCTTGCAAGATTTCTCCCAGGAGACAAAACAGCAAGTTTGGGCGATGCTTTATCCAAGTTGCAAGCTCACCAGCTGCTGCTATTATTATTATTATCATTTAAGATGTGGGGAGATCCTTGTCCTAAATCTCTACCTCTTTGGCTCTAGGCAGAAGCCGCCTCTTCTGTTTAAAGGACTGGGTTTCCACCACCCCCTCCCGTCACTGGCAGCAAGCGTTTTGAAAACAGGAACTCGGCTGCTGAAATCCTCAAGCGCTTTCTCCGAAAAGCGGCGAGAAAAATGCCCTTTTCCTTAAAAAAAAATAATGCATTGCAAATATTGCAACGTTCCTAAGCGGTACACCTGAGATTGCATCACATCCTTTTTTTGCAGGAAACGGGGGGGGGGGGGACAAAAACACGACTCTCTTTGGATTTCCAGCACTCATCCTTCCCTCCTCCCCTCAAAAAAAAATAAAAAAAAAAATTCCTGATGCGAGGAGGTCTCTTCCAGGGGAATGAGATCGATCTTCCTCCCTGGGCAAACTTCTGCAAAAATAAGTGGGGCTGCGGGAGACGCTTCCATCTAGGGCGGGGGGGTTTATATCCCCACCCCCATAAAAGAGATATATTCCCTAGTTTATATTTTACCCCTTTAAATGCATCACACTGGCCCCTTCCATCCTTTCATGGAGCTTCCCCTATTTTTTTTGCGGGGGGGAGGATAATTATGGGTTTTCTCTCCCTGGGATTTTCCTGCAACGTCCTTGCTGCATCACTCACCGTGCAAAGGCTTTTCCAACTGCGCAGGTGAAAGGGATACAAGCGGCGGCGCCGGGAGAGGATCGGTGCGCAGGATCAGCTCCTTGGATAGGGCGCAGGGCGAGATCAGGATTTCCTCCTCCTCCGAAGCACCGCCCCTCCTTTAGCCACGCCCACTGAGCATCCCTCAGCATCCCAGAGAGACATCCCACAGCATCCCTCCTGCGCCATTCAGAGCGCAGACCCGTGGGAAGGTTTGCCCGTGTGAAACGCTCGCGGGCCTTTGCTGCCTTTGCCTTTGCCACTTCCACCCGCCTCCCGTTGACAATAGCCTAACATTACTTTAGCTCCTGCTCAATTTATGTACATCAAGCTGTTAGCAAAGGCACTGTTGTTTTTTAAAGTGATAATACTAGGCAGAAGTAATGCTTACAAGGATTTTTTGATGCTCATGCGTTAAAAGAATAAACAGATTTATTGCTCCAAACAAAGCTACGCGGAAGCAAAGAGTATACTGTACAGTGGTACCTCGGGTTACATACGCTTCAGGTTACAGACTCCGCTAACCCAGAAATAGTACCTCGGGTTAAGAACTTTGCTTCAGGATGAGAACAGAAATCATGTTCCGGCGGCACAGCAGCAGCAGGAGGCCCCATTAGCTAAAGTGGTGCTTCAGGTTAAGAACAGTTTCAGGTTAAGAACGAACCTCCGGAACAAATTAAGTACTTAACCCGAGGTACCACTGTATATGACATTTTAAAAAATTATTCTTACCATGGTAGGCGGCAAGGGAACCGACCATTTTGCTTCAACCAAATGTGCTCCTTCAACTACCGTGGTCTTTTCTCTTCCCAGGTAAGTAGAATAATTTTTTTAAACCATGACAATATTTATGCTGTCCTCGTGTTCCACATCTGCACTGACGCTGCACATAGCTTTTCCTTCTGGGATCTCGTTCAGTCTTGTTTCTTATTTCTTTCTGTATTTTTTTTTTCATTTAAAAAGGAACAAATAAACACACCCACCCAAACTATTATGTAGCTCAGAATCACAGCCGGATTTAGGTTTGATGAGGCCCTAAGCTGCTGAAGGTAATGGGGCCCTTTATATATCCAGCTATCCTTTGTCAACAACAAATTGTAGCTGTTTTTGGTGTTGAATATAGGCTATATGTCAGGGGTCGGCAAACTAAGGCCCGGGGGCCAGATCTGGCCCAATTGCCTTCTCAATCCGGCCCGCGGACGGTCCGGGAATCAGCATGTTTTTACATGAGTAGAATGTGTCCTTTTATTTAAAATGCATCTCTGGGTTATTTGTGGGGCATAGGAATTTGTACATATTTTTTTTTTCAAAATATAGTCCGCCCACCATAAGGTCTGAGGTACAGTGGACCAGCCCTCTGCTGAAAGAGTTTGCTGACCCCTGCTATATGGTAATTTATGGACCTCATAGGTATCTAAAGCCACCTAAAGGAGCAAACCAGTGATATTTTAGGGAGCAGGCTAGCAGGCGGGGCCCATGACTTACATCATAGGAGCCTACACAACACAAAACACTGTTGCTTCGTATAGGTTTTATTTAATTTTTTTTAATCTTATATTTTGGAAATGTACATCTAGTTTTTTCCCCCTTTATTAGGGGCCCCCAGGAGAGTGGGCAGCCCTAAGCTATAGGTTGTTTAGCTTATGTGTAAATCCGGCACTGCTCAGAATGCAACCATCCTTTGTGTGTTAACAGCCGCACTCATATATTATGAGCTGGCAGCTTATAATATACAGGGTTACGCTGGAAATGCTGGGGTGCGATTCTGCTTGTCTTAAGGCTGATGGGTTTTGCGGGGGGAGGGAAGCAGGTAAGGAGGGGGACCATCGTTTCCTAGGCTGCCATCTGACCTAGCTTGTGCTGACTTTCCTTCTGATGCTCTTAGTCAGGAGTCTGCAAACTTTTCCAGCAGGGGACTGGTCCACTGTCCCTCAGACCTTGCGGGGGGCCGGACTATATTTTTTTGGGGGGGAATGAACGAATTCCTTTGCCCCACAAATAACCCAGAGGTGCATTTTAAATAAAAGGACACATTCTATTCAGGTAAAAACATGCTGTTTTCTGAATCGTCTGTGGGCCAGATTTAGGGTTGTAAAGACTGCGGAGAGAATAAATGGGCGCACTCTTCCCACCTTGAATCAAATCTACGCTTCCAGGTGCCATAAGAAAGCTGCAGAGATAGCGCAGGATAGTGCGCACCCCGGAAATGATCTTTTCCAGCTTCTGCCTTCTGGAAGAAGGTCCAGGGTTATAAAAACTAGGACTAGCCGCCTGAGAAACAGTTTCTATCCAAATGCGATTTTGGTTTTAAACGCAGTGCAAGGTAGTATCTACGGGAGTATATTGTATTTTAAAAATGGGGTATCAGAGTTTTTAGGGGGCTAACCAGGCTGGGATAGCTGGCTTGTTAGTTTCTGAATGCCTGGTGTAGATTTTCAATTTCGTTGTTCTGTATGGGACAATGACAATAAAGATTATCGTATCGTATTATCATATCGTATCGTAGAAGGCAATTGGGCCGGATCCAGCCCCCGGGCCTTAGTTTGCCTACCCCTGCTCTTAGGCTTTCTGAACTCATTCTTTACTACTTCTTCATCCTTTGAGAGAGGAGACATCTTTGTATCTCTCACCTGCTGAGAACGAAAAGCAGGCATCAATCTTTGTGTCTCCACCTTCATTGGTTTGAACAAGGCGCATTCCTATAATAAAGCATGCAATTCTTTTATCAAACTAGCCATACTTTCCTTCCCTGAACTGAGAGATTCAGGGTTCATTCACACTTCCAGTTGCCCCACGATTTTTAGGCAGAGTTCCGAGAGCTTTTCATTTTGTTCCATCTCTTTCCCTGGGAAAGCCTGCCGATGTCTGTGTTTGTTCCAATTCAGCAGTAAACATCGGGTTACATATACTTCTCTGACTTTTTGCAATGCAGTTATTGTCTATTTCTTGTTTGTATATGTATGAGTGTGTAAATCTATTTTAGCATAAAAGCTATTTAAAAGTACATGTTTTAATGCACACTGAAATATGCCTTTTCATAAAGATAAAACAAAAAACTGCACATCAGTACAGAAACAGAATTGAACTCTTGAATAAACATATAAGGCAAAACGGATGGAAATCAGAAGGCGTCTGATCTGATCTGCCCATCCCTTCATGTAATAATAATAATAAATTTATATAAATAAATAAATAAATAAATAAATAAATAATAAATAAATAATAATAATAATAATAAATTTTATTTATACCCTGCCCTCCCCAGCCAAGACCGGGCTCAGGGCGGCTAACACCAGGTATAAAACAATTGATTCAAATACAACTGAAAAACAAGATTAAAACACAACATTAAAATGCAGCCTCATTTCAGTAGAAACTCAAATCAAAAGCTTTTTGGGGATGAAAACGTCCAGTCTTCACCAAGGCCAACTATCCAGACTGGTCTTACGTGGGCCAAAGAAAGAGGTTTAGTACAGGCTATCTCCCCTGATGAGCTAGATTTCCAGATACGGGAAGTAGTGTTGTTGTTTTTTAAGGAGATGAACTGCAACAGGAAGCGGGAGAGATCTGAGGTGGAGCATGGGCAGAGCAGTTATCCGAAGTTATCGCCAGCACGTGTGCCAGGACTTCATACAGTGCCACGCGGAGCCAGAGGCAGGAACAGCATGCAATACAAGATGTTGCTACACTAAGCAGAATTGAGTAGGATCACGCTATCCCCCACAAATAAGAGGGACAGAACTCACAAGCCACAAGCCTTTGGCCAACATGGTGCCAGCCAACCTGTAGGCCGGCACATGTGATATGTAACTTTAAGAACTGGTGCTAGAGTTTACTCTTTTTCATTCCTCCTCCATTCCCACCCTCTTTTCCTTGTGTGTCGTGCCTTTCAGAATGCAAGCCTGAAGACGGGATCTGTGTTAACTACAGATCTCCGTAAGCCACTCTGGGGGTCCAGACCATGAAGAGAATTATTAGTTAATGGCAATTAAGAGTAATAGAGAAATTAAGAAATGCAGAATAAGTGATAAAGAATGGAAAATCGTCAGAGGTGGTTAGACGGACGTCTAAAATCTTGTATAAGATAAGAAGTTATGTTAAATGAATGTTGGAAATGATATGTAAAAAACCCCCAATAAAAATGTATATATATAAAAAATACTGTAGGTAAGTAAATGTAAATGTCAGTAAAATGATGGTGGTGGTAATAATAATAATAAAATAATAATAATAATACAGTGGTACCTCAGAAGTTGAACGGAATCTATTCCGGAAGTCCAGTTGACTTCCAAAACATTCAGAAACCAGGGTGTGGTTTCTGATTGGCTGCAAGAAGCTCCTACATCCAATCGGAAGCCATGTTGGACATTCAGGTTCCAAAGAACGTCCGCAAACTGAAACACTCACTTCCGGGTTTACGGCGTTCAGAAGCCAAAACGTTCGACTCGCAAGGCGTTTGAGATCCAAGGTACGACTGTGATGCTGATAATAATAATAATAATAATAATAATAATAATAATAATATTTTCTGTTTTCTAGCACTGTTGATCAAGACAAATCAGAAAGCCATGAAAGGCCACCATCTTGTTGCCACAGGAAAATGAACCACTGGGCCCAAACTGAGCGACATCTTGCAGGAGTCAGGGAACAGGATACTCAAATAACCAAAAAACACACATCTGGGAATGAGACAGACTTATTTCAAAAGCAGCTCCTTTCTTTAGAAGGCACGGAAATTTGTGTGTGAGACAGAGAGCTGTTGTGGACATTTTATGCATCCGTCCTAACAGGCTCAAGACATCTCTATTTTGCACAGTCGTGCTGGCTGTAATTTTGGTTTGTTTTGCAATGAGGCAACCACCCTCATTCATCGTCTCCCTGAACTACGAACTTGGGCTCCATTCTTTAGGCATCCTCCCAGTTTCTTCACTTTCTGCACCCTTCTTGGGCAGAAGTGAGGGGAAGTCTATAAACTCAGGGTTTCAGCGTAGTTGGGGAGAAGCACACGGTGCCCCCACCGCAAAGCTAACAGAAGATGCTGAAACTCCTGGCTTTGTCATTTGCTGCGAACCGAGAAGTCCCTTCTCTATAATAAATAATAATAATAATATTTTTTTATTTATACCCCGCCCTTCCCGGTTCGGAAAACCGGGCTCAGGGCGGCTAACAACAAATTTAAAACACTTAATTGATGCAACAAAAAAACAGCATAAAATACAGTATAAAACATGAATAACAATAAATTCAGAATTCAAAAATCAATTTAGGGGGGAAATCCATCCAATAAGCATTAGATGATCACCAGGGCTGGCTGGCTAAATTAGTCCTAATTGGGCCAGTGAGGAGACCAGGCGAGAATTAGCTGTGGGATCCCAGAGCGGGTAATCTTCATAAAAAGGGGAGGGGGAGGGGAGGAAGGGGAATAAAAAGATCAGGCTAAGTTCAAATTGAAAGCCAGGCGGAATAGCTCTGTCTTACAGGCCCAACGGAAGGAGGTTAAATCCTGCAGGGCCCTGGTCTCCTGGGATAGAGCATCCCACCAGGTCGGAGCCATCACTGAGAAGGCCCTGGCCCTGGTGGAGGATAGTCTGGCTTCCTTAGGGCCCGGGACCTCTAAACTATGGTTATTCATGGACGTTAAGGTCCTCTGCGGGGCAGACCAGGAGGGATAATGAGATGACCTGCTCTAGATCTGTGTCTCTGGGCCTTTAACACCCCACAGAACCTGGAAGCTCAAGGGCTTAATATGTTTCTTTTTTAAAAAACTATAACATATACATTTCTGCATATTTAAGAACCCCCCACTAGCACATCAGTACAAGCACTGCCTTGCTTTTGGGGCGACTCTGATCTTTTCCAAAATTACAGACGTCCAAGTTTGAGAAAATAAATGGGAGTCCTGGTTAAAGATGGCCCTAGTATGAAATATTATGGTGTTCAGACTGTGGGGCCCTGCATCTGGAAACAAGGACGCGGGAGCTGGAGCCAGGATAAGACCTATGGGAAATGTCAGGGGGTGCGTGAGAGAAATCGCCAGCATCTAAGCTTGCATAGCCCTCAACCGTCCCATTTTAGCGAGCGTCTTTTGCTCTTATGCTTTCGCGCAAGTGCTCAAGCAAAAAAATGATGAGTGCCCATTCTGGTGCCAAAAATCCCAGAGGGTATGGCATTGCCCATCCGTTTTTGAACTTTGAAAAGTTCCTCCTTTCGTGTACAGAAGTAGAAGGCAGCAAAGGCGGCAATATGCCAATTCTGAACAATGGAGTTCTGTTTATATATCATTTTAGGCCCCAGGACATGGAAGGGCGAGACGTATCTTGTGACCAACAGGAGGCAGCCGTCAGCGATGGTGAAAAAGAGAGTCCCGAGGTAAAAATGAAAGAAAGAAATCACAACAACCTTGAATTGTAGACCGCCCCTTTCGATTTATCAATATAATTACGCAGAAGATGCAGTACAGTGGTACCTTGGTTCTCAAACGCCGAAAACCGGGAAGTAAGTTTTCCGGTTTTCAGGCGTTTTTCGGAAGCCGAACATCTGTTGGCTATTGTTTCTGGGATGCCTGCACCAATCAGAAGCTGCACCTTGGTTTTCGAACATTTCGGAAGTCAAATGGACATCCGGAAAGGATTAAGTTTGGCGCTTTTGTTTTTGCTATTTGTTTTGCGTTTCTGTTTTTGAGGCTTTTTTGGTTAATTTGTTTTTGTGACTGTGTGGAACCCAGTTCAGCTACATTTATTGTGTGACTGTGGAAATGTATAAAAATCCCCCATCCAAACAATGACTATCATCATTGCAGGTAAGAATTTTTTTTATATATCATCTACAATACCATCTTATTTATTTTATAGTACAGTATGTTGATTATTGATTTCATTTTATAGATCAATGGTCTCGTTAGATAGTAAAACTCATGTTAAATTGCTGTTTTAGGGGTTGTTTTTAAAAGTCTGGAACGGATTAATCCCTTTTGCATTACTTTCTATGGGGAAGCACACCTTGGTTTTGGAACGCTTTGGTTTTGGAACGGGTTAAGTTTGAGAACCAAGGTACCACTGTAATTCTTTTTTGTTTAGCTACTTTCAAGGAGGCAGAAGCGAGGGCCTGTTTATCGTCATCCCAAAACGACGGGCGTTTTCCAAAGCCTGCACGGTATAATACTATGGCGGAGACATAGGAGAGCCTGGCGGGAGAGGCAAGCGAGGGCACCCACATTTTCTGTCCTGGGGTGCTAAACGTCCCTGAGCACCTATGCTTCCAAGGGAGTAGAGGGACCACAGCAGCTTTCCCTCACCTTCCTCAGGAGCTCGACACCCGTGAACAGTTGGAAGGCGATCTCTTCACACTCGCAGGACACCCCACACTCAAACAGACACCCAAACATCACCGACTCGCCCTCCTCGCACACGGCCAGGTCCGAATACCCGCTGGGCCCTTTGTTCAGCACCCACGGAGTTTTCCAGCAGCCCTTCTCCAACGGAGAGGTGTTGAGGTAGATGCCCAGATCCACGCGCTTGTGCCTTTTTGTGGGGTGGGAGAAGATCAGCCACGACCGGGCGCCCTTGAGGGGGGCCGAGGAGGGATCGAGACCCGACGACTTGGCCCCGTCTTTCTTCCGGCCCAGATCCAACGGCTCCAGCTGAGGGGAGAAGCTCACCACGCTGCCCTGGCACCCGTGGGGAGACTCGCACAACTCCTCGCACAGGGAGGGGCTGACAAACTGGTGGCCGTTGTCGGTGCACAGCGCCCCGACCCGGTAGTTGTGGAGGCTGCGGGCGTTGCAGTAGAGGACCCGGCTGTCGTCCGGGCACGACAGCTCGGCCACCTGGCACTCGGAGGTCAGCAAGGCCTCGAGGAGCGGGCTGCGCGACCAGCTCTGCCCGCCGTCGTCGCTGTAGAAAGTGAGGCAGTGGGGCTTGATCCAGCACTCCAGAGGGTGCCCAAACAAGCGCTTGTGGATGTAATAAGCGTACGCCGGGATCACCAGGCGCCCGGAGCTGAGCTGGACGCCGTGGCCCGGGCCGACGGCAAACGTGGCCCAATTGGTCAGCTCTCCGCCAATGACCGCCTCGGTCAGGTCAGTCGCCTGGCTCCAGGTGCGGCCGCCATCTTGGCTGGAGACGTAGCAGAGCCTGGCGGCGTTCCTCCCCGTGCTGATCTGGTGCCGTTCCGTGATGTACTTCTCCACACAGATGAAGAAGAGGAAAAGGGTGCCGCTCTTCCTCTCGAACACGGGGCAGGGGTTCATGGTGCGGTGGTTGGGCAGCACAGCTGTCTCCAGAGGTTCCTGAGGACCCCACTGAAATACGAAGCAGAGGATGAGTTAGAGCACGGGTAAAGGTAAAGGGACCCCTGACCGTTAGGTCCAGTCGTGGACGACTCTGGGGTTGCGGCGCTCATCTCGCTTTATTGGCCGAGGGAGCCGGCGTACAGCTTCCGGGTCATGTGGCCAGCAGGACTAAACTGCTTCTGGTGAACCAGAGCAGCGCACGGAAACGCCGTTTACCTTCCCGCCAGAGCGGTACCTATTTATCTACTTGCACTTGACGTGCTTTCGAACTGCTAGGTGGGCAGGAGCAGGAACCGAGCAACGGGAGTTCACCCCGTTGCGGGGATTCGAACTGCCGACCTTCTGATCGGCAAGTCCTAGGCTCTGTGGTTTAACCCACAGCGCCACCTGCGTCCCTTAGAGCATAGTCAAGCTTTTAATACCTACTGCCCACTAATGCATCTTTCTTGATGGTAAAATTTCCTTACCGCCCACCAGTGCTCGATGGAAGGAGGATTCGGCTTGTGCCGTAGAACCCCCTACCGCCCACCTAGAATCCTGAAACGCCCACTAGTGGGTGGTAGGGACTGTTAGAATGCCTGCTCCATGATTGCAGTCATGGGACTGTTGTCTTTCACATGACGGTATGTGTTTTGACTCCACAGAGTGGGAAGTGACGGAGACAGGGTATTTGTGTTACTGTGTTGTGTGAAGTGGGACTATTGTCCTTTGTTCTTTCTCTATCCGATGCTAGAGAGAGAGGGAGCCATGTTGCAGTGCTCTGTGTGTGTTAATAACAACACCACCACCACCAACAACAATAATATATTATTTATACCCCGCCCATCTGGCTGGGTTTCCCCAGCCACTCTGGGCAGCTTCCAACAAAACCCTAAAATACAATAACCTATTAAACATTAAAAGCTTCCCTAAACAGGGCTGCCTTCAGATGTCTTCTAAAAGTTTGGTAGTTGTTTTTCTCTTTGACATCTGGTGGGAGGGCGTTCCACAGGGCAGGCGCCACCACCAAGAAGGCCCTCTGCCTGGTTCCCTGTAGCTTGGCTTCTCACAGCAAGGGTACCGCCAGAAGGCCCTCAGAGCTGGACCTCAGTGTCCGGGCAGAACGATGGAGGTGGAGACGCTCCTTCAGGTATACAGGTAAATAAAGTAGATTAGCCAAAATGCTGAGTTGCTGAGGTCTGTCATGTGCATGATGTGCAAACTCTGTGGATCCCTAATGGTGCCGGTGTCTGTTGGCATCGGTCGCTGTGATGTTCGGGTTGAAGAAAGCTTTCGAAGCTCCCGAACGATCAACCAGGAGGGAGAGAACATGTCAGTTGGGCATGTGTCTCTGCCAGGGTCCTACTCGAATGTGGGCTGAACTCCTGACAGAGACCAGGTTGACAACCTCCAAGTTAGAGAGTAAACCCAGATATTTCCCTCTCTTCACTGTGGTGCAGTGGTTAGAGTGTTGGACTAGGAACCAGGGAGGTTGGGGTTCAAATCCCCACCACGCCCAGGAGTGGGCTTACCAAAATCACAAAAGAATCTATTTACGTATGCAACTACGGCTGCACGGACATTATTAGCACAATACTGGAAAGAAGAAGGTGTCCCAGCTAAAGAAGATTGGCAAGTTAAATTAATGGAATATTCTGAAATGTTTAGGGAAGTTTTTAATATTTAATGCTGTATTGTTTTTAACACTTGATTGGGAGCCGCTCAGAGTGGCTGGGGAAACTCAACCAGATGGGTGGGGTATAAATAATAAATTATTGTTGTTGTTGTTGTTGTTGTTGTTGTTGTTATATAAATGGCAAAACTGACAATGAAATTAAGAGGAAGAGACGACAACAAATTCAATGAAGAATGGAAGATGCTTATTGCATATATACAGGAGCAGAGTACACAGGTTAATACATTAGCAGGGTTTTAAAAGTACTTGTAATTTTACAATGAATGGATAATAGGTGATTTAAATATGTTCCAAATTTAACAATGGACATCCTTGTCTGAGGATAATCACACTTTTTGCTGAGGACACAAGTGGCATCCCAGCGCTCGAAAAAGGCTTTGTGGTTTTTAATTTGGGAGTCAAGCGCCGTTGGAGTGAGCACACCATCTATTTTCGGGTGGCTTTAAATAGAGGTTTAAATTCCACTCCCTTCTCGAACTCCCCGCAGGCTGTGTGTTCACAGAGGGCAGCACTACCCAACACTCAGACCTCAACCTATTCCTATATACTGTACTTTCGGGGCCGTCTTCCCCATAGGCGCTAGGGGTGCGGGGCACCCGGGCGCTAGGCTCTCAGGGGCACCAGTCCGAGGCCCGAGAGTTGAGTCTGGGGAAGAGCCCGCCCGTCGGTGGAAGTGCCTGGGACTGGGCAACCTGGCGCCGCATATACTTAAGACAGCCCTGCATACTTTTCCATCTATAAGACGCCCCCATGTATAAGATGCCCCTTATTTGGGGGGACTCAAATTTTAGAAAATGGGGGAGATGGCACAGAGTTGTTGAGCTTTTTTGGAGGGGGATTTCCCAAGGCTTTTGAGCTTTTTTTAAAGGGGGGATTGCGTCACTAAATCCGCCTCCTGTCTGTCCCATCACTGGTGACCAGAATCTCCAGTGGCAGAGAGTTCCACAGGACTGGGACATTTGACACTAAAAGCTAGGTTTATTGCTGCTGTCAGATGAGCCTCTCTGTCTCGGGGAATGACGAACAATGCTCCTGCAAATGATCCCAGTGATCGAGCTGAGATATCAGGGTTCTGGTGATCCCTGCGGTATCCTAGACCGAAATTGTTCAGGGCTTTGTAAATTAATACAGATGAAGAAAATGAAACTTTCCAGAAGGAAAGCATTTCGGTGGCTTGGATTTGGAGAGGACAGAGCTGAGAGGCATTGCCTGGATACTGTTTTTTTAAAAACAATCTCAGACTTGATCCCTGGAAAAGTGATGCAGGATTAGCAAATTTGCCCTTTTTCTTGTAGGAGTGCCTGCTTGCTTCTGCTATCATATACCGGGACTCAAACCCAAACCCCCAGCGTTACCAGGGCAAGTTCCCAGCAAGGCTTCAAGTTACTTATTGAGTCAGCGGCATAAATATTCACAGACTGGAACAGCTGTCAGTCGCTCAGCCTGACTGGCAAGCTGTTAACCCTATCTTTCCATTCCTTTTTTTAAAATGTGGGCAGAAGGCATATGGAACGGACTCTTCATAGCCACACGTGGAAGAATCTATGTCATATATCTGTTGCTCATGAAGTCAGAGAGCCAAACGGGACAATTACTTGAATTACTTGGATCCGATTGTTGCAGCCTCAAATCCAGTCAAATTTATCTGAATTTAGGTTTTGTCTGAATTTCCTTGTACAGTGGTTACCTTGGAAGTCGAACAGAATCTGTTCCAGAAGTCCTTTTGAATTCCAAAATCTTCGGAAACCAAAACACGACTTCCGATTGGCTGCAGGAAGCTCCTGTAGCCAATCAGAAGCCGCGCCGGATGGTCGACTTCCGAAAATGCTTCGGAAACCGGAACACTCACTATTGGGTTTCGATCGTTTGGGAGCCGATTTGTTCAGGAGCCAAGGCATTTGAGATCCAAGGGACGACTGTTTGTAAATTGTTATTAGCAAAGACCGTAGATTTTTTAAAAATCTAGTTCCATGTGTGCATATCATTATTATAAATACAGGGTTGTACACAATGGCATAATGTAATTTGGGACAAAGCATTTTCTGAAAAGAAAGTGAAATACAACAAAAGAGCTTTAAAGGCACTCTCAGGGGAAATCTATATATATATAAAATGCAACATAAGCACAGAAATTTGGGAAACACTGGCCTGCAAGCACTGCAGCTGGAGAGCAGCTTTTACTAAAGGTGTCACGGGCTTTGAAGACACTCGAACTCAGGACACAAGGGAGAAACACGCTAAGAGGAAGGCACGCTTGGCAAATCCACACCGTGATCAACTCCCACCCGGAAACCTATGTCCCCACTGTGGAAGGACGTGTGGACCCAGAATTGGCCTCCACAGAAGGGTTACCAGACGTCCCGGTTTCCCGGGGACAGTCCCCGGATTTGCGAATAATTCCCAGACAAATTCCATCCCCGGAATGTCTCAGCAGCCTGGAGGAGTTGGCTCTGGCTGGCTTCAGGAGCTGCTCGGAAGTCCCCATATGATGGTTGTGAAGGGCCTCTAAGTTGCAGCTTCTGGGCTGCCTCCACCTTCCCTGACCCCAGCAACTAAGCTGAGAAGGGAGGCTTCACGCTGCCTATCAGAGCTTGCGGGCAAGCAGGAGGGGGCAGGGATCTCTCAGTTAGGCAACGGGAAGCCTCCCTTCCCAGCTGGGGGACTTGCTTCAGAGAGCATTTCCCCCCATTATACATAGTGCGCAGAGCACCTCCCCACCTTCATTAAACAACTTACCTGAGCTGCCTGCCACCCTGCTGTCACGCTGGAGTTGGCAGGCCCATGAACTGCTGCGTGACGACAGCCTTACATTTCTTGTATATAGTAAGAAAGTAAAGAAACGTGCAATGAAAGAATAGCAGCGTTACGCTTTCTGCTCCTGGCGTTACCTGAACGGACGTTCCTTCCTTCCGCCCTCGCCTCATCACCAGGAACTTAGCATCTTCGTCCCGGGGGGATGAGCGCTCCTCTGCAAACGCCAGGAAGGTGGACTCGGAGGGCAGGTAAAGCAGCGCCGGGATGCGATAGGTGAGACCCCCTCGTTTTTTCTGGCTGAAAAGAGTCACCTTCCCAGAGCCAGCCTGAGCCTCGGCCATGTTTTCTGGGCATGCAGAAATATTCTAGGAGACGGGGAAAGAAGTGAGCTTGAAAGCCAGAACTTATTTAGTTACATTTCCTTTTAGCGCGCCTGCGCTTCTAGCAGAAGCAGAAACCTTCAGATCGGTCCAGTTGATTTGCTGACATAGCTTACATCAATACATTTTGTTACAAAGGCTATTGTGCTTTGTATTGCGCCTGTGTGAACCTGCTACTTGTGTTCTTGCGATAAGCGTTTTAGCTCCTCTCTTCCCAAAGTGAAATACTTTCTCAGCAGTTTCTTAACAGTTTATTAAAGCGATAGGCTACTAGAAGTTCCCTTTTCTTGGTAACTCCCGGGGTCCACAATATCATAATTTGGGGTTCCCTTGGGGTCCCCCTACAACTTGACTTAATTTAACAAAATAGTTTGGATTTTGAATAAATGTGCAATTAGTTGTTACTGTTTTGAATTTCACCGTGCCATTATCTCCCATAGCGGGCCGTGCAAACCGCTATTCCGGATGATGTTTTTTGCAGGGTACCAGGTACTGTGTATGCATTTATGAAACCAAGCTGGAGAATGGCCCCAAAAGATTTGGGAGCTGATGATCTAAACTATCGATCCTTCATTGGAACAACCAGCCAGGTCCAAAGTTTAAAGCTTCCACTGTTTTGTGGAAGTGAGGGGGCTGGAGACTAGAGGGAAAAGACCACCCTCTTTCTGGAGAGAGAAGATGCAAAAAGTGAGGAGGGGCACATTTTACCCTTTGGGGAATAGGCTTTAAAAAAACCACACCTAATTATTGATTTGTTTTTAATATACACCCACCCACTTCTAAGTAGTCTAAATAATAATAATAATAATTTTTTATTTATACCTCGCCCTTCCCGGTTCAGAAAACCAGGCTCAGGGCGGCTAACAACAAATTTAAAACACTTAATTGATGCAACAAAAAACAGCATAAAATACAGTATAAAATGTGAATAACAATGAATTCAGAATTCAAAAATCAATTTAGGGGGGAAATCCATCCAATAAACATTAGATGAAATAAAATATTAAAAAATATGATAGAATTAATATTAAGCCAGTGTGACTAGGACAGGGTTCAAATCCCCATTTGGTCTGTGAATTCTCAGGTGACATCAATAAAATGCATGTTCATAATATGTGCGCATAAACCACACATCTGAAAGACGGCTAGCTCTGTTCTTTGGTTGCCTCTGTTCTCAGACCGGGGATCGGACCTTGATGGGGAGTCGGGCTGTAAAAGCCAACCCCAGTTTCCGTATAATAACCTCACTGGGTGATTTCAGACCCATTATTCCCTTCCAGGCTCGCCTACCTCACAGGGTTGTTTGTGAGGATCAAATGGGGGGGGTGGAGAAGAACCCCGAACACCACTTTGATCTCCCTGGAGGGAAAGGTAGGGCGTTGATGCAACAAACAAATAAAAACAAAACCAATAAGTTGCTATTCCTGTCCATGAATTACTCCACTAAGGGTGATGTCTAACTAAGATGTGCTCAAAAGAGTCAGACCCATCGACTTCAATGGAATGGCTGGTTTGGTGCATTGATTCAAATGGGCCCGACTCTGCGTATTACTAATAAAGGATGGTCACACAGTCTATGGCACGGGTAGGGAAACTAAGGCCCGGGGGCCGGATCCGGCCCAATCGCCTTCTAAATCCGGCCCACGGACGGTCTGGGAATCAGCGTGTTTTTACATGAGTAGAAAGTGTCCTTTTATTTAAAATGCATCTCTGGGTTATTTGTGGGGCATAGGAATTCGTTCATTCCCCCCCCCCCCAAAAAATATAGTCCGGCCCCCGACAAGGTCTGAGGGACAGTGTACCGGCCCCCTGCTGAAAAAGTTTGCTGACCCCTGTACTGTATGGGGCTTTTTGTTTCTGAACTTTGGCAGGTACAACATTTTACTTTTAATAGTATTCAAGCTGAAGGTAATTTTAATTTTTGATGTGGTGGGTAGAAGTAACTTCCTGAATAGTATTCAAGCTGAAGGTAATTTGCGGATGAAAGAAGGGGGAAATGATTTTTTTTTGAAATAGTTAATAAATGTGCAAACACCAAATAGATAAGAGGTAGTGATCCAAATTTAACACTCTAAAAGTAGGTAGCCATTTTAAAAAGTCGTCAAAGGATTTCAGCTCCAAAGGTGGACTGACTGATTAGGGCTCTGATATGTTAGACAGAGAGAATTTCCCTCTCTCTTTTCCTCATAATGCTAGTGGATTGGCGTGAGATTCAGGACAGCCAAATGAAAATACTTTTTTCACATGCTGCATAAATGAGTCATGAAATTCTTGGACATAAGATTTGGTGGCAAAAAATAAAATAAGGGATGGTCAAGAATCTTAGACAGCGGGGAGAGGGATTTACGGCTACCTCTGCTACCCTAAGTAGGGGCCCCTATTCCTGGAGGTCTTCATTAAAGGGTGTGTGCAGGGCTGGATTTAGGTTTGATGAGGCCCTAGCTGCTGAAGGTAATTGGGCCCTTTATATGTCCAGCTGTCCTTTGCCCACAACAAATTGTCCCTGTTTTTTGTGTTGAATATATGCTATGTGGTAATTTATGGACCTAATAGGTATCTCAAGACATTTGCACATGACAAAATATGTATTTTATCAACGTAACTGTTGAACTGAAATACAATTAAGAAGCAGCATATTAATAGCGCAATACAATTAATAATTATATTAACAGTGAAATACCGTATTTTTCGCTCTGTAAGATGCACCAGACCACAAGACGCACCTAGTTTTTGGAGGAGGAAAACACGGAAAAAAATATTCTGAATCTCAGAAGCCAGGACAGCAAGAGGGATCGCTGCGCAGTGAAAGCAACAATCCCTCTTGCTGTTCTGGCTTCTGGGATAGCTGCGCAGCCTGCATTCGCTCCATAAGACGCACACACATTTCCCCTTACTTTTTAGGAGGGAAAAAGTGAGTCTTATAGAGCAAAAAATACGGTAATTATTAAGCTCCAACTTAAAATTTTTGTATTCATAACAAACTTAATAATGCAAACACATTTGGCAATAACAAAAGTTCCTTGAGAAACACAATTTACAAAGACTCGTAATCTAGTCTCTAGAAACTTGCTATAACGTGAAACAATAAATATAGGATGCAAACTACTAATAATTATAAACAGCAGAATGTAGGCACCCTATATATAGAAATGAGGAAACCAGTGATATTTTAGGGAGCAGGCTAGCCGGCGGGGTCCGTCACTTACATCATAGGAGCCTACACAACACAAAACACTGTTGCTGTATGTAGCTTTTATTTTATTTGCTTTTTAATCTTATATTTTGAAAATCTACATCCAGTTTTTCCCCCCTTTAATTTTTTGGGGGCCGCCAAGAGAGTGGGGCCCTAAGCTATAGCTTATTTAGCTTATACCTAAATCTGGCACTGATTGCATGCCCTGCGCTGCCCGCTTCCCCATCCATCCATCACTCACCGCGCAGCGGATTCCTCGCAGTGCATAAATACCCAGCATGGGGGGGGGGGGGGTTGGGTTGGGGGTTTGGGAAGCGCGATCCGCAGGCGCAGGATCCGACCCTGCAAGCCGAGGAGAGAGAAAGAGAGACCAGGAGAGGCGCTTCCTCGCCGGCGCGCACAGCCCAGCTTTGGCAACATCTGAGCGCAACTTGCAACAAGAAATATAAATATAAATAAATGCTCGGCAGCTGCTTCCACAGGCTGCCAGCCAGCCTCCTGGGATCCGGTTCCCCGCTTGGCCAATCAGGGGAAGGGATCTCTTTCAGAAGCCATAGATTTAGTCCATGGAAAATGATGGCTAGCAGCTCCAGCTTTTTGCAAAGAATCAGAAGGAAATTCAAAGTCAACCCGCAAGCTGGCGGCAGTGTGTCAGTCTACCCTTTTTCTTTCTCCCTATGCCCCATGCAGATGAGCAAGAGGCAACGTCAGAGTATGTTAAATGAGCCATTTATGAATTCTTAATGGATAGAAACAATTAATTGAGAGCTAACATTTTACCGAGAGACACAGCTTTCATCGAATTGTAAAGAAACCCAATGGTCCTTGATTGATTGATTGATTGATTGATTGAATTTATATAGTCCAGCCCCCTGCAATGAAGGAAGCTCAACACATGGTCTCCCATCCCCTTTGAAACCACGCCAGATACTGCTTGTCTCTGCAGATGTGCTACAGTTTTATTGCTGCATCACTAGGGGGCTTGAATAATGGCGGGGGTGGGGAAAATATTTCTGTACAGCCATATAATAAAATACTAGTGTGGTGTAATAATACATAAAACACAATTTACCAAAAAAAAGAAGAAGACCATCGTTAAGGTGATGGGTTAAGCAAAGTACAAAATAAACACCTGCAAAGGTCTGTTAGCATTTAAAAAAAGAATTTAAAAAGAATGTCAAAACCAGGGGTGCCTGCAAAATCTCTTTCTTATACAGTGTGACTGGTGGCACTCTATATTTTTTTTAAATCCATATGAAAATACCTGTTTAAATCCATATCCAGATTCATAGTTCAGTTAAAAATACAGACTGTATTCAATTCTCCACCATCCCTACTCAAGATGTCCGTCACCCCATTTGGTGAAGCAAGACGGCCGTGTTCGATACTGTTTGTTTGAAATCTTGACGTTGGGCAGCTAAACAATGCAATAAAACAAGGGATGCCCACAAAAATGAGTTTTTAGCCTGCCTGTTCCTGCAGGCTTTGGGGCGGGGCGCAAACCTTGTGATGCTTTTCCCTCCTCCTGTCCCAGAGAAGAAACCAGTTTTTCTCCTAACCGGTAGCATGAAAAGGATTTTTAGATTCATCACATGGCGTTGGGTCATACAGCGTGCGTTCCGCGTGCTACGGTTTTTGATGTATGCAAAAACCCCTCCAGAAAAAAAGAAGGAAGCGGGAAACAGAACTGACAGCAGATCATTTTATTTAAACACATTCCCTGTAGGCTATTGTTTGTTAACAGCTTCCGCTTTTATTTCCCACATGCTCACAGTGCAATGTCCTGGGATTTGGCTGGCGTTGGTGCCAGAAACTTGGGCAATACAGCTGGACCAAGCAAAGGCATAGATGGCGGGCAACAGGGAATGTGCCACTGCTTTAGGAAAACAAGCCAACTTCATAAACAACGTTTTGAAGTTTGGTTGTTTCAGTAAAGCACAGTTAAGGCCAACCACAGTTTCTCGAGGTTCAGACATAACACAGGAAACAATAGACAAATGGAAACGTCAACTTCCAATCTCCTCCTCATGGCTGCACCAGGGAGGGAAGAAGGTTGCTGGGAAGGCTTGTTCAAATTTGGCTGAGCTATAATTTTAGCACAATAAGACCTTACTGTGAAATGGACAAAGACACCCAAGGAAAGCAGCCCACGCTGACAGCACTGCTAGTTTAAAAAGCAAAGAAAGCTCTTTGCTAGGGTCGCCATATTTCAAAAAAGTAGAAACCAGGACAGCACCGAAATTGGGGTTTGTTTAAAAATAGCTCAGCAAAGTTGCTTGCAGCCCTATCTTAGCATCCTCTTTGAGGGAAGCCATGACAGTTAAAACTGGTATAAAACTGATATACATTTGTAGCGTTTGACACATAATACATTCCCAGCCAAGCTGAGTTCATCCAACATAACAGAAGCACAACAAATTGCAGCAGATTGCAAGCATTTTCGCACAAGAGTTCAAAACTGAGTATAAAGATTTTGGCACAAAGGTTTGGCATAGGCTCCAACATTTAGTCCCGTGCAGGCCCAGAAGGCTCAGAGTTAAATCTCCGGCGTCTCCAGATGAGGCTGAGAGAGAGAACTTTGCCTCAAACTCTGAAGAGCCACTGACATTCAGTGTAGACAATAAACATCAACAACAAAAATAATAATTTATTTATACCCCGCCCATCTGGCTGGGTTTCCCCAGCCACTCTGGGCGGCTCCCAACAGAATATTAAAAACACGATAAAAGATCAAACATTAAAAGCTTCCCCAAACAGGTCTGCCTTCAGATGTCTTCTAAAAGTCGGATAGTTGTTTATTTCCTTGACATCTGATGGGAGGGCGTTCCACAGGACGGGTGCCACCACCGAGAAGGCCCTCTGCCTGGTTCCCTGTAACCTCACTTCTTGCAGGGAGGGAACCGCCAGAAGGCCCTCCCTGATGCTCCTTCAGGTCTACTGGGCCAAGGCTAACTAGGCCAATGGTCTGACTCTGTGCACAAAGTACTATTCGGTTCTCGTCCCAGTCTTTCCAAGACCCTTGGGACACTCCTCAAGTCCTTGAAGAATGGCAGGGTGTGTAAAAAAATGGCCCCGGTATGAAATTGTCTGGTACCCAAAAGTTTTCCAGCTCTCTATATATCAGGAGCGGGGAACCGCTTGAAGAATATGCCTATACAGTGGTACCTCGGGTTAAGTACTTAATTTGTTCCGGAGGTCCGTTCTTAACCCGAAAATGTTCTTAACCTGAAGCACCACTTTAGCTAATGGGGCCCCCCGCTGCCACTGCACAATTTCTGTTCTCAGGCTGAAGCAAAGTTCTTAAACTGAGGTACTATTTCTGGGTTAGCAGAGTCTGTAACCTGAAGCGTATGTAACCCGAGGTACCACTGTATAGTGTGTGTACACACACACACACACACACACACATACACAGTATAAAAATATTGTTAAATAAATAAAAATGAATTTTAAACCCCACCTTTTGCAATGATGGAGGCGTGGTGCTAAAGGGGTCCGCATCAGCAGAGATCATATCACCAAATCCCAGACTTTCTGTAGTCTGAGGAAAGATGAAGGAGCCTCAGGGAAAGTACAGAATGCATCTGACAAAATTTTAAGTGAATGAAATGACACCTTTCCACACTAACTGTTGAATATGGAAGCACTGAGTGTCTGAGTGGAGCAGGTGGTTTTCTGTGCTCTTCTAATGAGGTACGTTTGGAGGACCCGATTGTTGTTAACTAGAAACTGCGACGATTTCCGAAGACCTACACCTCAGTTTTGTAAGCCCATGACTTTACCAAGATGTGCAAAAGAGTAGAACAGGCTTCCCCAACCTCGGCCCTCCAGATGTTTTTGGCCTACAACTCCCATGATCCCTAGCTAGCAGGACCAGTGCTCAGGGATGATGGGAACTGTAGTCTCAAAACATCTGGAGGGCCGAGGTTGAGGAAGCCTGGAGTAGAATGAGCAGGTTCTGTCCTTAGGTGCTAATGGTGGTCTCCAACACACTTATTCCATTAGTGTAATTAATAATAATAATAATAATAATAATAATAATAATATAGTATTTATACCCCAACCGTCTGGCTGGTTTTCCCCAGTCACTCTGGCGAATTCCAACAAAATATTAAAAATACAATAAAACAGCAAACATTGAAAATTTCCCTAAACAGGGCTGCCTTCAGATGTCTTCTAAAAGTTGTATAGTTACTTATCTTCTTGGCTCAGAGGTCACATTACTCCAAACTCCAACATTTATCCAATTAAAATAGGGACATCCTAAGGAAAAGTGAGAAGGGAAGCGGGTGGCGCTGTGTCTAAACCACAGAGCCTAGGGCTTGCCGATCAGAAGGTTGGCGGTTTGAATCCCCGCAATGGGGTGAGCTCCCGTGGCTAGGTGCCTGCTCCTGCCAACCTAGCAGTTCGAAAGCGCGTCAAAGTGCAAGTAGATAAATAGGTACCGCTCCGGTGGGAAGGTAAACGGCATTTCCGTGCGCTGCTCTGGTTCGCCAGAAGTGGATTAGTCATGCTGGCCACATGACCTGGAAGCTGTACGCTGGCTCCCTCAGCCAGTAAAGCAAGATGAGTGCCGCAACCCCAGAGTTGGCCACGACTGGCCCGTACGGGTAGGGGTCCCTTTACCTTTACCTTTAAGGAGAAGTGGGACATTCTGGGATCAAATCAGAAAGCAGGACAGCTTCTGTAAATCCGGGACTGTCCTTAGGAAACAGGGACTCTGGGAGGGTCTGCAAGGATTTATTTTTCGAGGGACGGTACTTCTCCCTTCTCCTCCCCGCCACATGTACCCTGCACACATCCCAAATCAATGGGTTGGCAGAATTCCCAAAACAGATTTAGGACATGCACAGGGGGGAATATCCCATTGCACAGTCCTTGTACTACAACTACAACAACTACTACTAATTTAATTATTTATACCCAGCCCATCTGTCTGAGTTTCCCAACAGAACACTAAAAACAGAATAAAATTTCAAACATTAAAAACATGGAACAGGTGTGTTGGACACCGCTCAAGTTTTGCTCAAACTTCTAGGCTGCTGAAACGAGAGAGAGGGGGGGAGGAGGTAGGGGGGAGAAGGAGAGACAGAGGGGGAGAGGGAGAGAGAGGAGGGAAGGAGGGGGAGAGAGAGGGAGAGGGAGGGGAAGAGAGAGGGGGAAGGAGGGGAGAGGGAGGGAGCGGAGGGGGCGAGAGAGGGAGGGGGGAGAGAGAGAGATAGAGGGAGAGGGAGGGGAAGAGAGAGGGGGAAGGAGGGGAGAGGGAGGGAGGGGGAAAGAGAGAGGGAGAGATGTGTCGCAACATCATCCTTCCCTCACGTTCCTCAAAAGCTCGTCACTGGTGAAGAGCTGGAACGCGATTTCTTCAATGGGATGGTGCACCCCACACTCAAACAAGCACCCAAACACCAGTGTGTTCCCCCCTTCTTGGCACACAGCCAGGTCCGAGTAGCTACTGGGACCTTTGTACAGCACCCAGGGAGGGCGCCAAGAGTCTTTTTCCAACGGGGACTTGTTCAGGTAGATGCCCAAATCGAAGCGCTTGTGGCAGTTTGTGGGGTGAGAGTACACCAGCCAGGACTTTGTGCCGCCCAGCGAGGCCGAAGAGAAGCGAGAGCTGCCCTCCGGCTGAGGGAAGAAGCTCACCACGCTGCCCTGGCACCCACTGGGCGGCTCGCACAAGTCCTCGGACAGGTACCCTTCCTCAAAGTGTTCTCCACCATCTGTGCTGAAAGCTTCGGCCCGGAACCTGTCTGGGCTGCGGGAGTTGCAGTACAGCACTTGGCTATCGTCCCGGCGGGTCAGCTCCGCAACTTGGCACTCGGATGTGTTCAAGTGCATCAGGAGTTGTCCTCGGGCCCAACTCTGCCCGCCGTCATCGCTGTAGAACGCGAAGGAATGAGGTCTGGTCCAGCAGTTGAGCGCATGCCCGAAACATCGCCTGTGGATGTAATAGGCGTAAGCCGGGATCACCAGGCGCCCGGAACTCAGCTGCAGGCCGTGCCCAGGCCCAACCGCAAAGGTGGCCCAGTTCCTCAAATGTTTGCCAATCACCTGCTCCGTCAGGTCGGTCGTCTGGCTCCAGGTGCGGCCGCCATCTTGGCTGACGACGTAGCAGAGCCGAGCGGCGTTCCTCCCTGTGAAGATCTGGTGACGTTCCGTCACGTGGGTCTCCACGCAGATGAAGAACAGGAAAATTCGTCCGCTCTTCCTCTCGAGAACGGGGCAAGGGTTCATGGTGCGATGGTTGGGCAACGTGGCTTCCATCAGAGACGTCTGAGGACCCCACTAGAAGGGAAGAAAGATGGAGTAGTTAGCCGGTGGTTCTCTCACTAGAGCCAGGTGATGTATCCCTATATCATCCAAAACCGGTTTGAAGTCTATAGCGTGATATCGGTTTAATAGCTTTTGTCCTGACAATATATCACGAATCATGATGTGTTTTAGGGCTGGATGGAAACCCTCAAAAACCGGTTTCCAGTCCATATCCTGATTTTGGTCTCATAATTTTTGACCTGGCAATATATTGCAAATCATGATGTGTGAGGGTGAGATGTTTAGCGGCAGCGGGGAGTTCCTGGAGGCAGAGGAAACAGAATCCATTTTCATGACACAGGTATGTGAGCTGGCAATGTGTCGTAGCATTTAAGCAAGAGGTGTTTACCAATGAAGCCATTCTGGAATTTTCTGGAATTCTGAAATTCGCCACAGTTCAAATGATTATTGGTACTAATATTGGTACTAATATTATTTCTATACATTTATTCATTTATTCTCTGTTAAATTTGCCACTTAAAACATTAATAAAAAAGACTATGAGTTTAAAACAAACATCATTGCCAGGTCAACTAACATTTCAGATTGAAAGGAGTCAGATAAGCTGTCAACAACTTCAAGACACTTCCTTGGGTAGTCAGTTCCAAGCCAATCCTCTTTCCTGGCAATACTTTTGTTCCTGGAACCCAACTCAAACATTACACAGAATGACAAATCAGGGAAAGCACAGTTACATTTCCTGCACCTGGTGTTACCTGGAACACCTTGCCACCAGGAACTTCACAGAGCACCATTAAACATCTCACCTGGGCCACCTGCCACCCTGTTTTCACACTGGAGTTGGTTTGGCCACATATTGGTGGCCACATGAACTGCTGCGTGATGACAGCCTTACATTTTATGTATATAGGAAGAAAGAAGAGAATTATGGACTGAAATATAGCTCGGTTACGCTTTCTGCTCTTGGTGTTACCTGAACAGACATTCCTTCCTTCCGCCCTCGTCTCATCACCAGGAACTTGGCATTTTCGTCTCTGGGCGTTGAGCGCTCCTCAGCAAATGCCAGGAAAGTAGACTCAGACGGCAGGTAGAGGAGAGCTGGGATGCGGTAGGTGAGACCTTTTGGGTCTTCCTGGTGGAAAAGAACCGTCTTCCCTGAACCAACTTGGGCCATGTTTCCTGAGCGTGGTAGAAAAAGAGAGGTCAGAGGAATGGACAGTTTTTCCAATGGAGAGATGTAGAAAGTGGAATCCCCGCGAATCAGTATTGGGATTGCTGCTTTTTAATTTGTTCATAATTGATCTAGAGAAAGGAGTGAGCAGTGAGGTGGCTATGTTTGCTGATGATGCTAAATCGACGGTGCTAAACCAAAAAGAGATTGTGAAGAGCTCCAATAGGACCTCCCCACACGTCGTGAATGGGCGGTAAAATCGCAAACGCAATTCAACACAAACAAGTGTAAAGCGATGCATGTTGGGGCAAAAAAATTAAAAACCTTATTTCCACATATACTCCCATGATGTCTGAACTAGTGGTATGTGTAGGTAAAGGACCCCTGGATGGTTAAGTCCAGTCAATGGCGACTATGGGGTTGCAGCGCTCATCTCGCTTTCAGGCCAAGGGAGCCGGCGTTTGTCCACAGGCAGCTTTGCAGGTCATGTGGCCAGCAGGACTAAACCGCTTCTGGCATCACGGGACACCGTGTCGGGAGCCAGAGCACACGGAAACGCCATTTACCGTTGTGCCACAGCGGTACCTATTTATCTACTTGCGCTGGTGTGCTTTCAAACCACTAGGTTGGCAGGATTAAGAGTGTTAATTAAAAACACTTAAGAAGTGTTTTTAATTATCTGGGGGGGCCGCTAGGGGCGCATTGGAAGATGGCCGACAATACCATCTCTCCGACTCACACGAGGTAATTAAGAGGCTGATATGGGAGTATGCAGCCTCCCTTGTTACCCCAAGGGGATGGGGAACACTGCCTCGCCTGCGGTTGCCATAAATCACCCCCGAGTTCGAAAGAAGGGGGTGAAGGCACTAGGCGCACAGCACCCGTGTGGGACGGCTCTCCCTGTCGCTGTCTCTGATCGCGCGGCCTGGTTGCAGGAGCTCAAAATAAACAATTAGAGAGAAGCAAAAGCACATATTTCGAGCGAAGAACGGGAGTTAAGACTGCTAATTGAAGTGACCTCTGTGAAGTGGAGCAATTGGTTGGATTTAACAGGAAAGAAGAGAAGAAGAAGAGTTTGGATTTGATATCCCGCCTTTCACTCCCTTTAAGGAGTCTCAAAGAGGCTAACATTCTCCTTTCCCTTCCTCCCCCACAACAAACACTCTGTGAGGTGAGTGGAGCTGAGAGACTTCAAAGAAGTATGACTGGCCCAAGGTCACCCAGCAGCTGCATGTGGAGGAGCAGGGAAGCAAACCCGGTTCACCAGATTACAAATCTACCGCTCTTAACCACTACACCACACTGGCTCTTAACATAACAAGAAGAAAACATAACAAGAAGAAGATACATCAAAGGGTCGGTATGTCGGAACGGGACGGAATGGGGGGGGAACCTTTTCTTTTCTTTTATCTTATGTGATTACCTAACAACCCTCCCCCCAAGAAGAACCGTTGCAATTACTGATTATAAGTGGGATGATTAAGAACTGTGTGGAAATGAAGTACTAATCAAAGACATGGTTTGTGAAACATCGGGGAAGGAATGAAGAGCCTTTGGAATGACGCAGTCATAAAAAGAGACTTGTTTAATAAGCAGGCCTGGCTACTGGATTTATGATCGAGGGGGAGGAGACCATGGTATTGGAATGTGAGTTCGACCTGGCAGAACCCCCTAAGAAGATTGAGGAGAGACTGACAGGCCTGCGAGGATTTAATGGGCAGACTTTAAGAATGTTTTGTTCGAAAGTGTGGAAATGGCGTCTGTCTGTTTGTATAAGGCTCTTGGAGGAACGGAAAATCCACACAGGATAAACAACGTCTGTTTTCAACCCGCTTGTGGAGTCTATCAGAGGTCACAAAGAAAGGAATATATGACAACAACAAGAAAATGAGGGAAACAATAAAGATAAGATCGGATAGAACTGTGAATACTATTTGGACAGAACTGTAACATTAAAGCAGCAGCAAGTGAGATGTTTGGATCCCTTTCTGAGCTCGAAGCATGGGTACCCCCAACAAAAATTTAAAAATTTGGCTTTGTAATTTGGAACTAATGTGATTTGATTGGTTTGTTAATAAAAATTATATTAAAAAAAAAGAAGAAGTGTTTTTAATTATCTTAAGTGTAAATCACCGCAGGGTAGTAGTCTACTTAATAAATTAACTGTGGCCATAAAGGAAAGTTAATTCCTCACACAACACATAGTTCTAGCGAACTCCCTTCTGCAGCAAGTCAATGATGGCCACAAACTTGGATGGCCAAGGATTAGACAAATTCAAGGAGGAGGCGGCGGCTCTGAATGGCTTCTGTCCACAATGGCGAATGCTGTGTCTCCATGATCCCAAGCAGGAGGGACGGAGTGTTCTTGTGTTCGAATCCTGCGGGTTTCCTGAAGGCATCTGGTTGAGAAACTGGAGAACATGATTCTGGACCGGATGGACCATCAGCCAGCAGACTCTTTTTAGGTTCTTGCGTAATTTAAACCAGTCTGGCTTGTCTCTTACACATACATTCCCCCGACGTTATTCCCTTCATGTGGCGACATCTCTTTCTCTGCAACTCCCTGGCTCTTGACCAGGTTTCCTCAAGTGTCCTCACTAACCTCCTTTTAAGCGCCTGAAAAAAACCTTTCTGTTTTGGCAGGCCCAGCTAGACACCTGTCTTGCTGACAATTCTCTTTGTTCTCAACGAATCCTTCGTGGGCATTTGCTTGCAATTGGGTTTGTGGGTTTTAGCTGGATCATTTCACATGTGCTACATGGAGAATTCTTGTTTCGATCAAGGGGTTTGTTGGGTTGTTTTGTTTTTAGATAAACAAACAGTGTATCTCCCCAATAAATTAAGTACCCCAAGCTGTTTGCCCCAGGAGGGAAAACAGGGAGGTATTCAGGAAGATGGAGTTTTTGCACTCAGGGCTATTGGTCACAATGGACATGTTTCAGCTCCACTATCAGAAGCAGTGATCCCTCTGAACGCTGAGAATCGCAAGAGAGCAGGGCCAGATTTAGGTTTGATGAGGACCTAAGCTACTGAAGGTAATGGGGCCCTTTCTATGTCCAGCTGTCCTTTGTCAACAACAAATGGTCGCTGCTTTTTGTGTGCAATATATGCTATATGGACCTAATAGGTATCTAAAACCATTTGCACCTGCTGCCATGCAACCAGTCCATGCAGAATGTAGGCACCCTATATATAGAAAGGAGCAAACCAGGGATATTTTAGGGAGCAGGCTAGCAGGTGGGGCCCATGACTTACATCACAGGAGCCTACACAACACAAAACACTGTTGCTGTATCTAGGTTTTATTTTATTTGTTTTTTATCTTACATTTTGGAAATGCACATCCAGTGTTTTTTTTCCTTTAATTTTTTTTGGGGCCCCCAAGAGAGTGGGGCCCTAAGCTATAGCTTGTTTAGCTTACACGTAAATCCGGCACGGTCTGTACACTTCTCCTGTGGGGCAAATGGCTGAATGGGGGAATGAGTTTAATCAGGAAAACGGCACAGAGGGAGGAGGATTAAACCCTTCCCTTACTGCAGTACTGCTCTGAATTTGGTAGCGCTGCCACCCAAATCTGAATGGTCCCGGTGGATCTCCCGGTTTGCACCCTAAGAGTTCTTTGTTATCCAGAAGCTTGCTCTTTCTGCTGTTGGCTTGGTTTCTCTGCTGAGAGCACCCTGTCTCCCAAGAACCCTTCAAAATAGTGTGTGTGCATCAGGTGAGATGGAGGAATAAATCATGACTGTCTAGGCAACCCCCTAGAGCGTTTTTATATTGTTAACAATAATTTCAACTGGTGTCCTGTTTTGCGGCTGTTTTATTGCTCCCGTGGCCACATCCTGCTCCAGAATGGATGGAGCGCAGGATATAAAAATATGTAATACAAAGAAGTACATTTAAAACAGTCACAGTGTAGAAATTGGTCCCAGGTTGGGTGCAAGGCGGGGGCTACATATACAAAACTTGGTGGACCAGGGAACTGGACAGCAGGTTGATCTTTAAGAGCATGCTGGTTTTCTGCATTTGGGGAAGGGGGCTAAGAGGGGAGATTGTTTAATGCAGGGGTCAGCAAACTTTTTCAGCAGGGGGCCGGTCCACTGTCCCTCAGGCCTTGTGGGGGGCCAGACTATATTGGGGGGGGGTGAACGAATTCCTATGCCCCACAAATAACCCAGAGATGCATTTTAAATAAAAGCACACATTCTGCTCATGTAAAAACACGCTTATTCCCGGACCGTCCATGGGCCGGATTTAGAAAGCGATTGGGCCAGATCTGGCCCCCAGGCCTTAGTTTCCCTACCCCTGGTTTAATGGGACTGCTTGCAAGACCCACAGAAAGGGGGAAGAAGAATCTATTGCAGCTTAATGGACCACATAGGAAGTGCTGCAAAGAAGGCTCTGGGATTTGGAGAAGGAGACTCTGCTGTTACTCTGTGCTAGAGGAGTACTGCAAAACATCTCAGATTTGAGGATGTGCAGAGGGGAAATCATTTCCTGCTGAAGATGCTGAAGAGGTATATTCTCTAAATGAGATTTTGACTGGGGTTCATTATCCCCCTAGTTTTATGGACTGGGCATGCCTTTCTTTTTGCTCTGAAAACGTTTTTTTTAAAAAAAGAAACCATCCGACTCTAGAATGCTATGATTATCTATAATTGCTCCTCCGGCAGAAAGGAGTATTCAGGGTAGGTTAGGACATTCTCTTTGAGAGAGAGAAATAATTTAAAACTAAATAAACCACCAGCCCCACCAGCGGGGGTTATGGACACGTGGGCCTGTCCTGTGAAAAGCTATAGTCTTAAATGCACAAATCCAGCCTCTGTACCTAAATAAATCAACAAAGGTCTTGGCATCCTGAAAGCAGCTTCACAGCACGGTGTCTCTCTCTCTCTCTCTCTCTCTCTCTCTCTCTCTCTCTCACACACACACACACACACACACACACAGGAATAAAGAAATAATTATGCGTCTGCACCCCTGCAGTCTGCCTCCCTCCCTTCTAA